TGTGCAAATCATATACTTGTTCAAATGTAGGTTTAGGAAGCCTACAAGCCTGTGTTGCTGCTGTACTTCGAAGGTTAATGATAATCATACCTCAATGAGGAAAATTTCGAAGAGAATTTGGACAGTTAAAGATAAGTCTGCTGATAGGCATCCATAACTTTCTTGGAAAGAAACCGAGTCAGAATGCTATTTTAATAGCAACCGCTGATTTTGATTTTGAGGGTCTAATGATGGATCTACAAGGAAGATGGATGAATGTCATGTTAGCTCAACCTCCAACAACACAAGTCCTATTCCTACACTTATATGCAGCTTGGTATGTCGAAGCTCTGCTTAAGGGAGGTGCAGGTATGCATTCATAGTGAAGGATTGTGTGTTTGTACTAGAACTAAATTGTCCTGTTTGAGATTTGATGTAATCTTTTTCAATTAATCGAATTTCTCTTTAATGATTCCTTTGAGTTTTGGCCACAAGTTTGAGAAAGAAAATCTTATAATGTTTTTCATAGTAACATCTGTTTCAATGATTCAAAGCTTGATGCTGGTTTGAGAAAAAATATTCTAAGCCAATTTAAAACATTAGAAACGTATTTCCGCATAATTTCAGTTTTTTTTTATGTGATTCCCGGAAAGGAAAGATGACATGGTCATTTCCATTGTGGGAAGTCAGTTCTTGTTACATGCTCTACTTTTGCAAGCTCTACGGCCGTTATTTTCAGGCTATAACAGTGAAAGTCATAACTCCCATCTCAAGATCATATAGTTTTAGGTGGAGAGACAGCTTCAAACTACAGTGTAGCTATTGAGGTATAACAAGGTCTGCTATGCTATTGATTAAATGGTTTATAGCTTTTGAAGAGAAATAGCTATCGAGGTATTACAAAATCATTAACCTTCTTAGAGTTTGTCATCTCATTTTCGATTTGGATTGATGTGAAAGAGTCATCAGGTGGTTCATTGGCAGAGGGCTAAAATCTCATTTAGCTCTGTTGTTAGCAGATCAGCCCAGGGATATAACATTGATCACCTTGAACAGATTATTGAAGATGCCAAAAGTAACAAGGTGTGATATAATTTTGAGGTAATGTGTAGTAGAGTTTCCAGTTTCCTTTACGATATTTTAGTATCATTCTTTTATTTTTATTTTTGTAATGATGTAGAGAACCTTTGTTCACTGTGATGGAATCGATTATGAATTTGATGAGAGAAGTTGAACTTGAAGAGAAGGTGAAGGAAAATGCTACTAGAGGAGGCTTCGATACCCTTAACAAGGTTGATGATCTGAAGAAAGATTCTGGCACATGCATAATAGGGAAATGACATGGTGACTTTATTTGAATCTGTCACAGGATGCTGGAGAAGTTTGTGGGGAGAGTTCATTCTTGACCACTGAAGTACATGAGCTTGAAAATCCGTGCAGTTCACACGCTATAGATGATTTGCTTAATATTGCATGTTTCGACTCTTTCTGCTCCAACGCCTTGTTAAAAATGTCTGTATGTTGAGAATGTGTAGAGATATGTTGTGTTGCGATAATCCCTTTAAAAGTCTCATCCATCTTGAATAAAATGATAGTCAATATATATATGTTTTGTTCTCTCATAAAACACATGATTAAAATTGATGTGAAGAGCAGCAGCCTCACTGTCACAAAACACACTCATAGGACGTGTGAGTGAGACAAACACCAAGATCTACCGCAACTTCCTAATGTTTGAATGATACGTGGAGATTGGAAAAACTGTGAAAGAACATGAACCGTATATGTGAGAAGCTGGCTGTAAAGAAGATACAGTTTGTATACGTAGCTAGACAAAAACTATATATGGATTTGTGTAATTATGACATTTTTGTTATGATGTAAGCAACTTGTCATCAAATGACAAATCTGACAGAATATCTATAATAAAATCCACTTTGCTCATGACAGCTTCTTGCTCATCTTCTGGACCACAACACTTCTTCTTCTGTTTCTTCTTCATCTTCTTCCTGTTCGTCCCATTTCTCGGCTTAGCACAAGAAGTCAACGTAAACGGTCCTGTCTGGGATTTTCCTTCCAAGCCATCATGTTCATCTCCACAAAGCAACTTCCCCAGTTCCCGATTCTCTCAAAACCTAAACAGTCTTGTCTCTTCAATCCCTAAACTCCAACCCAACCCCTACAACTTCTACAACCTCTCGTCCGGAGGAAACTCGGATCAAGAACGAGTGGAAGCCATGGGACTCTGCAACAGAGTACTCACTCGAGTATATTGTCTAAACTGTATCGATGAAGCCGCAAGGAATCTAACCACAGCGTACTGTCCACTTAATAGAGAAGGTTACGTACGTGCCACGAAATGTATGTTTCGTTAGAAGAACAAAAAGTATAATTTCTGGCTTCTGTTGTTGTAATGTTCAATGCAACTTCTTTCACTTTACCGAGACCTTTGCAACCGGAGGAGATGAAGAATCAAGAGGCAACCACCTAGGTAGTTTTGCACAACCAATGACTTGGAATGATGTTACAATCACTGAGTTAGATCCTCGTTAATTAGTGTGCAAACTCATGTTAAGGTTCGAAATGTCCAGGAAACGCAAAACTTCGACCGCTTTCTTATAAGAGGAGTGAAACAAACGTGCCGTGTTCTGGTCAGAACTAGTATTACAATTCCAAGACCAGACAGAGTTACATTTGTGATTGTCAGCAAATTCCATCAAATAGCAAATCATTTGAATCCATCAAAACAAAAGCTAAAACATTAATCTAGTACGGATTTCGGAGACCATAGTGAGGTTCCGAATGAGACCGTATACTCAGGCTCTTCGAAGAGAAGATTGAAACCTTTGAGCTTCAAAGCTTCAAGAACAATATCGCACATGGGGTCTTTGAAAGGTTTCGAGATCACCATGTAGTTCAATGGACTGGAACTGCACCACGTTGTCCATTTAATCATGTCCAGTGACATAGCAGTAATCCTCCCAAACTCATCCTCTTCAGGGACGTGTCTCACCGTAAGTCCTGACTTGTCATAGTCATCGCGCAGCTTATCGGACATCTCGCGGGTATCAAAATAAGCATTCACAGATACAATGCCTATTAAACCCTTCTCGTTAAGAGTTGATTTGAATTTACTCCTAACGTCCATGGGATTGGATGGGTAATGATCTACCAACCAGAAGACGATTACATCACGCGATGAAAGTGTTCGGCTCTCGGGTGTGACCTTGCGACCTTGGGACTCTAGGCTTTGTAGCTTGTCTGTCACGCTTTCACTAAACGGCTCAATGCTGTCAGTGGTATCACCGGGTCTAAAGATGACATTGAAACCTCTCTTTTCCAAGGCTTTCATAACAATGTCGCACCTGGTGTCTTTTGAGTGTGGTGCGATTAGCATCAAATTTTGTGGTATATCATCATAGTTCATTGCCCAGAAGATAACGTCCAGTAGCATACGAGTAACTTTGGCATACTTATCCCCTGGAAAAATTAAAAATATATATCCAGATTAACAGACATGTTATATATACAAGAAAAAAAAAAAATAGAGTGGAGGAACTCACCATCGAGTCTGATAGGATCAGAACAATCATCAAATCCTTCATCACTTCTAGAACAATCATCAAATCGAGGATCATCCCCTGTGTAATCCATATCAACATAAGGATGGATTTTCACATAGCCACGATAACCTTTTTCGCCAAGAACTGTGCGGAGACTCGATGCATCGGTTGGGCAACCCTGGACATCCCAGAAGACGTTTATCTTTGCATAATCAAATCGTTGGTTATGCAAAGAAGCTAGTCCATTGGAATAACATCCTTCTCTGCTGTTGATCAGTGGCACAAACGCATCCCTTGAGAAGACATCTCCACAGATTGATAGGACAACAACATCGTAATGTCTATCTTTCAAAGCTTCAAGGGCATTGAAGAAATCCTTTCCTGGTTGGATAGTCTCAGAGTAAACAAACAGTCTTCTCGGCTCAAAATAGGTCGCAGGATTCTCCATTGCCCACAAAACAATGTCCACTGACATACAATGAGCTCTCGCGTGTATATCCGCCTCTAGGGGAATGATGGTGATTCCAAATGTCTTGTAGGCATTGAACAATTCATCCCCAAAGTCTTTTTCTGTATCAACATAAGCCATGATTGACACCTCACCATGATGACCCCTCGTCTCAAGATGTGATTTTATAAAGTCATAAACCAAACCAGGGCGACACGGGGATGTGATTTCCCAGAAGACCACACATGTGCAAAGCCTATCAGGCACGATGGTTTCGTGTGACTCCTCTCTTGTCATCCGGTTACAGTCTTGTGGCGTTGCTCCATCTAATAGGCGTGAGGAAAGCCATTCGAAGCTTACGGTTTGTAGTTCGGTTGGTGATGAGAGATCACGAGGTGATGCAACGATAACATTGTGAAACGCCAACTTGAGTTTAAGAAAATCTAGGGCAACCGATCCTTTTTCAATGCTATTGGAGATTACCATCAAACTTGTCACACTTTCTAATTTAAAAGAGGTGGATCGCATCTTCGTTCCCTACCATGCAATGTCCGGCAACATGGAACGACCCCCTGCTCGTCGGGGAATGATGGTGATTCCGGCTTCCTTGTAGACCAAGTCATCTTCCCCGAAGCTTTCCTTGTCAACATACGCCATGATGGAGACCTCACCACGACAACCCAACCCCTCAAGAACTGACTTCATGTTGTGATAAATCAAATCAGGAGCGAGACCATCAGGGAACGGGAAATCCACCACGTCCCAGAAGACACATGTGAGAGACCCTGCGAAGGAAACGCATAAACAATCAGATTCATGTATTATTCTCGCAGATCGATCATATATATATATATATATATATACATATAAAGTAATACATGGTAGAGGTACCGGATGAGATGGTTTCCCTAGCTTTTCTTAAAGAGGCCATGCTTTCGACGGCAGAATAAATTAGGGCTAGAAGTTGCAGATGATAGCCGCTGATTGATTTAAATTTAAAGGGTGTGATTATGGCGGCGATCGAGAGTCAGTTAAGATTTAAGTGAGATTTCATTTTTCTTTTTTGGATTTTCTTTAATTGAGAATATTATACATCATCTTTACCCCTAGTTACTTGTATTAATCGTTTTCTTTCTCAGATACTAATAGGAGGATAATCTTAGAGTGGGAAACACGTTACAGGATAATCACAGGTGTGGCTCGAGGTCTTCTTTATCTCCATGAAGATTCTCGTTTCAAAGTTATTCATAGGGATCTTAAAGCAAGCAATGTTCTATTGGACGATGCAATGAATCCGAAAATTGCTGATTTTGGATTGGCCAAGTTGTTTGATACAGACCAACCAAGTTCGACTAGGTTTACAGACAGAGTTGCAGGAACCTAGTAAGAAGCTGCCTTAAAACAAAAACAAAAAAGTATAATTTAACTTCTATCAGTTCTGTTAATGAGAAAAAACGAAATTTATTTGGTCCTTGCAGCGGTTACATGGCTCCAGGATATGCAATGAGCGGTTACATGGCTCCAGAACACATTGGTTTGTTATGTGTTCAAGAGAAAGCAGAGAGTAGACCAACAATGGCTTCTGTTGTTGTAATGTTCAATGCAACCTTCGCAACCGGCTTTATACCTAGGAGATGGAGAATCAAGAGGCAACCACATAGGTAGTTAATGAAGAAGCCTGATTCGAACCAGTTGGTTGTTATGTTAAGGTTTGGACTTAAAGTTGATCTGTTTGGTTTGTTAGTGTGTGTGAATGGTGTTTTGGTTTATATACAACTGTTAAAGGATTCTCTCAATTACAATTCTCATTTACCCAAATTGCTTTTACATTAATTCAGGCCAAAACTGTTCTATTTCCCATCTCCCTCTGCCCAGAACTAGTTTCACCATTCTAAGACCAGACAGAGGACTAAGAAAAAAACATAATGAAGAGATGCTTCAGAAGAGCCACCTTTAATTCGCTGATCCTCTTGGCATGTATATTGACTCTCATCTGCCATTGCGATTTTGTGATCAGGAGTTATAAAAGCATTTTGCTTTCAGCCATCATCAGCTACTACTCTTACCATCGTTGGTTGTTGCTCGAGTCTCTGAAACCACCACAGGTGCAGTGGCTGAATAAGTAACCCGATTCGGTTTCCCGGAAGCTCTCTCATCGGATGTCTTACCCCAACAGTTCTTGGCGAGATGTCCTCTCCTCCCACAGTTGTCACAGACGATGGTGACTCTCCCGTCTCTCTCGGGCTCTTTCCTCTTCCAACCTATGCTCTGAGATCCCCTATGCGTTGTTCCAAGGCTCTGCATCCTTTCCATCTGAGAAGACCCCGTGGATGGTCTATACGTAACCCTTTGTGCTCCGTTTCTCAGAAGCTCCTCAGCTTTCACTCGCTCCATCAACATCCAGACCGGTAAGTACTCCTCTTCCATCAGCCTGGTGCTGAAGCCGCTCCACGACGGTGGAAACTTGGAAATGATGGTACTCACGTGAAATGTCTCATCGAGAAACATACCGGCACTCACTATGGAATCCGCAATCTTGTTAACCTCTTGGACTTGCTCAAGAACCGGTCTCTCTTCCACCATTTTGAACTCGATGTACTTTCTGACCTGTGACCTCTTCGAGTTGGATTCCTCACACTGGTAGACCCATTTTAAGTCGTCCCACAGCTCTTTGGCATGCTTGAACTTCTTCAAGTACTGACGGTATAGATGATCTGACAAGGAGTTCAACAAGTGATTGTGGCAGAGGTAATCATCTCTCAACCAATTTTTCTTCGCAGCATCAGCTCCTCTGGGGTTGGTTTCAGGGGCTTGAGAGCTATTGGTAACAGGACAGGGTTCATAGAGAACATAGCTCAGATTCAACTGCTTTAGAAAGAGTTTCATCTGTGATGCCCAGCAAAGATAGTTCCTCCCATCAAAACGTGAAGTCTCGATGATAGAAAAACCGCAAGTGCTGTTGTTATCCACAGCCTCACAAGCATCTCCGTTTTGTTTTGACTCAGAACTGCATAATGTGTAATAAGAGGCCAAGACAGTTAATGCCATGGTGACGAAAAAATAAGAATCTTTATAGACATAAATAATGTTAACATTTCTTACGTTAATTTTGATTGGCAGAGCTTAATACCTTCCTCAATCGCTGTAAAATTCTTCTTGATCACAGACCATTGGTTAGTTGACAAATTAACTCCTGACAGAGAAGAAACATGAAAGCTTTGTCAGTACGAAGTCGACAAAAGTAGTGTCGTGAGTAACACAGCAACAAAAACGAAAAAGGATATTGGCAGAGGAAAGAAATGTTTAGCGTAACCCCATTAGAGAGAACTAGAAGAAATAAGCAAAAGAAGAATCCATGAATAGCAGTGAGAGACACTAAAATGGCTTCATGAAACCAATCAAGAGCTACTCATAGCTTTAGAATCAAGACAAGACACAGAGTTACCTCTAAAAGGCTTTCCATTTTCCTGAGAGCTCTCCCCAATCGATAGAAAAGCTTGGCCCTTGTATTTATGAACCGTCGCATTTCGCCTCTCCGATAACTATAGTGAAAGGCTAAACATTTAGTAAGAGCTTCGAGTCCGTAGCATTTAGCCATTAACATTGTATATCCAAGAGATTAGCAATGATCACTATCTCTGCTCTTCACAGTGAAATCAGACATAGAGAATAGACAAAGTCGCAACCTTACAGATAAAACGTTCATCTTCACCACCAGCGGAAACAGCAGCACCAGAAACTGTCTCTTTATTCGCCGGAGCCACCGTCTCCTGTACAATTGCTTCACCGGGGGCAGTATCGTCGTCGGGATTTGATAGCAAAAAGGCCTCGAGAACATCTCTGACTACATTCTTGTGATTGGTCCTCGACAAGTCGAGACCGAGTTTAGCCGAGGCGGCGATTCGGAGCTTGAACTCAGTCATCTGATCCATGTCGGCTTCTCTGAGTATTCCCTTCACTGTTTCCTCGATTTTCTGTGTAGTAACCATCTCCATAGTTTCCTCAGAATCAAGCAGCGAATTCTCCATGTTCCAAAAAGAAAAGAAAAGAAAATGATTTCGCAGTGGAGAGAATTAATTAATATAGAGCTTTTTGTTGTTGTCCGGCGTTTTATTTAGGGTTCATAAATCGCCGGGGAAAAAGTATGGCCGGAGGGAAAAAAAATAGGTTCCACCGAGAATTGAACTCGGGTTACTAGATTCAGAGTCTAATGTCCTAACCGCTAGACCATGGAACCTCTTGTTGTTAGAACTAAGTTTTAAAATATTATATCTGTGATGGTGGTGATAAGGCCCAATTTACTATAGCTCAGATTGAGGCCATCATCATTTGAAGCAGCCCATTTGGATAGTATTGCCACGTCACTCAAATTCATATCGGAAACGTCGTCTGACGATGAACTGAAACCCCGGTGGTGGTGGTTTTTATATCGGAGACAGAACGTAAGAAGGTGTAAATCGTGAGGGAGAGAGAGTATGGAGAGAAGGAAGGAGAAGCGAATTAGACCAGGCGGTTCCGACGAGTCGAGGATGAAAGAGAAGGATGTTGTGAGCAGAGGATCACCGAAGCTTGGCCGAATCGGAAGAGGAAGAAGAAGAAAACTTGATGGTGGGGAGGTTTCGAAGCAATCTACTCAAAGAGACATGTCTACTACGCCCGATAAGGTTGATTTCTGAACGAGCTTCATTTGGTTTTGTGAGCATCATTTCTGGAAATTTGAACTTCTCGTGCGACTATCACTTGAATGTTCATGATTCCGTGACATTACTTGAATTTCACTTTGTTTGCTTTGGTTGTTAGGACGAACATTTTCTCTTTTTTTCTTTTTGTCATGCTTCAATAATTTAAACTTCAAATTTGTTTTTTTCCTTCTGAATCTCAGATACAAAGTGATAAAGACCCAATTGTCAAGCTCAAACAGTTGCAGTACCGAGAGACGATTTCAACAAAATTTCTCAGAAATGTTAATCTACATTATACCCTACATATGATTTATGACAAAACCCAACTTGCTTAGGATATCAAAGTTATCACATAAAGACTCCTAAGATATACTGCTTGTGCAAAAGCCGTATTAAAAATGCTGATGATCATGAAGGTTAGTATGCAGAATATTTTAAAGATAGTTTGGAAGTATAAAAGAGAGACGACTGTAATTAGAACTCAATCTTTATATTTTTTAATATTTTTATTCCTTTTTTCAAAAAAAATAAATTTAAATATCATTTTGAAAAATGAATAATGTAAAGCTCGTTTTTTTTTCTAAGATCCCCGCAATAAATAAATACTTTATAAGAAACATATCTTTCTAATAAAAGAAAACAGTTATATATTAGAATGAAAACTTATATCATTAGGTTGTTAATATGTAAACTAAATGTTAAATTATTTTAAGGTTAATTTGGTTATAAGGCCCAATTTTAATGGCCCATATCGAGATGATGGCCCAATTTTATCGTTCTGTCTCTTCATCGGAAACAGTCCATCCAAAAATTATCTTCATGTAATTAATTACTCAAGCTTTATATTCCTCAAATTTTATATTCCTTTTTTTTCAAAAACACATCCAACTTCATTATGAAAAAAAATATTAATGTGAAGCTAGAGTAATTATATGAAGAACATAAAAAAATGAAAAAATTTGAAGATTAATCATTTGTGATCCTTTCTGTTGTTTCCCGCAGTTAGTAAACATTCTAATAAAAGAAAACCGTTTTTTATTAAGAAGAAAACTAACAATAAAAAGTATCTCCCCATTAGCTGATGATTATTTTAGTTTAAGCTGAATGAAGAAATGCTTTATTGTGTGGATCAAGAAAGTTAATTACTATTATGGCCCAGGCAGAAACAGAAATGGTAATTAATAACGACCATCCGATCCGTACTTTTAAAAAGAAACGAAAACTGTGGATTGTTGCCACGTCACTCACTCATATCAGAGACGCCGTCTGATGCCTGAGACAGCGATAGATCGGTGGAAAAGAGATCGACGGGAAAACTCCGGTGGTTGCTTCTTTAACGCGGAGGGAGCCGTTATAGGAGGGAGAGAGTGAGAGAGTATGGAGAAAAGGAAGGGGAAGCGAGTTAGATCAGAGGATTCCGACGAGTCAGATCGGGAATGTCTCGGCAAGGAACGGAAATCTGACAAGGTGCGTAGGACGAGGAAGAAAGAGAAGGATGTTGTGAGCAGCGGATCTTCGAATTTAGACCAAATCGGAAGAAGAAGAGGAAGAGGAAGAGGAAGAGAAAGAGGGAAAGGGAGACGAGGACAATCTAATGGTGGAGAGGTCTCGAGGTGGTCTACTCAAAGTGACAAGGTGAATTTGATTTCTGTGATTGAAAGAGCATGGTTTCTAGAATGAGTATGGTTTATTTAACGAGTAAATATGTTTTCGAACACTGATTCTTCCAGGATGATTCTGATGGAACCAGAAAGTATGTGGGGTTGACTTGCCATCATTGCAAAAACTTCACGAGTAAGAGTGAGCTTATCTTCTGTTCTAAGTGTAACAAGAAGTGCTACTGCTATGAATGCATCAAGAGATGGTAAGTATCTGCACACTAGAACGAGCGTATTGTTTGCTTTTTAAAGAGGAGAGCTTGAAATTTCCTAATCATGCTGAATTTCGATAGGTATCCAGAGAGAACGAGTGAGGAAGTTGGAGCTGCATGCCCCTTCTGTGTAGGGAACTGCAACTGCAGAGCTTGTTTGCGTCAACCTTTGGTTGTGAAGGTAATGTTGCTTGAGATCACTCTGTTCATGTGGAAATATACTGAGATGACATGTCTCCTTTATTATGTTTTTTTCCTTCTGAATCTCAGAAACGAAGTGAAAAAGACTCAAATGTCAAGCTCAAGCAGTTGCAGTATCTACTAGTTAAAGTTCTTCCAGTACTTAGAGATATTTATACTGAGCAGAACCGTGAACTAGAGGTTGAAACAACAATTAGAGGTATGGGGTCACTTGTGATATCCTCTCATTTCTTCTTCTTTGTTTCTTATTTTCTACTCACAACCCTGTTTAATTCTAGGAGTCCCTGTGACAGAATCTAATATAAGTTGGTGCAAACTTCACCCGAGTGAACGCATATACTGGTAAATTTTCAAAGCTAGAGGAACTCCTTTGCTTCTTTTCTCTCTTTTTTTTTATTGCTTGGTTGAGACTTCTTCTTTGGAAAACGAACGATACTTAGTCTTCTTGTAACCTTTGCAAATTGCCATTAGGGAGAGAGAACATATTGAATTTATGATCTTGTTAAGTAGTTTCATTAAAGAAACTTCACATGTAGGGGACAAGGGTTCTGCACCTTGCTGAGATAATATATTTTGGGGGTTAATCAATTTTGTCTGGCAACAATTTATGAAAGCGGTTGGTGTCTCTGGAGGAGTTGCTCGTTTAACTTTTTTTCTTTTCTATTATTTTAGGCTATTTACTGTATGTTATATTTCTTTTTAATGTTATTTTAGCATTTAGGATTTCTGTTTTAGTATTTAAACACTTTTAGTTGTAGCCATCAGAAATATTTTATTATCCTACGTTATAGGATTTCCTGTATTTCTATATAGGTATTCCTTAATTTACAAATTTACTATCGTTTATATTTAGTAATTACATTAAAATTTAACTAATCAAAATATATTATATAGCTAGTTTGCTTGAAAGCAGAATTTTCCGCAAATTCGTGAATCCTGTGATAAACTGATAATTACTCAGGTTTTTGGCTGCAAAATGCAAAATAATGTTTACATCGAATAATGAAAACATTTTTTTTGTTCGCAAAATGGTGATTATACTAAAGTTTCGCCTTTTTTTTTTTGCCAAAAATGTATAGTTCCGTTTTCACCAAAAACATGATTCTATATTTTCCTGTTAACTTAAAACGTGATTATGTGTTTTCTCGCCTAAAATAGAGATTTTGTTTTTTTTTTTTCGTTTTTCCGTCGATTACGTGTCTTCCCGCCTAAAACGTCATATTCGGTTTTCCGGCCAAAAATATAAAAAATCATGCTTTCCGTTTAAAACGTGTTTTCATGTTTCAGTTCAGTTGATGCCATATTTTGACTGGCCTTTACCTTTATCTTTGCCTCCTATAAATAACACAGTATGTATTATTCAGCTTGATTGCTACCATCTTAACTTAGCTTAACCTAAGGACATTTGTAACTTCGACCCTTGTATAAGAACTAAGAAGTGAGGACCTTGCATGTTGAATAAAAACACATTTGTTATCTGTTTCTTTGAATTGCATCTCATCCTCGTTTTTTTTTACGGATCATTACGCATTACTCTATGTTTTCTTGTCCGTTTACAATCTCTTCACCCTTGTACGACAGTGACCTCTGCAGCACATCCATCGCCAATTTTCACAGAAACTGTCCGAACCCCGATTGTTCATGCGATATCTGTCTTGCCTGCTGCAAGGAACTAAGAGAAGGTTTCCACGATGAAGCAAAAGACACCGAAGCCTATGTTCCATTGGATTCCTCTAGTTGGAAGCTTAACTCAGACGGTAGCATTCCATGCCCTCCAAAAGAGCGTGGTGGTTGTGGAACTTCAACACTGGAGCTGAGACGCTTGTGCGAATGTGATTGGGTTGAAAATCTGATAACGAATGCAGAGGAAGTTACTCTGCAGTTTAGGCAACCGGATGTGGATATTGCTCACGATTGTTCCTCATGCATTACAAATTCTGATTCCATTAGAAGGCAGGCGGCGTTTAGGGAGAATGCTCATGATAACTTCTTATACTCCCCAAGTGCTGTTGATCTGGCTGAAGACGATATTGCTCATTTTCAGTCGCACTGGATGAGGGCGGAACCTGTTGTCGTCAGAAATGTCCTCGAGAAGACATCTGGACTAAGTTGGGAACCAATGGTCATGTGGAGGGCTTGTAGGGAAATGGATCCAAAGGTTGGATTTAAAGAAGAGGCGAAAACCGTGAAAGCTTTGGATTGCTGGGACTGGAATGAGGTCAGTCAAACCGATCCTATGTGTTTTTAATACTCAAAAGCTAACTCATTAACATCCCTTTGTTTTCTCTTGTAGGTTGAAATAAATATTCATAAGTTTTTTCAAGGCTACTTAGAAGGACGCATGCATCGCAATGGTTGGCCAGAAATGTTGAAATTGAAGGATTGGCCTCCATCAAGCTTATTCGAAGAGCGCCTTCCGAGGCATAATGCTGAGTTTATTGCTGCATTGCCTTTCTTTGATTACACTGACCCAAAGTCTGGTATCCTAAATCTCGCAACAAGACTCCCAGAAGGATTCTTGAAGCCGGATCTTGGACCCAAGACATACATTGCATACGGTTTCCCTGAAGAGCTTGATAGAGGAGATTCTGTGACAAAACTCCATTGTGATATTTCTGACGCGGTACGTGCACCATTTCTTTGGATTTGTGCGAGTTATCATACTGAAACTGAGCTTTTAATTCTTTCTCCCTTTTTTACTTTAGAGATTAATTGTTCTATGAACTTGAGTTAGGTCAATGTTCTTACACACACAGCTCAAGTGGAAATACTTCCCTGGCAATACAAACAAATCAAAGTAGAACAGAGAAACTATGCAAAAGCCCTGTTGCGTAAACAGCAATGCAGTGGTCAAAGGACAGAAGCCAGCGAACTTGAGAACAAGTCGCTGAAAGAAGTGGATGAAGATAAATTCATCATGATTGACCCTATAAAGAATGGGGAGGCTTCAAAAGAATGCAATGGTCTTTTGGGAGAACAGGTTTTAAAGGATAAGGTAGCTAACGAAGAACAATCAAATAGCGGTTCGAGACCGTCCTGCTTACAAGAGACTGATGAAATATTTGTTTCAAAAGGTATCTCAAGAAGCTCCCTCCCATGTCTATGTATAGTAGACATATTACTGATGATAGATGATGGCTTAAAAAATTTCAGGTGACTGTACAAACACTGAAAGAGCTGATCCTATGGAAGGGTCTTCTAGTTCATATTCCTGCACCACTGCTATGGATTCAGGTCATGACCCAAAGGTGGAGTCGGGTCATGATCCAAAGGTGGAGCCGGTTCATGATCCAAAGGTGGAGCCGGTTCGTGATCCAAAAGTGGAGTCGGGTGATCCAAAGGTGGATGCGGGTTTAGTTCCTCAGGAGAATACAACGCTGACAAACGAATCAATTGTTGACGAGAATCATAATGACGTCTGTTTGAAGACAGAGAGATCATCTCCAAACCAAAGAGAAGAAGATGATTCCTCGGTGGAGAATGGACTAATGACGCCAACAGTTCTCCCAACTGCCGCAGAGAATAATCTCCTGCAGCCTGTTCTGTCTCATCCTGTGACGACAACTGCAGAATCCATACAAGAGCAGAAACTGGAAACTCGTAAGGATACTGAGGGCAGTGCCAGTCAGAGCTCAAAGGATGTGCATGGTGGTGCTATCTGGGATATCTTTAGAAGAGAGGATGTTCCAAAACTTATTGAGTTTTTGAAAAGGCACAAGCATGAGTTTCGTCACATCAATAACCAACCTGTGAATTCTGTATGCGTCACCACATCTCTTGTAAATGATTCGTATTGAATTAGTCATTAATATGTGAAAGATCTGGAATTTGATGTTCTGTTTAATTTCAGGTTGTTCACCCAATTCATGACCAGACTTTGTTCTTGAATGAAAGCCAGAAGAAACAGCTGAAGGAGGAATTCGGTAAGATTCTTCTACTTTAGAAGCTGATTTGCTATGGCGAACAGTTTGATATATATGTTTTTTTTTTTTCCAAATGAAGATATAGAACCATGGACATTTGAGCAACACCTCGGCGAAGCAGTTTTCATCCCTGCAGGCTGTCCTCACCAAGTGAGGAATATACAGGTCAGAATCAAGTAACTTTGTATCTTTTTTTTATTCATCAAGATCAGTCATCTTGGCTCAGTCACTGTTCCTTCTTTGCTTCATTAGCATTTAGGCATTGCAAATGTTAATGATCTTAAAATTCAAACTGTTTGCAGTCTTGTATAAAGGTGGCACTAGATTTTGTTGCTCCTGAAAGCTTAGAGGAATGCCTTAGGCTAACACAAGAGTTTCGGGGATTACCAAAAAACCACAGATCCAACGAAGATAAACTAGAGGTACTTTACTTTGTTTGGATATTATGAATCATACCCGAAGGTACAAACAGAGTTTGATGTCAGCTTATGTTAAAACTCTCTGTTAACTATACTTGTCACTGCATTTGTAGCTTAAGAAAATAGTGCTGCATGCTGCGAGCTCAGCAATAGGAGAGGCAAAAGATATAATGCAAAAGACCATGACACTATGAAGCTACTACACAATACAAAGGTAACTATTGTATCTGTAATGTAAGACACCAAGCTCTACATTGTACGGATTGATTTGTCCTCTGTAACATTGTTGTATTTGTAAACTGTTCCTTCGCATTTACTTATTATATACCGTCAAAGAACAAGGCCTGGTCATGAATTGGGTTGAATAAGACCAGAAAACAAACAGAACAACAAAACCAAGATTTTGGTTGGTACACCTTTTTATTGATAATAGAAAAACATCAGTGAGACTTCTTATTCACATTGAAAAAAAAAAATGACAAAGTCAATGACTGTTTGTGAAAAGTAATTCTTTATTAGCATGAAAAAATATTCACGCTTTTGCCCGTTATGAGGGCTGGCCAAGGAACAGGCACGCGAAATTATTAGAAACAAAGAGAAAGAAGCAGCAACGCGCGCAAAAGCCCCCCTTTAGTTCAACGAGACTTTTTTCAAAATTACCCAAGGACGCTTTTAAACTGAGCTATCGATTCAACAGCCTTGTCAAACTCGGTATCCTCCAATGCAAACGTAAACCGGCAGTAACCAGGAATCCCGGTCCAGGAACCGCTGTTCAAGCAAACACCGGTATGGCTGAGAAACACGTCCCTCATATTCGAATCCGTAAGCTCCACTTCTTGTTTGTTGTCTCCTGCTTTCAGCTTTACTGTTTTGTTCAGATAAGCTTTCGGCTTCGCCACCATTGAGATTCCAGCCGCGGGTTCGATAACCTCCCAACCAGAGTTCTCTAGTACCTGTTGAGGAAGATTATATAAAAAAAGGAGTTTATCAAGATTACAACATCATGGGACGATTATGAGATCAACATGAGATGAACACAAAGGAGTACCTCTTTCAAGCGCTTAGATCTGCCCTCCAACGTTTTTATGGTTTCAGAGACGGCATCCAAAAAGTCGCTCGCTTTCTCTTCTTTCAGGGCCAACATTTTTTTAGCCGCATATTTCACAGTGCTGTGAGGTTTGCTCAGGCCTGGGAGGGTGTGGAAGGCATCAACAAGAGACCGATCCAAAACTAGAAACCCGAGTTTCACAGCTCCACTGAGCATGTTCAAGGAGAGACATCCAAGCAGAGAAACCGAAAAGGATGAATCCAATTTCGACAAAGAGCTCTTCAAATCCCAGGTTGTTGAACTGTATTCTAACCCCGAGAACGAAGTATCGATGATGACCTTTGCTCCGAATTTAGCACAAGTAGACAACAATATATCCATCTCCTCGTTGCTGTACACCAAGCCTGTGGGGCTAACCGTTGGTCCAGATATGCAAACCCATGGCTTCTTCACGGACTCGAGCGCTTTCTTTAGAGTCGTCTCCGTCAGCTTAAAGCCATCACTAGACTCAGTAGGGATACTCACAACATTAGCTTTTAAGAATTTGGCAGCAGCAACATATTTCCCGTTTGTGCCAGCGGGTAAACAGAGCGTTCCACCTTCTTGAGCGCAGCAAATGACCAGTTTGTTGAATAGTGCTTGCGAGCCATCGGCATATACAAAGCCTGTGCTGCTTTTCGTTGGAAACCCATAATTACTCCACACAAACTGCGTTATACTTGGGTTGACGTCAACTTCCGCTTCAGATATGTTCTGCCTCACGAAACTTTCGAAGATTGCGGCCTTGACAGATTTTGGTATTGGCAAGAAGCTTTGGTCCACATCCATGTGGATTACAGAAGTGTCATCAACCTCAGTGACTGAAAGCTCAGCATCTTTCAAAACAGAGACGGCTGAGCTTGAAAATCCAATGATCTCTTCAGACTTTGTCTTCTCACTTTCCCTCTACAAGCCACATAACAGAGAAATGAGGATATAAGTTCCAACCCTCATAATAGAAACATTGGTTTATATTTGTTCCACAAACGAGCTTAATCCAGAATTTTTGGTTACTCTTATTGGTCCGGAAATGTAAGGTTTAGGGTGTCATGAAAACAAATCACTAATATGTCTAAGAATTAATCACTTATACCACACACATGGCTTTCAGTTCTTGCAGAGTGGCTTGCCCCTTTTTTTCAAGTAAATACTACTATGCATGTCACAGTCATTGGGCAAAAGCAAATGATTTATCTCACCCTGAAAAAGAATTTAAACAACAAAAGCTAAAACAGATTAAACTACATACCTCCGCTGGGGCATGGCGATCAGCAAGCTGGAAAGCCAGAAGCTCATGGAAAAGGCAACCATAGTAGTATTGACTGATAATAGCAGTATGACCTTCCAATACTTCCACAGTTTTAGACAAGGCCTTAGAAATGCCATCCACTTCTGAGATTACAAAGGCTACTTCTAAATCTGAATAAACCTGCAGAACAGTGACTTGGTATATAAAAGGCATGCCAAAAATTTAAGAGCTTTACGGAAACTATATCTCAATTATATGATATAGAACAGAATGCATGCTCGCCAGCAATGGCGGTTGGAGGAAAACTATACCTTGTTCTTTACCAAACCACAGATAATTGCTGCATGAGAAGGTAGTTGATTTTCAGCGAGATATTTCAGAACCCCATTGGATGCAGGGAGGCTAGACAACTCAAAGTGATCAGATATATCCAAGAAAAGTCGACATCCAATTTCTTTCGTCACTTGCAACAGGTGCAAAAACGATGAACTGGTAATGACCTCAAATTGAGCCATTCCAGTCACGACCACCTGTGGCTTTAGCTTCTTAATTAGTTCTATCATCAGATCAGATTGGTGTGGAGATTCTATGACTGTGATTTGATCATCTGATTCCTCATTGCTCTTGTTCTACAATTGATTAACAAGTTTCAAGTTAGCACATCACACAAAAGAAATCACCCATCAATAAACACACACTTATCTTCAAAATAGTTACTCAAAGAGACACTCAATAAATTTAAAGCGTCATCAGATAAAGTGATGTCTTGTTGCGTAACTTTCAACAGTTACAATACATTAGTAGCGGCACTCAACAAATTCACAGCGACATTAATTTTCTCCTACTTCAGTAACTATTATTTATGTCCAGATCAAGCTAGGACGATATACCCACTCATAACCCAAAACGACACCTTATACGGCATTGGGCATTAGCACTTACATAAATAAAATACATCACTTGCATCATTTGTTCCAAAAATAAAGTTAAAATACTAGCAGTATAAAATACATTTTTACCTCAATGGCTAAAGAGGTTAGCCAGCTCCTCGGAAGTTGGCGAGTCAAATGCTCATCAACAATTGCAAGTCGAGGGGAGAATAACCTAAATGCACTCTCGATTGCCACAGCCCTTGATGGAAACACGACAATGTTCTTGCAAACAAAAAGAAGCAGACTCAGATATGATTGGAACTTCCACTTGGAAGAAGCATTACAGTGCTAAACATTTCATGAGTCCAGGAGTTTCAAGTGTTCTTTTCTAATTCCTTCCACGATATTTTTTGAAAAATGTTTAATGACCCTGAGTTTCATATATCAGCAGTTATAGTGGAAATGCAATATCAGTGTGAATAAGTATTTGCCTGGAACTGTAAGAAAACGGTGAAAAACATAAATTGAGAATAGTCTTACATCCTGATTAATTGGAATACGGTGGTATGTCCTCATAAAGCCTGCAATTAGACTGCAGAATCTTTTGCTGCCAGCTGGAGGCTCAAAGGGAAAATAAGAGCTCTCTTTCAAAACACTAGCAAGATAGGCTAGGAACGGAATTTTCTCATCAGCAACAGCTTCATCTTCAAAAGATAGATCCAGTGAACTGCTGATTTCTTGGAATCCATTTTTCAAGAAGTCAAAGATTATCTTAACCTGTCAATCAAAGCCACTGAATTGATTTTTTTGCTGTTCCATGGTAACATGAATCCATTTACTAAAGAAATATTTTATCTACCCACTTGATTTGGTTGGCGAAGCTGACAACTATAAACCGATAAAGCATGGGAGATTCGTCCACCAGCCTTCCCATAGGCCCATGCTGTTCGAGCACAAATTGGTTGGTCACCAGAAAGTCCCATAAAAAACTCAAAACGGTGAGGGCTGCTCCTCTCAATTTCAACTAACGCCGAGATATCGGTATCTGCAGCCTGTGAACACACATGTCAAGTGCCCATTGTGGAGGAACATGACCTTTCAGAAATAAAATTCTTACCTGAAGTATTTTAGTCTGCCACATCTGCGTTACACGAACTCCTCGCCGCTCAAACAAACGTCTACAGACACCTTGCCCAGGACGACCACCCATGTTGAATATCATAATCCCTGCAGGTTTGATGACAGATATTCCTTCTTCAACGGCTCTGGCAATCAAACCTAAGCCAAATTGATCCTCAACAAAACCCTGAAAATGGATAAAACTTCATCAGGCACAGGAAAAGCATACACAATAACAAAATCTTCAACAGCTGGTCTATCATTTACACCTTTTAGAGTAAATAAAAGCAAGAGAATGTATCATCGCTGGCGACAGAAAAAGAGTGAGTGCTATGTAAGAGAAAAACACTTTCTCCAGTTAATACTCATCCCCAACATGCACAATTTGGTTGTAAATGTGATATGTCAGGCATGCATATGACTGGCTCAATAACGCTAGCAAAAAGCTAAAGGTGAGATTAAGCATGAATTGTGAATAAAAAGAAGCATTGCGGATTAGACAACTCAGTGATTTAACATGAAACTGCATCACACGAGAAGAGTTCTAGGGTGCTAGCTTGCAAATACATTATGGACATTTTCAGAGTAGTTCAGCTGAAAAGAAATTTCCTTACCTGAAGGGCACAATAGTTACTCAGCGAATGGAGAAATTCCTCACTTGCATTTTCTTCTATCATCTTAGACATGGCTTCTGGGTTTGGATTAAGAATCTGCCACAAGAACATAAGATAAACGGAGACGTCAGATTTTAGAAGATTAAAAGTTCTACACATATAAGTAATTGGATATCAGAAGGAGAAAACTACCTGAGGTATGCATCCTACAATTCTCTCGAGCTGAATTTTGTTATCTTTACAATAACCAAGCAAATCAGATTCATAGAATTCCACCCTGTCCAGTAAAGTTTTCTTCTCGTCATCATAGACTGGTTGGCCATTATCATCAAGAGCGTTTAGGTAGAGATTTATCCAAGAAATTTTCACAGCTCTAGGATTAATATCAAGCCCATACACCTGCAAAAACACGTATTAGTGAATTTATATGCTTGACACCTGAATGTTTGGTTACTGTGAAGCATTTTTCATGGTAGATATAACGACACTAGAGTTGTTCCCTATCTAACTAAGACTAAAACATGTTCTTGTGAGACCATAATTGAAAGCTTCAGTAAGTAGTGGAACTTGGATTATAGCGACTGACCTTAGAAGGCAACCACTTAGCAGCTATGGCTATTGATATCCATCCGTTCCCACAACCAAGTTCAGCTATAGTCTTATCCTTGAAGATGGTGTCAGGGTGTCTGTTAAGTCCTTCATAAAATGTGAATGACCAGTCTTCTGGAATAAAAATACTTGGAATGACCATCATGGTTAACTTTTTCCTAGCCTGAAAGCCTGCAAATAAAAAGGAGAGGAAGATAAATCATATATTATTGGTGGTGATATAAGCATCGTTTCATAAGTAATAAGGTTGCCAGTATATCTGATCATGCAGTGTGGGATATATTGCAAGAAAATCCATAGAAAGCATAAAAAATCATAAGCATAGTGACAAATTTAGGATACTTAGGAGTGAAATGAGTAGTTGAGTTTGTCACAAGAAATCGAAACAAAACGACAAAAAATGGCCTCGAAAAGCTAAATTGGCATATAGTATACAGTATGTAGCTAATCCATGGGACAAACAATCCGACGAGATTTGACGCCGGAATTATCCCCCAAATTTCTTGGAAAATCCAAATTGATCATTAAGTCAACCGGTGATCTCGGAATGTAAGATCGGAGAGATCACTCTCAGAAACTCAATCAATACTAAAAAATCAATCAATATTCACAGTCGTATAAACATGTAACTAATAATCCTCAAAAGCGATGGTGAAAACAAAAGTAGATTGGATTCGTCGGCCGATCAAATCGTACCTTCGTATTGATCGAGGAAGATGTCCTGGATATGGAAGTGGTAGGTCTGTAGACACGACTCCGAGGATCCGATGCGCTTGTAGAGGTCGGACAGGAAGATCCGAGCGTCGGATCGAGTAACCGGATCCTCGAGGCGTTCCAGCAAGGAGCGCAAGGCGCCATATGCAGCGTCGCCGGATTCTTTGCACCGATTCAGGAACTCGTCCAGAGAAACGCCCGCCATTCAAAAATAGTTAATTCCTTAGTCAAGAGGAAGATAGTGAAAGTGAAAGTTGGATCTGTGTGGGGGACGCTTTGTGATTGTGAGTCTCTCTGCTCTCACTATGTACATCTATTTTCCTAGGCTGATTATTAAATTAATTTTTATACAAACCAATCATTTGTTTGTTTTTAAAAAGATCGCCGAATATATTCTCTTCTGACTTTTATATACAACTCGCTGTAAAACGACAGCTTTCCCGAAAATTTGGCAAAAATAATGTGTGGACCAAAGATGGGATAAAAGGAGAGTGATTAATTGATTGATAACGAAAGTGATTATCTTGGTGGATTAGTGGAAGCAGTTGAAGCAGCTTAGAACTGATATTGTTATTAGTATTACACATGTGGGTTTATGTTATAGATAACACAACATAAAAGAGAAACTTCAAAGGGGGTATGTTGAGTAGGTTCATTTCTTGGCCAGCAATTTCTTTGGGAGCTTATCGAGTGGTGTGGTTTTGAGAAGAAACAGCCTCGCAGCTCGCTCTTTCAATGTCCCTCCGCATTTTAGTCCACGTGACTGAAGCTCACTCTTCAATCTCTCCATCCCCATTACCTGAAAACCAAACACACAGATGCTGTTTAGTAGTTGATTGATATAAATGATAGTTTCAAAGACATCGTTTTGATTTGAATTTTGCTAATCAGAAAACCATACGTACCTCCATATCTGTTGCTGAATTGAAGTCATCAAAGTTAAGAGGTTCATCGGGTTTGCAGCACACTGCATCAACAACAGACACTGTTTCTTCTTCTCCCACAGCTCCTCCTGTCTTCACTTCAGGATCATTGCCTTGATTATTAACAGCTACAGACGTAACTAACGTTTCACAAGCTGCTTCGATCTGAATTTTTTCGCTTGATTTCTCCTCTTTTACAGTTCGACCCATTGCATCAACAACAGCAGCAGGCGAATCATCATCCTTCTTCTCTAACTTAGGTACATCTGAACTTTGGTGCACTACACTGTCTTTCTCTTCCTCTGAGCTGCTGTTGCAGTAAGCTTTACCAGAACTATCACCATAATGGGCTCCAGCCATAACAGAGCCTGAGCTTTCATCAGTATCCTTATCCGAAACCACCTGGCTACTACTGTTTAGAACAACAGATTTCTCATCTTCCTCATCGCTGCTATCATCACTGTCACTATCATCAACAGCTCTCTTTCCCTTCCTGAAAAAAACAAATACATCATCAAAGACAAGCAGCAGAGATATGAAAAGACCCAAGTGACAAAACACCATCATCAGATATCAGAATGAATACGAGACTACTGAATCACGAAACTCATCCGTAGCATCATCAATTCCAAAAAGAACAAATTTTGCAATCAATCAGCTATCAGAAGCTTGATGAACATAATACTACAAAACACAACGAGCTATGATATCATGAAAATCATGACTTGTTCGTTCTCCTGGAAGAGCATAGTTTTCAATCTCTCACGCAAGCATAGATTGATCAAGTACCTAAACCACGGAAAGATAAAAGGAGATTTATTCATACCATATCTTGAGTCGCTTCGACTTTTCAGATTCTGCATCAATCTTCCCCTTCCTCTTCCCATTCTGGAAAGACTCTTTCAAGGCCAAATCCACCGCCTCGATGCACTTATCAGATTCCTCCTTATACTTTTTCACGTACTTCTGCGTAGCTCCATTTCCAACACCTTGTTTAACTTTCGTCGCCTGCTTCTTTAGAAACTCATGCGCCAATTTCTCCAGCTTCCTCTCCTCTTCCCCTTCCTTCCACTCCTCCAGCCTCTTCTCCGCGTTTACGTGTCTCAACCTCCGCCCACTCATATCCCTACACGCATCGAAGTTGTTTGTCTTCTTCTGCCCAGCCTTCGTCGCCGCACCACGAAGTAGCGATCCGAACCCTCCCTTGCCTCCACGGAGAGAGAGGACGAGATTCACGGTGGCGTCAGGCTGCGAAACCGTGGATCCATCCGAGATCTGATATCCTCCGCATATCAAACGCTGTAGATGCGTCGGAATCTTCGTCTGCTCGAAGATCCGCTGCTTGATCTGGTCGCCATACGCTAACGGAGAGGAAAAAGTTAGGGTTATAGATTTTCCGTCAAGTAGCCGCACGAAAAACTGCAACGGCTTAGATATCTGATCCGCCATCGATAGCGATAATTGAAGCTTGGAAGAAGATGAAGAGAAACCGAAGAGCGAAAGGGGGAAAATTAGAAAAACACGAAGCCCTAAAGTCTCCTCTCTCTACTTGTTGGGCTACGACACTTCCTTTTGGATTTATGACTAAAAGGGCTTTTTTATAGTGGCATCTTCTTATGTCCGTGAATACAATTTTTGTTTTTTGATTTACTAAATAACCAATAAACTTAACATTTATTTACGTAAATGATAAATTTGTAAATTGTAAAACTGTAATTAATTGTTTTCTTAGTTTTTTCATGTTTTCGCCAAAATAGTTTTTTGCGTTTTACATAATCACACTCTATTACTAAAATATGCTATGACATAATCAAATGATGTGTTATTTACTCTAAACAATATGTTATTTTAACTAAATTTATCACATTAAAAAAAAAACATGTCATGTAAAAATGGGTACAACCAACCCAGTTGTAGTCATAATTTTTTTTAATGTGATAAATTTAGTTAAAATAACATATTGTTTAGAGTACAAGAAATATGCTATGACATAATCAAATGATGTGTTGTTTACTCTAAACAATATGTTATTTTAACTAAATTTATCACATTAAAAAAATAACATGTCATGTAAAAATGGGTGTGACAAGTGACAACCAACCCAGTTGTATTCATAAATCTTTTTAAAAAAAAACAAAATCATAACTGTAATCTAATCTATTGTCACTCACAATTCGCATGACATTAAAAGTTTCTATTTTCTTTCGAGTTTCCTTTTGACTTCGCAATAAGTAAAGTTTCCTTTTTCTTTCGAGTAAATTGAGACATAAATATCCTTCGACGATACAATTCACTTTGCTACTTATTACTTAGTACCATCGACGACGAATACTAAAAAAATCTCTGAGAAATCTCACACGAACGCACCGGTTCGGATTCCATTCAACTCGATCGAATTCGAATACCCGTTTCTCCTTCGCCACCTTCTTTTGATCTAATGGCTTCTTCCTCCCAACGGCGCTGCGTTTTCGTTGGGAACATTCCTTACGACGTCACCGAGGAGCAACTCAGAGAAATTTGCGGAGAGGTTGGACCTGTGGTCTCCTTTAGATTAGTCACCGACAGAGAAACCGGAAAACCAAAAGGCTACGGGTTTTGCGAGTACAAGGACGAAGAAACAGCGTTGAGTGCTCTTCGTAATCTCAAGTGTTACCAAATCAATGGCCGTCAATTAAGATTTAACTTTGCCGAGAATGACAAAGGAACTGATCAGAGTCAAGGAGGAGCACCAGGTCTGCCTGCTACCACTGTGACTGAACCTCAAAAGCAAACCGGAGATTCAAATATGCATCAACCGGTTGGTCTCCAACTTGCTATTACAGCTGCATCGGTTATGGCGGGTGCGCTCGGTGGTCCCCAGGCCGGTTCGCAATTTAAGCAAAGTTCGTTGCAGAGTGATCCCCTGACTCTTCATCTTGCCTCCATGTCTAGAACTCAGCTCACCGAGATCATATCCTCCATTAAGTTAATGGCTACACTGAACAAGGAACAAACTCGACAGTTGTTGGCGTCAAGACCTCAGCTGCTAAAAGCTGTTTTCCTGGCACAGGTAATGCTTGGGATTGTGAGCCCACAAGTCTTGCAGACGCCATCTCAAGTTGTTCCTCGGCCACCAGTAATAAACAGACCATCGAAGATGATGAGAGTGCAACTACAAGAGAAAGCGCCTCAGACACATCTCACCCCGGATGTTCAGTCGACGATGCTCCAGCAAGTAATGAACCTTACGCCGGAACAGCTGAGGATGCTGACACCAGAACAACAGCAACAAGTCTTAAAGCTGCAACAAGCGCTCAAGCAAGACCACATGATGCAGCCTTTATAGCATAGAAAGAAAAAAAGAGATTGTACTATTAGTGTAGCATTTATTTGTGCAGAGTTTGTCTTAAAGAAGATTGAGAAAGTTTACAAAGAAAAATTATCTGAACAACTGTGTCCTCTTTTTTCTCTTGTTTTCTGCTTTAACTAAACTGTCCTTCGTTCGTTTTTAACTTTTTATTCTGTGGCCACTGGTTTGGTCATTGGTGAAAATACTTAAGTACTTCAATGAAAAAGAAAAACTGTAATCTAATCTAATTAAGAATTTATGGATAATTAGTATAAATTTCTGCAATTTTGTTTTAGTTGACAATTTACAAGTATTTTTTAAATGTTTCGAATGTCATTTATAGTGAAATCGGGCTCGGAGGGTTTAGGAGGAAGCAAAGGAAGGTTGTTGTGACGCAGATTCCGAAGCGCGTTTGAAGCGAACCGCGACGCGTATAACGTAGCAACCAGGCTCGACGACGACGCAGCGTCCCGTTCGCGTTTTGCGATCACGTCTCGGAACCGATCTTCTTCCTCGGTTAATGACCTGGCCAGTTTTCTCCGGCAATGTCTCCGCCACGCCGCTTGTATGAAAGACGCTCCCCAAGTTCTCCATTGTACCGAATACAGCCTGAAAATTAAAACAGGTCTAAACCGAATTAAACCAAACAGAACCGGTGATCGGAGAAACAGATTGATTGGTAAAGAGACCAAACCTGAAAGTATGTTGAAGCTGTTTGCTATGGAGTCGTCTGAATTGCGAGGCCACAAGCTTGAGATCGTCTGCTGCAAGAGCAAAGGCTTCTACTTCTGTTAAAGCTTGAACCGTTCTCGTCGAGATGGGAAAATGCGACGAAGATTGAGGATCCAATGCCCAAGTGAGAAGATCTTCGCCGCAAAAGTCGCTAGCTTTGAGGTACACGGCGTTGAAGAAACCGGTCCGGCCACCGTTTGTGGTGGCGCTCATCAGTTTTCCTCTCATAACAAACAACATCTCCTCCACTGGATCTCCTTCCCGAATCGCGTAGCTGTTTTCAGTGTAGAGCACTGGTCTTAGCTTGTCACACACGGCGTCTAGCAATTGCTCATCCATTATCTCAAACATTGGTACCTTCACCACAAGAAATTTTATTTGATTCGAGACAAAACAAGTTAACTTGTAATGATCAAAGAGACAAGCTGCGTGCACTTACTTTCTTGAGGAGGTCGAGGCAAAAATGGCGTTTAATGTCTCTCCTGAGGTCTTTAGGAAGATTACGCAAAAGGTTTTCTTCTTCAACTCCTCTGGTTTCTTGCCATTTGTACTGTTCGTACCTTCTGATACGTTTCCTCAGGTCCTCTGGCAACATCCGATGAGCCATCCACTGCTCTGCATCTCTTTTCCTCACTCTCATCTCCTCTTCCCTAACTGTTGTCGATTCCAAGTATTTCTGCATATTCCCGATAAGCAGTGCGAACAAGACTAGTCCAGATATGCAAATCGATACAGCAAAGATGATTTCCCCAACGAATTTGCTCGTGTTGAGGTTCTGTCCCAGTGCACTGCAATGAGAAAAAGCAAGTGATCATCAGATTAGTCGTCTCTGATACATATGTGACTCGTACATTTGCATTAAAAAAATGCTACAAACCTTAGATTACGCAGACCCCACCAGAAGCAGTAGAAGAACTTCTTCCAGAAATCATCTGATTCAACGATCCTACTCTTGAGAGCATCAGTGAAGATGCCAAAGTTAAAGACCGTTGAGTTTGTGATGTCGTCAGGGTTGGTGAACGGGCACGAACTAGGCAAGAAATCATTTATAACATTCCTGTTCTCATCGCAGTATAGCAACCTTAAGTCACATCCCTCTTGTCTCTTTGCGCAAGCTTCGCGCCAGCATCTGTCCTCTCGCTCTACTGCGATTAAGTACCACAATGCTCCAAACACCTACACAAGTAAATCGTCAAATCAACCATTTGAGACGCCTCTTTATGATAACAAAAATAAAGATTTTTTTGTTATCTGATGGTTTTGGGCACACACATGACTTGCTAACATGTAGAGAGAGAGATTCCAAGCAGCTCCAGCCCAAGCTGTTTCAGTAACTATTCCAGATGTTCTTGTTACTTCACTGTAAAGAGGATAAATTCGAAGAATCCTTGGAATGTATTGAGCGAATATGACAGTTATCAGATAGTCCTTAGTGAGCAAAGAGCCCGGCTTGTTCACACTGGGGATAACAGCTAAGACTACAAGCTGCAGAAGAAACGAGGTAACAACATCAAGGAACCATTAAACCATTAGCAACTTAAGGGATCAAAGTAGAGTCATATGTTTACCTGAGGGAGTGGAAGGATAGAAAGAAGATCGATGATGAAGTAGGAGGAGAGGTACTTTATGGCTATGGCTTTAGGATCTTCGACCAACTCTCCTCTTCCGAAAACACGGGAAGAAGGAGAGACATAAGCTGTCCTAAACTGGAACACGATGTGGATAATGTAGAAGGCATCTATAAATGTTCGAAGCAAGCTAGCAGCAATCTCCAAGTTGGAGTGCAGTTTGAGGCAGTGCTTTGCTCCATCAACAATGGGGATATAGAAAAACAATGGATCAATCGCCAGAGCAATCACTGAAGCAAAGAGGAAGATTTTGTTCCAGTTCTGCAGAAAGGAGCCTTGTGGGTTTATGATGTTCTTCTGTGTGCTTGAATCTCTCTTCTTCTGTTCATTCTTATGTGAACCAAAACTCATTGGTTTCTTGATTTTATCTGATCCTTTCTCAAATCCTCTACGAACATTCCTCAAAACTGCGTTTAGAGATGGTCCATACTCTGTGGATAATGCTTCTTCTGAAATCCAATCTCTGAACCTAAACGAAATCATCAGCAAACAATTTTTTTTTGAGAATCTTCTAAAACACAGTGAAAATCTTCAACCATTATAATTTTTAATCATTTCATATCTGGATTGAGACAAAGCAAACAACCTTACACGGTTGTTGTCACGGCCAAAACCCATAAGTCAAGCCCTTGGTTTTCTTCGACAGATCCTGAATCATAAGAGCAGAATTCAATTCTTATGTTAGAAAAGTCCCAAAATCAGACTAAAGCCAACTTTTAAAAAATTCTTCCCTGCAACTATGATGCCTCATTAAAAACAAAAAAATTGAAATTAATCAAAAATTAGAAGATAACTGGCGAGAAAGAGAGAGTAACATATCGAATTTATCTCTTTCATTTGTTATTATGAAGAAGACAGTTACTGAAGATAAAAATTCAAATGAAACGGAGATCATAAATCAAACGATCATCAGAGAAACTTACTAGAACGTCGAAGTAACTGAGCAGAGATTAATAAAATTAGAAGTAATTAACGTTTCTCCGATGAATTCAAACCGGAGATTTGCTAAAACGTAATCTTCTGAAACTTTCTCGCGCAGTCAAAAATACTATTCTTCGTCAAGCTTGGCATGGCGCTGGTGAATAGAGACCCATTTTGCAGTTTCTAGGAAACTGGAGCATTAGAGGACAAAAGAGAGGGAAAGGAAAAATATGCCAATTGAGAAAATAAAATCCTTTTTCGGATTAAATAACAAAATTAAAAAATTATATATACTGGGTCAAAGTAGGGGAGCCTAACACATTTAATGGGCCTATCCTAGACCCATTTATCCTAAAGTCGATATTCAAATCCAACCCACCTGCCTAACTAAACTAAATTCTTCTTCTTCATTTTTCTCTGCGTCGCTCTCTATCCCTCTCTCGCAATCGGAAAACGGCTTCACCGTCCGTTTTCTTAATCCCGGCGTAACTCACCGGCTAAACCATCGGGTTCTTCGTAATTCGAGGTGATTAATCTCTTTCTTTTCTTACTTTCAAGTCATTTTTTTTTCTCTGATCGTTCTTTTTACTTCTTTCGAAGTCAGACATTTTCCCGCCATTTTCCATAAAAGGTTGATTCTACGTTCCGAGGATTCATCGAACAGCGTCAGTTTTCTCGGTTTACGTTTTGAAAATACTCTTCTATGGAGTTTTCGATCATATCTTTTCCATAGTTGCGTATGTTGTGCGTCTCTTTTACTGGAAATTATGTTCATATAAGCTTAGGGTTTTCTTTAGGATTAGTTTAGAATGATGTTTCTTATTTGGTATTTGGTATTCTCAGGCCACCCGGAGAGGAAGATTTTCAATTCCGAGGAATTGTTAATCTCATCTGTGCAAGAATGTCAGATTCAGGTGGACCTAAAACGTCCGAGCAAGAATCTCAACCGTCTGAGCAAGAATCTAACTCGCAACAAGGTGAAATGGCTAAAAACATAAAGAAGAGAACGCTTGATGCAGACGAAGATGAAGATCCGAAAAACCAAAGCTCAAAAAAACCAACAGCGAGGAGGATTCAATTCGAGCGAACAGAGGAAGAATCACTCGAGAAAGAAGGTGATGAATTGCCCATAGCATGTTCCATTTGCAGAGAACCGTTCTTGGATCCTGTTGTAACAAGATGCAAACATTACTTCTGCAAACAATGTGCGCTAAAGGTATATGGTTATTCCCTTAAAACAACATTTTTTCGAGTTTTTCATGATCCATTTCTATAACTTGTGAAAACATGGTGAAACAGAGGTTCCTTCATGGTTATTTGTTTCATGATGCAGCATCACGAGAAGAATATTAATTGTTTCGTGTGTGACAAGGCAACTCTAGGGGTTTTCAACACAGCCGTGGAGATCAAGACAAAAATAGCTGAAGTACGTGAGAAAGCCCAAGGTTTGTTAAAAATCCAGTCTTTCACCGGCCGGTATTCATTTTACGGTTTGACATCATAAACCAACTCTCGATGATGTCTCTCTGTAGCCATGGTGAAGGACGTGTCAACGACGGTGAAAAGGGCGGTGGATTTAGTGAACAACGCGGAGGCCATGTCGGCAGAGTCGGCGAGAATCGTGGAAGAGGTTGAAGCAATAGTGGGAATAGTGTCGGCTTACGGGCCAGGCGCAGCGGCAGACGCAGATCCATCGTCGTGGGATTCGGTTGTAAGACTGGTGGAAAATTTGGAGTTGCTGGCGGCGAGCGCGAGGCAGATGGCGGAGAAGGCGGCGGACATGATGCAAGACGCTAATGCCAAGACGGAGACGGCAAGGGCAGAGATGGCCAAGGCGTTGGTGGTGATGAAGAATGTCAAGTGGAACGTGTAAAAATCGGTAGACGCGGTTCGGTTCAATCCCACGACCACGACTAATCAGAGTTTTTTCCCAATCTTCTTAAGAATATGACTGACTGGTAATTTTTTTTGCACAAACGATATGACAGAGTTTTGACGCGAATTGTTTGATCATAGTTTTCAAGTTTATAGAATATTTTGAAAATTGGAGGGGTATTTGAGATGCGGTTTAATCGATTTGATATCCGGTTTATAAAAGCTTTTGCGTGTGATGTAATGATGACATCAGTTCTTATCCATTCCGGCGCTTTGTGTGGCAGTGTGAGTGTTTTTTTAGTGTGAATCATGATGAGTGATGACTTCAAGCTAAATTCGTCGTAAGATTCTCCCAAGATTCTTATCTACTTTCCAGCAAATCTAAAAGTTACAATACTAATAATTTTGAGATAAGTGTAAATCAGACTTTTTTACAAAATAAATAAATTATATGTTGGGTTTTCTTTTGAAAATTTGTTGCATTCCTCATTTGCATAGATATATCTGAAAAGCTTATTTGGCTGGATAAGAGAGATTTACACGTGTATAAAGTCAAAAGCTAATCCAAAAAAGGTGAGACGACAAACCAATATAACCACGACGCGTAAGCTATTTAAGGGATTTGTCGGTTCAATCGTAAATCCGTTTGGTGGGTAAATATGTCGGTGTGTTCGTTGATTTTTGAGCCCAACCAACCAAAAAAAAAAAAAAAGTATATTAAAACAAAAATCAAAGCTTTTTGCAAAGGCCATAAAAGCTAAGTTCTTCTTCTTTCTATAATCTCCTTTCCTCCAGATTCCCTGACGAAGATAAGAGATTCCAATCGGAAGAGGAGAGATATGGAGGAGATCATCGGAGACGATACAGAGATGTACGGAGCTCTAGTGACGGCCCAATACGCACGGTTGCATCATCGTCACCATTGCAGAGAGAACCAGTGTACCTCTGTTCTCGTCAAATACATTAAAGCCCCTGTTCATCTCGTAAGCGCTTTCAATCTTCTCAGATTCGCCGTGAATTTTAAAACTTTAGCGGATTTAGAATTCCCGATCGTTCAGCTTTTTGTTTTTTTTTTCGATTTCGGCGGCAGATTTAGGGTTCTTGTGCTAACGATGATGTATATATATGTACGTGACTCAGGTTTGGTCACTGGTTCGGAGATTTGATGAGCCGCAGAAGTATAAACCATTTGTAAGCAGATGTACAGTTACTGGTGATCCTGAGATCGGTAGTCTCAGAGAAGTAAATGTCAAATCTGGTCTTCCTGCTACAACCAGTACCGAGAGATTGGAGCAGCTTGATGATGATGCTCGTATCCTTGGTATCAACATCATTGGTGGTGATCACAGGCTCAGGGTGAGTCTATAAACCCCATAAATCTCATAGCTTTTTTGACAGATTCAGATTGTAATGATTCTTCTTTTCTTTTCTGCAGAATTACTCTTCGATCTTGACTGTACATCCTGAGATGATCGATGGGAGGTCAGGAACTATGGTGATTGAATCTTTTGTTGTGGATGTCCCTGAAGGCAACACCAGAGACGATACGTGTTACTTCGTTGAATCACTCATAAAGTGTAACTTGAAGTCCTTGGCTTGCGTCTCTGAAAGATTGTCTGCTCAGGATATAACCAATTCCATCGCCGCCACATTCTGAAAAACGTTCAAATGGATACAGAGAGAAGAATCATACATACCGCAGCATTTGAAGATACTGTTCGATGTGTCGCACTTACAAAACTCAGTGAAGGCAAGGAGGATCCAGTGTGTTTAGAATCTTCCGTTTGAGAAATTCTTTAGTCTGGTCATATATATAGAATCACTCGCTGCGTTGTTCAGATCAGCTACATAGGCCCTTTTGATCCTGTAGTAAAGTTTTGATGTAATTTAGTTTATGGTGTCTGTATTTACGAACCATTGTAAAATAAGAAAACAGAGCTAGTTGGTATGTATCTTTAATCACCAGGAGTCGCTGCAGGAACATTCTCCGTCTCTAAAATGATGAACTCGAGACCCCTCTTGTAAAACAATATCACGGTTTCTCAAAACCGATATGTATTTTGCTACGGTGTGGCAATCAGAACATATACTCGTGTTCTTGACCACTCTTATAGGACCTAAGCCTTTCTTCTTGATGAGTCCATAGGTTATTGCTAACTTCTCTGTATGTCCCATAAGCAACCTCTCTTTCTCTGATTCACTTACGTTCTGGTGTACGCAGCTTGTCTCTGGCACATAACCTGATGTCTTCATCTCAGAGACTAATTTGTACAGCTCAAAGTATATCTCTCCTTCATCAGGATGTGCTCTTCCTTCTGCATAAAACACGTGAACCGTTTGATCAATCCGAATCCAGCTCCACAGATCGTGGACTCTCACTCTGTGATTACTCATCGAGTCCCGTATGCGTTCAACATCTTCCCATCTGTTCAAATCACTGTACACGTTTATCATCATCATGTAGTTAGCTGAATTGTTCGGTTCAAGCACTTGCAGCCTCTTCCAAGCAGCTTCCGCGAGTTCTAAGTCTCTGTGGATCTTACAAGATGAAAGAAACGCACCCCAAATGGTTGCGTCTGGTTTTAATGGCATTGTTTGAATGAAGTCCCAAGCTTCATCAAGATAACCCGACCTCCCGAGCATATCTACCATGCAAGAGCAGTGTTCGATAGTCGGGATAACACCATAATGAGACCTCATAAGATCAAAGTATCTCCACCCTTCACGGACAAGACCTGAGTTCTTACAGACAGACAAGACAGAGGTAAACGTTATAGCATCCGGTTCCATGCCTGCTTCAAGCATCCTATCGAAAACCGCAATACCTTCTTCGCCTTGGCCAAACATGGCATAACCCATGATCATACAGTTCCAAGAAGCTAATCGTTTGTTCTCAATGCCCCAGAAAACCTCAGAGGCACTTAGCAGATCCCCTGATTTTGTGTACATATCTACAAGTGCAGTTGCAACATATGCATCGCTGATCAAATTTTTCCTCAAACAGAAACTGTGAACCTCTTTGCCACTCGATAACAGACTCAAGCAACCTAATATCCTAAGCAAGCTGGATATGGTAGCTGAGTTTGGACAGACACCTTCTTCTTGCATTTGAATGAAAACTCTGAGAGCATTACTGAAGTTTCCATTTTTGGAACATCCCGTTAACATGGCAGTCCACGAAACCACATTAGGCTCCACTCCGTTCTTTTTCATCTTCTCCATCACAGCCAACGCTTTCTCAGTTTTCCCCCAAGTCGCATACCCAGAAACCAGACTGTTCCATGTAACAACATCAGGTTTGATCCCTTCCTTCTCCATTTTACTCATCCAAGCTTCAGCATCTTTTAGCAGACCCGCATACAAAAATCCCGATATGAGCGCGTTATAAGCAACAATGTTCTTCTCATTCATCATATTAAAAACCACCCGGGCGTAAGGCAAGCAGCCAGTTTTCACATACATGTCGATCAATGTGGTTTCTACATACAAATCGTACCAAAGCTGATTTCTTATGACATATCCGTGAATCGCCTTTCCAAGATTAAGAAGCATCGGTTCAGAAACAGCTTGAAGAAGACTAATTATGGAGCTACTGTTTGGCTTCAGGCCAGTATTTCCCATTCTCTTCAATATTGCAATGGCACCTTTGTATAAGCCTTTAAATGCGTGACCTGACAAAAGAGAGTTCCATGTCACTATATCTGGTTTCAAACCACATCTCTCCATTTTGTCAAGTAAACCCATAGCATCATCTACATAACCAAATGCAGTATAACTCGATACAATCGAGTTCCACGAAGATAAATTCCGATCTTTCATCGAATCGAAAACTTTCCTGGATGATTCAAGCTTGCCATTCCTTGAGTACATGACAATCAAGGAGTTACAAACCGAGACGTTTGTCTCAAACCCAAGTCTCAGAACATGGCCATGAATCTGTCTCCCTTCTGCTAAACCTTCTTTGTTGCTACAAACTTGCAAAAGCTTAACCATTGTTCCATCATAAGCCTTTGCAGCAGAAAACTGCATCTCTCTGAACAGCTTCACAGCCTGTTCCCACTTCCCACTGCGCAAATTCACCATCGTGATCTCGTTCCATGCGAGATCATCTCTCTTAGGCATTTCATCGAATATCTTGTTGGCCATATCCGAACTCACACATCTTCCATAGAAACTCATCAATGCAGAAACCACGCGTGTATCTGAATCGTCGAGCCCTCTCTTGATCAAACCGCCGTGGATTGTGAAACCCAAAAACGAATTCTTGAGAACAGTACAAATTCTCAAAACCATAGCGAGAACTACTCCATCGAAATTTACTCCTCTGTTCTGTAGCTGAACAAAATCCTCTAAGACCCTATGCTTCTCTAATCCGAAATTCTCGATCTCTTCCAAGAAATCCCTCCATGAAACTTGATTCTGAGGGAAACCCAGGAAGAAAACAGCACTAGCATACCCAAATTCTCCAAATTCAAGGTAACGAGAGATCAAGCACCTGGCGACGAACTCCAATTCGAATTTATCGAACAGCTTCATAATCCGAGCATGAGTAGCTTTAACAGAAACCAGATTTTTACATCCATTTAGCTCCTTTAACGGATGAAAACTCCCACGGGATAAATGATCCCAACTTGAAGACGACTGTTCCTGAGAAACTGAGATTGGTATAGACTCAGACGACGCATGCTTGATGTCCAGAGAAGAACAGGCCAAAGATTGATTAATACGATTTCTTCGCTGTGACTGATAAAGAAACAGGGAGCTGTAACAATGGCGGAAAGTTACAGAGAGATTCTCCATCCCTTTTTATTCACTCATAATTTCCGGATAAGACACACTATCCGTTATATTTCACTAAAGACTCAAAACGCTGCGTTTTGTGTTTTAAAATTCATTTCCCTGCAGAAGAACACTAGAAAGCAATTACTCAACTAAACACTAAAGATTAATATCATCTCAAGTGTTCTTACAACAAAGCAACAACACACATAAAATTATGAGCTTCCAGAGCTAACTTCAGCTGTTTCATCTTCAAAAATGATACAAGACAAGTAAACATTTTCCATGGAAGTACTAATCTGTAATGATCTACCATTTTTCTCTTGGAGTACCATCAGGGAACACAGGAGCAAGTACTTTCTCTTCCTTCTTTCTAGGGCTACTTGATTTTCTACCTGAAGGACTCAATCCAATCTTCACGCTATCTTCTCCTTCTTCATCTTCATCATCATCAAAGTTAGGAGGCACATCTTCTTCGTCTCCTTCATCACCAGTCCAATCACCTTCATCATCATCGCCACCATCTTCACCTTCCAAGTAACCATCAACATCAGACCATTCTTCATCATCACTTTCCTCCTCCTCCTCACCCTCTGCATCATCGCTTCCATCAATCTGTTCTTCTCCTCCTTCTCCGTCTCTCTTTGGTCCTCCCCTCCTTGGGAATCTCTGTACAGAGACAAGCGCGCGCATCTTCTCTTTCACAAGAGTTAAAGGATCTTTATCAATCAACTCAGAGTTCCTGTAAGCTTCTCTCAAGAAAACCGAATCCCTTTCCCCTTTTAAAGACACGTAGAACAGATCAGGGTGTCTTATGAGCATTCCTCTTAGTTGCTGCGAGAATCTAAACTCCTCACGGAAATGAGTCAAGTGATCCACCAACGTTCTCTTCTCAGTCGTCAAGCTCAAAAGCTCATGAATAACCCCACAAGCATGTTTTTCTTTCTCGAGTGTTCCCGACCTCAAGTGGGAGAAATCCTTGTAAGGAGATACATACGGCATGTCACGGAACTGACTTATCTTCCTCGTCTCACTCTTTGAAAGATTGAGACCCCTCGGAAGCTTAACCCTATTGAACTTAGGTGGCCTATCGATAATCAAATTCCTCTCCTCTGATTCTCTAACCTTATTGTCATCCTCGGATAACTCAGCAGCTGACACTGCAAGCTCAGGATCCCAGTGAGTCAGCTCTAAAGCCGGACCTCTAGGCGTAGGAACCACACGGAAATACTGAGGGTAACGCTGACAAATCGTGTCTCGGAACTCCAAAGGAAGCCCTAAATCAGTCCTCAAATGAGAAATCTTCTCCAACAGAATCCGCTTATCGATCGACATCATCACCAGTTTCCTCAGCTTGACAACTAATACGTCTTCAAGCTCATTCTTAATCTTCATTTCCTCAAGGTAGAGCCTTTCAGCCTCTGATGTCATCTTGAACCTCAATGAGTAAGCGCCTTCTTCAACAATCTCAAACACACCAGGATATTTCCTAAGCAGAGCTATAAACCGACGACGTTTCTTCAAACCCAGATCTCTCCTGTACTTACCCAAACCCCTAAGAGACATCATCCTATCGGGTTGGCTCACGAGAATCTTCCTAATATTCAACACCAATTTCAGTTTCTTGTCCCTTTGCACAACGTTATCGAAAGGAAGCTCTTTCCTTCTCTTCACAGCAGCTCTCACGGGCTCGACGACAACACGGGTTTTCCTCGAAGCGCTCCAAAACCCATATTTGTTCCCCAAAATCAAACCTTCCCCCATAAACTGAGACCTCGCAGCTCGAATCGTGGACATGGGCAAACGGGATTTGACAGAAAGGTGCGGTTTTTCATTGAACGGAGAATTGCAAGAGACAAACAAGGGTTTGTGAGCAGAAAGCAGAAGCTTGGGCTCCATCTCTGAGACGCAAAGCCTGAGAATTTCACCCGAGAAATGTTGAAACTCCCAAGTATAAGAGATTCGACTTCAGAAAATACATAGAAAGACAAAAATCTCACCTTATCCCTTCGGCTCAAGCCACTAGCAGGTTCTCCTGCTGTTTCCTGTCGCGGAGATTTGGATTGGGGTTTAACGATAGTGTCATAAAACCCTCCTTGTTTTCCAATTTTTCATCTCGACGCATCTCTCAGACTCTGATATCCTCTTATTGGTTTTGAACGTAATATTAGATCAGGAATAAGGGTAAATATGGTATTACATTAGACCAAAAACAAATCTCCTTGCATAGCAAACGATGTCGTTTCTTCACTAGTTCTTGCCGCCGTGAGAGTCTCGATGGCGAGGAGGCGGGAGAAACGTTTATCGGCGGCTGAGAATTCGGAACGGCGGAAGAACCAAGACGAGGCAAAACCTCGAGATGATCAACTCGGAGAACAAGACTCGGATCGGAGACTCATCGCCATTTTCGTGATCTTCTTCATAGCCATTCCCACCGTTTCGATGGTCGTGTACAAAGTCAAATTCGCTGATCGAGTCATCCATACGGAATCATCAATACGCCAAAAGGGAATTATTAAAACAGTTATTGATTTCCAAGAAATCCTCACTGTGAGTCCATAGTTTTCACTCAGTGTTGGGAATCCAATCCAAAGCTGGAAACTTTAGGATAAAATTTTCATCGTATGAAATTGTTTCCAGGAACATTCCAAGGCGTCAGAGAATTCATCAACTAGGCACTATGATTATGCAGTGTTAGGATACATTACACCATGGTAGGTTTCTATCGGAACAGGTTTAGATATGAGATATTGAAATTTGCAACTATGAGTACACAAATTGGATTCATATGTTAGAAATGCTGTGCAGGAACTCTAAAGGCTATGATATCGCAAAGATATTCAACTCCAAGTTTACACATTTATCACCGGTATGGTACGACCTGAAGAGGTCAGTAATGAGTTGATTGCCTCTTATCTTCGGGTTTCCAGAAATAGGTAGTGACATTTTCAGTTTATGTTTCGAGCAGCCAAGGATCTGGCTTGGTTTTGGAAGGGAGACATAATGCTGATAAGGGATGGATCCAAGAGCTTCGATCAAGAGGCAATGCAATGGTACTTCAACCTAATTTTCTTCCTTCTCTGTATTGGCCATAGATCGATGTTGATTCTTGATATGTTTTTTCCTTCTTTGATCCCTTTCACGTAGATATTACCAAGAGTTGTTCTAGAAGCATTTCCTGGGGAGCTGCTCAGGAAAAAGAAACTAAGGCAGAAAGCTATCGACCTTATTGTCGCTGAATGCAAGTAAGGGTCTCTGAAAAGGATGAAAGTTTTCACATAGAGCTTGTTAATTTTTGACGCTCCCTTTGTCATCAATTTTTGACTTGAACTCTCTAGGGAAATGGAATATGATGGTATCGTGCTAGAGTCTTGGTCAAGGTGGGCAGCTTATGGCGTTTTGCATGACCCGGACATGCGGAAAATGGTATAGTGTTCGCTAATTTGTGTCTGTCTTACACGCATGGTCACAAGTATTTGACCTTACATGGGGTTTGTGTATTCAATCTTCTAGGCACTGCAATTCGTAAAACAACTTGGAGATACACTTCACTCCACGAGCTCGTGGAGAAGTAAGCATATGCAGTTCATGTATGTCGTTGGTCCAGCTCGTTCAGAGAAGCTCGAAATGTACGATTTTGGGCCAGAGGATCTTCAGTTCTTGCAAGATTCGGTTGATGGGTTCTCTCTTATGACCTATGATTTCTCAAATCCCCAGAACCCTGGTCCTAATGCTCCTCTCAAGTGGATAGATCTCACCCTCAAGCTCCTACTTGGCTCATCCAACAACATAGATTCAAACCTGGCCAGAAAGGTTCTTCTTGGTCTCAACTTTTACGGCAACGATTTTGTAATCTCTGGAGGTATGTGAACCATCCAAGCTTAACTAAGTGGCTTGTTCTCTTCCCGCGTGTTTTTGGGTCAAAACTAACTGAAATAAACTGTTTTCTGTTGAGCAAGATTCAGGAGGCGGAGGAGCAATCACCGGAAGGGATTACCTCGCATTACTCCAGAAACACAAGCCAACTTTCCAGTGGGATAAAGAGAGCGGCGAGCATATTTTCATGTATAGAGATGATAAGAACACCAAGCACGCTGTTTTCTATCCTACATTGATCTCGATCCTTCTACGGCTTGAGAATGCTCGTCTCTGGGGTATTGGCATTTCCATCTGGGAGATCGGACAAGGTTTAGATTATTTCTTTGATCTTTTGTAAGCTTTTTTCATTGCGTCATGTTGTTCTGTTTTCTTAATGTTTTACTTCATCTTCTTTGTTAACTTAAAACAGCTGCTAAGAACTTTTGTGTTCAGTAGATTGCTCTTAAGAGATTTATTGTGTGCATCATCATGACAATAATCATCGGATTCTATACTTGGATGATTGGGGTCACTATGAGAGTCTTTTGTCTTTCTCCAAACTCTGTTTACCTCACACTCTAGTTTTAATACTAAAATTGAATATAAACATGGAAAAACTAAAACAAAATCAACTTTTTCTTCTACAAAATCAATCCATCTACACTATTTTGGTTTATACTAAAGTCACAATTGGGCATATGTATTTGTTTATGTCGTCAAACGACTAGCAATAGCAATATCTTTGAACTCTCGACTTTTGAACTAAAAATGTACTTAACATATTTAGATGTAATTTTTATGCAGAGGCATGTCTGTCTATCTTATGTCCGTGTCTACCTTATGTTGAAAGAAAATATTGGTGTCAAACATAAGTTTTTTTCATTTTTTAGGCATCAATGTTTTACAAATGATAGTTACTGATCTATATATAATTAAATTATATTAATCTAAAAAATAATATGAATTAGTTTTTTTTCAAATCTATATATGAGTTTTAAAAAAAGTTAACAATAAAATAAAAATAATTGTTATTATTAAAAGTTTATCATAAAAAGTTAATAATATAATGAAAATAATTGTTAATATTAAAAAAACTAGCTCATAGATTAATACAGTTTAATGATATATAAACCATTAACTATCATTTCTAAAAAATTGATGGGTCCATATAGTAGATTTAGGACAAATGGGTGATGCGGTGTGTGGGAGTAAGCTGTTCTTGTTTTTCGTCATGTACTGTTAGTCTTCATAGTCTTCACAGCTATTTCCACATCGACAATGATTGATCGTTTTTCGTCATGTTAGTCTCCATAGTCTTCACGGCTATTTCTACACCACCAACAATCATTGATCCCAAAAAGCATTGGAAGGGGCAGTGGTTCGATGCTTGCATCTTTTGGGTATTTGGTTTTAGGAGTTTGTTTACGCTTCACTATCTTGTTGAGAAGAAAGTTACTATTGAACTAGCCACTACTCCAGCTGCACCCGCCGCTCCTCCTGCTCCACTCACTTTGATGCTGATGAACAGGATGAAAGCATGTTTGCTAACATTCTTCTTCATGTTTGCGATCCATGCGATGTTTCTGATCGATCTTAATATGCAGTTGTCAACTGAATTGAATTCAGGTACCACCGAAGATACTAAACAGTAGTAAACACTATGCACGCAATTTCAGAAAGTTCTACTACGTCACCAGTTCCGTACACATTTTAGCATTTCTCATCTTCTACGGCATCGGTGAGGTCGCCATCAAGAAGGTCGACGTCGTCAGATATTCTATTTACGCTGAGTACAGGTCGGTTGTGGTGAAGTCAATGAATAGTAAAGGAGAAATGAATATATAAACGAATGACACATACTTTATTTTACAACTTCATAATAACTGATATTTTTGTATAAAAAAATCCCCATCAAGTCAATCTTGAATTCATCGAGGATTTATGAAAAAATCACAATTAGTAACAAATCGAAGATTGCTATGTTTTGCTAGATGTCTTTGTTTGTGTCAACCACAACAGCAATATCTTTGATCTCTCAACTTTTGAACTGTAATTGTACATAACATATTTTGATGTAATTCTCATGAATTAGCTAGATAAATTTGTATAATCATAATCAAAAGTTTGTGTAATTAAAAAGTTCATCAGATATATAATATATATCGTACATGTACTTTATATATAGACCATTATCCCAATGTTAAACATAATTTTTGTAAGCTATTGGAAATGATTTTGTGAGATATTTATAAAAAATAATCTTATTATTAATTAATTTTTAAAATATTAATATGAAATTGATCCATGTCGTACTGAGTCCATCTATAATATCCAAATTCATCTTTGTAAATAGTAACCATTAGATGTTATATAAACAAGAAAATTAAATCGTAAAATAATAATCTGTAATAAAATTTGGATCATTGTTGATCTTTTGGATCCAGGTTTTATTGTAATTCGTTATTTTATAATTTAATTTTCTTGGTAACATTTTATCTAAAATATTCAACCGTCGCTATTTGAAAATTAAAGATACGAAGAAATCAGTGATGAAAGCAACTACTGCAACTACCATCAAACCGTATTCCACAGTTATCCAGGTTTTGATGTAGTAGGTTTCGATTAGTGACATATAATATTAAAATTAAGTTATAGTTGATATTATAATTTGATGTAAGTTGCAGTAAATTATGTGATAAAAATAAAAGAATTATATGGTAAATTTGCTGTAAAAATTTGAGTTTATATTTTTATTAAAATACTGATTAATAACTTTTCTGGTATATAAATTGCAGTATGTATTATTTAAAATTAAATTAAATAAAAATATAAAAAATAATACTTTTTATAAATTATCTATATATAATAGCAAAATAATTTTTTTGAACTGCTGATGTCATATTTTTTGTAGAAAAAAAATAAAAAATCTAACGGTTACCGTTGTTTTGATTAGTTTTGATTTGAAAATTTAATGGCTAGGATTTGACTGCTGACATCATTCTCTAAATGTTAAAAAAAATGTAGATATAATCTGAACAGACACATAGTTAAAACATTGCAACTTTATACTTAAAACATTGCAACTTTACGAACCATTGTGACTTTTCGTTTTGGTTGCTAAAAAAAAAATTAATCAAATGGTTAACAATCTTTGTTTCCAGATATAACGATTAAGATTAGATTTATTATGTATGCCTAACATATACATATTGAAAATCTATTGCAACTGGTAAAATGAATATTTGCAACCATTTCGGTTACTAACCATTGCAATTGTTCGGTGACTAAACATTGCACCAGTTGATGATCAATCATGGCACCCTAATCAACCATTGTAATCTTTGGAGGTGACATTTGGTTTCCTATAAAAGGAGTTGTGGGCATTGCAGAAAACAGAAAACAAATTGAAGTAAAGAAAGATAGAAAGAAAGTAAGAGAGAGATTAACTATTCCAAAAGATCATAAACATTTCCTGGAAAAATACATATCATAATTTCGATTACTATCCTACAATTAATCAAATGGTTAACAATCTTTGTTTCCAGATATAACGATTAAGATTAGATTTATTATGTATGCCTAACATATACATATTAAAAATCTATTGCAACTGGTAAAATGAATATTTGCAACCATTTCGGTTACTAACCATTGCAATTGTTCGGTGACTAAACATTGCACCAGTTGATGATCAATCATGGCACCCTAATCAACCATTGTAATCTTTTGAAGTGACCTTTGGTTTTCTATAAAAGGAGTTGTGGGCATTTTAGAAAACAGAAAACAAATTGAAGTAAAGAAAGATAGAAAGAAAGTAAGAGAGAGATTAACTATTCCAAAAGATCATAAAATTTCCTGGAAAAATACATATCATAATTTCGATTACTATCCTACAATTAATCTAATGGTTAACAATCTTTATTTCCAGATTTAACGGTTAAGATTAGATTTATTATGTCTGCCTAACATATACATATTGAAAAACTGTTGCAACTGGTAAAATGAATATTTGCAACCATTTCGGTTACTAACCATTGCAATTGTTTGGTGACTAATCATTGCACCAGTTGATGATCAATCATTGCACCCTAATCAACCGTTGTAATCTTTGGAAGTGACCTTTGGTTTCTTTAAAAGGAGTTGTGGGCATTGCAGAAAACAGAAAACAAATTGAAGCAAAGAAAGATAGAAAGAAAGTAAGAGAGAGTTTAACTATTCCAAAAGATCATAAACATATTTTGGAAAAACACATATCATAATTTCGATTACTGTGTTTTATCCTACAAGGGTTTTTGACTAATTCAAAGCTTGATAAATGTTGAAATACTCTTTAAGGAAAGTATCATTGTGCAAGGTTTAATCATCAAGTTTATCATAACAGAAGATGTATGTATTCCAAAAACACAAATCAAATTGTTTTTTAATGCATCCGGAAGTTGAATACGAATATAATGAAAATATAAATATTGGGATGCCAGAATTTTATAACGAATGAGGTATTAATTTTAATTGTTATTTTTATGGATTTAAGTTTTATTTGTGTTATTATAAATTTTTATTCTTATTTTTATTTTATTTTATATTATTTTAGGATGTCCATTAAAAATTAAAGATGTAAGTATTTACACATCTTTTATTATATATATAAATAGATTATTATAATAATATGGTATATAATCTTAATATCATAAAAATTAATATTAAATTTACTATTATTTCAGAATGTGTAAATATGCTAATGGATGTTGAAAGATCTGAAGCAATTGGTAGAGAAAGTTACAATGCTCTATTCTTTAATAGTTTGTTTAAATAAACTTCAATTACTAATTAATAATTAATTTAAATTATTTTCTTAAGTAATATTTATTTTCTGAAAAAATACGTTTTTTAAACCTTATGTTGACGGGTGAACTATTTTCAAATCTTTTATTTTCTTTCTGGTGAAGTATATTATTTTAGAATTCTAATTAATCATCTAAAAAAACCTACAAGTTTTGAAGATATGTTAACTGTAAATAGAAAAGAATATAAAAAATTTCAAAAAACATATGTTACTCATGTATTTTTTATAAAATTCTAATTTTAATTATTTGACGCGCAGGTTTATTTCTTAATAATAATAAAATTGAATAAAGAAATGAATACTAATTTGAAATTCATCAAACTAGACACATATTTTAGATAATAATAAGAAACTGGTAAGATTCCGATAGAAATGATCAAGTGAAACGGAAGGTTGTTAGAAATAAAACGAGATATTTCTCTCTGATATCATATTAGTAAAATACTCTCATTTCATTAATTGAATAAAAACATTACAATTGAGGGTTTATATATATTTGACCAGGCCTAAACCAAAGCCACTAAACCAAACCAACTCTTTTTACAATTGAACCAATGATACGTTTCATCGAAGATCTTGCTGGCCTTATCCGAACTCACTCATCATCCATAGAAACTCATCAATGCAGAAACCACACGTGTATCTGAATCATCTAGCCCTCTCTTGATCAAACCGCCATGGATAGTGAAATCCAAAAACGGATTCGTTAGAGCAGTACAGATTCTCAAAACCATAGCGAGAACTACTCCATCGAAATTTACTCCTCTGTTCTGTAGCTGAACAAAATCATCTAAGACTCTAGCAAATTGGATTCATATGCTAGAGAAGCTGTGCATGAACTCTAAAAAGGCTATGATATCGCAACGATATTCAACTCCAAGTTTACATATCTATCACCGGTATGGTACGACCTGAAGAGGTCGGTTAAGTGATTGCCTCTTATCTTCGGGTTTCCAGAAATATAGGTAGTGACATTTTAGGTTTCTGTTTCTAGCAGCCAAGGATCAGGCTTGGTTTTGGAAGGGAGACAAGAGCTTCGATCAAGCGGCAATGCAATGGTACTTCAATGCTGATATTGGCCAGAGAGCGATTTTGATTCTTGATATGCAAGTGGTCTTGTAAAGGTTCATGCTCACTGAAAAGGATGAAAGTTTTCACAGAGCTTGCTTGTTAATGTTTGTCATCAATTTTAACCAAGACATGATCAAGAGGCATCTCATCCGAAATGCCACGTGTCAAGCAAGTGGTGGCTAAAATTGATTACACAGTCCACGTCAGCTTACCAGAAACGGCTACAGGCTTGTCCTCCTCACACTTTTTCTTCCACTGCTTCTTTTCTCCTTAATCTTTCTTAATGATACGGAGAGGACAATTCTTGGTGTAGCGAGAGATAGAGAGAGAGAGACATGGAAGCTCTGAAAACTGCTAGCTTCAGCCCTATCTCGGCTCTATCGGAGAAGAGATCAGAACCACGAAAGCCCTTCTCGCTCCCTAACCTCTTTCCACCGAAATCAGCAAAACCAATCTCCCAAGAAAGCTTCTTCAGGAGCTTCAATGGCGGATTGGCTCTTCTGACCTCTGTTCTAAGCAGTGCAGCCGCTCCTGCCAAATCCCTGACGTACGAGGAAGCTCTGCAACAATCTATGACCGCTCCTTCATCTTTTGATTCAGACGGCTTGATCGATGGGATATCAAGTTTCGTCACGGACAATCCTCTGGTTATCGCCGGTGGGTTTGCTGCATTTGCTGTTCCGTTTGTTCTGTCTCAGGTTCTGAACAAAAAGCCCAAATCTTTTGGGGTTGAGTCTGCTAAGAATGCTTACACCAAGTTGGGTACTGACGAAAATGCTCAGTTGCTTGACATAAGAGCCACTCCTGATCTCAGACAAGTGGGCAGTCCTAATATTAAGGGTTTAGGTAAAAAGACGGTTTCTACTGTTTATAACGGAGAAGACAAGCCTGGTTTCTTGAAGAAGCTCTCCTTGAAGTTTAAAGATCCTGAGAATACCACATTGTTCATTCTGGACAAGTAAGGCTCTCGGAATCTAAAAGTTTCTCTCTTTTTGTTGTTTTGGGATGATGAAAGCTACAAATACTGCTGAGTGACTTATATCTTCTCATATTATTGAATTATAGTTGCAGCTTTTACTTCATTCGAACTTGAGTAGTGATAATCATAACGGTTGTTTGTACATGAGATACAATGTTACAGTTGGAGAGAAATTGAGAAGCATTCACACATTTGTTTTCATTGTTCAGAAGTTTAACACAGTCTAATTCTTTGAATGGAAAGCCAGGTTTGATGGAAACTCCGAGCTTGTTGCTGAATTGGTGGCTCTTAATGGATTCAAATCTGCTTACGCTATCAAAGATGGAGCAGAGGGACCTAGAGGCTGGTTGGTCGGTGCTTCATTCCCACAATGCTTGTTTGTTTAAATGTTTTTTTATTTGATTTATTTCACAATTGTGAATCTTTGTTTTCTTTTCTGGTTTTCAGAATAGCGGTTTGCCTTGGGTAGAGCCAAAGAAGACTCTCAGTCTTGACTTGAGCAGTTTGACGGATAGTATCAGCGGTGTGTTTGGTGTGAGTATCCAATTTTATTATACATTCATCAAGTTTCCACAACATTAATCAAGAAATGATTTATAAGAAGAGATATATTATATATGTATGTACAGGAGAGTTCTGATGGTGTCTCTGTTGCTATTGGAGTAGCTGCTGCTGCTGGATTAAGTGTTTTAGCATTCTCAGAGGTCCGTTTTTCGGTTTTTTTTATCTCTCTTTTCTCCATCTTCTTGTCTCCAGTAAATGTTGGTAGTAAAAAATCTCATCTCTGTCATCATCTCAACAGATTGAAACCATACTCCAACTACTAGGTTCAGCTGCACTTGTTCAGCTTGCAGGCAAGAAACTTCTATTTGCTGAGGTGAGTTCTTCTTTCAACCGAGATTTCGGATTCAATTCGAATTATCGGAATGTGTTGTTGATGGTTCTTCTATGTATCTGTATACAGGACCGAAAGCAAACTCTAAAACAAGTGGATGAGTTCTTGAACACAAAGGTTGCCCCTAAAGAACTTGTTGATGAATTAAAGGTAAGTAAATTTAAATATCTCCATTAGTAATGAAACCATTTCTATAGATAATAGTTCAACATTTGGATAACAGGAAATAGGAAAGGCTCTTCTCCCTGCATCAACAAGCACCAAAGCTCTTCCCTCACCAGCAACAGTAGCACCAGAAGCAGCAGCTACAACCACAGTAGCAGCAACGGTAGCACCAGAAGCAGCAGCTACAACCACCACCATCGATAAACCAGAACCTGAGCCAGAGACAAAGCCAGAGCCAGAGCCAGAGCCTGAGCCAGTGGTCGAAGCCACCACTGCACAAGCAGTCTCAGAGCCAGTGGTCGAAGCCGTCACTGCACAAGCAATCACAGAACCAACCAAAACAGAAGCGAAACCAAAATCATATTCAAGACCTCTCTCTCCATATGCATCGGTGATGTTTCTACATTCTCCCGAACGTTCTTTTACATCATCTAGCATACATTGATCCTTGAAAGAAGTAACTTTTTTTTTGGTTTCAGTTGTTCTTACATGAGTTTTTGTGTAATCTGATGTCTTTCTTCTTCACTCTTTTGCAGTACCCTGACTTGAAGCCTCCAGCATCTCCGACACCATCGCAGCCCTGAAAAAAAATCTTATAAAGAAGCATCCTTTGTACTCACTCTGGCTTTTTCTCCTGCGAACAGAATAACAATATTGGTCGAGTCTTGTATCTTCTTCTTTTTCTGTTTTATTTCTTTTCTTGGAGAACTTAGACGCTACCTTCTGTCGAATAAGTGTACTCAGTTTCTTTTTTTTTTTTTTTTCCTTTATACCGCCATTGATGCTGAGCTAAAGAGCTTAAGTTCAAATAATCGTTGACCAAGTCAAATATATGATTTTGCGCTAATTGTTACAATAAGAAGGGTCAGCCCATATTAGGCCCGGCCCATAGTAGGAAAGGAATTGAATAGAACCAAACTTCTTTTTTCTTAACTTAAACAGAACCCCCCACTTTCTCTCGCTTAAGGTAGTAGATTAGTGGATTCCCTATAGCGAAAAAGGTTAAAGGCTTAGTGAAAAAGTTTGATAATATACCTTAGCATAATACCTATCCGGAATCAATGTTTTCTTTACAAATGCATCTAATAGGTGTTGAGTTTTAACTGATTATCAAATTGATGTGTAGCTAGTTGAATGACCTTAATTATTCGGCATCTAATGTGTGTTGAGTTTTAACTGGTTATTTTCATCATTAAGCTTAATTAATGAGTATGTCTAATGTTCAATAAATTGAACAATTAATACTTTCCGACACTAGACAACTATTTATACAAAAATAGAGTTTACATAACATGAAAATATGATCCCAAAACATGTCTCTTTAAGCTGTGTCAGTACAAGATATGAAATTATAGGTTGGGGTTCTTCGTCCGTTCGTCTTAAATCATGCAAAAATAGTCCTAAATTGGCTTTAAGCCAAAAATTGTGGTCCTAACAACTAGCCACGTGTCGTCTATTCGTTACAACTGCTTTATTGGTTCAGTTTTTTCAACACTATTAAAACCTAACCACTTTTTATATACCGTTAAATTATAATAAACATAAGAATAAATGACACATTATACAATGGGAAATATATAAATGTACAAGTGCACAAAGGGAATAAAAGGGAATATCCCCAACGCAAATTTTTATTTTATTTCCTCCCTAGCAAACTTTCAACTTAACCTTTTTCAATTTTCAGTGCTAACAATATATTAATATGAATTCGGAGTTTTATTTTCAGAGGAGTAAGAGAAAAGTAAAATTTTGTGTGATGACAATTTTATAAAGGTGGTCCAATATCTTAATTACGAATGGCGATTGTTTAACGATTACTTTTTATTCATTTTGAATTCAAAGAACAGTAGGGTTGCCATCGATTTTTATTTATTTTGGTAATTAAGATCGATGTATATGGATGTTATCGTAGTTTCTTAGATCACGGTCTTGTTGGATTTCCATAAAATGAAAAAGTTGACATAATTTTGTCGTATGAAAGAATGATTAACCATTTGTTGTGATTTGTGAACTTTAAAGCATTACTATTATACGACTTGTTTACTAAACTTATGTTCCAAAGAATGACAACGGTAAATGAAGTTACGGGTGCATGTGGTTTTTATTGGTTAGCAATAATAAAAACAAAACCAGACCAATATCGTTTATTACTTAATTCGGTTGCTATAAATAGAAAGGATGGTTGTTGTGCTTCCTCTCAAAAACTCTCTCTCTCTCTCTCTCTCTCTCTGCTTGTGTGTTCTTCTTCTTACTCTCACGTCCATAACGTTAATACGGTGCCGTCTGTTATGGATAAGCATCTCAGGACGAAGCAGTCCAAGACCAACCCCATTGTTGCTTCTTCTTCGTCTGAAGGTAAGCTGAAAACATGATAAAACGTCGTCGTTTTAACTATTTCGTATTTCTATATTTTGAAAAATGTGATTTTTTGGTGATGACGTGAAACAGAAGTGAGTAGTCTTGAGTGGGAAGCTGTAAACATGAATCAAGAAGAAGAAGATTTGGTCTGTAGAATGCATAAGCTTGTTGGTGACAGGTTTGATCCTTTTATTATTATTACTTATTACCGACTACAAATTTCGACGTTATTTTGTAGGGAAAATAGTTTATTTCACCCTAAAAGATTAATTTGTGTTATTTCCTTTATTTGATGAAAGGTGGGAACTGATAGCTGGGAGGATCCCAGGAAGAACGGCTGAAGAAATTGAGAGGTTTTGGGTCATGAAGAATAGTAATTGAATTTCTCTCAAGTTTCACTGATTAGTTAAATTATATTTTAAATTTACCAACTCTGTAATAAGAAGATTTCTCAAAATAATTAACAAAATCCTTATAACATTTTTCTCTATAGGCTTATAATATTTGGGCCTTCCAGGAGAAGAAAGAAACATAGTTGGACTTCTTCTAAGAACAAAAGACCTAGCGTGATGCATAGGCCCAAAGTGAAAATTTACTACTAATACAAAAAAATGTTGATTATATAGGAAGTAAAATTACTATTCACTAGGTATTTACCCGCGCTACGCTGCAAAATATTTTTCTAAATTTTATATATATTTTTAATATAATAAAATTATTTTTGTAATGTAAATGAGTATTTTTTATTTTTTAGTAGCTTAAGTTATATATTTATATATTTTTAATCTGAATAAACATTGTATATCCTTAATTTTTTTACTTTTTAAAATTATAAATAACTATTAAATTTGTTTAGCTAACTAACTATAAATGTATATATAAGAATAAAACAATATATTTTTAAGTACTTTCATGGTAATGGTAAATATAATATATTTTCTCCACTAAATTGCCACTTGATCCTTCGTTGTAATTATGTAAAGCAAAATGCCATTTAAAAACAATTTTATTAATTAATATGATTATTTTGAAGTACAAAATTTATTTATTTATCAAATATTTATTATAAACATATGTTTCTAAAACCACCAAACTATAATTAATAACATTCATATTAAAACCATTGTTGTTGCTTTTGAGCCAAACAGAAAATTCTATTTAAACTCTTGAACTTTCGATTTAGTTGAAGTTAAATAATTAAATTTTGGTTACTGTAAACATATTGTAACTTAAAATTTTAGTAAAGAAAAGTTTCATCTTCTTACAAAAACTGAAAAATCGCATCTCTCGTCAAAACAAAAAACTACATATTCCTACGAAAACTGAGAAATCACATATTCCCGCCAAAACCAAAAAAATTTATTTTATCGTCAAACATAAAATTTTATTTTCCCACTGAAACAGAGAAATTGTATTTTCTCGGAAAAACCAAGAAACCACATTTTTCCGCGAGAGACTGTGTTTTTCCGCCAAAACCGAGAAATTACGTTTTTTCACCAAAACCAAAAAATTTCATCTTCATACAAAACCCAAAAATCGTATTTTCCCGTCAAAACCGAAAAGTTCATTTTCCCGCAGAAACCGAGAAATCGTCTATTCCCACCAAAACCAAATAATTTATTTTCTCGTCAATCTAAAAACTACGCTTTCCGACAAAAAACCAATAAACTACAATTTCTCGCGAAAACCAAAACTTAAATTATCTCTTGAGAAATTTTTTTTCCATGGAAACCAAAAAATCGCATTATTTGTCAAAAACTGAAAATGTACATTTCCCATCAAAACCGAGAAATTGCAATTTCTCTCGAAAACTAAGAAAACTCATTTTCCCGCAAAAATCAATAAATCATATTATCCATCAAAAGTCAAAAATTTGTGTTTCCTATCAAAACAGAGAAATCACATTTTTTAGTCAAAATTGAAAAGTTGCATTCAACCGAAAATCACAATTTCACGTTAAAATTAAGATATTTTGTTTTATTGTCAAAATCAAAATTTTTTTTGTTTTCTTACCAAAACTGAAAATTCACATTTTCACGCTAAACCCGAGAATTCGCTTTTCCCACCATAACCGAAAATTATGTTTTCTTACTAAAACTAAAAATCACAATTTTTTACCGAAACCAAGAAATTCCCTATTTCCGCCTAACTGATAAATTTCCTATTCCCGCCAATGCCAAGAAAAATTATTTTCTCGTCAAACCGAGATATCGTATTTTCCTAACAAAACTGAGAAATTGCATTTTTCCGCTAAAATCGTCAAAATCGCATTTTCTCAAAAAACTGTGAAATTGTATTTTCCTGCGAAAAGTCAGCCAAAGGTTGAACTATATTAGGATAATAATTTGGGAATCTTTCTACCTAAAAAGAAAGCAAAATAATTATCAAACTTAAAACTAAAAGATTATTTTTTGAGAAAGTAAACTAAAAAATTGCTAGTAGTATCTTGTTGTTTATCCATATTTCTTTAAAAAGAAGAACGCATAAATCCGATGCAGCAGGCCGAGTAATAAAATAAGATTGAGGAGACCTGATATTTAATGATAATTTGAAAGAAAAAGAGAGAAATTTTGTTTTGTTTTAAATAATTATTTATATCAAAGGATCTTATGGGCTTTCAAATATAATGGGTTTTATTTAGTTGTTAATCTTAGATAAAATTTTTGACCCAAATGAATTGAAAGTTTTTTTTAAATGAGCTGTATTAATAAAATATTCTTATTGATTGATTTTTTGCTGAGATGTCATGTTGAGAAAGCCTGAAAAAGCTTAAGTATCATCACCTGGTGAGACTTATGGGTTATTGTTATGTTGTTTCATTCTACATTCTAGAAGGAAAGTTGTAGAAATGTGCAATTTCCACCATTGCCTAAAAGGCTAAAACGCTTGACACGTTGGAAATAGTAAATAACCTACCTCAAAACAAAAGTGGACGTCGTTTTATGACTCATAAAACGACATGCTGTCTTCAGGTCCCACTCATGTGTTTATCTTTGTCGTGTAACGCTATTTCACCTACTCCACACACACTTGTTTTCTTCTTCATCCACTTCTGAGTTTTTATTTCTTTAGAGTTTCATCGGTTTCCACTAATTGGACGGTTTAAAAACAAAACGCATATCACGTTACCAACCAAACAAATGGTCGATAGTTTCTTCCAGGTGAAACTAACGGTTATTTGTAAAGCCATAAAAAAAACTATTTATACATTTTAAAAAAAACAAATATTAACCACTTACTACAATCTTTAATGCTATTGAAAAAAACTCCATTCAACCCATTTTAGTCATCAACTTTAAATTTCAGCCAAAACGTCTACTACAATTCAACCCTACGAGAAGTTTAAACCTTAGATCATGATACTATATATTTTCTTTAAATATCATTAACTGCGCCATCTTCTTCTTTGCACCGTGCATCTAAAACTTAGTTACCAATAAATCAAAAGCCAAAACCATTTACAAATAAAAGTTGCAAACAAAAGTATAACATTCATACGTACACAAACACAATTGCACATATCACACCGTTTGATTATACAGATCTTCACATTAGACGACACATGAATATTCTCATGAGTGGTTGCCATTCTGCACTAACTCTCTTTGGTGGGCTTTCCACTTCAATGCCACAAGACTAAGTGCCTTTGTAGAAGACCCATCATCACTCAGCACCTTTCTGGCTCCTTCCTTCATTTCCTTCATCTTGTTCCTCACACCTTTGCCTTCTTCACCTTCCATTAATCCCTTAACCACTCTAGTTACCTCTTCTCTTCTCACCACCCCATCGTCCCCTGCACGCGCCCTAAGTGCAACATGAACATCTTCGACCAACAAAACCGCATTCATCCTCTGTTCAGCGTACAACGGCCATGCTATGAGTGGAACACCGCTTACTATACTTTCTAGAGTCGAGTTCCATCCACAATGAGTCAAAAACCCTCCTGTCGATGGATGAGCTAAAACTTGGGCTTGTGGAGCCCATGAAGGTAGCACGAAGCCTCTCCCTTTAGTGCGTTCTAAGAATCCGGGTGGTAAAAACGCTAACGGATCGGTTTGGCTATGTGGATCGAAGAACGAAGCATCAGCAATTTGGCTCGGACTCCGTACGACCCAAAGAAACCGTTGCTCGCTGTCTGCGAGACCAAGAGCAAGCTCTTTAAACTGCTCATGTGTGAGTGCACCGCCACTACCAAATGACACATACAAAACCGAACCAAGCGGTTGGTTATCCAACCACTTTAAACATTCCGACTCTTGCTTTCCAATGTTGCTCTCTTCCTTACCAATGTTAACCAACGGTCCAATCGGATAAACCGGTGGTTTATCAAGACCCGGTTTTTGCAAGGCCTTTATAGCATCTGGCTCTAGCTCGAGAAAGGTGTTCACAAGAATCCCTTCAGCTTCTTTGTACCTCTTGGTGTTGTGGAGAAGCCATTTGTACGCGTCATCTTTCCGGTCTTGGACCGGGTCAAGGAAATCTTTACCGGAGAGCGGTACACATCCAGGGAGCTTAACCGGTTCGGTTAATTCACTGAACGCACACGACACCGTTTCGTCAAGTTTAGGCAAATGGAGAAAAAACGACAAGACGTTGGCAGTTGATGGGAAGAAAATATACGGCGACACGTGGAATTCGACCGCGACGTCGAAAGCGTCCGTACCGAAAAGATCGACGAAGAGCGCCGTCGGCAAACGACCCTCCGCCGCGAAAGTCTCAAAAACTCGTCGGAGCTCCGGGTTCGAACGACTCACGGTGAGCGAGATCCGAGTTTCGATGCGAGTCGTCGGAGGGCGGTCGGTGAGATCGGCGGGAGGGAGAAAGACGGAGGCGATTGAAGAAGGGAGGGAGTTGAGGACGGTTCTCTGAGCTTTTGACGGTGGACCTTCGCCGACGACGATAAAAGTTACGGTGAAGCCATGGCGGTGCACTAGTCGTTTAGCGAACTGGACGAGTGGGATTAGGTGACCCATTCCCGGACTCGGAATTATCGCAACGTGAGGCGCTTTTGATTCTTCCATTGATGCAAAGCTTCAAAGTTTCTTTTTTTCAAAGCTTTTTTCTTTTTTGCCTTTTTTTTAGTAGTTTGTGATTGCTTAACTTTTTTCTTTTTTGTAATTGATGAGCTATTGAGTAATGGCTTTATATAGAGTGTTCGTGTCATCGTGTGTGTATCATTAACAGAGGAAAATAGAATTTATTTATTTTCAGCGTTTGTAGAATGTTCGTTGTTGTGGCCATGATTGAATATAAATTATATGATAAATAATATGGGAGAAAAAGAAGTTTCAAGCTGTGATTTTTCATGTATATTTATCACTTTTCGCCATGTTGAATACTATGTTTAATTGTGGAAATTCTTTATTTATATAGGTAAAAAAACATGTGGAATGTTTATCAAACTGGGAGTGATTTTATACGTGACTCATAATGATAATAATATTATCTGTTCAATTATTGAAGAGGGGGTTGGGAAATTGTTGAAAATCAGTGAGGATCAGCCTTTTGTGATTGTGGGTCAACATATGTGTGCGTGTGAAATGTCTTGAGCACACGTGTGAATTGTGATGACATGCAAACGTAATGCTGCTGCAATGATTTTTGCCTTTTTTTTTATATTTTTGTCCACGAGAAAATGGTTTGCCCAACAAAAATAAAGGGTTTTTATACTTATTTCTCTCCTTTTTTCACGTCGTTATTTTCTCCTACTTGCCAAACATTTATTCTATGCAAATCTAAAATGACTTCTTCAAATATTTTGAGACATCATGGCGACGATAAAAAGGCATATAATCATTCATCGATAGATTAGACTTTAGCATATGTTTGAGTGAAGAAAGGTGAAAGTGGGAATTATATCAAAGCCATCATAATTATTTTAATGATGTACTACTAATTTGAATATGTCTCTTGCGCCCGCCAAATCATAATCAACAAAAATGCTTATTAACTCAAATCGACTTGTGCATCAACAAATTATAATGAATACCATCCTCCATAGGTTAACATCTAAATAAATGTTTTTTTGCTGGCTAATTGTTTAAATTAGATGTTAATGTCAGTTTGAATGAGTATAGGTAGCAGTTTAGCACCAAGTCTACAAATCTGTCGCATCAATACCACTTTTTAACAGATATGTTATTATAATTTCATTCATAAATATTGTATACGTATATCTCTCTTTTAGCGACCTTATATCATAACTATATAAAATAATTCAGTTGTTATAATATAGCTACCGAACCGAGTGTGGCAAATATATCTATAATTAATATTAACAATCGAATAAAAAATATATTGTTAAACTATGCATTATTTGTTTAGATATAAAAGATGCTGAAACTACCGAATGTTTGTCGTATGGCATATGTCATTCGTGACGACTGACGACGGACGATTCTCACACTGGCTATCTAAGAACGCCAAGACAGCGTCGGCTGATGAAGTAGAACGGCACGGTGTTTCTTTTACTGTCCATCGGCATTATACTACAAAACGGCATTATATTTATAGCAACCGAATTAAGTAACCAACGATATTGGTCGGTTTTCTATGTCGAGGAATCTTAATTTACTAATTTGGTTTTGTTTTCAGTACTTAGTCGTTATTGCTAGCTAACCAATAAAAACCACATGTACCCGTGACTTCATTTACCGTTGTCATTCTTTGGAACAAAATTTTAGTAAACAAGTCGTATAATAGTATGCTTTAAAGTTCACAAATCACAACAAATGGTTAATCATTCTTTCATACAACAAAATTATGTCAACTTTTTCATTTTATGGAAATCCAACAAGACCGTGATCTAAGAAACTACGATAACATCCATATACATCGATCTTAATTCAACAAATTACACAACGAGACCATTACTTCAACAAGTTGTTGCATTTCTGGCTGAATCATTTCGATCTCAACAAGGTAAGGAAATAGGTTTTTCATTTCCCAGGTTTTGGATTCTAAAGTTTGCACTTTTTGCTCATACCCTTTGTGTTTTGGATAATCTATTGTGTGATTTGGTTAGGAAGATTATTACTCTTAGGAATATGATTATAATCCATATTTTAGTGGAATTAAGTTACTATGGGAGTAACCATTGATCTGATACTCTTAGGAGCTGTAATTTTTTTTTTTTTGAATATAATCTTAGGAGCTATATAATAAGTTCTATGTTTATATATCTTCTCCGTTTTTTTTAAATTCTAAATGTGCTCTTGAGCTTTTGTGAGCTAAGAACAAAATTAAGAAGTCCTTTGCCATGTAATCCATATATGCTGAAATCCAGTTCATATGCAACTTTCTCTTATTTATATGAGAAGTAGTTTTGGCCATTAATGAATCTCATATGCGTGAATCATATCCAAAGTCAACAAAACGGCAAGATTCCGATCAACCTTCTGCATCGATCGAACTAAGATAAACCTAAAGTACAGTACTTGGACAAATTTTACCTAAATCTTAATAAAACAGCTTTACAGATTATATTTATAAAAAAAAATTAATTTATTAATAGTTTGAATTACATTGTATCTAATGAATATCTTCAATCTTCTCGCGAAAGGCAAAATTGTCATTTCAATACTATTCTCGTCCTTCTTCTCTTATAGTCACTTTTTAAACGATAATAATAATTCCAATGAAAGTTACATTTATAATTTCATTCTTAGTGAAAGTGGAAAGATTCGTCAAAGCAAAAATTACAAGATAAGAACTAATAGGAATGAAAATAATTTAATTAGTTATAAGGATTTCGATATAACTAAAAACTACAATCAATTATGGATTCAATGCGACAATTGTTATGGATTAATGTATAAGATCATTAACTGGTTTGCATTATCAAAATCATATATTTATAAGAAAAAGGCAGTTGCAAGAATCAAAATAGCTCTCATAAAACTTAAGACAATAAACTTTTCAAAAAAATCAAATGTATTAAATGCTTGAGCAGACTTGAATAGTCTTAGCCATAAGATAAACATATCATCCCATAGTATCTCAATTCCGCTAAATCATACAATACTAATGTAAGTTTTCAGACAAATGATTTGCCAAGTTGCCATATGTAAGTTTTCACTTTGAAGAATTGCAGATTTCAAATTAGGATTTCTAGCAAATGTTTCTGTAACGACCCGGTTTTACAAACCAGGCCCGTTTGGAAAATTCAATCCCGACTAAGACGGTTTAAGCCCATTTCCTATTTCTTGATATTTCTTTTTTCCTTTGAGAGATAATTAATTTCTGGTTTAGATAAATATTACATTTGTAATGTGATATTAATGAACCTTTTCCTAAATGAATTGTGAATATTCTTATTCATAATTATCTTTTTTTTTTTTTCGTGGTTATCTTTACTTTTTATCCAAATCTCTCATTGGGTATAAATAGAGAGCCATTCCCATTCTTTTTCTTCATTCTAAACTTTCCAGAGAACAGAGAAACCCTAGAACTCTCTTCTCTCTCTTTTCGGCACCGTAGTACTCTCTCTCCGCCGTCTCTTTCTCCTCTTTCTTTCTCTCTCATCGCCGCATCCTCTCTCTCTTCACCATGTCCCGCCGTTTGTCTTCCCCGCCTTCTGGTGACCGCCCTAGCCGCTCCCCGGAGCAGCCATCATCGTCCGCCGGTGCGGTGGAGCAGCCGCGAGTCCACTACCTTCGGGATGGACCCGTAGCCGCCCCTTCCAGCCGCCCTGCCCCGGTGTTTCACGTTGATGAGGAGCCGAAGTCCTCCCGGAGCCGTACGCCGCCGCAGCATCACCCCCGGAGATCGATCAACCCTGCGTGGTTAGCCGCCATGGAGCATCTCGCCTCCTTCTCTTCTCCTTACCTCCCCTTGCCACCTCCTTCGCCACCTAGGCCAATGTGATGATGAATCTGTGCTTGAATATCGTGAACTCTGCTTTCCTGAATGCATAGTTTGGGGTTAAACCAAGCATAATCTACTTTCTGCTTTAGAACTGAGTCCCAGCTAGGTCATAATAGGTTGTTGTTTGTTCTGTGAATCACCTAGATGTGTTTAGGGTATTGAAACTGAAGTTGCAGGAGACTTAAAAGAAACATTTACTTGTGCTTGAAACACTATGCTTGTTTGATTGCTGTTTGGATCTCTTCTGTGATTGTGTGATCGCCTAGAACTTGTAAAGAGGATAGGAACTTAATACGGTATTGTGTGAAATCATAATTGAGACTATGTGTTGTGAAATGTCTGAGATGAGAGTTGAGATCATAAGGCAAAGGAGCCATGATCGATATACTTGAGTGGATGACTATTGTTTGGGGTCCGAGATGGATGGTTGAGATTAGTAATGCCTGGGGCTGCAATCGATACACTGAAGTTGAGGATAGTCACTGAGCCACGTGGGCAATATGCGAGGGGGTACTGAGGGACCTGACATCATATGGGGCTGTTCAAAAGGGTTCAGCGTATACTCATGTGGTATGGGAGTAATGGCTATACGTAGCGCTCTCAAGGCATGGCCGACGGGCTAGTGGTGTAGCGACTATAAATTTACGGAGGATGCAACCAAAGTGCCACAGTGTAAGTCATCATTGTGTGGTCCAGGTATTCGCAGTGGCGTTACCTGTGACGCTAGGATATTGTGTGAAGTCTTTAGGACTTTCTATGGTGCTGTTTTAGGCTTGAACTTAGCGTTGTTAAGTTGTGGTGCATTGATAGGATAGTGTGGTTCATTCTCCTGGGTAATCTAAATTACTCACCCCTCCAAGTTCTCCTATCTTCTCTCTCTCGATCCCCTTTAGCAGGTTAGGTGAGTCAGGATGCTCAGTATGGCATATGGATGTGGAGTTATTTGTTAAGCAAGGCGCCTTCGGTTTCTGGGACTTGTAAAGTGGATAATGCGTTTGGTTTATGGCACAGACGGTTATCTTGATATTGCCGGTTCGGTTTTATTGACCGGGATCGGGTGTCACAGTTTCACTTTCACACGATGGGTATAAGCAAAAACTTGCAAACTATTTGTTTGACCGTTTGAATTGTATTGCAGTATTGGAAACAAAGTAAAATATAAAGTCCTTACTTGGGATTTTGATGCTTGGTTTCTTCTTAAACTTTGTTCAGTTGGTCAAAAGCACATTTAACTTTGTTTCCCAAATTGCAAACTTTAAGATTATTAACCTTCCACAGAAAAATGGCATCGTATATCACAAAAAGTCATATTATATAACTTTGCAATCTCACAACGTTTATTATAGGTTTACGGACCATTACAAAACTGAAATATACTATACGAACAGGAACACCTGGGGAAATATACGTCTATAAACCGGAACGAACTACACAAACAACATCCTGGTACATGTACTGGTCTAATCCAAGAGGCTATTTTTATACATTCAAATATACCGTTCCCGGTTAAGTATGGTTTCCACCATAACATCATTCCATGAATCAATTGGACCGGGTAAGCACCAATGCAGACAATCATTCTGAACTGTACTCTTATCCTTAACTCCAGCAAAAGGATTCGGATGCCGGTAGGGTCCCGGATGCCCGTCCGGACGGAGAAGAGACATCGCAGTCGTGTCTAGTAGTCTCAAGTTGGAACCTAAACCCAAACCTTTCCTGAAGTTCTGAAACACTTCAAGCTCAGCATCACGCATCTCATCATCAACGGTTTTCAATTTCGCCTCGTCTTCTTTAAACGGCATCGTTCTGTTGCAATACCCGCCAGTGTTCCACTCTCCGTTTTCGAAATGGTCAGGCGTTGTGGTTCGGAACAGAACCAGCGGTTTGTGGCTTGAGTTTAGGACGAAGTCACGGAGAAGGTTTAAGGTTTTGCGGTAGGAGTAATCGTAGCCGAGATCGGTTAGGTTGTTTTTACCTTGGCAGTAATGGCAGCCTGTAACTGTGTTGTTTTCATGGAAAATTGTTGCTTTGAGGAACCATTTGCCTCCGGAGATAACAACGTAATCGAATTTCGAGTACTGGTCGATCCATTTTGGGTCGAGCTGGTCGAGGTAAAGCTGGATATCGGAGTTGCCAGGTGTTTCGGATTTGAGAAGGAAAGGAGACCAAACGACCGAAAGTGTGAAGTTGTGAGAAGGGAATCTCCAGATCTTGGATCTGAACTCTTTATCGTGGTAGATTTCCACCACTTCTTCCACCTGAGCGATAAACCAAGAAAGATTAAGCCGAAGTCCTCAGTTTCTTGCACTCTAAGGAAACTTTCATTGATACGAAACCAAAAAAACCAAAAAAAACGTTTTAGTAACCTGAGAGAGAATGCAGATGAGAGACTGGACATGGTTACGAGCGATGGAATCACCGATGAAGGCCCACCATTTGTTCCTCACTGTTTCGAGAAACTGCGATGGACTGAACCGAGGGAGATCGCAGTCACGAGGCTTCCATCTCCAGAAGAGATAGTTCACATCTGGCCGTCCATTCATCAGACAGTTCTGAAAATCTTGGATGTGATGGCATGAGAGGTTGGTGTAGAGAGGACCTGATGGATCCGGCACCCAATCTCCAGTGAAAAGATCACACTTTGCCCATAAAACTGCAAAATGTTCACGCAGACATTTCATCAAACACGTGGTAAACACAACTCTGTAACCCTAAATTAGTAGTCCTTGACACGACTTAGAAATTTCCAATGTTACAGTACAGATTCCAAAATTAAACACCCAAGAAACCCTAAGACTCCGATAATTCTTCCCACAATCTCGAATTGCTTGCGTCGCAGTTGTATTTCTCAGAAATCAATTCGAAATTGAAGAATAAACAGGAAGAATTACCGTTTCCGGAGGCAGATTCCGGCAATTTTGGGGAAATCGGAGAGACGGCGAAACTGGAGATGATGAAATAGTAAGCGAAACCGATAAGAAAGAAGTAAAGGAAGAATTTGAAGAAGGTTCGATGGCTTTGAGTGGAGGTGGAGGTGGAGGTGGAGGTGGAGGTGGAGGTGGAGGGAAGAGAAGAAGCGTCTAGGGTTTCTTCATTGTTCGCGCCTTTTGGGCTGTTGGGCAAAAACAAAGTTGTTAATTGCTGTTCCATTGAAGAAGAGAACAGTGAACCTGCTTCGCTGGTTAGTGAATAGTGAAGGTTTCGAATGCTTTTATACTTAAACTCGAGAGGATCTTTGTGGTCAAGACGAAGGAGATTATTTTCTTCCCTTTTTAAAAATTTTTGTTAATAATTTTAATTCAAACCATTAAAAGAGAATCTTTCGAAAAACACGTGCTTTATATTTGATATTAAAAAAATCTGAAAAAACTAGAACCATTTTTGAAAATAGTATGTTGGATTATGCGATGTGTGTTTTGGAATTATTATTACTTTTTTTTTTGGATGTTTTATGGAACCCAACTACAATAATTGCATCCGTTTAAAGCCATATATATACACACCATTGGCATGTGACAACATCGTCATATTATCCCTCTCCCTTTGTTAAATTGCTTTATGTATTTGATGCTTATATATGTAACGAATTGTATTTTAATGGTTTGGTATATGTTATTGTAGAATGTAGACTCGTCTCTGAAATTTCCTGGAAAACAAATGGTTAGAAATTAGAAGAGCTGGAAATAACAAGGATTAGAAGAGATTCGAGAAGGTATAAAACTATAAACAATGAATTTTTGGATTCTAATTGGTCCCCTCGTCCTTTTTTTTATTTACTCAAATTTTAAGAATAAGTAAAGTTTATTTTATTTTATTTGTTTATGTGAAGCACATGCATTGCTTTTGGTCCTCACGCCTTTTATCTCATCTTTGGTTTTATCTCCACTGCCTATCGTTACACCAATCTCAAACTTTTTATGAAACTTGGAACTTAGCAAGCAACACATATTTTGATATTTGGTGTTTTTTGGGGGATTAAATTGTGAGACTATCGTAGTATTTATTTGTATAGTTAGCTTAATCTGTAGTTATTCATTTATTTAAATATTTTTAGGAAATTTTAACAATGGTAGCTTCGACTTTTGTGTAATATCTGATACTGTTGCACAGTAGCTCATTTTTGCTCTTCCTTGTATTTTCTCATGCTCGTCACTATTGTTTTTTTTTTTCTTTTTCTGATCAAACAACACTCGTCGCTAATTTGTTCTTTCTCTATTTTTGTAAAAATATATTAATACAAGAAAATAAACGAATGGACCACGAGGCCCGTTAAAAACAGAGTTTCTATCTTGTTTGATATTGATATTGGGCCCATATACAACTCGATGAGAAGAATCCCAAACCAGTTTGGTCAGATTGGAACCGGAAAAAGAAGAAACATTACAAACTTTATACCGGCATAACCCGGTTCGTATACAATCAATATCATCCCAACCAGTTATGGTCGCTCTAAACAAACCCATCCCAACAATTCAACCATGCAAGGTAAATTAAAAATAGGGTCTATCCGTCTATGTGTCTTACTGAGAGAGGACCACGAAAACAAAAATCTTAAATCAGAAATCTAACCCATGTGAGAAAAAATAAAAAAAATATAACCCATGGTCATGAGTAAAAAAGTTAAAAACCACACACTTTACATTTAAAGTAACAAATAAATAATAAGACTGGAACCAAAGAGGTAGAATCATGTGGTTGTGTTGTTACTTGTGGGAGCTCTCATGAAGCTAACGATCTTGGAACCCTCATACCAAATCCATGCTTCACCTTCTCGATCCTGTTTCAAGTGATTAAACATTTCGTTTTAAAAAAAAATCTCAGAATCTTACTATGTTTGATCTCAAAATCTCAAACTAAAAAAAAATGTCTGCGTGTGTCTGTGTAATTTGCTTACGTTGGGGCTAATTTGCCAAGGCTTTTAAGTTCTTCCCCTGAATCTCCATCGAGGATTCTCCCGGATATATCAAGGATGTAAGAACGGTTCTTGTCACGAGGAAGACCACGACCCACGAGTAACTCGTAATCTCTCTTGTGAAGCTCTCTTCCATTCACATACACTTCTGTGTTTCCTGCAGCGCAGCTATCAGGCATTGGATGGCTAAACTCTTCTATAAATGGCTGCAACAACAACAACAAGTAAGTATGATGATGATGTTCCAAATAATCAGACATTGAGAGAAGAATGCGAAGGGACTTACTGGTATTACACCGAGACACGGTTTGCCCATTGCGCCCCAGAACCCAGCTCTGTAGTCATACCTGAATCAGAGACATAGATTAGAAACTGAAAAAATGGAAAAGAAAATCGCAAGAGGGAAATAGTGTAAGGTTTGAAGTTCATGGGGCGTTACCAATACTTTCCAGCTTGGATTGGTCCAGCTAGTTTCTCAGCACTGCTCACTAGATCTTCCGGTATAAGATGTCCATTAACCCAAACTTCAAATGACCTCCCTTGATCTTCTGTTGAGGACCTCGTTGTGATCTCCGTGGAACCACCAGACTCGCTACCTTTTCGGCTTCTTGGTCTGTTGTTGCTGTCTTCTCTTCCATTTGAGTACCTTGAATCTTCAGAGATCTCCGTGTTAGAGTACCCGTTGTAAGAAACCTCTGTCTCTGTAGCTACTGATTCCGGCTTCACCGAGTCATGTTTCATGAAAGACTCTTGCTTATCCGGCTTGATAAAACCTAACTCTGCCATTCCGTAAGCGAGCGCAGCTCGGTTTACGTTTGAATACTCAAATAGCTCAAGGAGACTGGCACTCTCGGGAGCAGCGGGCTCCGGAGCTTTTGAGCCTTTACCTCGCCGGCGAACAGATTTGACCTCTTTCTCTTGTCGTTCACTAGAAATGCTCGATCTTTCTTCATCATCTGAGTGTTGAGATTCAGACCGGATGCTCTGCCTAGTGTCCCGGTGATTCCTTGATTCTTGTATTGCTTCTTCTTCATCCTTCCCTGAGTTGTTGAAATCAACAGAAGAGAGTTCCTCTACCACCACTGTGTTGTTTGTTGGGCTTCTTCTATCTTCAACCTCTGAAAAGACCGGTTCTGTTTCCTCGTTACCAGAAGAGAAAACGAGCTTCTTGTCGACGATCGTGAAACTGATAACTTGAGAGCAAGCACCACATTGAAGCTTATGCTGCCTTTCCTGAGCCAAAAGCTTCTTCTTAGGCAAGTAAAGCAGCTCGAAGCAACTATGGCAAGCTATAAAAGGAGCACCACCAGCAAGAGGATGGCAACGACGAGCATCACTATCGGAAACAGCTTTCTTAACATACCCGCGAGCAAAAGCGCCGCCCATCTCAGAGTCAAGATCACTCGGCCACCTCGCGTAACCGCCTCGAGGACCCGGAGAGCTCATGGAAGAAGGGAAACTCGGACTGTTGTTATAGATGTTAACAGGTGGACTGTAAGGTGCTGCGAGTTTCTCTCCGCCGCGATGGTGAGAAGAAACAGGGCTGTACGGAGGCATATCGCCGTACCTACTCGGCGTAGCCGGGAAGTATGAATGTGGCTCGACTATATCAGCACCAATATCAACGTATTGACCTCCAGGATATGGACGAGGCATCTGATTAGGGTAATGACCAGGAGGAGGATACCAGTTTGGATTTGGAACCGGAGGTGGTCTTCTATGGAACCCATAAGGATCTTGATGATGATAACCTTGAGGATACATTCCGTGAGCCTGTCCAGGGTAAGGAAACGGCTCTGGATATGGATGGTAATAGGAAGGTCCATGGAGATGGATTGGTCTGAGCGATGGCTGATTCTGATCTGAGTCTTTTGGTTTATCAACCGTATTACCACGAAGGAGATGATCTTTGATTGAATCTAACCTTCTTAGAAGCTCAGCTCGTTCTTGCTCTGTATACTCAATTGGGTTGTTCTTAGACGAAGAATCTGATCCATAGTTTGGCTCTCGAAGCTCCTCGTTTTCCCCAGATCTTTGAGACCCAGCTCGCGAATTTGTTGAGTGTTTCTCCTTGAGACCCGTTTCTTCTTCGCTTCTCGAAGAACCTGCATCTGATCTGCCATCTGCTGCTTCGTGTACATCACCTGTCGACCTCATCAGCTTCGAAGAAGACTGCTTTTAGGGTTTTGCTTGCTTTCAACTGCAAAATTCAGATAAATTCCTCGATTTTAGATAAAAATTCGAATCCAGCAACGTGATTCTCCGATCGAAATCAGATGAAATCAGCCAAGCATTAGCATCGAACAACTAAATTATCAAACGATTGAACAGTTGAAATCAGCCATTTTTCCTACCCCGCAGACAAATTTGATTTCCTCCAACTCCCCGTGATTTCTCGGTACCCAAACGAAGAAGAATCAAAAGCTTAGAAATCAAACGAACCTCGAAGAATGTCGTCGCCGAGTTAGGTGAGCAGATGGAATTGATGATGATCTTGGGTTGAAATAAATGACACGAGAATCAATAAGCCAATCCTTAATCTCCCCCTTTGACGCAACTAACTTTTTTGAAATGGGTTTTTCGAAAACTCAGAAGAAATTAAAGTCAAAAGACTCTCTGCTTCTCGAAGTAGCATAAAAGATCAAACTTTTTTTGGGATTAAATGTCTGCTTAGACTTACTACCAAACTTGAGCTGGAAGGTGTAAGAAAAAATAGAAAAAAAAAACAAAAATGCTTACTTTTCTCGCATTTTTCCTTCTCTTTCCCGGGAATCTAAAGAGAAAGACGTAAAAAAAAGTTGATGATAAGATTTGAAAAAGAAAAAAAAACAAACTTTAAAGAGGTAGAGGAAAACGATGAAGCAAAAATCAAACTTTGATAGCGTTGATTTGATATCCGTTTTAATTAAGAGGACTCAGAGCGCGTACGGAAGCGCGTGAAAGCAGAATCTGAATGAGCCTTGAGGGGACCTGGTCTCCGTTGACCCAAGTGATAAGGAGACGACCAAATAATTATATTTCGTTTTTTTCTTTTTATCCAAAATCTGAATGAACTATGAGTTTGACTGTTTACCGACAGGTAAAATCTTTATACTATTAAACTACAAACAGAAGTCAGTCGACCATTGCGAGTCTGGCACGTGTTATTTTCATTTTAACGACAAATTCTTAATATTTTGTATTTATCGAAAATAGAATCATAGAAGTCAGTCAATTACTCAACTGTCGCGTGTTATTTTCATTTTTATACAAAATTATAACACATAAACAAAAAAAAATCACACTGAACAATAATTCTGTCAACAAGATTTCTTACACTCTACAGTAAACCAAATTTTTACACTCTAATTTCTTAATTTGTGGATAGTTAAGAGAAACTCACTTTTTCCGTCAACAAATCAGTTTTTGATTACATGTCTTTCCCACATTTTGTTTTCAGAAATTGTTTTTTAGCTATTAAAAATACGATGTTTTTATTTTGAAAACAAAAAAAAATCCAATTTAAATTATTTTCTTACTTAAAGCTCTCTCAAAACAACAACACCACGATTTCTTGACAATGAACTGGTTGGCGTTTACGAGCACTGTAAGAAATCGCCGGTACTTTTACGTTTCCCCTTTTCTTTTTTCATGCATGCATGTTCTTTTCATACTACTCATTTTTATTGAAAACGACTCTTCTCTTCTTCTTTTTTTTTCCGAAAGGGTTAAAACGACCATGTCTTCTCATATGCATGATCTATAGATTCTATACACAGTTACACACTTCTCCATTCAAGAAAAATAAGTCTTGACTAATTATTTATGTCTACCAAAATATGTCATTCTTCGTTCACCAATGCTTTTTAATTATATTTCACAAATTTTACCATTTCTTATACTTCGTATATATATAAAAAGTGTGTAAAATTTAATTGTATGTCACAAATTTGACCATTTCTTATACAAATTTGACCTTTTCTTATACTTTGATCCCTGGCTCTCATTTTTTGTTTCAGTATAATTAATGACATAAAAAAATTGCCAACTAACTGTAGGGACACGTTAGTTGGTAAGCAATGGTTAGAGAAAACTCTTTCGAACAAACAAACCTATGAATTATAAGATCACGAAAATTAAATGGGTCATCACTTTTTAGAAAAGAAACCAATGAAAAAAACACCACAAGAACTCATGGTTCACGCTCTAAAATTTTGTTGAGAAAGTTGGACAAAATTTTCCAAATTATTTTTACAAATTTTACCGGTTTCATGATCAAACATTAGTAAACATCACACAGTAAACTAACTTGAAGTTGATTTACTTTCTGAAATTCAGTGACATTATTTATATTAGGACAAAATAATTTAAAAGTAAAATAAAATCTTCAGGTTGTGTTTTCTTTATCCACAAATCTTAACGTACTTTTGCGACTTGCGAGTGTGTACGAAGACAAACTAGCTAGTCTAATGAAATAATAATATTGCTTCCTTCATTCCTTGTTAATAATATGTCAAGTTGATGGCTTGATGCTTCCATGAATCCATGTTTTTTTTTTTGTTAAAGGATTTTCCATGAATCCATGTTACAACTTACAATACGTGCTCTCAAAACTTCTCCTTTTATTTATTTAATAATTCACAAATTTCCTCATTAAAATTAACATAATTTGTTCCTTCGAAGACATCCGATAAAATTGGAATGATGCTGAGATAATTAGCATGGCTTCTGTGATTTAACAAACAAAAAGAATTAACATAATTTTCAAAAGAAAACCTGAATGCTAGTAAATTTTATTTGTCCACAACTGAATCCAATATCTTTTGATAATCTTCATTTTTTTTTAAAAAACATTTCTTTATTCTGATAATCTTAGACGTTTAGTTTAGTCTTTAGTGTAGTATTTCTATTTCTATTTCTATCAAAACTTTTCTTTTTTCATGCATGCATGTTCTTTTCATACTACTCATTTTAATTTTATTGAAAACGACTCTTCTCTTCTTTTTTTTTTTCCGAAAGTCTTCTCATATGCATGATCTAGACACAGTTACACACTTCTCCATTCAAGAAAAAGTAGTCTTGCATGACTAATTAATTTTGTCTACCAAAATATGACATTCTTCGTTCACCAATGCCTTTTAATTATATTTCACAAATTTTACCATTTCTTATACTTCGTATATATATATAAAAGCGTGTAATTATATTTCACAAATTTAATTATATGTCACAAATTTGACCGTTTCTTATACAAATTTGACCATTTCTTATACAAATTTGACCATTTCTTATACTTTGATCCCTGGCTCTCATTTTTTGTTTCAGTATAATTAAAGACATAAAAAAATTACCAACTAACTGTAGGGACACATTAGTTGGTAAGCAATGGTTAGAGAAAACTCTTTCGAACAAACAAACCAATGAATAATAAGATCACGGAAATTAAATGGGTCATCAGAAAAAAAAACTCTTTTTAGAAAAGAAACCAATGAAAAAAAAAACACCACAAGAACTCATAGTAGACATCACACAGTAAACTAACTTGAAGTTGATTTACTTTCTGAAATTCAGTGACATTATATTAGGACACAATAATTTAAAAGTAAAATAAAATCTTCAGGTTGTCTTTTCTTTATCCACAAATCTTAACGTACTTTTGTGACTTGCGAGTGTGTGTACGAAAACAAACTAGCTAGTCTAATGAAATTATAATATTGCTTCCTTAATTCCTTGTTAATAATATGTCTAGTTGATGGCTTGATGCTTCCATGAATCCATGTTACAACTTACGATACGTGCTCTCAAAACTTCTCCTTTTATTTATTTAAAAAATCACAAATTTCCTCTAGTTTAGTCTTTAGTGTAGTATTTCTATTTCTATCAAAACGTTGAATATTTGAAATAGAGACGATATCGCCAAGAATACAGTAGTTATCGCATAGTGTAGGTCGCCTTCTGACTATTTTTGTTGTCCTGAGAATAGCTACAGCTGTAAAGTCTTCTCCTGTACGATCATTTAAGATCAAAGCCCACTTGCAATATATTATATTATATCTATCAATAAGTTTTGACAATTTCTTATCAATATGCATGCAATTTGATATACTTAAAGAGATAAAGTCTTAAACGTTGACTAATTACTAGCAATTTATTATAGCAGAATGATGGACAGAATTCTCTCTACGATAGTACGAGTTGATTCGGCCTAATTCCGGCCCAGACTTCACTCCTTAATTAATAAACGGCTCGGTTTATTTGGGTTTTAACAGACCCAAATTATTATGGGCTTATCAAACAGAAGACATTAAAATAAATAAATTAATTAATTACGTGTATTATTATGATGAGCTGGTGAACTTTTTTGATGTGTGATCACATTAGAATAATAACCATAGGGCCTTCGGTATTTGATTCTGCTCAATCGTGGTCCTAGATCCACTTTTATACACACATCTATGTTTATATACACTCATTCACTTGAATATATATAATTTTAAAATACATATATATATATATATATATATAACTAAACATAAAAAAAACTCGTTATGCGTTTTTTTGTGCTTGATAGTTACGGTGATGTTTCCATTTTGGGATGTCCCCTCCAAAATACGAAAAGCCGAAAAAACAAGATTGGTTACACAGTTGTACTAATTTTAATACTTTGATACATGATATCATCTTCGGAAAAGTTAGGCTCTATTTGCTATACTTAAAAGAAGAAATTGTTTGGAAAAATAATTATAAAAATTATTTTATTTGTCATTCTTTCCACATTAAGCCCAACATTATTTTAATAAAAAGGTAAATATAACTTTTTCATTACTACAAAACGAATCTTAAAGTATGTGGACTGGAGGATGTATGTATATTTTTGTGAAAGTATTTAAAAATAAGGGGGAGAATCAATTTTTCTTTTAATGAGCCCAAAATTTATGTGGTTTGAAGCTTACTTTTCTTAGTGACCAAACAGATCAGAGTGTGAGCACTAAACAGTAACACCATCTTGACGTGGCGTACTTATACGAAGATAGTATATAATACGCGCTTAGTTACGTGCGTAGGATAACACCTGGTGGCCACAACAACAAAAGCAGAACTTTGCAAAACAATCCTTGAACTAGCATTTGTTTGCGTATAATCCTCAAACTACGAAAAAGCACAAACAAGTTTTCAGTGCTGCTTATGTTTTCTAAACTGTGAGTCGAAAAGACATTGACCTCTAAAAAAATATACATTGCTGATTATGTTAATAATTTTTTCAGTTGAATAACAAACAAACATAATATATATAAAGGTTACGATAAAACTGTCGCCGCGATCATCAATCGGCACAATCAACACAAACACATTTTTATTTAATTAGGTGATGCATTTACAGTATTTTTCAAAGTAGACAGACTGATTTACGATATCGTATAATCCCCAAACTACGAAAAAGTACAAACAAGTTTTCAACTGATTAAAACCCTTAGTTTAACATTTGAGTATATAACATTTAAACCCTTAGCATTTTTTAATCAGGTGACGCATTGACAGTGTATTTCAAAGTAGAAGGGCTGATTTACAAAAACATGGATAGTATAGGATTTGATTTGTAAATGTTCACAGCAAAAGGTTGCCATTAAAACGGCGTCGTCATGCTTCAGGCTTAATCAGTAGTAGGTTGTCTTTTGGCTTTTATTATCGCCGCCGGGACAGAGAAAGGGGAGTAGATTTGATCTCTCTTCTCGATAAAACTCGAACGGGAATCTCTGTTTAGGGTTTCGGTTGTTGTTGAGAGAGATCGAGAACTCCTGAAGGAAAAATCTTAGGGATCGTAATTGTAATTTGGTGTGATTGCGATTTTTCTCTGTTAGTGGTGATTTATTCAATCGATGGCATCAGAGGATGTGAGAAGGACCGAATCGGCAGCTGTTTCGACGATCGTTAATCTGGCGGAGGAAGCGAAGCTGGCGACGGAAGGAGTCAAAGCTCCGAGTTTCCTCAGCATCTGCAAGTCTCTCTTCGCCGGCGGCGTCGCTGGTGGAGTGTGAGTCGTCTATCTCTCCTTTCGCTACTTATATTTGATTAATTCGAGGAAAAAATTAAAAATGAAAGATCTCTTGAAATATTTTGAGTAAAGACTATTCATGGGTTCTTCTAATTGGTTAGAGAAGGCCGAAGTAGATTGAGAACTCATCGATTCTGTCCTCTGTTACTATCAGTGTTATAGGTTTGCATGAAAAAAAATCGAAACTTTATTGATGTTGGTTGATCTGGTTGCTGACGATAAGTGTAGTAAGATCAGACACTTACATTTTGTTTCCTTCTTGAGATCGAAATCGTTGTTGAAGCAGTCAAATATAGATACGGGTTTATGTCTGAAGGATTAATAAATGTACAGGAGCAGAAAATGTCTTGATATGGTCGAGTCCTATGATTGACATATGAAAGAGCAGTTAGTGACTTTATCTTTGCACTCTTTGCGTTACATTTGATGCGCACTTTTTGCTTTTTGAGTTAATTTCTGAACGGAGATGCGTTTTTTTTTTTTTAATTAGGTCACGAACTGCAGTTGCACCTCTGGAAAGGATGAAGATATTACTTCAGGTTCGTTGATGGTTGTTTTGTTTTTGTTTTGGAAGATACAATATGATTGTAGGCTTAACCTGTACATTGTCAATATATAGGTCCAAAATTCGCATAACGTAAAGTATAGTGGGACGGTCCAAGGATTGAAGTATATTTGGAGAACAGAGGGCATTCGTGGACTGTTCAAAGGAAACGGTACCAACTGTGCTCGTATTGTTCCAAATTCGGCTATTAAATTTTTCAGCTATGAGCATGCTTCAAAGTAATTTCTTACTTCTTCATACCCTTTTCTCTTGACTACTTGATTTTTTCTCGATTTTTATTCTTGTCTAATATATGCTCCCTCTCTCTCTCTCTCTGCTAGCTACATTCTGTACAGGTATCGTCAGGGGACAGGAAATGGTTAGTTTATTTCAGCATTATCTTTGCATTTAAATTACCTATCACTTTAGCTTGTAATATAAGTTTCTTAACGAAGCCTTTGTTGAACTCATATCGCAACTCTTGTTTATTAGATTCTATGGTTTTCTCTTCTGCAGAAAATGCCCAACTCACTCCTCTTTTACGGCTTGGAGCTGGTGCAACTGCTGGAATAATAGCCATGTCTGCAACATACCCCATGGACATGGTTCGTGGAAGGCTAACTGTCCAGGTAAATTTCTGTACCCCTAACTTTGTATTTCGCTGGAGCCTTATAGGTCATCTTTGTAACTCTGGATATGTGCGCAGACCGCAAACTCACCTCATCAATATAGAGGAATTGCCCATGCTTTGTATTCTGTCCTGCGACATGAAGGTCCAATGGCCTTGTACCGTGGTTGGCTTCCATCAGTGATTGGAGTTGTAAGTCTCGTCTCTTTTTTTCTTTTTTCTTTTTCCTCAGTACTGCAACGTAATACTGCAAATTTACATGGACCCTTGTGATAAATGCAGGTCCCATATGTGGGTTTGAACTTTTCGGTCTACGAGTCTCTAAAAGACTGGCTACTTAGAGACAATCCATTGGGACTAGCAGATAACAACGAGCTGTCCGTTGTGACGAGACTGTCTTGTGGTGCTGTAGCTGGAACAGTTGGTCAAACAGTTGCTTATCCACTCGATGTGATTCGTAGGAGAATGCAAATGGTTGGGTGGAAAGGTGCTTCCTCCTCTGTTGTTGCAGGCGACGGGATAGGCAAGGCCTCGGTTGAGTACAGCGGTATGATCGATGCATTTAGAAAAACAGTTCGTCATGAAGGATATGGAGCATTGTACAAGGGCTTGGTCCCCAACTTTGTGAAGGTCTGTTCCCTTTTTCTTTTTTCTTATTATATATGAACCTATTATTTCTCAAGAAAGTTGAATGTGTTTATTTTCCATGTTTCTACAGGTTGTACCATCGATTGCGATTGCATTCGTGGCATTTGAGAATGTGAAAGACATTCTAGGAGTGGAATTTAGGATATCGGACTGAGCCATCTGATATCTTCGAAGAGAAGAGAGCACACTTCTATTTTTGTAACCGAGGAGACACAAGAGTCAGTTCACAAATTTAGGGGCTTTATTTATCTCCTTTCAACATCCGTGGAAAGGATAAAAAAGGCTAATAGGGGGATTTAGCCAAACTTTTTTTTAATTTTTTCTTCTTTCTGCTTATAGATTGGGTTTTTGCTTTTTCTTCTTAAGCAAATAAGTCAAGAGGCCAACTATATCAAAACCTATTTGGTACACTGGTGTTTGTGTTACATGTTTTGGTTGGGTCTTTTGACATTTTAAGTTTATCAATATTTGTTATGCTTCTTAGTTGAATAATTCCCGTTTTTCTCTATGTATCGTTTAAGCTAAAATTCATGTGTGCTTGTCATGTTTTCTTTTATACCCTAAGATTTGTTCAATATCATAAACGTGAACATGAAACCATAGAATCTGAGCCCAAAACAGAATTTAACAGAAGAAAAATGAAAAGCTCATACACTTGTAATGGATACATATGTCCAAGTCCACTGTAACATATCTGTCCACTATATACCATGCGGTAGAGATGCCTATTCAAAGTTGTACATTTGCTTCCCTAAACTGGGCTAACATCACAGTCTCATATCAATCATCATCTCCTTAAAATCCGTAAATGATTTTTAAATCCGTGGTCTCATCTTTCAACCCAAAATGACAAGAATCTTGTGCTATTATATGAAAGTGAAATGTAAAAACAAGAAGGGAAAAGAAAAAAAGAAGAAGTAAAAACAGATATACAGTAGTTTGTCTTTCGTGAACTGCTGAAATTTTGCGACGTCTAACGCTTGAATCTTTGATGAAAGTGAAACACATCATCATCATTACTTAGGAGTGCAATTTAATCCTGCATTAGAATTATTTATTTGCTAAGATGAACAATACACTACTAATCAAAGGTACGTACGTATACGTAGTTGCGGTAAAAACAATTTTAAGGTACGTACCATTTAAGCACTTTGATGGTGCATTTAGTCATCTGTGAATCAAGCGTCTGTAATCTTACGCCACCGCATCTGAGACTGATCCCCACCGTAACAATCTTACGCCTTCCCACGGCCAATCCTAACTTTGTCTCAGCTGTCACTTTCACCACCAACTTCTTACTCTTCATCTCCGCTCGAAGCCTCTTAGCCGTCAGATCATCCACCTGTTGTTTCTTCACTTTGATCGGAACGATCACAACCGTCCGATTCCCTGGCTTCTCCACAAATCCTTTGACTTTCGTTGACCCTACTACTACTAGTCTGGTCTCGAAATCGCCATCTCCTACGCTCATCGCCACGTCAACGTCGCCGTAATAGTACCGTAGCTTTCCGTTAGGGTTTCTGAAATCGAGCCTCGCAGTGGCCTCCGCCGTTAAATGCGACAGCCCGTCGCCGGATTTTCCGGTGGAAAAGTTGAAGTTGCTGACGCGGAAGGAGGCGAGGCGTACGACGGGGAGTCTCGGGCTATACCAGAGGAAGAAGAGGGAGACGGTGAGGATAAGGAGGAGGATGACGATCGCGACGGTGATGCAGACGCAGCAGCAGAAGACGCGGCAACGACTCCACTGTCTCTTCTTCTCCGGGTAAAAAGACGCCGGGATCATATGCTTTGGCGGCCGGCGACGTTTTGTCGATGATGATGCGTTTGGAGTTTCCGGAGGCGCGTGAAGTTCATGATAGCCTGGTGGTTTCTGAAGCACCGGTTTAAGCAGCTTCTCTGCCGCCATTTCTTCGTCGCCGGTGGGATTTTTAGGACTTGGGTGATCTCTATTCTTCTCCATGTATATTAAGTATGTATGTAGTTACATTACAAAACGAAATTTGAAAAGTCTTGGATTATGATTTTTAAATACAAAATGTTATAAGGATTTTTTCTTATGTAATTTATAAATCTTTGTATGTAATCCTACCAACAAAAACAAAAATAAAAGAGATTTTCCCGACACTTTGGCCACTTACTGGATATTATTCAACTGACGTGCTGTTTGGCTCTCTGGAATGTGAACTGCTCAATGTTTTTTTTTCCTTTTTAAAAGAAAAATCCAACGGCAATATTTGGACTTGGTGGTATCGAGTGACCCCATTTGTGTAATAGATGATAGATGTCTTTGTGACCTCATCTCCATAATTTTGTTTGGTTATATGCTATAATGATATGATTAAAGCTGACGCTGAAAATATCAGCGACATGATCTGCTACAGCTTTAGAATTCTCCATCCGCTCTCAGATTTTTTTCTATTACTCGTGTTTGTTTTTTCCTAATGCATCTTGTCTTTTGTATTTTCTTGTCGCCAACCCGGAAACTTTGAAATGCCTCCACAAAGAAATTATCGATTTAATGAAAACTATAAGAGAAAACAAATCCATCAAGCTAGAATTTGTATCAATATTTTGGAACAATATATGTATATAATTAGTGTAGGTGTTAGTAAATTATGGAGCAAACACTTTCGTCACGACTCACGTTTACCGGTTGAGGCAAGCACGTCGATAAAGAATAATAATAAATCTGAAAAAATACGTAACACTCGAAAGAAAAAAAAAAAACACTCACGAAAAGTGTTTTATTAAAGAAGAATACACAAACGATTACAAAGCGAAAGACCATCAAATACGTCTCCCCCTCATCTCTAATCCATTCGCTTATATAAATAATAACTAAACCTATCTAACACCACCAATCAAAGTGGTCACAGCACACCAGACCACACTGAATGTCTTCTGGGTAAGTAAGGATATTACATCAGTTTCTAAGGAAAAAGAAGAAGAAAAATCACGTTTTCAGTTACAATCAGAACCCAGAAGAAGAAAATAAAAATGGTTTTCTCACTTTTGCGTCATGGTCTGGTCAGCTAGCCGCGACGGAATCGGTTCTTAGACTTACATTTAACAGTTGATGTTCCACATTCTTAGTCCCTGACACCGAGTTGTTGTTCTTATCAACTCGAGAGATAAGGTTCTCTGTTTTCCCAGTCGCTTGCGTCTGCGCCACTTTCAGTTGATCCTGTAGAGGAACATAAGTTATGTCAGTTCATGATTTTTGTTCAAAAATGTGTGATGATATGAGGAGTAGACTGTTACCAATAAAGCTTCGTTCTCCAGCCGTAGTTTCTCAGACTCATCATTTAGTTGGCTCAGTTTAGACCTCAGAGTCATGTTCTCAGCTACTAGTACGTCAACTTTGACTGAGAGTTCTTCAGTTTCAGCCTATGTTAACAACACACAACACAGCACATTGAGTTAACCAATCGTTCAACTAAATCGAAATTTAGTAGTTTCCATCATCATTAGTCTTTAGTTACAATTTTTTTTTGTAGCAATCACCTGCTTCCTCAGTCTCGACCTTCTAGCAGATTCTCGGTTTGACTGTTTTCTCTTCTCTCGTTTAACCTCTTTTTCATTCTGCAGATGAACAAAAGTCACACCTGAGTTACTACAGCTCACGAGTTTCACAAGTTTCCGTTACACGGTGAAAGAATTTCACTAGAGGATGTCAGAAATGAATAAATTCAACGAGAGGCGCAAAAAGTATATAAAAAACTTTACCCAGACTTCATGGGGCGCACCATGGAATGGCTGTGGGAAATCCATTGCTGTGGGCATAACAGGAGTTCCCATGGTCGCTGCGGGTTTCTCACTTTCATCTCTAAGAGATGAAGGTTTTCCATCTACATCAAGAACAAGAAAAGACTTAGTAGCCGTTAGCTTTGGATAGTTATAAACATTGAAGCACACAACTACTTGGGTTGTGTTCTTTCTCAGGATACAAAAGAAAGGAGAGGCGGAAATACCGTTGGTTAGTGATCCTTCCCGGCTTCTTTTCCTCCTGGATTGTTCTCCCTGCGGTAAAACAACACGGGGTTAAATAAAGAACCCCAAGAAAATTACAGTATATAGAGTAGAAAGGAGTCCATACCCCAGTTGTGTTCCCATCACTACCATTGCTAGAATCATCATTCTCGGAGCTAGAGACATCAAAACATATGTTAGATCATAATGACACGAGAGTCTCATGGATTCAGGAAGAGCTCAGCTAGTTTGACAAACCTCTGAGAATTCCTAGGCTCACTGCTATGCTCAGCGCTCCCGACTTTATTATTGCTTATCGACATCGCAAGTCCATCGAATTCTTTCAGTTTTTTCATGAACCCGTGATCCGTGTTTCCAGGTGAGTTAGCTGCAGCATCCATGTTCAAAGGAGCTGTAACCTGCAAACAATTCTCATAGTCATATAGTTTAGCTACCATTCACACAGAGAAAAAAAAAGTAAACCAAAAGACAATGACTTACAACAGGTGTGGCTTGAGAAACAGGACCTTGTGATTGCGAGCCCTGGTAAGAGAGAAAACACGAATCAGTACAAACTGGTCTACTTTTTTTCATATTAGCGAGGTAAAAGACCAATCGAAAGAAGGGATCATTACCATCTGAACACCAGGGTGAGCATAAACTCCACCAGGAGGACAAAATGGTGGATATGGTGTTCCATAAGGAGCCATCATTGGCTGAAAACAGTTAAGAAAAAAAAGCCATATTCAATCCAAAACAACAGATAAACAACAAAGCTCGTAGCGTAAATCCATGAAGAAATTCATAAAAAAAAGTTAGTACCGATGGAGAGCCCCACATATAAGGAGGTGGAGCATGAGCAGGTGCCACATTCGAGTTGTAATATTGAGGCATGGCAACTCTAGGGCCATAGTATGCCTAACAAAATCATGAGAACTTGTTGAGCACACAGAGTTAATCACAGGGTCTAGCCTCAATAGTAAGGTCAAAAAAGCTAATCACCTGCATAGCAGCCCAATCATGATGGTACACATGAACATTGCTTTGCTCCTGTATCTGTGTACTCACAGGAGCAGCAGCTTGCGGTGACTTATCAGACTTTGTGGATTGTCCTTCTTCGCTGCTACCCATTGCTACACAGTAAGTTAACGAAAGCATAAGCATGATCAGATCTTTTTTTTTTTTTTTGTAATTCCTGTGTAAAAGCATAAATCTAGAGGAACTGTATTCAATTACACTTAGATCTTACAATTTTGGTCATCAAACGGTAGATTTAAAACCGAGAAACGATGATTATGAGATAGATCCGAGTAACTATCAAGCAATCGCATCACGAAGAATTCATCAAATTCGAAATTTTCACGTGTTTCTCGGATTCTCCAGAGTCAAACTTGTCAACAGTTTTTAGTCGAAATACACAACAAATCTACCTCAAATTTTTCATCAAAAAAACGAATTTCTGTATCAAATTTCCTCGACGAAAACACAGCTTTCAGAAAAAATCACTCTAGAAACAAAATTCTGAAATTCACGGAAGCTACGAAACCCGAAATCGTGTGGTAAATCCAAAAAAACGTACCTGGAGTTTCAAGTTGGAAAATTCGAGTCGCTTCCAGGAAAAAAACAAAATCGAATATGAAGTTCGCTCTTCTCTCACTCGCAGTCTCTAGAACAAGAGTTCGGTACAGAGGAGGGAGAGAGAAGGGGTAAGGAAAGCAAACAAAATAGAGAGAGAAGGGAGCGCCAAGGATGATGATACACACGTCACCGTACACGTGTCTGCATCTACAATGGCTATTAAAGTAGGCGCATATGCTGAGCTGGCCATCCTAGATCTGCGCTGGATGATTTTTATTATTTATTAAAAAAATAATCGGTACACGTTGTGTCAATCGTCACCGTTTATCAAATGATGAGTAGGCATAATCTGACGTGGTGCTGATTTTCTTTCCTTTTTAAAATATACACAGAAATTAAACTATAATGTATAATTCATTTGAGATCCACGGATGACGAAACGTGTACCACCTACCCAAATTAAGCCATCGCTTTTTTCTTACCCCCCTTCAAGGCTTTTTTAACCAATTAGTTTAATTTAGATCTCGATCGACGACCGATATTTCAAGTTCAACGGAGGACAGAAAGTAAAAGAAAATATTTTTACCGAAAAGACTAGAGTGGTCCCCACAACGAGCTACTGTCTTGTGTCGGCCGTTAGTGGTATTGATGCTGACGTGGCCCACTAAATAAGGGAATACCGTTGTGGTCCCTATGGACAACGTGGGATTCGATAACATTTCGAGCGATGACTCAGTTTTGGCCACGTTAGATTCAGATTTGGATTAGTACACTGTACAGATAAGATTAACCAATAATCACATAGTATTAATCATCAATCTAGGGTGAAGATTTAATGCTAATTCAAGAAGGTAACTAAAAAGGGATGTCATATCAATTCCGCCAGATGTAGTAATCTTCCGGTACGGGCTATTATTAATTTGTTTGTTTTATTATTAAGTGATGAATGGTCCTTTTCTAATTATTTTCAGGTTAATCCGACAAGGTGACGTGTTCTTGAGGCCAATTCTCGCGGGAGCCACTTGATGCGTACTGTTAAAACCAGATCGGGTGGTGTAAATTGACGTCAATACCCTCGTAACACGTCTTTGTATTTGGGTTATTATTGGATCGTCTTTTGAATTATTAGGCCCAAAACGTTTTAACAATGATCTTCGCTTGTACACCTCGCAAAAACAATAACAAAGTTTAAGAAATAAAGATTATTAAAATAGTACTACTAGATTATCCTGATTAAGACATACCAAAAGAAATGTCATATCTTGGTTGTTGCATACATGACTATGTGTCACTAAACTAATATTTAATCCATAGATAGATCATAATGTCTTGTTTGCTTCCGTGAAATTTCAGTTATTCAGACTACAGTTTTTGATCAACATGATCATGAAATTCTCTAATATATTGAATCTTAGCGTAAATTAACTTTCTGCATAATTGTCCAACAATAGCAAGATCGTCTTCTTTTATAGACACGGACAATTGAACTTTCACAGGATGTGCTCTTGACTAGTGGGCCTTTTCAATAAATCAGAATTAGTCACAGACTCTCGGGATAAAATTGAAACTAATGGGCTTTATTTATTTCTTATTGGGCTGGAGAGGAATTATTGGACTCATGGCCACTTTTTTTCTCTTGGTGGCACTTTTCAAAATGATAATTTACCTGTTTCCTTGTGATCGTGAGCACAGAAATGTCTTGTGATCATTGCTATTATTTAACGATAAGATTCTGTTTTGTTTAAATTACATTTTGAATACATAAAATTTATAGTAAAAATTAAAAGTCCTTATAAAAAGTTTTTAAGTTCAGAGATCCTTTTATTTTTTTTACTCTACCTAAAAATCCCATAACCTTTCTCTTACTACAAAAGTAATTTACACACAATAGCTTGTGTACACACATTAGCTAGTTTTTAAAAATTTATTTTAACTCAAAAGAGACCACAGATGTCTGTACCATAAAGCTTGTGTACACACATTGAGTCACGGACCGAACAAGTACAAAAGTCATATATCACCAAATATCTCATCGTTTCTCTCTGACACACACACACACACAAACCTTTAGATCAAAGTAAGAGAAATGGTTTCAGTTCAAAACAGAAGAATAGTTTTCTCTTTTCTACTCTTGATCATTGTGGTGTTCTCTTCGTATAAAGCTGATTCGGAATGCGATTTCAAAGCAATTTACAATTTCGGAGACTCAAACTCTGACACAGGAGGATTTTGGGCTGCTTTTCCTGCTCAGTCCGGTCCATGGGGAATGACTTATTTCAAGAAACCGGTCGGTCGTGCTTCAGATGGCCGTCTCATCATTGATTTTTTGGGTAATGATTACTCTTTTAAGTATTCCATATTCAAGTGACCGATTCAACGTTTTTGAATAAAATGTTTCGCGTAAGATAAGAATAAATGTTTGTTTGTTACTAAAACATAATGTTGATTTTTTTTTAAAGCGGAATCTCTTGGAATGCCTTTCTTAAGCCCATATTTGCAATCTATTGGATCCGATTTTCGTCAGGGCGCAAACTTTGCGACGTTAGCATCCACGGTTCTTTTGCCAAACACGTCCTTATTCGTCACCGGAGTCAGTCCTTTCTCACTGGCTATTCAGTTGAACCAGATGAAACATTTCAAAGTTAAAGCCGACGAGTTAAACCGAGCAGGTATATATTAAACGAATAAATACATAAAAAATGATGAAGCAAATAACGTAAAAATTAAATACATTAATGTTACAGGAGGGTTGCATATCTTACCGCCTAGCAATGTTTTCGGAAAATCGTTATATACCTTTTATATTGGCCAAAACGATTTCACATCCAATTTGGCTAGCACTGGAGTCGATCGTGTAAAACAGTATCTTCCACAAGTCATAGGCCAAATTGCTGGAACGATCAAGGTACCAACTACTAATTCTGCTTACACCAAATCGATATATCTTCTTTTTGCTTATAGATAGATTTTCTTTTGAATGTAGGAGATACATGGAATAGGTGGTCGAACATTTTTGGTATTGAATTTAGCACCGGTTGGATGCTACCCGGCGATTTTAACCGGTTACACCCATAACGTTTCGGATTTAGACCAATTCGGATGTCTCATTTCCGTAAACAAAGCCGTCAAATATTACAACGCGTTACTGAAAAAGACATTATCCGAGACAAGAACAGAACTAAAAAACACTACCATAATATACTTAGACACCCACAAGGTATTGCTCGACCTCTTTCAACACCCCAAATCCTACGGTACGTAATGTCATAACTTGTTTGGTTTAATTAGACTTAACCGATTTAAAACTATTTTTTTTTCATTTTTGGTATTTTGCGTAACCAGTTTTTTAATGTTGTTGTTACTCATATGAAAGGTATGAAACATGGTACTAAAGCTTGTTGTGGATACGGTGGACGTCCTTATAATTTTGACCAGAAGTTATTTTGTGGCAACACTAAAGTGATCGGAAATTCTACTGTGACGGCCAAAGCTTGCCGTGATCCGCACAATTACGTGAGTTGGGACGGAATTCACGCTACGGAGGCTGCAAACCACCGCATTTCCATGGCTATTCTCGACGGTTCTATATCAGATCCTCCATTCACACTCAATAACCTATGTCGGTCTTAATTATGGTATAATAAGAAGTATATTAGTTGTTGATGGTTTAAATGTGAATTTTAAACCATCCACCAACTAAGCATATTGTGACATACAAAATTATATATATAAAATTAATGTAATGTATGTTTATGTTTACAATGGCTTTACAGATCGATTGGTTCTCCTAATCATTTGATTGTACTTAATATATTGGCTTAAGAAAATAGTTAAGTAGTGACATTTCTTCGTCACCATTTTCGTGCGCAGCCGGATTTAAAATATTTTCTAAGTGTACGTGACGATTGATCTTCTATCTTCTTGCGCCGTATTTTATATACATATATGAACTTTGTGATATCATATATATCCGCTTGGCCGCTAACTAATTTATATCAACGTATTTGAATGTGTAATGTAACAGTTTATTTTTCTTAAGTTTTTATTAGATGAGTAATTTAAACATTTACTGATTAACCCATCTCCATGAACGATGGGAGGGCAAAAACGATGAACAGTTTACTCATGCATAAGGGAAACGGGATGAAGTTCAAAAAGAAACAAACTTGGAAAAATGAAACTTTTGAGTGTAACTTACTGTACAGAGCCAAGAAAAGAAAAAAAAAGTTGGGAAGAAACTACAAAAATCAAGGTATATTAGAAGAAGAAGGAAGATCTTCATGATATTCCAAACATGGCTGAGTTCTGACCATCGTCGCCGCCGGCATTCTACTCCGACCAATCCAAATATTTCCAATTGTCTCACTCTTCTCCGACTCTCTCTCCATCTCTCTCAACTTCTTCTTCCTCACTAAAATCACCACAAGAACAATCACCACGACGACCAAAACCGATATTCCGATCGCGGCTAAAGCTAACCACCACCACTTCCTCCGAACCAACTCCGGTTTGGGTTTCGTCTTTTGGTTTAGATCCACAAGCGCGTAATGCCCTCGAGAATTCGTAGTGGCACATTCGTAATTCCGTGCTGTATTGCTGAAATTCAACAACCCATTATCTCCGAAGGTGACGCATTTGATCCTTCTTATACTTTGATGGTGTTGTGAAGCGTACGGATCGAATTTGATCAAGATAGGATCGTCTCTCTTGATCGAAAGATTCAATTTTTTTAGATCGTTCGTGTTCGTAGCGTCGTAAGCGGTGAATCCAATAACCGGAGAAACGAAAGAGTAGTTATCAGCTAACCGGAAGTAAACCGATGAAGAGTAAGCACCGAGACTTTCATAGACGAAAGCTATTCTCTTAGCGTACGGCGTCGTTTTGACCATCGGAGGAATGTTAACACCACTAAAGTTGGCTCCTTTTCTCCAGAACATACTGTAACGGACCGTAACGACCGATGCTTTTATGTCGGAAAGATTTGACGGAAGTGGAATGTCGTATAACGAGCCTGTGTGTCTTCTTGTATTGCCACGAGACGCGTATGAACGAATCAGATCGTCCAAATCTCGAGGGTTGGTGCAGTGAACCATCGATTGTAGATTAGAGATGACGCAGATGACGAAGACGACGAGACAAATATTTGCAGTGATTGTAGATCCCATTGCCAGAGAAATATTCAAGAACGACGACGAAGACCCAAAAAATGAGTTTTGGTGATCTTCATCAGAAAGGTATGATCTTTGATTAAAGTGTATGAATAGAGTTGTGATCCAGATAGATCAGAATCAAAGTGGAAACATGATTGAGATTTGGAAACATGATTGAGATAGAGATTGAGGTGAGGGAATATAATTAAGCACATATACACACTCAAAAGGGAGCAAGGGACATATAATAAAAATGTAACAGCTGCATGAATATGGGTTTGATGAATGTGTATGGTTGATTAAAAAATTAGAAAAAGACCGTACTTAGATATTCAAACTTGAAAGAAAAAAGGGGAGAGAAAGTTGGGTTTGAGCTGTATTAATGGTGGATGTTTTTTCGTTTATTTTATTTTATTTTTGTATTGAAAAGAAATGGTTATTGACCCCAAAATAATTAAATTTAGAGTTTTTTTCTTTGGTCAAAAAATATAATGGAGATGAAGAAGAAGATGTCGGCTATCGTTCGTAATATATATATGCGGATGACGTAATAATTATCATGCAATTCTTTGGTTTTCACATTTTTTCTGTTAATTAAAAATATATATATTAAACAACAGGTTTGATTAACTCTTGTTGACCGTAGCAGAATATGCATGAATAAAAAACAAAAAACATATAGTAGACTTTTTCATGGCAACTCTTCCTAGATGAACACGTATCTTCAATCATATTACTTACAATAAACCTACCAAATAAGATTAAACTAAAGTTTTAAACTTCAACTATTTTCTTAAATATCAGGAGAAATGGAGTATTGGTTAGTAGTTGAAAGCGCCAGCGAAGTCTAAGGGTGGAAGAGCTGTACCATCACTCAATTTTAGTGGGTTTGTTACATATATATTCTTTTCAGCACAATACTTTCTAATTTCATTTATAAGATTTAGCATTTTAAAGTTCCTTTGTTCAATTTTTCTTTTTAGTTCATCTCGTATTATATTTTCTTAAGTACCTTGGACCCAAAAAAAAACATAGGGTTGCATAATTTTTTCTATGTTTCCTCGCTTAGAAAAAAATATGAAATGAAACGACAAAAGAGATTAATTATAAATACGATGGGCTTTAATCTATGATGGGTCTATATTATAAATGGGCCTAAGATAGGCCTTAAACCCCACAGGATGGCTAGCATTCTATAAACACCACTGAGTTGGATTGCTCAAGATAAGAGCAGCAACCAATAAGAGCACGAGGAACTTCCACGTGTCGCTAGACGGAATCTTGTTTAGTAAAAAGCGCAGCAGAAGAAAATCGAGAGTGGAGAGAAATTAGAGAAGAAGAAGACGAGAGGTAGTAGTAGGCTGAAGAAGAAGACGAAGAAGAAATTATCAGTTTTGCTTCGATGGCGATGACAGTAGCAGCTTCGTCCTCAGTGGCAGTGATGATTCCACGTGCCCCCGCCGTCTCCGCCCGCTGCTCAGCCGTTCCTTACCTTCCTCCGCTTCCTTCTCGCTCCTTTGGCCGATCCTCTTTCACTGTCCCGTTGAAGCTAGTTTCAGGTGACCGATCTATTTTCCTCAATCTCTCTCTTTCCGAGAAATGCCCGAGAAAATAAAAAAATTCCGGGCCGGAATAATCGTTCGATGCAGCGGTTCGGTATATCGTTAAAATTCAAAATTTAGTTCGATAGACTCGGTTTATAATTTCGGTTTAATAGATCCGGTATAGATGGTGTAGGCTACTCAATCCATACAAGAAGGCAGTGTGTTGAATTTCAAAACCGAAATTGAGGGGGTTAATTGTTTGATTTCGTGAGTCTAAACCAAAACATTGGATTCTCCGGTTCAATCGCAGGGAATGGTTTGCAGAAGGTTGAATCGATGAAGACGAGAGCTTCATCATCAGAAGAGACCTCAACGTCCATTGACACCAACGAACTCATCTCAGACTTGAAGGAAAAGGTAAGAAAGCCATTGCTTGCTTATGATTGAAAAAGAAAAAAAACCGAGTTTCTTGGCTTTGTGTAATATTTTGATTTTCGATTTTTGTGTAGTGGGATGGTCTTGAGAACAAGTCGACTGTTATTATCTATGGAGGAGGAGCCATTGTTGCTGTTTGGTTATCTTCCATTGTTGTTGGAGCCATCAACTCTGTTCCTCTGGTAACAACAATCTTTTCTATAAAAAAACTCCTTTTAGATATCAGAGAAAGTGGAATGGGTTTGACTTGACTTGAAATGTTTTGAGTGTAGCTTCCGAAAGTTATGGAGCTTGTCGGTCTCGGGTACACAGGATGGTTCGTCTACAGATACCTTCTCTTCAAGGTAACGAAACCCCGACAAGATGTCAAATTTTTATGATATTAATTATAAAGCTTCGATGGTCTTACAAGAATCAAAATCTCTGTTCAATCTTCTTTCAGTCAAGCAGAAAGGAGTTGGCTGAGGATATTGATTCCTTGAAGAAGAAGATCGCAGGGACCGAATAGATTCATTAAAACAAAACAAAAAACAGCTCTGTTTCTGGGGTTTTCATGTAATATGATTATTATACTCTGTTTCAACAATATATCTTTTGCAGTCTGAAACTATTGTCTTTAGATCCAAGGGCATTGAAACAAATTTGTTTAAGGAAAGGCACATACTTCAAAATTGACCCCATTTCTACAGACGAAGATGGTAAAAAACATGCAGTTTTACATCATATGCTACTAGTGTAGATATCATGGTTGCTTCAGATGCACACAACCTAAGTACTTGTTGCTTCAGTTCTGTCTCTGGGGTTTTCATGTAATATGATTATTATACTCTGTTTCAACAATGTATCTTTACATCCAGTAGCATTGAAACAAATTAGTTTTAAGGAAAGACACATACTTCAAAATTGACCCCAATTGTACAGACGAAGATGGTCAAAACATGCACTTTTACATCATCATATGCTACTAGTGTAGATATCATGGTTGCTTCAGATGCACACAACCTAAGTACTTGTGGTTTTTGAGTAATATTACCCTAAGAAGAAGAATAAGAAAAGGCTGCATTTAACAAAATCAAAAGATACGGTTGGTTCTAGGGACGGAGGGTGAGCTGGGCTCGGAGATGAAGGACGTCATTGATGAAGTAGGGACAATCCGTAGCAATGAAACTATCCCATGATGTAGAAAACAAGTTCCTGAAACCAACACCTTTATCTGCAGCGAACTTAAAGTTTCTTCTGTGTTTAAAGGCAAACTCATCTGCTGGCTTCGACCTCGCTGAGAACTCGTAGTCCACAGACATAGTCGCGGGTCCTTTTTCTTGCATCGCAAGAAACAATCCAAAACAGTGAAACATATTCATCGGGTCCATGTTGCAGTGAGCAGAGAGAAAGAACACTTGTCCTCCTAAGTCATACGGTTGAGAAAACACCTGACCTGATGGATACATGGCTGCGCATTCTTTGCGTTGCAAGTCCAAGTAAACGATGCATTGTTGGCGAGGAACCTTGAATTCCACAACCTTGATGAGTCTGAATGTGTAGTCTCGCTCAACAAACCGGTCGTTAAGCGGAGTGGGTTGTTCAGTGGCTGAACTGTCTCGATGGTGCGGCGGTTCTATCTTGTGGAGGAGAGCATCAAGGACTAGTTTCGATACGAGCTTAGGTTTGAAGTCGTCTGAGGTCAAGATTTTCTTGAGCCTGCGGGATGACATGTGAGGGAAACGGATGAAGCGAGCGAGATGCGTATCCATGATCTCGTTGCGTTCTTTTACAGCTGAGTAATGTGATCTTAACCATCTCAAGACAACTTCGTATAAAATGTCTTGAGACGGAACCATTAGATCGTTGCTCGCTAGTATTACTTTGAAACCTTGTAACGGTAAAGTCAACACCTCACTTATTGGAAACCTATCAAAAGTGTGAGGATGCATTTGTTTAAAAAAAATATATAAAGAATAAAAGAATGCTTTGAAAGTTTGAGAGGATTTAAAAAAAAAAAAAAGGCATACATACTCGGTTATATCCTTGCAGCGCAAGGCTAGGAATTGCTTTGCGGCATTTGTCAGAGGCTTTACGGAATCAGCCATGAACAGAGTAGAAGGAAGACCAAGAAGAAGCAATGCAGAGTCTAATGTCATTGGCATGTTTAGCAACAAATAGCTACAATGCTTCATACACGAAGCTACCTCAAACTTGTCTGCGGCCATTAGAACATCGAGCAAAGCAGGGTCGTCGTCACCGTTAGTGAACTGCTATACATGAACTTCAAGAGTTCCATTACTGCAGCTTCCTCTGCAAAACATATGGAAATCCTCAAATTTAATTTCATATATAATATCCCCAGAAAGATATAAATATAAGTATTTTATATGTTTGAGAATTGCAAATACCAGAAACATCTATCTGCAAGGTCAGATGTTTTTGCTCCGACTCAAGCATTCCATTAGAGAACATCTGTGAGAAAACAGAAATAAGAATGAGGTTTTGTACATCATGTGCATTGGATATAATATATTTCTTCATACTAACATTGTTATCCATCCTCACATTAAATTTAAATCTTTATACCTTGTAGAAAAAAGGGCTTTTGGCTGCCGATATCAGAGAGCTTATATGTAATTCTGTAGCTCTAAGAACTGAAGTATCAGTCGTCATCCCCAAGGAATGATACTCAGTATCAACTTCACCACCTGCAATTGCAAACACCAATGGTTCCCTTTTGAATCTTCATATTTGTCGAAAAAGCTAAATCACATGCAAGGATGGTCATATGACTCATATATATACCTGATTCGGAGTCTTGTTTAGACGTTACCATTGTTGCTTCTCCACGTTTGTCGTTGTGGTTCTCATCATTCCTCTCACATGAGTTCTTGTTTAACTCAAACACCACTTGAGATGTAGCAGGATCCAACACTGAAATATCATATCCCAAGTTCTATCAAGATCACTAAAACAAAATGCTATCAAGCAAGCACAAGAGCAAAACAGCCAATATAGCCACAATCATTTTCTCAAATCCCAAGTTCTAAAAGCAAACAAGTTGATTCATGGATGTTTCGCGTTTTTTAAAATCTTATTTACGGTTTTGCCACTAAATGGATTTTTGCCATGAGGGAAGAAGAACAAATCGTGGGTGTCATTCTGAGCATCTCCTCTTCTGCGTTTGCGATCTCTAACCCAATCGACGACTAACATGATTTGATTCACTTAAATTTATTATCTAATTTCAAAAAAGGTAAAATTCACATTCTTATAAAATTATAATTAACTTTCTATATATCGATAAAGCGGTATACTGTTTAAATAAGTTTTTACTCTCAATTAAATAATTTTGAATTGTATGCACTAAAATGATGTTTTATACAATTTTGGTTAGAATTGATTTGGCTTATTACTATAAGAATTTTATCAATTCATAAACTATCACAAGTAACTTTCTAAAAATCATGGAAGCTAAAACTTTTTTTCTACATTTCTCATAATATTCAGTTTACAAGTTCTATAAATAAACAAAAATTATAGATAATATATGATAGATAAATAAACGGTGAAGGTTTTTTTCCTTCTTTTTTTTTGTAGCTGGATATGGTTTTTTTCACTTCTTAAGCAACTGATAAGTTCAAATCAATATTGACTAAAGAATTGGGAATATATTATAGAACAAACATTCACTAAGGAACCATTCTTGTTATAATGTAATACTTTTTTCTTTTCTTTTTTTGGTCAAACAATGTAATACCTTTTATTTTCGAAATTACAAAACGGAAATTTGAATAAAAAAAGGTGTGAACTAATTTTTGTACCTAAGTTTATTAAATAGCATAAGTTAATTTAGTAAAAGAATAGTAATCACAGTCATTGTTTTCTAATATTCTTTAGGTGGAATGGCTATTTAGTACAAATACTATCAAACTATATTTAATGATGTTTATCTAGAAACATTAATGACATAGCGTGTGAGTTGTATATGTAGAGCGCGCCGGAGAAGGAAACGTTGAATGGCTCTGTTACAGCCAATGAGCTTTCCTTTTGTTTGAATTCTTATAAATTCGCATACCCTTCCACAGATCTTCTCCAACTCTTCGGGTTTATCAAACTGAACTCTTATAACCAAATTAATAAACGATGGCTATGAATGCAGATTCCGACAGCGACTTTGGGTTCGCTTTCAACAACGTCAAGTTCTCTGACCCGGATCGAGATCACTCGTGGCGGCGAGGTTGAGTGTTCGAGTATCGTCGATTGGGTTAGAGATCGCAAACGCAGAAGAGAAGATGCTCAGAATGAGAGCTACGGTTTGTTCTTTTTCCTTCATCTCAATATCTAGCAAAAAAAAAAACATAAATATTGGGATGAAGGAAAAAGAACAAACCGTGGCTCTCATTCTGAACATCTTCTCTTCTGCGTTTGCGATCTCTAACCCAATCCACGATACTCGAACACTCAACCTCGCCACCACGAGTGATCTCGATCCGAAGAAGACGGTTAACGTTGTTGAAAGCGAACCCAAAGCCGCCGTTCGAATCCGCATTCATAGCCATCGTTTATTAATTTGGTTATAAGAGTTCAGTTTGATAAACCCGAAAAGTTGGAGAAGATCTGTGGAAGGGTATGCGAATTTATAAGGATTCAAACAAAAGGAAAGCTCATTGGCTGTGACGACGGGAGCCATTCAACGTTTCCTTCTCCGACGCGCTCTACATATACAACCTACACGTCATGTCATTAATGTCTCTAGATAAACATCATTAAATATAGTTTGATAGTATTTGTACTAAATAGCCATTTCACCTAAAGAATATCAGAAAACAATGACTGTGATTACTATTCTTTTACTAAATTAACTTAAGTTATCTAATAAACTTAGGTACGAAATTTAATTCACACTTTTTTTTTATTCAAACTTCCGTTTTGTAATTTCGAAAATAAAAGGTATCACATTGTTTGACCAAAAAAAAAGAAAAAAAGTATTACATTATATCAAGAATGGTTCCTTAGTGAATGCTTGACAACAAAAAAGTGAATGTTTGCTCTATAATGTATTGCCAATTCTTTAGTCAATATTAATTTGAACTTACTTAAGAAGGGAAAAAAACCATATCCAGTTACAAAAAAAAAAGGAAAAAAAACCTTCACTGTTTATTTATCTATCATATATTATCTATCATTTTTTGTTTTTTATAGAACTTGTAAACTGAATATTATGAGAAATGTAGAGAAAAAAGTTTTAGCTTCCATGATTTTTAGAAAGTTACTCGTGATAGTTTATGAATTGATAAAATTCTTATAGTAATAAGTCAAATCAATTCTAACCAAAATTGTATAAAACATCATTATAGTGCACACAATTAGAAATTATTTAAATTATAAAAAATATATTTAATTGAGAGTAAAATTTAAACAGTATACCGCTTTGTCGATATATCGAAAGTTAATTATAATTTTATAAGAATGTGAATTTTACCTTTTTGAAATTAGATAATAAATTTAAATGAATCAAATCATGTTAGTTCTTAAAATAGTATTAAGCAAATTATCGTATGAAATTGTGAATTTTACCTTTTTCTAAAATTAGATAATGAATTTATGTGGATCAGATAATGTTAGTCGATAAAATGATAAGTAATTTAAGTGGATATGATCATATTAGTTGATAAAATGATATTTATGCAAATTATTTTTTTACGGTTCTAAATTTTATCTTTTCTGAAATAAGATATTGAATTTAAGTGGATCAGATCACTTTAGTCGTTAGATTGATAATTATACAAATGATCTTATAAGATTGTGAGTTTTACCTTTTTTGATATTAGATAATATTTTAAGTTAATCATGTAAACTTTTAAAATGATATTTATCGAAAATATCTTAGAAGGTTGTAAATTTTTCCTTTTTGAAAATAAATAATAAATTTAAGTGGTTCAGATAATAATAATAAATTTAAGTGGACCGGATCATTTTAATGTTTAAAATTATATTTAAGCAAATTTTGAAAATATTAAGAGACCGAACCATTGTTATGGATTTTATAAATTTATAAACCGTCTTTTAAAATTTCTAAAAGTTACAAAGAGAGGATCATTCGGACAACAAACACCAGTAGGTTTGTGAGAGACTCAGAGGGAGGCTCTTAACACTCTAATGATACCACTTGGATATTAAACCGTAATTATTACAACAAACAATAAATATTAGAGAGAGAGATCGTCATCGCGAGATAAGAAGATGTTGGAGATGAAGTCTTGGAATCGAGAAGAGTAGATCTTGGGATGGACGGTCGAGATTGAGTTTGAGTTATGTTGGATGGTTTTGTAACAATGTTCTATGCGTTTCTTCATACCATAGTCCTGAAATGTGTCTACGATCCCTAAATACAAAACCACATCGTACCATTCCTCCTCTTCCCCCGCCGCTCTATTCACTCGCCGTGCTCTCGCCGGAATCTTCATACCAAAATTGGTACTCTTGCTGTATCAGAGAGAAAAACAAGAAAGAAAGATTATTTCCTCAAAGTAAGGGTTTTTTTAATTATACATTTCGATATGAAGTTCTGGTTTCTTTACCATTTGACAAAGAGATCACTGAGGGTTCCTAATTTGCTTTTTCTGTTAATCAGATTAGTTTCTGAGCTTGTGCTGTTGCTTGTCATTGAGTTTTCGCTTTCGACTGAATCTGTTAAGAATCAAAGAAATGTTTACTTTTTGTTCTTAAGTATACTTTGATTAGACTTAAAAAAAATATATACATTGCTTGTTGCAAAAGATTTACCTCTACTGGGAGGGAATGAGTACATTGTTGCACACGATCTATCTGGTGAATTTAAACCTGTTCTGATCGAGTTTGCGCTATCGCTTTTCAATGAGCCTGCAAATTTAACACATATTTGTATATGACAAATAGCCTAAAACATGCAGAGATAAAAGAATGTTGGTGAAGTTTTTTTACCTGGAGGTGTGAAGCTACCGTAAACCGGGTTTACTCCATCAAGCGACTCTGTTATTGTTAAGAGTGATTTATTATGATCAGAGAAGTTCGAAACACTTTCACTAGTAAAAATACAGAGAAAAGGAGGAAACATTATATATTTACCTTGACATGACTCTTTTACTTGTAAACCAACCAATAAGCTGTAATCCATAATACCTTCTTCTTCCAAAAGCTCACAATCTAGCTTTGTTTGCCTGTAATGACATAACTCTTTGTGTTTGAGCATTCTGAACCATAAGTCGGTTATTAGAAAATTCAAGATATTACAGAGAAAGAGATCGAGATACTTGATGATGCGTTGTCTAACCAATGGATCAACGTAGAAACAGAAATCGAGATCTATATCCTTCAGAACAGTGTTGTTCCTCACTTCAATCTTCTTGTTAGATCGGCCTATCGAAGAACCTTTTAGGTCATAGAGTTTGTTCATAAAGATCGTCGAATGTAGCATGTTTGACATCACAGCAAAATATGTCTGCATACAAAGAAACAAACACATAACATAATGACTTTGTTTAAGTAACTAGTGGACTCTAATCATATAACATTCATATATATATATATATATATATACCTTAACACCTCCAATAGGCTTGACGACATGAACACCATAAATTCTTGAGACTAGTGATGCTCTATGATTATGAATATGTCGGTAGTATCCAGGAAGCATCCCCAGTACCACCTAGAAATCACAGGATTTGTTTTTCATATTTTTTCATCGAGAAGATGTGTTTAAAATGTTTTTGTTTTTGTTGAGTTACCTCAATCTCGGACTTTCGAAGAATCTTGATGAGAAAACGGTCATCAGTGGATATATGAAACACATTCCCAATTTTCCCAGAAGAAAGCTTCCTCAGAGTCTCGTCATTGCAAATGGAACGCATGTAATCATCATGATCAATATTCTCAAGCTCTTGTATAAGTCTACAAGATTTAGAACATAATTTTGAAACCATCAAAATACCCTTTTATGAAACCAGGAAACATTAACAATAAGTATTACCTGAAACCCAACGGAGAATAATCCTTCCAATCAAATTCAGTGATTGTGCCAGGTGGCAAGTGTTTAATTTGCTTTGAAGAGTATCGAATTTGACTTTCCTCTGTGGCTCTAACCTCCACAGCTGATATCTCCCTCGTAAACATTGCCATGTTATTGAAACTTAGGGAACACAAACAGAGAAGATGAAGAAGAGGAAGGAGGGAGAGAGTGAATTGTGTAAGACAGAAAAGGTGGGAAGAGTTTCTTTTATAAAAAAGATGATTTTGTTTTTTCTGGTAGGACGCATCGATGGTTTTAACTAATCTGCCTGTTGTGGCAACAATTATCTCCTCAACTCCCAAAACGAATTCCCGCGTTTTGTATCGTTTTTCATACACATTTTTTTTTGTGATAACGAGAAAATTTAATCTGAGAAAGAAAAAAGATGATACTATTTCTCTTATATCAGAAAATGAATTTTTAAATGTTCAGAAAAAAAAGATTTTGAAGTACTCACAAAAAGAAAAAAAATTGTTTGTAGGCAACAAAGAAATTTTCAAACTAGAGAGAGAGTTTGTTCGAGAAAAAAAAAAAAAAACTAGAGAGAGAGTTTGTTAGACGCATAACCGTCATAACTGCCTAAACGATGGCGTAACGTCCAGTGAGATATGAGCCGTTGATAGAGGGTGCAGGTGGCGAAGATCTGCGGTTTATAAGAAACCAAAAGACATCTGAACCGTGGGAATCAGATAAAAGATCTCAGCCGTCCATCATTCCTCTTCCTCGTAAGATACCCGACGATTTCATCAAGAAACAGCACATCAATCCTCCGCCGTCCGATGATGCTCGCACGTGATTCTTTCCCGCCAAACTTCGAACTGCGTTCCAGTCTCTCAGAGGAGACGGCATGGGAGAAGACGCCGCCGAGTCCGTACCGTCGTCGGAGAATTTTGCCGATCCGTTTAACGAATTCTCTTTCGAATCAGCAAGGCCGTTCTCCGAAGAACTGACCGCAGATCTCGACTTTCTCATCCTTCGACTCCGACGATTCTCCGCCATTTGCTCTTGAACGGACTTGAAGAAATCAGCGGGGAGTTCAGAAGCGTCGATTACCATGGCCGCGATGTTAAGAACGCCGTGGAACTTTCCAGAAGGGCGACGGATCTGAAGCGCGACGAGAGACGGAACCTTCACGGCGGCGGTTGGGAGGAAATTACTCACGAGAAAGCGTACGGTTCCGATCAGGTGATCTCGCAAGTAACCAACAGCATAGATTTCGATGGAAACGCCAGAAGTTTCGCTAGAGAGGAAATCCGAAGAAACCTGGAAAACGAATTTGTCGTTCCAAATCGGATTCTCAGCACCGATCCGATCGATCCGAGTCCGGAGCTTGTTGGAGGAATCAACCCAGACAGATGCGTAAGTCTGCAGTTGCCGGAGCTTTCCCGTCGGTTCTTTGAGTCCTTGCGCCGAGATGAGATTGATCTCCAGAACGTGTGACTCCACCTTCTCACTGTTTCCAGCTTCCATCTCTCTCTTACTTCGTCTTTCACAATGAAGCTCACCGCCGGAGAGTTATAGCCGTCTGTTAAAATCGAAGAGAGATGCGAGCGAGAGAGAAGTGAGAATGATTGAGACTTGAGACCTTTTATACAGTAATCTTTCCCAAAAAAAACAATGAATAAAACAAATCTTATAACCTAAGAAAAAAAAAAAGCACAATATTAATCTGTTTTTGTTTGTCATGCGTCTCCGTTTAACAAAGTGGAGTTTCCGGTATCAGTTCCGTTTTCTGGTGACGGTTTTACATATTTTCCGATTACTTTCTGGCGACCATTTCTACTTCTCATTCTATTCAGCTTATCTTTACTTCTCTTCTTCTTCTCCTCTTTCTCTACATTCTTCCTTTGCCTATCTTTCTCTAATGAGCCTCGCCACACGATCTCACCAGTCCATGGCCATAGCCAGTGACCCACACGACGGTCTGAGTCTGCTTCCTCTGCAAGATCCTCGTCCATTGTTTTCAGAGTTGTGTAGTCGAACCACTTGACCCACATCAGCCCTCTCCTGTTCTTCTGTTTGTGTTGCTCCTGCATCAAACCAGTCACAGGATCTACGTAGACAATGCGCCTTGCGCTGTGGTAAGCCCATACGTTCACCAGAAGCTCAAGTAACCGTGAATAGCAGTGCTTGTCCTGTTAAGAAATTTGAAATCATTACTCAAATCCAAACCAAAATGTGGATTGACCTAAAACCCATCTTAGAAGAAGAGGGAAATGAGTTGCTTACTTTAGTTACACTCAAGTAGCAACGGTTTGTTCGATGATGCTCTTCATATACCTGTGCATCCAAAGAATCCACGAACATCCTACAAACAAGAAAGAAACACTCTCTTAAGTACCTTTTTCTTTCTTCCAATGAGGCTCACATTGAGACAATCAATAAGTAATAGCAAGCAAGCACCTTGAGAACATGACAAACTCCAAGAAGGATCTTGTTGGCAATGCCCAGCTCTGCATCACAGACCATGTGTCCCCATCCTCGGGCATTGGTGGCAATGAGCCCAAATTCTTTATACCGTACATGTTCTTCAAAGTTTCGTTGTAAGCAAACCTTGATCAAACCCCATAATTTGCAAAAATTCAGGTAAAATGAGCCAAAAGTCTCAAACGTTGTTATGTTTTAAGAAATCTGTAGTGTCTTACCTGCAATTCCCAGCGTTTATGGCATCACAGAACGACCAAAAGGGTTTCTGCAGAGGATTTCTCGGATCTTTGTCCATGCGAACCCAAAAATATAAGGCATCTCCGTGTTTCCGTGTTTGTATAGCATCAAGTAATGCGTTCTCAGCAATCTTGGATAGAGATTCCTGTTCAATTACGTCACAAGTAAATGTTACTAGTGGACACAGATTATAGCTCAATGATGAGGGATTTTTTTAAGCCATAAAAGATATATGTACCTTCCTGGCAGTCGCTCTCCAGGACTGAAACCCAATCCATGAGTTTTTATGTAAACGGTCAATTTTGTTTGAAATTGCAAAAAATGCGCCAAAGTCACCAAGAGCATCGCGATAGTAAGGATTGTTGAAAAGCGGAAGACGTGATGATGCATCGATGTCATCCATCCTAGGTCTCCGTCCTTTAACTGACTGCGTCATCATGCATTCACATCAGTTTAGAAAAAATTCCCTCTTTTTGGATCACCTCGAAAACAAAACATTGAACATGGGAACTCACAAGGCCAACCCCACGATAGAGGGGATACTGATGTAGAAACGACCAGGTTCCTTCACCAAAATAGGGTTCATATATGCATAAAGGTTGACCCGTTCTTAGCAGCTCCCCTTCGTCCCTCTCATGTAGATCATTCTTACTTCGGTCTGCCCTTTTGGCGCTTTTATATACTTCCTCCCATGTCCCACGAAACTGCAAGACTCTGCTTTTCAGCTGCATAACAACACCAAAATCAAATCAAATTGACACCTAGGAAATGGAGATGAGAATGTCACTTTAAGAGCGAACTCGCATTTGAAATGCTTACCTCCTCGTCATCTCGTCTTTTTTTAGTATTAACCATTTGAAGAGCTCTCTCTTCTTCCCATATCTCATATACAAATGAATCATCATTAACTACCCCAAATTTCAGAGCTTCTCCTGTGGTATGATTCCAATGTCCCTCAACCTTCGCTATGAACTCATAGCTCCTTGCTGTTCTATTATTAGGTGACGTATCGAAAAAAGCTTCAAACAGATGCCAACTCCACTCTTCTCTCAGTTTTGGAGGAACCATTTGTACATCCTTAGGAGAATCAACTTCCGATGAAAACTTGAGAATATTCTCTAGTAGAGCCGCATAACCTGTTATGGTTTCCTGAGCCATCATATTCTTAACAGTTGCTTTTCCCATCAAAGCAATATTCTTAGCCAACGGAGATAATTTCCCTTCTGATATCACTTCAAGCACAATCTGCGATAGAACCTTAAGATCCTTCTTGGGGAAAAGATACCCGGTAACCCTGTCATCCACCTATATCATATTCAGTCAGTAAGCAGCCAAATGAACAGAGAACAACGAGCCACTACACAACTCCATGCGAGAAAACAAGCAAAGGAAAAAGAACATTACATGTTTTCTAATATTGACGAGGTCCGGTGCAACTATTGGCTTCCCCAAAGCCATGGCCTTCATCAAAATTTCTGGAAAAGATTGCTCCTCGAGAAATGATCCGTATAAAACAAGATCAGAACTTTCAAGTATCTTATCAACATTCCCCACGATGCTTACATGCTTCACAGCATCTTTTGGATATGTCAAGTTCTGGGAAATTGTCTAGAAATTCAAAACAAACCAAGGGAAGAAAGGTTACTGATTTTGCAAATCTCTCTCTTTCAAAAGCTACAAACCATTTATTCAATAGCAAAGCAGACCTTGTTATACCTCAATAGCTACACTGTAGTTGGAAGCTGTCTCTCCACCTAAAACTATGATCTTGAGATGGGAATTATGACTTTCACTGTTATAGCCTGAAAATAACGGCCGTAGAGCTTGCAGAAGTAGAGCATGTTCCAGCCATTGACCTTTGTACAAGAACTGACTTCCCACAATGGATATGACCATGTCATCTTTCCTTGGAAAGTCCAGATTCTTTGCTTTCCATACTTCTTCAGGAGATCCGGGAATCACATAAAAGTTGCCAGCATCAAACTCGGAGTAGAGAATCTGCATTAAGCAAAAAAGGCAAAACAAAACAATTATCCAAAGCTACTCAAAGCCGATGTTAATGCAGAAACAAAAATAATATTTTAATCGTAAAATGTTACCGGAAAGAGATAATTATGGAAGACTACAACAGATGCCCGGCTGAAAATCTTTTTCCAATCCGCGAGGAGTTCGGTCTGCCCTGTTGAGTTGTACTGTCTAGACCGAACAGCGAGAGTTTCTTCATTGATGACCCAAACAACAGGCAAAGATTTGAAAGGTTCTTGCATAAAGCTGTCAAAGAATAACAATACTTTAATCTATCAAGAACTTTGGAAAAAACGCACATAGATATATCTGTGTATACACATCTCATTTCAATCTACCATGATTAAAAACTAAAACCAGAACTATGTGATATACAAACATACCAAAGAGCCGAAAAATCTTACCAAGTAAACATACTCCTAGCTTCGAGAGAGTTCACAATTACGCCATCATAGCTTCAAGATAAGAACAAAGAATCAATGATCAGAAATCATCTCACTGGCCAAGTCAAGTCAACTAAGTTTGCACTATAATAATAGAAGAGCAGAACTTATAATGCATTGGATCAACCTCAGATCCACATTATCCAATCAAACAGAATCACATGAGTCCATTATATTTATTAATAGCCTCAAGATTGATTCGAGCTCTGAATTAACCAAGACATGCTTCACTAGTTTTCCTATAGTTTTCAAGCGATGCAAATAGCACGTAAAATGCGTTACATACGAGAGCCAGTCGATGACACAACTCGATGAATGGTTAGTCTTGACTATTGTGACTGGAACTCCCATTTTCTGCCAAATACCATTCACTGGACCGTCTTCAAGCGAGTGAACCTATCAAGACAACAAGTGATATACTTCATGTAAATGGTAAACACAAAAAAATCACAGAGAAGCAATAAAGCTATACCTCAATCGCGAAGCCAATCTCTTGCAGTGCCTTGGAGACAGTCACCATTAGCAGCTGTTCTGGATCAGCTAACAAATGGGCAAAAACCTTAAGAAGAGAAAACCACAATGCAGTCATCAGATCTCAACCAAGCATCAACAGCAATGTTCATTTTCTAATCACAAGTACTGACCAGAGCAAGCTTCGGCTTTCGGAATCCAAAACGCTGCAGAGTTGTGTTGAGAGAAGATGATGTGAAACTCAAACCATCAGTCTCTCTCTGGAATTTCATCAGAAGCTTGGTGGGCTCAAATCTAACATCCTCACCGAAATCGAAAAACCCTCTCTCCTTGAAAACAACCAAATCAGGTGGCAAAATCTCCTTGCTACTCCATGGTTTATCGGATTTATCGATCACGAGACCGGGCAAAAACATCTGGAATAGCACGACGAAGAAGAAGAACACACCCATGGTGCAAATCCATTGGAGGTAATTGAGCCTCTTGAATAGAAAGAACCTCGAGAGCCTCGATCTGTTTCTCTGCAAGAACGGGTGCTGTTGTTGCCTTGCCGCTCTCCCGCCGCTCTCTCTCTTCGCCGGAATCCCAGATTCCAGAGAACCCATTTTTTTTAAAAAAAAACTGAGAAATTACATGCAACTCCGGCGAGCTTACGGAATCTCAAACAGGAAAATGCAACCTAGCACCAGCTACGAACTCAACCCCCACCTAAATTTCAGTATAAATCCAGTAGATGCGACGAAATCTCAAAACACATCCGACAGGAATTTTCGGAAATCTGAATGAAAATCCAGCGGAAATCACAGCTCACGAAAGCGACTCAGGAGAGAGAGAGAGAGCACTCGAAGTGCGTGTGGTTATTCAGTTGACGACGTAGAGCATCAGTAGCGCACAGATGCGTAGATTCTTGTGAGCTTAGTAAAAAGCGAAGGAGAGAGAAACTCTTTCTTGCCGTCAATGGCAGAATCGGAGGAGACTAAACGGAAATTGCTGAGAAGCGAGAGAGATTAAATCTCTGTGAATTTCGCTTCTAAGCTGCGGATTCGAAGGGAGCAAGAATCTTTGCTTCCCTGTCCTTCTAATTTCACTTTTTTATTTATTTTCTTCATTTTGGTGCGACTACAAAATATAGTATATGTTATCCCCCCATTATCCTGATATGGATATTCAATTTTAATTACGTAAGTTAGAGAAATGCTACAAATTTTTCTTATGTTACACGCTTCATAATTTAGTATATTGAGTTAACCAGATAACATTATTTGTTAGAATCCGTTTTGACATATATCATTTTAGATGCAGAAATTGTGATAACAAACATAGATGACAAAAAGAAAAATAGAATAGTTTTAGTAACACACGAATGATAAAAGTCTTGTGACCAACATTGGACGTCAAGAACTATTTCTAGCACAGCGATTCTCATAATTAAATTTATGTTTTTTCGTTTACGGTAAATCTTACAAAAGCAGCATCCTCCAGAAACTCTAAAGTGTAAAATCAGTCACATGTTTCTAAAGTGTAAAATCAATAAATATACATAAACTCCAGTTTGAAAATAAAATAAAATATTAAGCAAGTGGGCCCTCATATCATATGCTAGCTGTCAGTCTAACTTTGGATTGTTTATAAATTTTGCAAAATTCGTTATCAATTAAATTCCAGAATACTTCATATTTGTCAGATTTTTTTAGCCTTTTGGATGTTTTTATTTTTCTAAAAATAGTTTTTTACAGTATCAAACCCATAATTTTAAGCCGTTGCCAAACTATAGAATGAAATCTTCCAACAGAATCAGTATTTTAGTATACTAATTTTAAGCTCCGACTCAGGGATCCCTGTTTTAGAAGAAAAAAAACCCTCTTTGGTTTAACCCATGTCCATTGTATTTGTGTATAAGCCTAATTCAATAGAACTTGAATGAAGTAATCATAGAACTGTTAGACTCAATGCCAATAGTAGCAGTCTAACATCGCCACTTAATAAACTCAAGTCATGTTCAATTATCCTTATAACACTTCTCACCTAAATTTAATGATTCCTAGAAAAAGAAGTAAAGAATTTTACTCAGTGGATCTTTCTTTCTTTGCGCAGCCTGAAAATTCCAATCACAAGAAGAGAGAGAGAGAGAGAACGAGGAAACAATCATTTTTCGACATTGGAATTTACTGTAGTTTTCCTAATGGGGACTCAAGAGCATGATCATCCACTAACCATAGACCAAAGTCACGGAAACGTTTGATCTTCTTGTCAAAACCGAGAATGTAGTTATTGTGGATTATGACATGTTTACCCTTTGTCTCTTTAACCCATGTCGCGTTCTTGAAGTATAATCCTCCTGTTGGGAAAGCTGCCTGAGAAAGCAAGTAGAGATCCACCTGCAGAACAAAAGGATCCCAAAAATAGTTGAGAATGATTTCAAACAAGTGAAATTACATTACTTTTGAGGTTGAAGACAATATTATAACCGAACATTCCTTAGTAGATTAGAGAAGTTATGAGTAGCTGAATCTCAGAGTATCAAAACTTTTAGTATTTTGAGATTTTAAGCTCCAATTTCAGAGAGCCCAATAATCGTGTAATAGAAGCCTGAAACCAATTTACAGCAACTTACTGTTTTACTGTGGAACGAACTTGGAGGAGAAAGCAACATACCTGATTAGCTGTTTTGTTAAGTGCCCAGTTAAAAGCAGGCTGATCATTTGCTTTCTTTGCTTTGGACCAAGGTTGATCATGAAGCTCCTCGATCCATTTCTTCATTAGAAGCTTTGCGCCATTAGTGGGACGCAAGAAAATCATGCAGCTACATATATATGTCCTTCCCTTTTTACCCGGAGGTGGTAAATCATGAGAGTGGTCCAATGGCTTAATCTGGCACCAAAAGTCAAGAAGATAATAAATAACCTGAATACCAAAGTTGCAGACATGTCAAGGATGAAGTGTGAAGTTACATACTGCAGTCATGTCATCCATGAAGTATGCATCATGGCTTCCTTCCAAATACTGGAACGGATCTTGCAACCAGACCATATCAACATCGTTGTACATAACATTGTAACCTAGCTCCAGAATTTGCAAGAGATGTTGCGGCCTCCGAGATGTAAAATTGAAGAAACCCTAACCGGATATGATATAGTATTAGTTAAAAGTCGATCAAGATCAGAAACACGGTACACATAATCATTCAAATTCAAAATCAGAAAAAAAAAAAGTGGCTGCTACTACATCCACAAGTTCACAAGATCAAATTCGATCAAATTCAAGAAGAAAACGACTGCTACTAAGACAACAAGATCCCAATCCATTGTTATTCATAGGATCAGCCATGGATTTACTAAACACAGCTCAAAACCAAAACCTCACGGACTACACAAACTTATAATCCGAGTTATCAGTGAAATAACAACGAGCATCCAGTGAATGAGTATCTGATGAAGGTAGATACATAAATCCGAATTATAGGCCATTTCACAGCTCAGCTATATATGAAATTGGATTGAGGAGATGAAACTCTGTGCAGAGAGTATACCTGGGAACCGAATTTGTGTGCGGTCTGAGAATCCAGCGCCGGAGGAATGAGAACGGCGTGACCAGGCCACTTCTCGTTAACCTTGTAAAGCGTAGCGTAATCCTCAGCGATCACGAGGACTTTGTCCTGATGCTTCTGCCTCGAAACGCTAATCAACCAGTTGTTGAGAAAAGGCAAGTAAGGATAGCTCACGGCGCAGACGATCACAGTGCCGTTCTTGGCGGCGAATTTGGCGGCTTGAGGGAGTGAGTAGTCGCGCCATTTGGATTGCGAAGAAGAAGAGCTTCTGTTTGGGAACGGGAACAAGGGAGATCCTGCCCAGGGTAAGAATACGCCGAGGATAACGAGGAGAGCGAGAAGGAGGAGGAGACCGCTGCGGCTGAGCACAGAGATGGGACGGTTTGAGCTTGAAGAATTTGAAAGAGGCGAAGAAGAGAAAGGGTTTGAGAATGGATTTTGGATGGGACGCTGGTGGAGGAACTGTTGCTGCGCCATTGTTGTACGGATTTTGCAGAAGGAGAGAAAACAAAAAAATTATGGGAGAGTTGGATTCGAATCGAGAACAAGGTTAAATTCGAAGGTGAGAAAAATTAAATACACAGAAGAATTCGGAATTCTAGAAAATCTCTAGTGAAGAAGATAGTGTAGATCTGATGATGTGGTGTGGAGGGAGATCTCAAACAGAAGAACAATGGCGATTTGGAAGAGTATTTTTTCATTTTCTTTCAATTTAATTTTATATTCCTTTTTTATAATCTGTCGGTATCATATGGGCTCGAAATGTTGATTTCAGGCCCAAATAGTCTGCCTTATCTTGGGTTGTAATAATTTTGTGATGTGCTCTTCTTTTTGTTGCGGCTTGTTTTATTCATCTAAATATATTTTGTTACAGAGTAATGAATTTTTTTTCTTCTCACTGAAAGAAAACAAAGTTACAAAAATGTTCAAAAACAACCCAAAAGTTATCGTCCCTCCAAACCAAACAAAACAGAGCAGAAGCTTCCGCAAAACAGACAATAACAGAATGGAAAACAGAGCAGCTATATCTATCACACAAAAAAAACATTCATTCAACCATGGAGAAGTGTAAGCTTTAGGATTCCATTAGATATCTATAGCTATGTAAAAATGGGTCGAGCCTCTGTAAACATTATTTTAAAGGCTCAGCCCCTTTTATATCCACAAAAGTTGTAGATAGCTTGAGTAGGAAGTAACCAAAACCACATGAACAGAGGAATGACTTGAAATGATTTGGACCCACACAAAAAAAAGAATAAATAAATGAACTAAAACTAAGTCAATCGAATCTAGTTTCAATTTCGATTTTTTTTAGTACTTTGGCTAATGAGGGATCTTACTTAAAACCTTGGCTTCAAAAACTTGGTAATGCTTCTTCATCTCAATCACAGCCTTCTCTGCAATTGGATCAATCTCATCTTCAAACTTCTCATAAAGCATTGGCACCGTGTGAATCAATACAAAGCCTGTGAATTTCAACAATATATTATTAGGACAAGACATACTCACTAGATTAATAAAATAAGAGTATGAGAACCAGTTGTGTATTGCTTACAGATGTAGACCAACGACAAGAAGCTGAACAAGTTTCCAATGATGGATACAAGCCAAAGTCCTATGAGTGCCTTTGTTTCAGAAAAAAAAAAAAAAAAAAAAAAAAAAACATAAATCGTTTCAGAGACTGCTCAAAACAAGACTTGAGAAAACAAAACTAGTACCATTGCAAAGTTCTTGATGTCTCTCTCTAAGGCAATGCTCCTTAAGGTTGCAAAAGCACAGTTAAGCTCAAATGTCAATGCAGAAGCAGCTTGGAGTAATGGCTTCTCAGGGATGTAAATCTCCATAATGCTCTCTGGAGATCTATAAATGATATTAGCAAACAGAGGAATCAGGTTTTACTTGCAAGGGATGTGAAGCAAAGATGCAACCAAACAAAAAAAAATGATGATTTACTTGTTGAGGGCATGGGACCAGAGGAATGAGAGAAGCAGAAAGAGGATCGATCCACGACAAACAAAAGTGAGAAGACGACAATGACCAAATCCAAACAAAAGCCAAATCGTAGTCACTGCACTGAGTAATCCCGCCGTAACGTTCTTGTCCCTCCATAACAACACATCAGCAGCTTCATCAAATCACCCCAGACACTTTGTGATTAGGTCACATAATCAATCGCCATAAATCTATAAATTCCCTCCACTACAATTACAAATGTCACACGAAATCTGAAGGAACACACATATGACTAATCATTGCCCTAAAGTCGCTATATTAGACCAAAACTCCGGCAACCGAATCTGTGAGAAATGAAACTCGAACGAGTGTGGAGAGTGTTCGTACGTTTACCTCCGCCGAGAACCACGTGGATTGGTCGCTCTCTGCCAAACATCCGGTAGATCGGAGCATTGATGGGAACGGGAGAATCTGGTTTCTCGCTATCAGTATCTGACGAGGAAAGCGAATCCAGGCCGTTAATCTCCGCTGGTGCGATGTTTTCCATCAACGGCTCCTCCAGTGGCCCGACGATCTCTAGCTGCTCCTTCTCCATTCTCGTCTTCCTCCTCCGATTCCGAAATCTCTCTCAAGTCCAAATCCAAATCTCTTGCGGAATCGAGGAAATTAAGAGGCATAAATTGTTTCATATACGCGCGTTTTCCAGTCCGAGTTTAGTGGTTCGTTGAAGGAAGTATGGTTCCGAAACAAAACGACGCCGTAAGGCTCTGTAACAGAACTGCATCATTTTTTTTTGGAAATTATTTGCATCTTTCACAACAAACATAATGTTAAATAAATAATACCTTTTCATTAGTAAAAGTTAATAATAGAAACATTTTGACATTTTTTTTTTATAGATTACAAAGATACTTGTAACAGTAAACACAAAAGACTATGCAATGATGAATCATCTAAAGGGTCTTGGAGGTTTCTCTAACACAGCAGAGAAGAAAACTTCCTTATCATCTTTATCTCTCTTAGGTACAACAACCCACTTATGTCTCCTATACCTCAACGCTTTAAAAGCTTCAATGTAATCACCCAAATCCTCTTTCAGACAGAAGAAACCATCGATCCACAACAATCCACCAGGTCTTAGAACCCTGTCCCAATCAAACAGCACGAAATCAAGAAGTATCAGGTCGATCCATCCGTCGAGAAACCTCGTCGTGTGAATCATATCCAGCGTGCTGTCGAAGAACGGTAACCGCTGGTTCACGGTTAAGTACAAAGGCACTAAACCGCGCAGAGAGATCATCTCGTTGAATGGAGCGCCGAGGTTGATTGTCGCTGTTACAATGGTGACGTTGCGTTCCCTCATCCTCGCCGCGAAAGTTCCCGTGCCAATGCTGAAATCCAATCCGACTCTCATCTCTCCCGGTTTGATTTCCAGCACTTCTTGTATCGAGAAATCCGCGGTTTGGTTAGTCTCTGGATCGATTTCGCCTCGGTTAACCCATCTGGGAGACTCGTGGTGCGTGAGGTTGAAGCAGTCAGTGCATTTGAAGAACCCTTTTCGCGCTGTTGTGTTGCTAGCGAGGCAAGCGAAGTTCTTGCACTTGTACTGTCCCCATCTCACATTCCGGTTATCCGGAAGCTTCCACAAAGACTCGTTGATCGGAAACGGCTTGTGATATAGCTGCGGTGCACGGGAGAAGCAGCGTCTCCTAGGCAACGGATCGCATCCGTGAACCATAAGCTTCTGAGCTAATCTCCAGTCGTCGTTGCAGATTTCTCCCACGTCGTAGTCCATATACTCTTCTAGATCTTTCTTCATCGCGAAACAAGCGTGGCCGATGGAGGTGAAAGTCCCGTTAGCTCCCATGAAGTTCTGCTTCCCAAGCCGGTTCGGTTTGATCTTTATGTATTTCTTTATCTCTTCCCTCATGAAATGCTCGCCCGGGTCACCGTTCCGCTGCTTCAACGGATGATCCGCTACGAATCTTTCTTCGAACGATGGTAGTTCCATATGAACTGATTGAATCAGGGAGAGAACATCCGCAAGAAAAGCAACGTGCCTAAACATGGATCCTGAAGCTGATGAATCAGATGATGGAGCTGCAGAAGAAGCTTCTAAAGCCTTGAGATCATCCATTTCTTGGTGGATTTTGAAAATGGCAGATTCGATCGTCTTCCTCATTTGGCTTCCGATGTTATAGCCGTCGCCTTCAAAGCTTCCGTGAGAGTTGCAGAACCGATCAGAGAACCTTAGTGGTGTGATGTAGTTGAACTTAGCCAGAGTAGCTACTGAGATGAGAAATGCCAAACCAGCCAACACATAGATGGGTCTGTTGATGCCATTGAAAGATCTAATCTTCGATAATACATTCGTCTTCACCATCCTCCAAGCTCTGTACAAACACAAAAACAACAAAAACCCCTCCCAAAAACACACAAAATTGAATCTTCAAAAATTTAGCAGATGTGTAATAGCATTTTCCCCATCGAACTTGACACCACAGGAACACAAAATAACGCCATCCTCTTTTGACTTTACACAGAAAGATCTCAAATGAGAAGCAAAATACTTAAAATCTAGTTGCAGAGATAAAGTTATGAAGTCTAACTTCATCTTTACCTAGGGATCAGTGGAATTATACTAATCCTTGGGAATTTATCTAATACTATTCAACATACTTAAACCACAAGCGTAAAATGCACATGGAGATTTCTGAAGTGTTTATGAAATCCCACGATGGTACAAGGCGAAAACCCTAGAAAAGTTGCAGAATTTAAGGAGGAAACTAATAAATTAAACGGAGAATTTAGAAGCAAGCAATAAGAAAGCCGATTCCTAAGGATCCCAGGCATTTGAATCACATTATCATAATAATATTAAATTAATTAACAACTACTAGATGACTCTCTCTATTACCTCAGGGAACGATGGGTTCCAGATTCACGATCACGGCGAAGAATGGCGAAAGAACGATGTTCGCTGCATAATGTGGTAATAAATCGGATGAAGAAGACGCCATTTTCTCGCTAATCGCCGATGGGAAACAATTTGTTCGCCGGAAACAGATGAGAGTATCAAACAGAGATATGTAACGGTGAATGAGAAATTTCGGATTTGCCCAAGTAATCGTTGATATTTATTAAGGGGTCCCTTTATTTGTTGCTCTTTCTCTTCATTATCATGTTAAGACTTAAGAGATACATTAAGTACTTTTGATTTAAAAAAGTTACATTTGAATTTATTTTTTAAATATATAAAAAAAGGAGGTAGGGTGAGGATACGCGCAGCGAATAAGATGCGCATTGTTATACTGGACCGACCATCTTCGCCCATCCACACACTCTCAATAGTTTTTCTTTTAATCAAGTGCATTGCTGTACACAATAAGAAGAGTCATCAATGAAATACTTATAAAATGTGGGCCTCAACATCGGCCCAAGGCTCAACACAGACTAAAAAACTACTCGTTGAAGGTGAAAGCACGATCAGAATTGTTTTTCCCATACCTCTAGGCTCTACCCAAAAATATAACATGTGCCATGTTTTAGCATTTAATGAAACTAACCTTATTCTTCGAAACTTATTCATGATAAAATTAGCACTGTGAAATACAATAATACATAGAGTGATAGTGTCAGGCTCTTTTATGGTTACATTTATTTAACTAAAAAAAAAGTAAACTGCAAATTATACCGGTACTAACGGCTAAACTAATTATTTTCTAAAGTTCTTAGTTTCAAATCTCTGTTTACTTGCCCATTAGGATTTCGGTTTTAGATGAAGGGACAAAATAGATATGTCAAGAATTTTATTGTGAAAAACAAACATTTACTGCATAACAATGGAATACTGCTCATACGAAAAAATAAAAATAAAATCTAACCGAACTCCACCAATTAGCTAATAATCTTCGTCGTCTCGATGAAATGATAAAAACCAAAAATCGGTTACGAATACGGGGCTTGAGGAATATACAATTAAATTTGTTTTCTAAGATATTCAGAAAAGAAAAACCGAATAAGTAACAAAGAACTTTTTTTTTCCTATTTTCACAAATGATCCGAGAATAATTCCTTACTCCTATATCTTTCCTAAAGAGAGTATTCTAAGGTCTAAACTCCGGCGAATCATATTCCGCCGCTGGTTGTGACGGCACTGTTTACAACCCAAGATAGATCAAAACTCGCCGGCGCTGAATTCCCGGAAAAGCTGTCTCCGGCAGCAAATTCCTCCAACCCCTCGAAGAAATCATCGCTCACCACCGTATCCGACATAGACAACAGATCCTCGTCTCCGTCGAGATCCCCGACCGCTAGATCCTCCACAGGCAAGACGAATTCGTCGGCTGACGTCACCGGAGACGATGAAGAAGTAGCAATCGTGGTTGTCGGAGATTTAGTCGTCGGCTGCTCAGATGATTTCTGACGGGTGCTCCCGGCGAGGGAATTACGGTGGGTAGGAGCTGGGTGATTGTGCTCCGCCGTGTAAGTGACGATGAACATCGTCGGGTCGGATCTATTTCGCTCAACTTGTTTACGGGCTAAACATCCTTTTGATGTACTACATCTGTAATATCCTCTGTTTTTAACAAAAACAGAAGAAAAATTATTAGAAACAGAGATGAACTAAATGCAAACGGAATCACAAAAACAGACAAGTTTCTTTGTCTTGAAAGAATACACACATTTAAAAGTCTTTAAAGAACAATAAATGAATTTTTGGGGAAAATTTTAAATCTTTTTTTTTTTATAATATACTTATATATATACCTTGGATATGGTGAACCTTTGATAGGTTTTTGTCCGTACTTTCGCCATGCCCAGACATCTGAGTTTAAAGCCTCTGCTGCTACATGGCACACTTTCTTATGCTGTATCTTTCTGAAACAAGAAACAAGCAACAAAACACAGAGACTTTTTTTAGTCATCTTCTACTACATACAATAAAATTCGAAATTAAATTTGATGGGTACCAAACAAACGCAAAATTACTTGACGGTTTCGACAAAAGATACGACAAAATTCGAAAACTTGAAATTAATTTGACGGTTTCAACTACAAAACGCAAAATTTAAAAAAATTCTTGATGGGTTAAACAAAAAGGTTTTCGCTTTTTATGGTTATTGCTTAGCAAAAATTGGTTAAGAGTCTAACCTTCTTTTAGATCTGGAGGTATTGGAGCCGGTAGGTTTGCTAGTGACGCTACCGGAAGAAGCGGAGAGAGAAAGGGGACGTTTCAGGTTTTGTCTCTGTCTGGATTCTTCTGGATAATTCAGACAAGAAAACGAGGAAACATTTGAATCTTGTGTGAACGGCGTGTACAGATCTCGAGTCTCTCCGAAGACGACGGCGCTACTCTGTCGTTCGAAGGTGAATATAGGGTTCGTGTGAGATGAAGCGCCGCCGGAGAAGACGGTGGTTGTCGTGGTTGCTGATGAGCTTACGGCTGAGCAGCCTCTGACTACGGCGTGGAGATCCCAATCGTCGGCCATTGAATTGGTTTCTCAGGGAAGACAAAAGCTTCTGAGAATCTCTGAGGAGAGAAGAGAAAGCAGAGGAGACAAAAGAGGGCGCTGACTTTAGAAGGGTAGAGAGAGATGTTTATAAAGAGAGTGAGAGGAGGAAAATTAAAAGGGTTGAGAAAAATGGAGGTCAAATTATTTTATTTAAATGTAAAATACAGTGTATAGTTTTGTTTTGTTCTCTTATTTTGACAATGCATATTATTCCACATGTGAAACAATATACATATAATATATAACTTTTTTTTAACAGAACATATAATATATATCACTTATATAAAATTTGAAATAGCTATGTGAACGACAAATTATATTGTTGTGATTATGAAAAAATCAAAATTATTTTAGTACGGACGGTAGTACTTGCCTACATGGTAAACATACTAAATCAACATACAAACATCAAAGCAACATATATTGTAAATAAACTAGATGCTATCGTGTGAACATGAGACAATTGTACCAACTAATATGAGTTGTTGTAATTAGCAAACGCCTTTGGATCCTAACATAAATACGGAATCCTCTTAAACTAAGTCTATTTTTGTGCTAACATCTCGTCTATTTTTGTGCTAACATCTCGTTTCGATTTTCTTAGGGTTTGGGTTTTTTTTGACATTTGGTCAGAAAATCTGTTTGTTTTATGCCTATAACTAAACTAATTAAACATAGTAATTTCATGTTTAAAAAAGCAAATAAGTATGAACACACTGATAGACGAGTACTCTCGGAATCACAATGCGTGTATATGTTAATACGTACTTTATACTTACATTTATATTAAAGTTATTTACTGAAAGAGAGAGGAATTGTCTCTTTGGCTTTGTTTACATATCTATAAAAAGAGAGAAAGTATGTGCTTCAAGAGGGTATCTCGATGCTTATCCTCTCCTTGTCGCCTAGTGTTGGAGAGTAAAACCATAAGTGGTTTCTGGTTTCTTGTTTTTGGTTGACTTTTGTAGTTTGTCAAAGGCTTTGAATAATCTTCAAATTCTTCTTTTGTCAACCTCACACTCCTTAGACATTTCCACGCGTCTCTCACACGCGCTTTTGGCTTTGTTTAAGAACAAATAGTGGGAAACCATACTTTCGTCGTAGTGCCTACTTTTTATTGATGCGCACAAGAAGTAAAAAACTAGCTTAATCTTTTTACCTTTTATCATCCACGATTATGAAATTAAAAATTGTTAAGATTATGTAGTTATGATATATTTCAAAGGTAAGAGATAAGAGAGAAATAAAAGTTATATTTTATCCCTTTCCAGATCATTGTAAACTTTCGATATTACAACTTTCAATCCAGCAACTGATTTTTTAAAACAACTACAGATAATACATGCATTCCATTTTCACAAAAAAATTCATAAGTTCTCCGTTTCACTTTTTAAATATATATGAAAATTATGTAGAAAGAAAGATAGTGATTGTCACTTAGCACCTTAGTTGATCCCTCTGCCACACATGCGATACATGCGATACTGTTGTATCATTCATTACCTTTTAAGAATAACAACAAAGCATATGTAAAGGATTTTAGAAAAACAAGATATGACTGTTGTGTTTGAAAGTATTTTTAAATTCGATAGGATATTATATTTTTCGATCACTCAAGTTTTTGTATTCGTTATGGATTCGACAATATATATAATTTATCCAGTTTTATATATAACTAAATAATAAAAATGAAATTTTATTTAAAAAGGAAGCTGATTACAGTGTACAGTATTGTTTTATAAGTGATTATTACATGATTAGTCAGATCAGATGCCACAGTTATCTGTTTATTTCATACAGTATTAACCAGAAAGAAAATTGGAAGAAATTGTTGTAAGAAAAAGACAAAGAATCAGTATTTAAAAAAAAAAAAAAAAAGAATTTACCAGTCTATCAGGGTGTAACACACGTGCCGAAAGACAAGAGCGCGTGATCTCCGCGAGTAAAAAGGTTGACAATCTCACAAAAATCAACGGTTCACACGACGAGTTAGCTTCCAAAGATAAGAAGATATGGATGTGCTACAGCTGTCCATAAAACCTAGAGGGTCCTACCTTCGAAAATGCTTTTATGCCGTTACCATTATCCCTCGCCTCGTGATGTTGATTCGTCTTTGGAGACAATCGTACGGCTTAGAACGCTCCTATCAGCTGTTGGTCATTCATCCGACGGTCAAATCGGCACTTTTAGTTTTTCTTATGCTTCGACTCATCCGACGGTCGAGATTCGCCTGACCCAGTCAGGTGCATGAGCCACGTGAAGCCGTAGGGAACGGATTATTTAGAAAAAATGCTACAAGTGGGCTGCACGAGGCACAGTATCAAAGCGCGTGGACCCACGCATTTTCCTTAATTTTAAATTTTAACAAAGACAATTAAAATATTACTAAGTCAACATTAATTTATGCATTGTGTGTTGACTGAAGGTTTATTTTTTTACATACTCTTCTAATCAGATTAATGATGATTACAGCTCACAACTGAGATTTTAAGTTAAGTCGGTAAATCCCACTTAGTGGGAAGAATTAACGAGGACTCCACTGATCTAAATAGTAAATGGGCCGTCAGTTTTAAAAATGATGGGCTTTATACATGCAACTTCTGCTGGTATGTTACTCTCACGTGACTCACTCGTGACATAGTACTCTTCGTCCCTCCTCACAGAAAGCTTTTGGCGGTTGCTCAGACATTTCAACTTTTTATCCCGCGCCATGTTCTCCTTCTAGAAAAACTGTGGCTGAAGGCCTGCACTCAAAAATCAAGGCATTGTTGTCGGAACGGGCTAGGCACGGATTTTCCGGAGAGATGACCGGCGAAAACGAGGCGGGGAGTGCTATCTGTTCCATCTGCTACGAAGATCTCAAACCGGTGGTCGAGAATCTGCAATCGATCTCCGCCTGTGGTCACGTTTTTCACGAACTATGGTTAGTGCTGCACAACCGAAGATCTTTCACAGTTTCTGATGAAAATTTGCTAATCGACTTTTTTTTTTCCCGAAACCCTAGTTTGCAGCAATGGTTTGAGTACTGCCCGGCTACGAACAAGCGAAATTGTCCGATTTGTAAGCAGAAGTGTCTTCTGAAGGATCCTTGCCGACTTTATTTTCAATCTTCCGGGAATCAAATCGATTCGAATTCCTCGCGGAAGGTCGGTGAAATCGAGGAAGATCCGGCGTTGTTGAGAGGAGAAGTGAAGCGGCTCGAAGGGAAGATACAGAACCTTACTTCGGCTCTCGAGGGGAAGAAAAAAGAGAATGTTGAAGTCTCCGATCAGGTAATTTGTATTCTCTTTGCTCATCGTTGCTGCTAAGTGAGTAGAAACACTTCATAGGAGACTGTATATACAAAGCATTTGAGAACCTTGTGGGTGTTTCTTCTCAGTTGCATCAATGCAAGGAACAACTGAAGGAGGACAAAGTAAAAAGGTGGGAGGCTCTGCAAGAAATATCAACGACCCAGCATTTGCTGAAATTGAAATCCGAGGTTTGATTAATATAAACATCCCCGAAATTAAAATCCGAGTAGAACTTTGTGTTGAGTAGTTTCTTAATTATATGTTTGTTACAGGAATGTGTTCAGCTTACTTCCAAGTGTTCTGAGCTACAAGACAAAATTATGGCTCTCGCCAAGGAGCTCGCAGCGCTTAAATTGTGGGAGAAATATTTCTTATTTCTCTTCTAACGTTTTTCAGATTCTGAAATAATTCATCATTCAGTCTTTTGGTTAAACCTTTCTGAGTCTATATCTTGTTTTGCGATCAGGGTTTCGGACATAAGCTTGGAGGAAGATGATGTTCTGAAGCTAGCCTTGTTGGGGAATAATGCTAAGACAAAAGATACAATAGACACACTAGTCAAGTCCTTGGTTATCCGAAATAGGTTGGTACATACCATATATTTTGTTACTGCTCTCACTTTTCTCTTAGGTATTTTTACTTTCTGAAGTCTTTGACACAAAACGTTGTTGCGTCATGTTACAGGAGTTATAAGGAGTTGCTAGCCAAGTGCAATCAGCTGGGCAGAGGCGAAGCTCGTTCATCTGAGAAACTTGAAAAAGCTTTGGAGAAGATAGATAGACTAAGGGTTTGTCTTTCTGTTCTTGTATTCGATCTTATCTGTTTCTTGTACCGATCTCATGTGATCCTTTTTCAATGGGCAGAAGCGAGTGAGGGAACTTGAGATGATAACCGAAGAGAGTGAGAACAGAGCTTTAAGGGATATAAAAGTTTCAATGAAATGCAGTGACAGTGAAGTTTCCAAGCCTGCAAACGAGAGCGTGGTTTCTTTCAGAATGCGTCCATCAGGCAACATAGTGGAGAAAATCTCTTCACCACTTGGTAAGTTAGAGAAGAATGATGGCTTCACCAGTCATGGATCATGCTTAAAGGGAATAGGAAACTCTCTTTTTGGCAAACCGGAGTCGGTTATCGAGGTAGATGATGATGTTCCTGAAAGTGAAACCACCATTTCTGGCATCAGACATTGGGATTCTAATATGAAAGACCAGAAGGGTGATGGTAACACTGTTGGAGAGAAATGTGATAGTCCCATGATCAAGGATATAAAGTTTAACATCAGAGAAGAGCCGACATCATCAGTCTTACCTCGCAGCAATGGTACTTTTTTTTGGGTTGTACATCATCATTTCAGGTTCCGAGTGTAGTAGTAGATTTGAAGATGGTTTTCAAAATTCAATGTGCAGGTGGTGCTGGAGACATTTTGCAGTCAAAACAAAATCTCGGAAGATGGAGCAAACAAGGAGAGAGAAACGGAGCAATTCCTTCACTAGGAGGCTCAGTCTCAGGCAAGGATGATCTGATCTCTGTTGGACCTGATGGTAAAGGTGGAAGAATCAAAGTATTGAGATCTAAACCCCAATTCTCTAACGCCAATGCAAGCTCAGGAAGTGGTAAGAGATTCAAGATTGGAACTAAAACAAGTGGTTCGTCGTCTCAAGGGTGTCTGCAGATCGAACATTTTTTTGGAAAACCCAATCGCTAACTTGTTGAAGTCTCTGTATGAGAGAATGTGAACTTTTTGGAAGAAAAAAAAATGACAGAGATCAGATCATCCCTGCCTGAAAAACTAGTGAAATTCCATTGTGCAAGTGTGTGATTTTGTGGTAAGGTTAGATAGACCGTAGCGTCAATGTAGTTTTTCACAAAATGACATAACTTCAATGGCAAAGGGAGAAACTAAGACATGAGAAAAACAAATGTCTGAAAACTCAAGTCATCAAATGACAGAGGAGTTCCAGTGGCCGACAAGTACAACTCTGCCTTCTCCTCCTCCGCTAAAGCATCGACCTCTCTACTCTTTTGCCGACGAACATCCACTGAATATTTCAGAGTCTAACTCAGAGCCACTTGCCTGACAACGACTCGTCAAATGCCACTCTCAGATTATGCAAGAAGAGATTACTTTATCATTAAGCCTCATATCCATGTGACCTTTGGTATCAAACTCGTCTTAGCCAAATATATAATAGCATGAAGTCGATTACATGACGATTTTGTGCTTGCAGATAAGATAACCGTTGATTCTAAAGTGATTATTCACTTTTTGCTAACGGCGTCAGTGGCAGTAGGATCATAACACGTGTTCGACCGAAATGTTGGCTGAGAAAGGACCAATGCGAAACGCAAAAGCTGTATCGAATTTTATCCCAAATCGAATCTGAAACGCAAAAAAGCAAATTGCTGTTTTCGAGCTCTTTCTAGCTCTATCTATGGTGTCTGTAAACCCCAGACCTGCTGCTCAGGGTTTCCCATTTTTCGATCCCGTGAATATGAGTTTACCCGGGTTCAATTCGCCGGCGCCGGGCTCCGATGAATTTGGTTTGGCTCCGACTGCTACGACGCCGCTCACCGGACGGAGCAATACGCTGTCGTTTTCTGAGGATCCGGCGACGAAGATTCGGAAGCCATACACAATTAAGAAGTCGAGAGAGAACTGGACTGAGCAGGAACACGATAAGTTCATTGAAGCTCTCCACCTGTACGTATCGGAATACTGAGATTTCTCTGGGTTTTAGCTCGGACTAGCTTTACAATCGATTGTCTTTCAATTTTAGAAGCTTCGAGATCTCTTTGTATGACGTAAATTCGAATTTGGTTGCGCTCTTATATTCTAATGAACTCTTCTTGGTATGAACAGATTCGATCGAGATTGGAAGAAAATCGAGGCATTCGTTGGATCAAAGACAGTGGTCCAGGTAATTGATGAAAATCACAGTTATCTATCATGTGTTCTCTGTTGGATCAAAGAGATTCTTTGTTTTTCACAATCACATATATCTTCTCTGTTGGATCAAAGAGATTCTCTGTTCTCACAATCACATAGACGTTATGATGATGTTTGAGTTATTGGGGTTTGGCAGATACGTAGCCACGCACAGAAGTACTTCCTCAAAGTTCAGAAGAGCGGTGCTAACGAACACCTTCCACCTCCACGACCAAAGAGGAAAGCCAGTCATCCATATCCTCAAAAGGCTCCTAAAAATGGTGAATATAATCTTCTTCTCAGCTTCTTGTGTCTATTCTTTGCTTATTTTATCATTCTCTCTGATGATTTTTTTCTTTTGTTTTTATGCTGCAGCTGCTTCGAATGCACCTTTGCTTGAACCTGGTTTCTTGTACAACTCTGATACACAGTCATTGCTGGGAAACCCGGCCGTCTGTGCGTCAAGCTCTTCTTCTCGGAATCATGAATCAACAAATCCACCAAAACTTGTGATCGAAGGTAAATATCCAAGGTGACATCATGGTTTGAGTTAGTTGTATCTGTGAATATGATACTTGACAATATGGTGTAATAAATTCGTGATAGTAGAGGAACCGGGAGTTTCGGCCACGGGTCTCCGAAAGAATCGCTGCTACAGCACTAGTAGTGAGGAAGTTACACGGAGGTTACGAGCGGTGACGGAGCCGAATGATGGAGAAAGTTGTGAAAAGCCACATAGAGGTAAGGCCTTTGTTGTCGTGTTACATTATGTATCTTTTGACTAAACGGGATTTGAGTTTTACGCTGAGAATGTGTTGTTTGGTGGCTGTTTCAAACGCAGTGATGCCCAATTTTTCTGAAGTCTACAGCTTCATTGGAAGTGTCTTTGATCCCAACACATCAGGTCACCTCCAGAGGTTAAAGCAGATGGATCTAATAAATATAGAAACGGTATGAGCCGTGTTTTAATCAGACTCCGTCTCGACTCAGAGCCTTTGTTCAAAAATTCAATCCTGATCATAAACAGAGAAGCTAATTTGGTATTTTCCTTTTTGGTACATCAGGTGCTTTTACTGATGAGAAATCTGTCTGTAAATCTGCCAAGTCCCGAGTTCGCAGAAGAAGTAAGTATTGCATTTATTGCGACTCTCCTTGAAAGACTGAAATATTTATACTTTTCTTGGTGGGTACTCAAGTGATCTCGTCTTTCATTTATTTGGTGCTGTGATATGCAGAGGAAGTTGATATCATCTCATAGGACTAAAGTTTTGAAATCGAGATTGGAAAAAGCAACAGCGGACCTTATGTGAGAATAACAAATATTCATCCATGGTATGTATTCATTGGACTGAGCAGGAGAGCAGAACCAAACACGTGAACTCTTAGATGGCTACTGAGTACTGGTTCTCCGAAGTCTTACTTAAGCGCAGTTGTTTGTCCTATATTTGTATGGATAATAGAGGGTTTTGTAGAGGTATATAGATATGTGTTTGTAGGGTCAGAGTTTGTAAAAGACTCTCGTGAGTTTGGTCAATCTTAGGAGGTCTTAAGTCGATAGTCTGTGTGAAGGAGACTGTGATACTGGTTTCTTAGTCTGCAGACGATGGGTTTTCTTTCAAAAGTTCAGATGAGTGAAAGACACCTTTAAGCCATTAGATAAGACCCATAAGTTTTGTGTACATAATAAATATGAAAGTTGGAGGTGAAAAAGACCTAATTTCACGGCATCATATCCTTTTTCTTCTTCGATCTCTAACATTTTCGCCGTTAGGCTAAGGTAAGATCATCGATAAACCTCCTCAAAAGCACTCCTTCAGTGTTTCCCGTGAAATTTCGATTTCCCATTGTTAAATTTCGATTGGTTTCCATGTGAATTTATCAATTTCGATCTCCACGACTCTAATTTTTCTTTTGATCGATGCGATTATTAGGCTCATCGTCCTTTTGTTTCAGAATTACGCATAAACGAAATACAGATTTTGTTAGTTATATACTGAATCTACCATATATGGATGATTTCTCTCATATGAAAGCTAAATATAACCTCTTGTTTCCTATAGGTGATTTTCAATGTGATTTTCAATCTCTAAATTTGCTTACTGTATGTTTGATTGTAGAAAATTAAAGACGTGTCTGTGACTGATTCATTCTTTTTTTGGCTTAATGTTTAAAAGGATGATGATGACCAACAAGCCGCCGCCGAGTGAGTACTTTGTAGCTGAAGCAGCGGTGTGGTGGGACATGGACAAGTGTCCGATTCCCGATGGTTATGATGCTTGGAAGGTCGGTCCGTGCATAAAATCGGAGTTGGAGAAGTTAGGCTACTCTGGTCCTCTCACCATCTTTGGCTTGGGCGACCTAAATCACATGCCTGAGCAAGTCTTGCAAGCCTTATTTTCCACTGGGATCGTTCTTACACAAGTCCCAACCAGTTAATCTTCTTATCTCTTTCCAGTAATTATTATCTAAATTAGGGTTTAGATTTTCAACTATTTCTTTGCTTTCCTTTGCAGGAATAAGCAGCCCATCCTTTTTGACTTTAATGCTTAGTTGGCAAACCAAGCATCCAGCTCCGGTTACAATAATGATCATAACCGATTCCCGCAGTTTTGATTTCTTCTATAGTCCTATTTACTGGCTACAAAATGATCGTAAATGCAACGTTCTTCTGGCTTATCCAGACGCTCTGAAAGAAGATTATTCCCTCATCACTCATAAACAGTGGTTCTGGAAAAGCTTGCTGAAAGTTGTCTCTTTCTTTCAGAGTGTTAAAAGTAACCTTGATAGACGTTGTTGTTTCTGAACCAGTTAGTTTTTTTTTCCCCTACAGGTGCCAATTGCAGCGAAACAGGTAGTTTTTCTTGCAGACTATGCCGCTTTGATTGCCAAAGCTTTGAAGAAGTCACCAAGCATCTCAAGGATGAAGCACATGCACGGAAAGTAAGCAACCATCCTTTTGTGCAGTCAATACATTTGTTATGTTGCAGTCGCCTTTCAAAGAAATTGACCCCATGTTATTGGTTGTCGAGCAGGAGTTTGTGTCTCCAATTCCCATGGATGAATTGATGATGGTCGAAACCGGAGTTGATTCTTCCCATCCAAGGAGGAAGAAGTAGCCAAAGGCAAGTTTTTCTAAACGAGTTTGATCCACATAAACAGTTTAACAATTGTGTCACAGCTGGACCTTAAATGTGAACTTGATTTTTGTTCTAACTGGCTTTTAATGCTATAAAACATTGTAGAGAAAGGAGAAGAAGATGATGGTTGAAGTCGGAGTGGATTCTTCCCATCCAAAGAGGAAGAAGCAGCCACAGGCAAGTTTCTTGGCGACTAGAGTTTGATCCACAGAAGAAGAAACCTGATTTCTCTCAGTTTTAAGAATTGTGTTCAACTGGACTCCAAATGTGAAATATACATAACATGGTTTCTGGCTTTTAATACGTTGCTGCTATAAAAAATTGTAGAGAAAGGCGAAGAAGATGAAGATGCATCTACCTCAAGACCATGAATGAAGTATTAAGGCTCCTCGTCTTTAAGTTTTTTACTTATTATTGTACTTGTGTATACTAATAGTGATTGAAAAAAGCAACACAAAAAATATACGTTCAATATATGGGCTGGTTTTCGAGCCCACGGAAAACTGTATGGGCCGATTATGGAGCCCATTAAAATATATTGGCCGGTTTTTAAGCCCATTTAAATATATAGGCCAGTTTTTGAGCCAATTGAAAACTGAGTGGGCCGATTTTTTTAGTCCATGAAAATTTTTAGTGGCCGATTTTGGAGCCCATGAAAACTGTGGGTCGGTTTTCAAGCCCATGGAAACCTGTATGGGCTGATTATGGAGCCCATTAAAATATAGGGGCCGGTTTTTGAGCCCATTGGAAAACTGTATGGGCCGATTTTGGAATCCATGAAAAACTATGGCCTGGTTTATGAGCCCATTAAAATATACCGGCCGGCTTTTTAACCCATTAAAAAATTAGTGGGCCGATTTTTGAGCCCATTAAGAACTGTAGGTCGGTTTTCGAGCCCATGGAAAACTGTATGGGCCGATTATTTAGCCCATTAAAAAATTAGTGGGCCGGTTTTTCAGCCCATAGAAAATTGTATTGGCCGGTTATTTAGCCCATTGAAATCTTAATGGGCCGATTTTTAAGCCCATAAAAAATTAGTAGCCAATTTTCGAGCCCATTAAAATTGCGTGCCGATTTTCGAGCCATTGAAAACTGAATGGGCCGATTTTCGAGCCCATTGAAAACTGAATGGGCCGACTTTTGAGCCCATGAAAACTATGGGCCGATTTTCGAGCCCAAGCAAAAACTGTATGGGCCAATTTTAAGCCCATGAAATTTTGTATGGGCCGAGTATTGGAGCCTGAAAAAGTTATGAGTCTGTTTCGGAGCCCATGAAAAAGTTATGGGCCTGTTTCGGAGCCCATGAAAAAGTTATGGGCCTGTTTCGGAGCCCTGAAAAAGTTATGGGCCGGTTTCGGCGTTCATGAAAAAACTTTGGGTCGGTTTTGGAGCTCATGAAAAATTTATGGGTCGGTTTCGGAGCCCATGAAAAATTTATGGGCCTGCACACGTTGAGCATTTTATCTTCTGAATTTCCTTTTGGCTCAGTAAATTCACCCATTGTTTATCCTTAGGTTATTATTAACTTTTATAAAGTTGTAGTAGTATAATTCAAACATGTCGATAGAGCAATTGAGATTTGAATTACGCTATTAAAAAAACAAAAAACCGAAAATAGATAATGCCAAACACACGGACTCGAAAGTTCATCAAAGTCTCTACCATTGTTATAACTAAAAGCATCCCAGATATCACAAGCAGCAAGAGAAACGAGAGTTCATAGAGAGTTTATTTTTTCCTTTTCTTTTTAAAAATTCACAAATGGTAATTTGATTACTTGCACATCACAAAGCAACTCAAGTGTAACGCAGACACGCCTCTTAGAGTGTTAAAGAGGATTGTGGGCAGAGCAGAGTTACCTGTAGCCAAAACCAAGGTCGAGTTCATGACCCATAGAGCCCTGACGATTAGGACCACCGGCTTGACCCATCGGCGGTATCTTCTTCGAAGGGTCCATCCTCTGGTGAATCCCCAAGAGTGTTTGCAGTGAAGCTGGATGATCTCCTCTATTAACTTGAGAACCTGAAAAGCCACAGAACGATAAAAAAGTTTTTGAGAGCAGCAGACTCAAAATCAACTAGTCCCTGCATAATGAATCCAGGCAAAAATTGAGCGAAAAGTTGCATCTTCAAATCCAGGTAAATATTAGGAAATGGATTTGGTTATCTTATGTTATACCTGGTGGAGGCATACCGTAGTTAGGCTGGCGATGGGCGAAGGGAAAGCCTTGTGATGGATTCAGCTCGGGAATGAGACCTGGCACTTGGTTGTTTACATGAGAAGGAGTGTGATGGTGTGGTGGACCACCACCGGGGAATCCTTGCATTAGGTGATGGTGTTGCATGTTGTCTTGCATATGCATCTTCTGCATCATATGTGGAGGAAGACGTTCAAACTCGGAAAGTCCACTGGCTGTTGAATGATGAAAAGGCGGACGATGAATCATGTTTGCTGGAAAACGGTGATTTGGTGGAGGATCCTGATGTTGAGCTATGATGCTTCCTTGGCCCATGAAATCGTGTTGAGGTTTTACATGAGCATGTCGAGAATCAAGCGGATGGAAAACTGGGCCTGAGCCATTCAAGTGAGAAGAGGGGTCGGTCGCGTATTGCTGGGGATGATGGTGAAGAAAAGGACCATCTTGACCTCCCAATGTTGGTCTTTCGTTCCTTGGACCAGAGTTTAAAGCAGCTAGCTTTTCAGAGATGTTGAAATTTACTTCAGGCTCCTGATTATGGGATCCTGGAAAAGACATGTATTTTTGTGGGTTTGCAGCATCTCCAACTGCAAGTAAATTACCACCTTCTGGAAAGCCTAGTAGCCCTCCGGGGAGACCGTCCGGTCTGACTTGGTTTCTTTGGCTCAGCTCACCGATAGACCTGGCTGATCGAAGCGGGACCACAGGAGCATCAGAAACCATAGTTCTTCCAGAGACCGGTTCTCCAATAGATTGCAGTTCGTTCATGAAGGCACTCCCAAACAAATTCTCAAGAGTCAAAGACTTCCCTGGATCTGCTTCTCCTGCTGCAGCTGGTTTCACAATCAAAGATGGTGGTGGTTTACTCTCTGTAACTGAAAGTAGCTGCGTATCTTGACTTTTTGGGTCTGAACTTCTCTGTAATAAAGAAAGAAGGTGCTGCGAAGCCTGGTCATCAACAGATGTTTTACGCTGTTTGGTCTTCATCGCCGAAGAAATACTCGAGTCTTGTTCAACTGGCGGTGGAGGCGGATGATAGCTTTCACTGACTTCTGACAGAATAGACTGCTCGAGGTCTTCACAAGTGAGAACAGGTGGAACAGCTGTTACTGATTTACTTGCGGAGGAAGTGTTGCTTAGCTTATCAATGTTTTTCGTGGCATGGCCTTGGTAAGGAAAATCCATCGAAAGTTCACCCTTAGCTTTTGTGTCAAAGGTTTGCAATTTATCTGCACCTTGAAGTAGTGACAATAAGCCTCCTGGTGGCCCGCTGGATGGGAGATCTTCAACAGGCTTGTTATCTGAACCGATCAATATAGGCATGTCGGATTCTTGTCATTGTAATGGAAAAACGTTAATCTCTTAGCATAACAGTAAGCGATTTACCTTCTTCAAGAAATAGATGTGCGAACTTGGAGGATCTAACAGTCTGAGGGTTCCGTATTTCTTCTAACTTTTCGACATTTTTCTACAAGGATGTGGACCAAAAGTCAGGCCGACTGAGATTCGTTGAATTCCACAGGGAAAATATGTAAGCAAGTACATTAAACATGTATAAACATGCACACCATATCATGTCACAAGGAAACAGTCAGTTCCTGAGGAAAAAGCATTTAATTTTGTTTGCATATAAGCAAGTACATGAACATATATGGACCATTATTTGCTTACAAAGAGAAAAAACAAACTATGCTTACCTATCATCCTCAGGATTAATACATAATACAGGAAAAAGTCCTTAGTTACGACTGGTTAAAGGAGACTACACCAGATAGAATTATGCACCATTTGGACCCAAAGTGAAGTGCATATCAATTATAGACTCACGAGCTATCGTGGGAGTCGAATTTGAATTTTCACGGAAAAATAAGCTAATTGACATACATAGGAAAAAAAAATTCACCTGTGCAATAGTAGAGGAGTCACCACTATTCAAATTTATAGCGTTGTGTAATAGCTTATCCAGGATTGATGGCTCATCCGAAATCTCCAAGCTTTTCTTCTGGTCCAACGTCCCTGTAGTTTGCTCAATTTTTCTAGGATATCCCTGAGATTCGGCAGCAGTTGAAATGGAGGAAAGGTTTCCGAAGCTTTTGTCCTTTTTAAATGTATCTGTAGATATTTCAAAAAATGAAGACATATTAACAGCCTGTTCACTTGTGTCAGTGGAGGAGGCACAAACAGCTTCACCTTCTACCCGCATCTCACTTGAGCCAATTGTAATTCCCAACGGGTTTTCTTCGTTAGCGACAGACGTTCCGTTCGACATATTGACGCCTTTGATATTTAAAGGACTACGCTCATGTTGAGAAGTTTCAGTCTGCAAATGGTGTGATAACCAGTAAATAATATGTGCAGACTTATAAAATGGTTTGCAAATTAAAGTACCAATCAAAGCATACATTCTAACAACGCATTTACGAAGAAAAGATAATCCAAAACGAAAAGCGCCACCAAGATCAAACTTCAACTCTCACTTATTAGCAGAAAGTCAGTGACCTCCGTCGAAAGCGATAGATCAAACAACCACAGCCTTGGATCAAATACAACCAGCGATGTAGTAATTGAAGGAATTAACTTTCTTCTAGGAAAATATAGCAATGACATCAACGAAGTAGTAATGCATGAGTTAGCTTTCGTACCATGGGATTTTGATGAGATTTTCTAATATACTCAACAAATTTCATGGAACAAAGATATTAGGTATGGATGAGCATCTCAGAAAGATAGTGACTTACTTGAGGTTTGTCCCCTTGCTTTCTTTCCAAAATTGTGCTTCCAAAACCAGGAGGTACAAGCGGTCTGGGTGCATTGCTTTGAGACGGAAAAGATGGGTTATTAGAGACAGGAATTGCTGGAGCGTTATTGACTTCATCGCTTCTACTTGGAACCTCTTTTTCATCTTTGGACTCCCCAAGCAGTTCAGTAAAATCAAAGTCATTTTTACGCAAGTCGGGGTTTAATTTTTGCCTCTCCTGGAATACTTTTTGATGTTCCTTCCTCAACAACTCAAAAGAAGCTGACAGGGAGTTGATAATGTCAATCAAATATGGGCACAAAAACGCATGTATAGATTGTAAGAAATTCACAAACTGGTAAAGAGATAAAAATAGGACAGATTTAAGTGAATAGATCCCCTGTACCTCTTCTTTTTCTCTCTTCTTCTGCTCTATCTTCACTTGTAGAGTCAGAAGAACCAAATGTCTCATCATTTAATGAGTCTCTAGTGTCACGTCGAGTGTAAGGTGGTGCCTAAAAATGTACAGGAGAGGTTTAGAAATCTGTCTCCTTAACTAATTGAGCTCTACTCAGGTACACCAGCTGATGACACCCAGCAACATTCAACAATCAACTATATACTAATGACTATTCAAGATGGCTACAAAAGACAAGCGGGCAGTAACCTTGTATGGGCGAGGAGGATGGTAAGGTTCATTGCTTCTACTCAGCTGATACGAGTCATTAGACTGAGGTTTGGGGCCAGACGGTCCCGCAACAAATCCAGAAGGCTTAGGGAAAGAACCTTTCCCCAGAAGTCCATCATGCTCCGGTGCTTGCCAAGGCCTCCGAGATGGCATGCCAGAACGCCTTCCAGACTCTACTAACAAAACATACAGTTCAATATCAACTATAGTACCCAAATTCCAGAGTTTTGTTTTCTATGGCCCTCTTTTTTGAAGGTCACTAGTAAAAAAGTGGAAATCTACATTTACACATTTTGAACAGCCAGATGGATAGATTCCTAAATCATAATAATGAACACTTTTTGGAGAAAGAAGTAACTTGCAAGCGTACGTTAATAACGAAATTAGAGCAAACATTACTAGTGCTAGTCCACCTCGTAGTAACGTCATCGTGCAACATTTAAAGAATGGGATGCGAGTAAGCCCATGCTACCTGGGTCCCGGTCTGACTGTGAGTCACCATCTTTATCATTCCATCCACCTGAGCGCCCTTCCCATCTTCCATGGACGCCTCGAGAGTTACTGCCTAATTCACCCCTGATGGGAGGAGATGAACTATAGTCATTCCGCCTCAAACCGTGAGACGAAAAATCGCCGGATTTTCTCAGTCGCTCCGGTGAAGTATCTTCAGAGTCACTGCTCATGTAAAGAGTGTACAGATCAAGACATGTCTCTCCAAACCATATAGTGAAGTAGATAAAACGACTAAATGATCATTAACAGAAACACAAACTAAATCAAATCGAATAGAGTCTCACCGAATCAGTAAATCGTTAAATTCACTGGGAAAATTTGGCAGCTTCTTACAAACATCTTTATCGCTCACGGATAAAAGAAATTTTCTCGTGTATGAAATTCTTGGTTTCCTGATTCAACACCAAAAAAAAAAAAAAAAAAGAATTACATCTGCAGCTGAATACATAAGATGAAAAGCAAAGTAAAAACATGCTTGATCAGAACAGAGAAACTTACTTTTTGGAATCATCATTGGTTTCGACAAGTTGATCCATTGCAAATTGCTGTTCATCTGCTATACTCATCTTACGAGCGAACAAGATCTTAGCTGGTCAAGGCCAAGAAACGCCACTATATGTTCTCAAACGCTTAAGTAAGTTGCTCTACTGTAGTTCTCTATGGTAAATACCCAAAAACACAAAGTCTTCTTACAATTTGGCAGCACCGTGTAATTTTGATATTCGATATTACAGTGCCTAAAGTATTCTCGACTCTCTCAAGCAACCACCAAAAACATTCAAATCAAACGAAACGCACGACGCTAGTAGCCAAACTTAACAACGAACCCCACGATTCACCACCAGCGACTTCATCAGGTCGTCACGATCTAGCTATATGTACAGTAAAATCTCCGAGACGGATAATCTAAGTTGTATTTCTACGATTCTCGACCAGAACTGGTAAAATCTCCAGAGAACTCGAAGCTAAGAACCCAAAAAAAAAAACTAGCTCATCCTAAAGTCAGAAGGCTAATCTCGCATCGGATTCCGAGGAACCACCAATTCTCAACCAACAGACCAAAAGCTTTCAATCGGAAAACCTCAAGTATAGGTAAAACGAAGCAAATTATAGTTTCCTGCACCAATCTAAGGTCTTCGACAGCTAGGGTTTTTTAGCCCTACGAGGGAATTGCAAGGATTCCAGAATACATCGGAAAAGATTTAAATAGAGAAGAACAACGCGGATTCTAGAGAAAAAGAGGAGAAACGGGTAAAACAATATCAGGGTTTTGATCTGCAGAAGGAATTTTCGCTCTTCTGGAAAATTTGATCGATTGACGAAAAAGGAGAAGATCGAAGAGAGAAAACGAAGTCTACAAGAAGAGAGAGAGAGGGAGAGATTTCTCACAAAGAGGAAGGTAAAATGGACATCCCACGCGCCTGCTTTTCACGTGAAAACCACGCGCTAAATCCTTTAAATTTGTATAATTCCCAACTGACCCCACAAACTTTCAAGAATTAGAGAAAACCCTTACTATGTTTTACTTTTGCTACATTTTCACATCCCTGATTTCATTATCAAATTAAGTAATTAACTCATATTTTTTTTTTAATCATCAAAAGGAATTAAACATGCAACAAAAAGCATTACAAAAAAGGGGTTCTTCTGAAACATGAAGAAGACAATACATACAAATTACAAACCAATGGAAACTCTCTTCTTCAAACAGCAAGGTATGTTCATCTCTTTCCTTTTCCTTTTCCTTTAGCATCAAAATGATGAGCCTTTAGTTTCTTCTTCCGCACAAGCCCACCTGTGTTGGAACCACCGCCTCCTTCCCTGAAAGGCATTCCCATCAGAGCCAATAGTTTCTGACCTTCTTGATCGGTTTTAGCCGTAGTGCTGATGCATACATCCATTCCCCTTGCTTTTCCAATGGCATCAAATCTATATGTATATGAACCAAACAAGATAGAGTTTAGTTCTCCGGTTGTAACCAAATACAGGAACGCTTGATCTCGATGAACCAATGGATAAACAAGTCTCATGCATCTATTTGTAAGCTTTGCTTTTGAGGGTAGAGAGACATGAGAACTAACCTGATTTCAGGGAAAACACTTTGGTCTTTGACACCAATGCTGTAGTTTCCGTTCCCATCAAAGCTACTGGGACTCACACCTTGGAAATCTCGAGTTCTTGGAAGGGCTAAATTGATCAGACGATCCAGGAACGAGTACATCACCTGTCACAGTAGTCAGATCACAAATGTCAAACACATAAAAGAACCCTAATTAGAAAATTTGATTAGTCAATGTTTCAAGATTGAGCAAAGGGGAAAGAAGCTCACATCTCCTCTGAGAGTGACGGCGATCCCAAGCGGTTGGTCTTCCCTAATCTTGAAAGTGGCAATGGAAGCTCTAGCTCGTGTCTTGATAGGTTTCTGCCCTGTAATGAGCGCTATGTCTTTCATTGCAGCCTCCAGACCTTTGTCGTTCTGTGCTGCATCTCCAATACCACAATTCACTACAATCTTCTGAACCTTTGGAACCTGGCAGAGAAGAAGATGTCCAAGTTGAAATATGATCAAACCAACATGGAACAAGAACCAAAATCTCAACCGGATTCTCCTGAGAAACGCTTAGATTTAGGCAGCTTCACTACATTTTCCGGAAAAAAATCAATCTAGAAAAAAAGCCCATAAATCATGTGGAACAAATTCGTATTTAGATACGACATTCACAGAACCTAGCTCCACATTCCCCAAAAACCCACAAATCCACCGAGAATTAGACTTCAACAACATCATGAATCGCAACAGAGTCAAAACTAGGTTTTGGGCACAGAGATTAGATGCTTACCTGGTGAATATTAATGTACTTGAACTCTTCTTTGAGCGCAGGGATGATTCTCTCGAGGTAAGCGGTTTTGAGCCGCTGGGTTTTCTCCGCCTCAGATTTCTCGACCAGCACGGTTCCAGACGCCGAGACTTTCACCACGTTTCTGAGCGACGGAGGGAGCAGCCGTGCGGATGATGGAACCGCTAACGATGGAAAACGGCCGTGAAACGAAGAAGCAGAAGACTGCAGGAGCGAAGGACACGCCATGGTCGAGGCTCGAAGTGGATAAAATTGCAGGAGAAGAGAGTGACCTCCGGGTCGATAAAATGGCACCTTTGTAATTTCTTTCTATTGAACTGTTGTTGATGGTTTCAGGATAAGGATTTATTCTTTAGCCCAACATTATTTGTGAAGTTAACATTAACCCCATAGGTTTTTTTATAATATAATATCCTAATTCTTTTGGGGTTTTTTAAGTAAAGATATTACATGGGGTTATAAGAGATTTAAAATAAAATATAGGGGCTAGTTCAATATGGGCCTAAAGTCCAGCCCATACTCTTCGTGCTATTGAGGTTCTAACCCGACCCGTATTTTGTCGTTTTACATTGACCCGTATTAAGTCTCTCACCACACCGACCCAAGAGCAAAAAAAAAAACCTCTCTCTCCGTTCTCTTGTTTCTTCGATTTCCTTCTCTTTTGTCTTCAGTCTTCGCGGCTCGTTTTGGCAGCCATGGCGATTCCTTACATGGAAACCGTCGTGGGTAAGCTTCGTATCCTTCCTGGAGACACTTTCTTCTCTACGTTAACTCGCCGCGATTCATTCAATTGCGTAACATTTTGCTGCTTCTTTGTTTTTTCTGTGTTGAGATTTCGTGACTGGTTTCTTACGCCATCATCTCTGCTTCTTGTTTCTGTATTTGGCTCTCTTTTTACATATTGTATGTCTCGATCTGAGGTTTTATAAATCGTACACGTTCGTTTGATCTGAGGTCTCCTGATATCATCTCGTCCTCGTATTGGAGCCTTATTTGCTTTTTCTGTTCAACAAAATTTAGGGTTTGGGAAGAATATTCGGGTTCTTTTTCCTGAGAATCTGGAATTTTTCGCCGGCAAACTTATACAGCTAGAGTCTTTTGTATTTTATTTTATGGGGTTTGTGTTACTGAACAACTGGGGTTTATAGAGAAATTTTTTGAATTGGGTTTTTGTGTTGTGTATCCGTTTTTGTAAATCAAAAATCCAATGGTGCTCGTATGCTAGTAGACATATATTGCTTGGCGTATTTGTTCAATCATGTGAATCTCAGTTTATCTTTCTTTATCTGGTTGATCCAAAAGAAGAAAAGAATTGATATTATTGTATTGTATACGTTGCCGGAAAAATCTGTTGTTGTAGCATTTTATATCAGATTCAAATCTATCTGTTGTCCCTTTCTTTCAGGTTTTATGATAGTGATGTACATTTTTGAGACGTATTTGGATCTGAGGCAACACACTGCTCTCAAGCTTCCGACTCTCCCAAAAACCTTGGTTGGAGTGATTAGCCAAGAGAAGTTTGAGAAATCTCGAGCATACAGTCTTGACAAAAGGTTTCGTCTTAATTTGTTTCTTCTTATTCATAGATGTTGTCACTAGTTTCTCAATTCATTTGGCAAGGCATTTATCACTGAGGTTGTTTCATTTTACAGCTACTTTCACTTTGTTCATGAGTTTGTGACTATTCTTATGGACTCTGCGATTTTGTTCTTTGGGATCTTGCCTTGGTTTTGGAAGGTACATAAGCTGATTTCATTATATAGCATCTCGTTTTTTTATATACTGTATTGGTGTTATGGTAAACATTGTAATTTGTAAGAAAATATGTTTTTTCCTGTAGATATCTGGTGGTTTTCTACCAATGTTGGGACTCGATCCAGAGAATGAAATACTGCACACTCTTTCATTCTTGGCTGGTGTTATGACATGGTCACAGGTTCTTTAAATTAACCCTTTCATATAGTCTTACATGTTTAGGATCGAAAGATAGCTTCTTTTTAAGATAATAAGGTTTCTTTTATATCCTGATGCAGATCACTGATTTGCCATTTTCGTTGTACTCAACTTTTGTGATTGAGTCTCGGCATGGGTTCAACAAAGTATGTCGTATTTCCAACGCTCCTTTGTGTCTTAGTTTTTCTTTTTTTCATGTGTGGATTAAGTTGCTTATAAATTCTGTTTACAGCAAACAATATGGATGTTCATTAGAGACATGATCAAAGGAATGATTCTCTCTGTCATACTAGCCCCACCTATTGTTACCGCGATAATTGTTATAGTTCAGGTTCGGTTATTAAGGACGCATCTTATTCTGAGTTTTTTTCACATATACGACTGTTCTCTAATGAATGTAACTTCAAAGTTTTCAACTTTCGCGTTAAAGATTTATCATTTACTCTCTCTGAGCTAAGGTTTTAATCCTCTTCTATTTTTCCAGAAAGGAGGTCCTTACCTTGCCATCTATCTATGGGCATTCATGTTCATCCTGTCTCTTGTAATGATGACAATATACCCAGTTTTGATTGCACCGCTTTTCAACAAGTTCACTCCTGTGAGTATTTCTGCCATGGCCGTTTTACAAGTCAGCCATAGTTTGCACTAAGTTATTACTTGACAACTAAATATATTTGGGTATAGCTTCCAGATGGAGACCTCCGGGGGAAAATTGAGAAACTTGCTTCTTCTCTAAAGTTTCCTCTGAAGAAGCTGTTTGTTGTCGATGGATCTACGAGGTCAAGCCATAGCAATGTGAGGATTTAAATGCTGTGGTAGATCTCTTCATGCCTACATTTCTAGTATTCCATAAGCTTACGTGAGGATTTGATCACTGTTCTTGTTGCATCTCACAGGCTTACATGTATGGTTTCTTCAAGAACAAAAGGATTGTTCTTTATGACACATTGATTCAGCAGGTACCGTGACTCTCACTGGAAAAAGCAAAGCTATACTCCCATTCAGATACTGGTTCTGAAATATAACATTATCTTCTTCTTCTTTTTGTGCAGTGCAAGAATGAGGATGAAATTGTGGCGGTTATTGCACACGAGCTTGGACACTGGAAGCTGAATCACACTACATACTCGTTCATTGCAGTTCAAGTGAGCAACGATTTACTTTTAAACTTCATTCACCAGTGTAATCGTGTCTTATGTCTCCATGTTTGTATCGCAGATCCTTGCCTTCTTGCAGTTTGGGGGATACACTCTTGTCAGAAACTCCACTGATCTCTTCAGGAGTTTTGGATTTGATACACAACCAGTTCTCATTGGTTTGATCATATTTCAGGTTTGTTATTTTTGGTTTTGGACACTAAACTCATGAATAATCAAGAGGGTATTAACAAAGAAAAAAAAAATTCCAAACCAATCTGATATCTTGTCCGATTCTCACAGCACACTGTAATTCCACTTCAACATCTAGTAAGCTTTGGCCTCAACCTTGTTAGTCGAGCATTTGAGTTTCAGGTAAAATCTTAACAAACCCTCACGATTCAATTAAAGGTTTCTTTCTTTCAAGGCCGTCACTAAATCTACGTTAATGTTCGTTTGCAGGCTGATGCTTTTGCAGTGAATCTTGGTTATGCAAAAGATCTCCGTCCTGCTCTAGTGAAGCTACAGGTCAGAGGAGACGACAAATAAAAATTACAAGCTGTTTCCTCAATTTGTGTCATTCTTTTTAATGGTTTTTTTATTTTGTTGGGATTTCGCAGGAAGAGAACTTATCAGCAATGAACACTGACCCATTGTACTCAGCTTATCACTACTCACACCCTCCTCTTGTTGAGAGGCTTCGAGCCATTGATGGACAAGACAAGAAGACAGATTAAGTCGGACAAATCTTTGTCTGTTGTACGGATTGATGACACTTCTACGCTCCCTATCTTTCGACTGTTAGGTGAAAAGAATAGAAAAGAAAAACAAAAAAACAAAAAGTGAAAAAAATAGGCACAGGCCTCTTTTGTCTGTTTTTTACTTTACGATGGTTTTTTGCATTAGTTATATCAGTTGTCTATTGAAAATGGAATCACCGTCACTGTTAGATATGACCATTTCTGATCCAACCTACCTGAATCCTCGACCATTTTTGGGGGCATGATTCTTCTGTTTATACAAAGTGCACGTTAAAAGAAGGTAAGAAAGAAGCATATTGACTCACGTTAAAAGAAGAAAGTTACATAGTACATTAATTTTTTTGGTTACTTGAGAAAATGATACATTTCTTGCTATGATGGTGCAATAATGGGTTTCTCTTTTCTCCCCCAACCTTCTCTTTTTCTTTATTCTATTCTTATAATTTCATAACCTTTAAAGCAACCATTTTTAAATAGAACTGGATTAATCTGTAATATACTAATATATCTTCATCGATTTAAGAAATCATGACTTTATTAGTTTCAAAATTTTGTTTTCATCATTAGACAATTCAAAAGGTTCCAACCAGACCATTAAATTAGAATTTAGTATATAGTTGTATCTCTTCGTCTTGATATGGACACAGAATTTCAGAAAGTAACACTAAGACAAAAATAATCCTTAGGTCATCCACTCGATTAGTAATTTTATTATTAGGACCCCCAAAAAAAAACTCTTGTTTATGAAATGGAATGCTGAGCTGGCCATTGTCCATCATCTCTCTCAAGTCTCATCCTTATCTTGACGTATATGTTACAAAAAAATAATATAAATCATCCATAACCTAAAAAAGATATGGGGCTCAAAAGATATGTGGCCTTTAATAGAAAAAATCCAATTCGGAATAATACATTAACAAACGAATGTTATTAATGCGCTCTCTAGCCTCTTCAGTATGATAAAAGTGATTCCTTACTATTCCTGTACTAATAGACCTTAAAAATGTTGTGCACTCACAATCATCATTTGTTTTGAAAATATAACACAGACTTACATTAATTCAATCTTACCAGTTAAGTTATATAAGAAAATTCGTATATTAATTTTGTTCTAGTTACATTTGAGGTGGACTCCACAAGTGCTTAGGCTGCGCCGATGCTTACTGTATCATCACTCAACCGTTATCTCTCCGTCACCTTGTCGTTTGTTTTTATTACACAGAAGACCTCTTGAGCGGTACGTTTCGTTTAACCAAGAAGGGCACAATCGTCATTTAAGCTACATCTATGATATCTCGCCGTCACCACCACAAGGCAGATTAGAGGAAATCAGACAGCTCATTCAAACACACACACTCTCTCTCTATCGGACACACACTGAGCGCTTTTCTTTAAATTTCCTTCCATTTTTTTTTTTGTTAGTAAATTTTTATTCATTTTGATTTATAGTAATGATTCGATTGATTTGTTTATTCGTCTCTTTGTTTTTACTCAATTCCTTGTTTTCTGTTCTGCTCGATTCTTCTCTCTCTCTCTGTGCTAAAGCCACATGCAACTGATTATCCATTGATTCGCCGGAAAGCTTATTCTTTCCCGGCAAGAAATGCGAAAGAATCGAAAACCCAAAAACCGGATCGCTCTTGGGTTGTTTTTTATCAATCGAAATGGCGATTTCTATTTTCAATCCTGATTACATCAATTCCGAGCTATCGAAACCAACATCGATCTTTGGTCTCAAGCTTTGGGTCGTCATCGGAATTTTACTAGGATCCCTTATAGTCATCGCTCTCTTCTTTCTCTCCCTCTGTCTAACCTCTCGCCGGAGAAACCGCAAGCCGCGTCACGCCGATTTCGCATCAGCCGCCGTAGCAACGCCGCCGGTTTCTAAGGAGATTCAGGAGATCGTTCGTCCTCCGGCGGCGGACCATTACCATACGACGCAGCCTGTCGCGGCGGAGATCCAAGTGGATATCGGGAAGATCGAGCACCGTGTGGTGTTCTCAGATCGAGTCTCGAGTGGTGAAAGCAGAGGAACAGTGAGCGTCAGTGAAACGGCGTCGTTCTCGGGGAGTGGTTGTGTTGGGCCGGAGGTTTCGCATCTTGGATGGGGAAGATGGTATACTCTGAGAGAGCTCGAAGCGGCGACGAATGGATTGTGTGAAGAGAATGTGATCGGAGAAGGAGGCTATGGAATTGTGTACCGTGGCATCTTAACTGATGGAACTAAAGTCGCTGTCAAGAATCTGCTTAATAACAGGTACACTTTGATCCAAAGTTTAGATTTTTATTTTGTTTATTTTAAAAATTATGAAAATTTCCATTTACATTACTGGCTGTTGAATTAGGGGTTTTAGGAAATATCAATTGAGTTTGATGTAGTTTGCCGGATTAGAAGATTGTGTCTGATTGTACACCATTTTTATTTGCTGTCTTGTAAGTAAAGATAAGGCCTTTAAATTATATAAGGAAATAGGAATGATTTGCTGTTCTTTGTCCTTTGATTGGTTCTGTATTTGAATTGTTTTTATGAGTATGAAGTTTTTCTTGATTAGGGATAAATGTGGTCCTGGGACCTGGAACCAGAAGTTGTTTGTTGTTTCTTACCTGATTAAAAGTAGACCATGGTGTCTAAATGGGTCCCTTGTGATTTGATCGGCTACTTACTTGTTCACTGATTATTATTACTTGTCTCTAATGAATGATTGTGAAGGGGTCAAGCCGAGAAAGAGTTTAGAGTGGAAGTGGAAGCGATAGGGCGTGTACGGCATAAGAACTTAGTTAGGCTTTTAGGGTACTGCGTCGAAGGCGCATACAGGTAAAAGAACAGAAACTTTGGTGCTTGATATTGACTTCACTCGGTACATGTTGTTGATAACTAATGTTTTTGGACTTCTCTCATACGAAAATTAGGATGCTAGTTTATGACTACGTGGATAACGGCAACTTAGAGCAATGGATTCATGGTGATGTCGGTGACAAAAGTCCTCTAACTTGGGATATCCGTACGAACATAATACTCGGCATGGCAAAGGGGTACGTACACTCCCTAGAGATATCTTTCATTCTGTGAATTCATCTTTTTCTATAAGTAATTTTTTGGTTGTTGTCCTCGCAGATTGGCGTATCTACACGAGGGTCTTGAACCGAAAGTGGTTCACAGGGACATAAAGTCCAGCAATATCTTGCTTGATCGTCAATGGAATGCTAAGGTATCCGATTTTGGACTCGCTAAGCTGTTGTTCTCCGAGAGCAGTTACGTGACAACCCGTGTAATGGGAACTTTCGGGTATGTCTTGTAGTTTTCATATAAATATGTGTAGTTGGATAATCTTTAAGACTTTCGAAATCTTGCAAAAGCATTTCAATGTTTTTTTTTTCTTGATTGGTTTGTTATGTAGTTATGTCGCGCCTGAATATGCTTGCACCGGAATGCTGAACGAAAAAAGTGATATCTATAGCTTCGGGATATTGATTATGGAGTTAATAACCGGAAGAAACCCGGTCGATTATAGTCGACCTCAAGGAGAGGTGAAATGAGAAAAAGCCCTGGCTTTATGATCTATCGGTTTCAAAGTTCTTTTGTTGGGTCTTGAATCTTGACTGTCTCGTTTCGTTAGGTGAATTTGGTTGAGTGGCTGAAATCTATGGTTGGGAACCGAAGGTCAGAGGAAGTGATCGATCCAAAAATACCAGAACCGCCAACATCAAAGGCTCTTAAACGCGTGTTGCTAGTTGCGTTGCGTTGTGTGGATCCGGATGCAAATAAAAGACCTAAAATGGGTCATATCATACACATGCTTGAAGCTGAAGACTTGTTCTATCGCGACGTAAGTACTATGATCGATCATTCACAATGAAGTTTTTTTAAAAAAGTGAATCGTTTATTTGCTAACGGAATATATTTAGCAGGAACGACGAGCCACGAGGGAGCATGCAAGCCGCGATTACAGCAAGCAACAGGCTGCGGTTTCAGCGGATGCGACGACTGTGCCTGAGATAAGCGAAAGTGACAGTTCAAGAGACCCAAGATAGAAGAAGTACAAGATGTATGAAGAGAGACTCGCTGGAAAATATCTGGCCATTCATTTTTCAAATTTTGTTTTCCTGATTAAAAACCAGTTACTAATTATTGTGTGACATTTTTATTCTTTTTATTATTAGGCTTATCTCACTCACGTCTAATTAGGAGTTTTCTTTGTATATATATAATTTTTTTTGTTCAAACATCGCCAACTTAGAAACAGCCAGAGAGCTACTAGCTTTAGTTTTCGTTGTTGTTGTTAGAGGATATGAATATGTCAAACACATGATCATTGTCGTTTGGTTAATATTATCTATGATGTGTGTGGATTGTGGACCAAACCTATAGCTGTTACTTGTTCCAACATAAGGTGATCGGAGTTATAGTCACACATATGCATATCGATCAATCAACGTGATGGTCGCTTTCAGCGCTATGGTCCCAACATGGACCCATCCGTTTCATAATTGTGTGAGTACGAATTTGTTTATCTTCTCATCCTCTTTTGTGAGAGGCCACAGTTGCTCAAGTGATCCACTTCGAATTATAGAGATGCCATTGCCATGACGGGTTTTGTAATGGATTTTGTTCAGTATAAGTCTGATTTTTCTCTTTACTTTTGTTGATGGTCGTAATTAATCTTCCAGCTATTAGACAATGATAAAAAGAGTAAACAACATATTTATATTTTTAATTTATCTTTCAAAAATGTAAACTTTACAACTCACATATTCCGACCCAAGTTGTTAGAAATTTTTATTTTTGGTCTGAATCCATTTTTTGATGATATGCATGTTCTGCCATTCAATATTGTTTTATTCATTTGTTGTTTTCATCCACTTTTTTTTTTTTAACACTGATTATAACTTTTATTGAATATAATAAGTCACCAATAGGTGATTACAATGAGAGTTGTTTTCATCCACTTTAAATTGTAAAACAGAATTAGAGATGTCTTTAGAAGCTAGTACTTAACTATAGTTGGAAGCAACTTGTAGTTTTTTAATACCAAAACATTTTGAATTTCGGGTAAGTGGATATACAGTGTTTTTTTTATTCACCAGTAAAGATTTGGATGTAAAAAAGTGACTGTAATTTTATGTTCATCAATCATTTGTCTTCATCCATATATATTTTTTCTTTACTGAAAGTATGTATGTTGACAGTTATGATGATGATGATTTAAATAAAGTTAAATACGACCACACTTAAACAACTATTAGCTCTAATTTGTTACAAGTAACAACTGACTAGATTAAATGAATATATCGATTTAAAATATTAAAACTATCAAAAAATTATACTCATGTTAAGTTTTACATTAATGCTTTTCTCCTTCTTTTCCTCAAATAGCCCAACGCGGTCCATCGAATTTGGGCTTGGAGCTTTACGGCGACGAATTGACAAATATACCCCGTAATAAATTGATTATTCACGAGGAAAGTAGAACTTTCCAGCCGTTGGATTGAGAGAAATCCGCCGGTTATTCTTACACTTTTCTTATTTTCGTGGAAAATCTGCTACAGCCGATACATCATAACCGTACACGTGTCCAGGAGTCTCTATTCTTCGTCCCAGCCGCGTAGCCTAAAACTAACCACAATCCTTTACAACTAGCAAAGTAGCAAAACAAACGTGGGACTAAAAAACGCTACTTGCTTGCGTTCATCTGCAGAACACGGCACGTTTGTTTGATTCGATTCCTCCTATAAGAACGCGGTCGAAGTATTTTGCGTTTCCTGGACATTTCGAATCTCTCTAAGTTAGTACTCGGTATGAACACTCTCCCCCCTCCTATTTATACTTTCTTTGCTTCTCTTCTGCGTTATTTTATCTTGCAAAGGTTTCGCTCAAGTTTAATTAGGGTTTTTTTTTTTGTTTCTCGCCTTTCATTTCTTCCGTTTCTCAGAAGTTCTTCGAGGCCAATTTTGAAGTAATCGTTAACAACATTTCCGAAGAATCTCTTTCTCTAGGTGAGTTTTCGATGGTGATGTTAAATTGTTAATCGTCGTATTGATCTTGTCTTAAACTTGGCGAGTTTGGTATCTTTGAATGACAATTTGGGCGTAGAATCTCTGAAATTCGGTTTTTTTGTTTGCTTAACTGAAAGTAATGTTGAACGTTTTTCCTTGGGAGGGATTCCAGAAAGCTTCGATTTTTGTTGTTTCGTAATAATTTTGGGATCCCTATACTCTGTTAGATGTTCTTCTTTTACATCTTTGAAAAGATCTATAAGAAATTTGAACCCGTTGAGCAATTTTATTTGGATTCATTCAGAACAGTGATTGAAATTGGTTTGTTCATCGTTTCATATTACTGACTATGTCTCTTATTTTTCTTTTTGTGTGTATCAGTTAATATGAGCCTTACACAAGATCCTCCACGCGTGTTCTTCCGCTGTGGAAACCCGTTCAAGATTCTATTTCCGAAGAACAACAATGCACGCTTATCGCCGAAGCTTCTCTCAATAGTGAACAATTTCGAGACAAAGATGACGGTGTCGATTAGAGAGCTTATACCAAAGGATGAGAATGATATCGTTACTGTTTCTTGGATGAGCCAAGCCATGGAATCTCTTTGCGGGACACACAAGGCTCTCAGGACACTCGTGACCGATCTAGAGCTTCCTGTCTCGGACTTGGAGGAAGATTTGATTCACATGTACGCCGACATTAGCTTGAAGCTCCTAGACCTCTGCAACGCCTTCACATCAGAGCTGGACCGTCTCAACCATGGGAATCTATTACTTAAGTTCGCTTTTAGTAAGCTGGAGACAAACAACTGTCCTGAGGAATCCTCGTTATCGCACCTGGACAGTTGGTATCAGCACATGGCTTCCAAGAACCCGAGAGTTGAAAACTGCGGCGCGGTTTTGAGTAGTCTTGTTGAATCATTGAATCATCATCATCTCCCCAAGAAGGGGAAGAAGAAGCACTCTGCGAAAGGAGAAGTGCTCTTGCGAGCTCTGTACGGCACAAAGGTCAAGACTTTATACATATTCAGCGTGTTTGCTGCTGCGTTCTCAGGCTCGTCCAAGAATCTCTTGTATCTAACCATTCCAAAGGAGATGGAGAAGCTTCCATGGGCACAAGCTTTCATGGAATTGCAGTACTCGATTAACCCGGAGATCAAAAACACATTCTTATCAGACGGATTCACGGTTATTAGAGATCTCGAGGCTGTTGAATCCGGTGTGAAGAAGCTTAAGACAGCGGTCCAAGAAGGGTCGGTTCCTAATGTATTGGTGGAGGTGATGAAGAGCTCAGTGATAGAAATTTCGGAAAGGTTTGATCTTGTCTCAAAGGAAACACGTTGCTTGTTGAAGATAGTGATCTCTGCACGAGACGCGTTGTTGGGGAGCCTCTGGACCAAATACGCAGAAGAGTTGGGAGGAGTGACATTGCCGATGATTAAAAGTGTAAAGACTTGTCTGTGAATAGAAACATGTCGAATAGTTATGGTGTTTTCGTTATTGTTCAGTTGTTTAATGCACATATATACCTTTCAAAACGAAATCAGAACCAAGTGTACAAATGTTTATCTTCAAGCTATCGATAATCAATATACCAAAAGTTTCAGAAACTTATTTTCAAATAGATTTTTTATTTACTAACTATATAGTTTAAGGTTCACAAGATTTGTAATGGTCAAATAGTTTGGCAGAGATTGACTAGGAAACCGACATTGACCTCAAATTACTGAGTGGAGAAAAGTTTATTCTTGCAATATTATTATATGAGATCAGGAACATTCCCACATGAAGTCATTTATTTCTTCAATTCTTAGAAAATTCGTCAAAATGTGTAGAAAAATCATAGGGTACAATTCCAATCCAACAACTAGAGATGCCTATTAAAGAAAAAACCAAAGTGGAATTGACTTGGATAGAAAAAAACGAAGAAGAAGACGAAAACCCGTTTAGGTTCACGGGTCGCCCGAGAGGAGCCTTTCCCCTTAACCGTTCAAAAAAAAAAAAAGATGAAGACTTTTTAACACACGTATCTGGAGAAATGTCAACACCCTCCTTAAGCACTCATCTCCTCAAATTCCTCCATTCTCTCCTCTTCTAGCTTCTCTCTCTCTCTCCCTCAAATTCTCAGTGCGTGCGTCTTGGGTTCTTCGTTTTTTTTGGGTTCGAACCAGTACGATTTCGAAGGGTTTACAGGTTAAGATATGTCGGCGGAGTCTTGTTTCGGTGGTTCTGGTGATCAGAACACCAAAGGATATCCTACTCATGGTGGTAGCTACGTTCAGTATAATGTCTATGGAAATCTCTTCGAGGTTTCTAGAAAGTATGTTCCTCCTCTTCGTCCAATCGGTAGAGGCGCTTATGGCATCGTCTGGTGAGTTTTTTCGATTTGCCCAAATCCGATTGTTTTGTTTGATTTTTCTTTCTTTTTTTTGAGCTTTTCTTACTTGGATTCCTCTACTCTCGAAGATTTTTCCTCGATTTGTTTCCGGATTTGTGCTTAAAAACTTCTCATTTTTACTCGGTTTGTGAGATTCTGGGTTTGTTGTATATGTCGATGATCATCATGATTTGATGGATGAATTGATTTGCTTTGTTGGGGATTGTTCTTAGTAACGAAAATATTCGATGATCGTACTTGAATTCGTTGATTAGGTTTTTTTTTTTAATTTTATTTTTGAGCTCAGTATTCATTAGCAATAGGCTAATGCTCACTTGGAAGCAAACACTTGTCATCTTTCTAATCTCTGTTCGTGTTTCATCAGTGCTGCTACGAACTCCGAGACTGGAGAGGAGGTTGCTATCAAGAAGATCGGTAATGCTTTTGACAACATCATCGACGCCAAAAGAACTTTGAGAGAGATTAAGCTTCTCAAGCATATGGATCATGAAAATGTATCATCTTTGGATTTTTTGCTCATTTTTTTTTCCTTAATTTGCAATATCACTGAACTTGTGGAATTTGATATTGTTTTTGTTGATCTTGGTTGCGCAGGTTATTGCTGTAAAGGATATAATAAAACCACCGAAGCAAGAGAACTTCAACGATGTTTACATTGTCTATGAGCTAATGGACACTGATCTCCACCAAATTATACGCTCAAACCAACCGTTAACTGATGACCATTGTCGGGTATGCATCAACCTCCATTTTGTTTTGATTTAGGCAGCAGATGAATCTTGTGTTTCTAGTTTTGAAGGTTGATCAAAAATAACTGTTAGATTCAGTATTGCTTGAGGCTTTAAAGTAAGATATCTCTACAACAGCCATAAATAAAGGTTTCTTCTCTTTGGGAGACATTCGCTTCAATGTTTTTTTTTGTGTGTTCTGCAGTTTTTCTTGTACCAGTTGTTGCGTGGGCTCAAGTACGTTCACTCGGCGAATGTATTACACAGAGACTTAAAACCCAGCAATTTGCTCCTGAATGCAAATTGTGATCTAAAGCTTGGGGATTTCGGGCTTGCGAGGACCAAGTCCGAGACAGACTTCATGACTGAGTATGTTGTAACACGATGGTACCGAGCTCCAGAGTTGCTTCTTAATTGCTCAGAGTACACAGCAGCGATCGATATTTGGTCGGTCGGTTGTATACTCGGTGAAACGATGACGAGAGAGCCGTTATTTCCCGGTAAAGATTATGTTCATCAGCTTAGACTTATCACTGAGGTAATCTAATCTAATTCAATATGTTTCAACTATAGAATCACCATTGTGTTTCTTCTCGGTATCATCTCCATTTTGTTGATGAAATCTCTGAAAGCAGCTTATAGGATCGCCTGATGATTCAAGCTTGGGATTCTTAAGGAGTGACAATGCAAGAAGATACGTTAGACAGCTTCCGCAGTACCCGAGACAGAACTTTGCTGCTAGGTTCCCAAACATGTCAGCTGGCGCAGTCGATTTGTTGGAGAAGATGCTCGTCTTTGATCCAAGCAGGCGCATCACTGGTGAGTTTCTTATATTATCTTCTTCTTCTTCTTCTTCTTCTCTGTTCTACTGTTATGGTTCTTAACAAGGTTTTTTCTTTGCTGGTGTAGTGGATGAGGCGTTGTGCCACCCATATTTGGCGCCGCTGCACGATATAAACGAAGAACCGGTGTGTGTGAGGCCGTTCAATTTCGATTTTGAGCAACCTTCTTTGACAGAAGAGAACATTAAGGAGCTTATTTATCGTGAAACAGTCAAGTTCAACCCTCAAGAGTGATGAGAGAAAGATCCCCAAAAAGAAAAAGAAACTCATCAAAATGCGTGTTTTCTTTTGCTCTGTTTTCTTGTTATCGAATCTCTGATAAGTTTGTTTATGTCTGTAATATGAATAACATCCTGAGAAATTGAAAAGAAAAGAACAACCCTTTGAGCTGTGTTTTGCAGAAAGTTTTGTGCTTTCAACCATAAATATGTTGCTTGAGATTGGAGATTGGTGAGGAACAAGAACTTACATACATCTATTTGATTGATCTGTGTGCCAGTCTATTTGATTAATAAGAATCAAAGATCAAAAGAATCGTTTTTTCTTTCTCTCACTCAGATTTCCAGTCTTTAACCTGATGTTTTCCATGTATTTCTCTGTTTGGTGATTTTATCTTCTTGATAATAGATAGATGTGACAACAATTTCTTGCTATTACGGTTTAGGTTTGTTTGATTGACATTTCCAGTTTAACCTCAAGACAATCAAGAAATTTTTTTGCCAATTTGAGATTGAAGAAAAAACCAAAAAATGTGGACAAAATGGCATGCTGACAACAGCTTTTATGAAGCGGTAGTTGCACAATACGATGCAAATGAGTTCCTATGTCTGTGACTTTGTAACCGAGACTAAATCAGCCACTAAGCTCTATCAAGCTGTTTTTGGACTGATTAACTTTACCAAATACTATTGTTGTCGTTGTCATATCCCGTATCCTCTAACGATTCATTACTATGGCAAACCAAAATCCACTTTACGGCTTTCTAGGAAGATAAAATCTTCCACCATTCATTGCAACAAAATTGAGTGATATCCTCACCAGCTTCCAATGCCATGATCTGTGCTAGTTTTGGGTAAAAAACTGGAACCAAAAATCAGGAACAATACTGAACAGCAACCGTAAAAATATCTGACAATATTGTTATTAGTGAGTATTAGATAATAATTGGATACTATGCCTATATTTTTTTATATCTTTTTGATCCAAAGAAGATGTATATAGATGTGAAGACAGTTTCATACTCTTAGTTTGAATTGGTTTTATTGACATCAAGACAATTTATAATATCAATTTCTTTTTGTTATATTGTGAATGAAGAAAAACCAGAAAATTTTGGTTATTGCCAATTGCAAAGTGTAACTTAGATGACAGGAATTAGAAAGTGTATATTATAAAACTTTACTAGCAAGCATATAAAAAGTAGGAATAAGCTGATTCCTACCTATTCCAAACGAAGCAGATGGTTTCTTCCTTTTATTTATAGAGTAATACAGAAAGAGAAATATGACCACTCTCTTAAGGTTGTGTTGGTAGATACCACTCTCATTAACATTTTATTCATTACATTAATATCATTTCATGCTATTTTAGTGGTTCACATGCAAGATTTATAAGCTTAGCAATAATTAGTCATAGAAATGACTTCAAAGTCAACTCCCACATAGAGCTTATCATTCACCAAATAAGGTTCAGCAAGTTTCTCCAGAGGCGTGAAAGCCTTAAAGCCATGCTTGTCATCAGCATCAACCCAACCAGACTCTACAAAGGAAAGAAGAAGATGATTTTGAAAAACAAATCGCAAATTTTCTAAAAAAGCTAGCTTATCCTAAAGATTTGTCAAAACAAAAAAAGATGATACCTGTTTTCTCAAGATGATTATGTTCAACTTGATTAAATACTCGCAGCTTAAATTTGGCGAAAGTTTTTGTCTTTGGCGCATTGTTGATAAACCCTTCTCCCGACAAGGACACAGCAAATAACTTGTGATGTCCCCCTATAAACCCTCTTTCATGAACTTTGATTCTCCTGGTCAAAACACTCACACACTAATATGTAACTTCTTCTGTGTGATGTTAATATATTTAGGGGAAATATAAGTTAGATTTGACCATCACCATTTCTTGTTTCCAACCACAAATTCTTGAGAATGATGAACCATTGCAGGGTCGAAAGAAGAGAACTTAGTCATCGCCCAAGTGACTTTGTGATTGAGAGGCTTCTCTATTAAGCTAAAACATTCAGCTGTTCCCTGTGCGCCAGGTTCAAATCCAACAAGACTTGCACCAAACATACAACAATCTTCAATCAGGTACCCGTTCCTCTCAAGATCAACAAGTGATATCAACTTATGAATCCCTTTCGCTTTCGGTGTTGATGATGTACCGAAGTCCCTTTTCACTGCACACGTAACACACTTAACGTCCATGCACGCCATATATATATATATATATATATATATATATATATAAATGTATCATGTATGAAAGAGATCGAGAGAGAAAGAGAGAAAGAGACCATTGATATTGGGGTGCCATTTTGCCTCTAGTTGACTGACGACATAGACCTGATATTCGAGCTCATGATGGATTGGATCTTGATTCTGTAAGTAGATGGAGACATAACCATTTGCATTCTTACTTCCCTTTGGATACACAATCAGTTTCCTGTTTTCATACCATAGAGCAAAACGATTAAGCTTAATTATATTATTACCGATTCTTGCTTTCTTTTTTGTATGTATAAGAAGCATAAGAAGATCAAAAGGCTCACCACTTCAAACCACCGAGTCTGAAAAGAGAGGATTCAAGCCTTTCGATCTTATACTTTGTGAGTAAAGAGAAATTGTCTATCTTGAACAAGTGAGATTCTTTGTGATTTCTTTTGAACGTGGCCACCATTTCTGTGACAAAGTAACAAAAATTAAAAACCCTAGAATTGATGATAATTAAGAAGAGACTCTATGACATGCTTTAACAAAATTTATACTATGTTTTTTTTTTACCTTCGATTGGTATTGGTCGTCGCAACATTGTTGTAACGAAGCTGTAAATGATATATTGATATGAAACTGATTCTTTTAATGGTATATCTATTTGAGAATGTAAGTATAGCTATATATAGACATTACAGGACAAGAGCCAAGTGCTTTTTTTTTTCTTTCTTATGTCTCTGTTTAGGCCCCCCAGCATTTATCGAATCGAAGAAAAAACATACATCGTGAGTTCCACGCTATAAAAAGATTCAAGATTGATAAGCATTAATGCATTGATAGCCTTATATATCACATCTTTAGGGAATATATCTATAGTTTGTAAAACCGACCTTATCTTGAAACCATGCAACAAAGATTCCAAATTTGTTATACATTGCTTGCATTAAAAAAAAAAGTGGATAAAGAAAAAAGTTGAGCTGAATCATTGGTCATACACACTCCAAAACAGAACAGTCTTCTGTTTAACCGGCTCTCTCACGTACTAAGCTCTCACATCCGCTGCACTCTTGTCTATACTTTGAACTCTCCAACGGATCAGTTTCTTTTTTAACATTAGAGAAGATGAAAGGAGATGTTGATAACTGTCTTTTTTTAAAAAGAATGGGCTTCATGAGACGATTATGTTTTTATTATGAGCCCATTGTCATATAACATTCATTTGCATGTTATATTATGATTTAGAGAGAATACAATGGGCTTCATGAGTATGGGCTCAAACATTCATTTGTATGTTATTAAATTATGATTTAGGGATTTAATTGGATCGGCTGATACATGAAAATACAATGGGCTTCATGAGAAGATGGGCTGATACATGATGAATCGGTATTCGCTTAGACTGAATTCATTTTTAAACTCGTTTATGATATAGCTGCTGTAGAGTAGTATCAAATGATCTCTATGCAAAGACATGAATTGAATGTGTGTATTTGCTTACTGTACATTGTATTATTCGTTTGCTTTATTCTTACAAAAGTGGATCAAAAACTGGGGCTTAAGTCAAAGCCCTAATCAAAACTGTTTCTGCCCTCTAATTTCTAAGCTTAAACTTAAGTTGCCTGATCATGAGTTTGATAGCTACAATCTGTGCTTTAGCATCTGGTTGACAAAGCATTTTGACCATTGATTCTTCTTGTTGCTTTGTTCAGCAATGGCAGAGCGCATTTAAAGTTTCATTCATTAGCAGGCTGAAGAGTCCATCCTCAATCTGAACAGCCACCTCTTCTCGCTCCTCCTTCATCCGTATCTCATTCCAGTCTCGTCTTTCGATTTCTCTAGCGCATGCTTGTCTTCTCTGCTCGCATGTTCCACATTCAAGCTCCGACACTCTCTGTCCATGTAACCATCCTTTTGCCTCGCCCACCAATTGGTCTCTGTAAGTTTCGTGCATCATCGAGTTTGTACTTTGCATCAGTTCATCTCTGAAATAGTCCATTATCAGATGTTCTTCGTGGATCCAAATGGTATTTCTTTCTCTGACTCGTTCCCATAGCTGAGCTGCCTTCTCTTCAACCTCATCAATCTCTTTATCGACATTATCACAACTTTCATCGTCATATTTGATATCTGTCTCTAGTCCTCCTCCTTCCGTGCAACATTCCTCATCCATTGAGACCCATTCGTCCAAATTGAAACGGCTATTGTTGGCCAAATTCTCAAACCGTTGAATCGTTTGCATGAGCTTCTGTTTGGTTCCTGCCAAAACCATTACACAGATGTAGCGTGTGTTTCAAAACTTATAGATCTTAAATAACTAAGAAATAACTTTGATTGGAATGAAGGACATCTATACGCACTTTCCACGTTGTCAAGGCATTGACTGAAAGAAGAGTCTGATGCTTCGTCATCTTCCCCAAGTTGAATCTCAAGAACAGAGACGGGGCTGCTCTGCTCCTTTTCACGCTGTAAGTCCTCCTGACCATGATCACTGCATATTAGGCCTAATCATCCAACTATTAATTGCATAGTATAATAATTTCAGAGCTACTATTCCATAAATTGTTACATTCGTAGTACGTACTATTCTATATATCTACCACAGACAAAGACAGCTTCGGTTTTGTCTTCATGTGAATTTCGATTACCGAACAGCTGCACGTGCATTTAGAGACAACATGGTCGACCCGACCGTACGGTTGAAGCAAAGTCAACCCATAAGATCTCAAATCACATATATACAAGCTTTATTTCTTTCTTAAATTTGATTTGATCCTGTTTTCTCTTTTAATTATGCATGTACTAGTAGTTAATTCCAGTGATTAACTAATGTTATAAAGACTGAGTTTCTATTTGCCTTAATATAGTATTCTTAATTACCTCAGGTCCCACTTCAGTGTCGGCGTCTGTTACTGCTGTGCAAGAATCTTCGCCGACACATTGTAATTTGTTTTCACCGCTCTCTTTTTCACTGCACGACTCAACGTTACCTCCCCATGATGACGGTAAAAACTCCGATGTAAAATCCGAGTCGCACCAACTGCTGCAGGATGTGCCGGTGGTGGTGGAGGATCCCGTGGTTGTTGTCATCGTCTTGGTTGTGTACTGATGTGGCGAAGACGACGTTTCGAAATGTGATGTGTCTTCATGCAGGTCCTTGGAGGAGCTCCACCTTACGATGTCTTTGATTCGAATGACGGTGATGCTTGCTTGGTTCTTGGATGATAACCGCCGAGAAAGGCTCCTCGGTAAAATCCCTGATGGAGTAGATTTGACGGCGTTGGAACGGAGGTTCTTAACGGCGTTAATCACAGCCTGCAATGCATTGGATTGTTTCCTCTTCGGTACCGTGGGGAACAAGTCGATAGGAGTCCGTCTGGGAATTGACATGAACCCGTTTGAGGAACAGGAATTGGAATCTTCCAAGAGACAGTCTTTGAGCATTCTCGGCCTTAGTTTCATCCTGAAACGCTCTCTTTGGCTTAGGTACGCAGCTGAACTTGAAATATATACTGAACTGGCGATAGGAAGACAAAATATCTTGAAAGAGAGAAGTGGGCTAGTGAAATGTTTAGGAGTGTTGAGATGTATTTATGTGTGGCTGCTGAGAGTTTTGGGAAAGAGAGAAGCAGCTTCTTGATGGAGATCTCAAGATGATGACAAGCTTAATAGTATAATTAAGTTAGTTGGCAGAGAATAAGACAAAAGATGTGGGACCTAGGATGTTTCGCTCTACGAGTTGCGAGATTTGGAGCTTCTACTTATTTGCTTATTAATTTATAAATTTTATAACCAAAACTGAAAAGGTCAGTTCTTGTATCAGGTCACAAGGTCCAGTGACCTGGCGATGACTATTGTAGCCGGTAGCGAGTGAAGAATATTATTAATTTTTAATTAAAAATTATCACAGTTGGTAAAAATGGGGTTGTGAATTTATATCTGTTCTTTTACCTTCTTTCTCACTGCATGTTCAGTAAATTCCTGAGTTTTGGTTCTTTGCTTAGCTAAACAGTGAAGGCCATGCCATTTAGCAGGATCAAATCTACATTTTTACGGAGGTTCCCACCACTCGACATTCGAAAGGGTTTTATCCAGATGCTTGTGTTTATGTGTTATTTTATTTGAATGCAGTTATTTCTCCCGAACAACTTTATTTCGTGAAAGATCATCCATAAAAATGTGATGAGATACTTGTGCAGACTACAGGATATGGGCGCATAGTCTTTCGTGGTAGCCATTGCCAGACAGAAGAATCATGTGTAGAAAAAGATGGGCTGATTGAAGATAACCGAGACTCTTGCTCCATTGTATGGATGAACCGAACCATCATAACCATGGTGACAGCTTGTGAGTTAGATCAATGCATACAAGTTATTAAGTCTGACTTCTGAGGTGAAACCGAGCAATGACTATATGTCAAAAGGTAATGGTTTTGTTAGTCTTTTTTTTTTTTTTTTTTTTGCTGTAATTCATCTCTGGTTTATTGTTTCGTAAGTGTGGGAATGAATTCTTGAAAGGCATCACATGCATACAGCCATCATACCAGCCTATTTATGCTTATATCTTCAACCTAATTTCTCATAGGAAACGCTCTGATAATTAATACTTGTAAACCAATATATTTAACCTCACTATAACCCACTTAGCTCCACTGGCACAAGTCTGTCTTATACTCATAGACATCGAGGGTTAAATTCCCACAACACAACCCCTAATCCCTGATTTCCACAACACAACCCCTAATCCCTTTTATATCCAGTTACAAATATATATATATATATATATATTTAACCTCACATTTGAATCTTTGTATTTTTAACATGAAAATCTTTTCAAATCTATTAAAATCCATTTTGAAATCAAATTCATGATTTTAAAATCACAAAACCAATAACACATGATTTGAATATAAATTTTAAAATTATAGAACGAATAACAATAGATATAGTTAATTTTCTAAATCTATTAAAATTATAGAATCAATAACCTCCATTTAAACCACATTATGGTAAACCCTTTCTAAAAACTAACTATGCTTGACTCACAGTCATAGATACTCTCTCTGCAAATTGTTACAATCACCAAAAACTATAATAATAAATAAAATAAAATAAAAAATGTTGCAAGCTTGAAGGAAGGTTGCACGATTTCTTCATCTTTGGACTCAATTCCTAGTATCTCAAGAATTTTTCTACAAAATTTATGTTTGAGAGGGTTCTATCTACTAATTGATCTTCATCTTTGGACTCAATTCAGTTTGTTTCCTTCCAGTCATTTTGGACTGACTAGATTTTATTATTAAGCATATATAAGCTCTGAATTGTTTGTTTGACTGATTGATTTTCAGTCATTCATCTCTGGTTTGAACTGAAAATCATTTACTTTGGTATACTGCATCTTTGACTAGTTAAGAATCGACGACTGCGTTGCATGCGAAACACGTTTAAAAGTACTTTTTAGTTCAATTGATATCTCTATGTATGGTAGTTTTTTCAATGATCAAGGGTTTGACTGATATATCATCTGAATACTAGAATAACATAATAACAAAATAGTTGAATAATAAACTAATGAAATTAATAAAATGAGAAAATTTAAAAAAAAATCATTAAAAGGTACTCTTTATTAGATAAATAAATTTTTTATCTAAACTAATGAATTAAAAAATAGCTTGTTAATTATCATTTTTGTTAACTAGTAGAATCACGTTTTTAAAACGTGAAAAAGCTATATACTTTGAAGCTCTTAATGATCCTGACTAGAATCTGTTGTAACGCCTCGCATGGTGAAAGGTGGAGGCTTATTGTTGCATTTATGAAGTGTATCCAGGTCCAGATTTAGTTTTGGTAAGTTTGCAAAGTTCATCTTCCAATTTAAACACATTGGATTGCCTTTCCCTCCCTTCATTCTTGTTCTTTCCGCTTATAAAGGTTGCTTTGCAGGTATTTTCATTCAACTAAGTCTTTCAACTAATTCAACTTCTAATTATTAAGCATTGATTTTATCAATCATGAATGGAAAAGAGGATTTTCAGATGGAAAATACCAAAGAAACAGAGAAGTCTTCAGCTGATACCGGTGTTTCGCTATTGGACAGCAATGATACATGCCTGGTGAATCTGTCAGAGAAGATGCATTGTTACGGTATATCATGATCCAAATATTTGAAATAATGTTTCATAAAAACCATGAGAACCTCAAAAGTTTGTTTTATGCAGATGAACTCAGCCAAGGTAACAAAAGAAAGGAAAGAGCGACTGCAGATATTGTAAAACATCGAGAGAAGGATCATGGCAGTGATTTAGAAGACCAAAAGATGCCAACACTCATTTGTGCAGATGATCTACAAAACAAAACTTTAGAAGCTATTCCAAATATGGGTAAGTTTCACATTTCTATCTCTTTTGTTAATTTTTTTTTGTAACTTATATCCATCGATATGTAAATTTTTAGAACATTTTCATTGAAGATTTCTAACTAAATTTTTCGTATTATAATAATAATAAAAAAAAAAAATGAAGAAAAAAAATCTTTCAAATAAGAAATTTTTAAAAATGCGTGAACAATTTATATACTTTAACCTCTATTTAATTGGTTAAATTTTTATTCTTAAATTCAAACTAAATAAATTTTGTTAAAAATATTATTATTATATTAATAAAAAAACTCTTAAAAATTTCTAGCTAATGGAGATATTCTTATGATGCATATAGAAGAAGCCAACAAAGAAAAAAAGGAACCAGCAGAGATAAAGAAGGCTGGAGAAGGTAGCCACAAAGAGAAGCCAGGACTTGTTTGTACGGATGAGGAACTAGAAAAGTGGTCCACTCAACCTGTTACCAATTTGGATGCTTTTGGTGAGCCTCTCAGATCTCAAATATTACATTTTTAATCCCTATTCTCGGTCTGTTATGGTATTTACTCGAAGTAACAAAATTTTGGTCATGTGCAGTGGAATATGAATTCGAGGAGCGAGACTTTAAGCCTTTGGAGAGCGTTGGGGAGTGTGAGGGTTATTATAATGAGGTTCCACTGAGTCCGCAAGAGTCCTCAAACATGGTTGTTGTTGGTCAGCTTCAAGTGCAGAGGACAGATATAACGTTGGATGAAGAAGTGATGCAGGAGGATGGAATGAGCCTCTCTGATCTCGAATCTGATCTGCACGAAGAAGGACAGGGTTGTACATCTGATTTGGACAAGGATCCGAATCAGGAGCTTTTCGATGACATCCTCAGCGACCTCGCCAAAGAGCTTAAACCTTAAAAATGCAAACATCCTCGCTCATTGCTCTGTCTGTCTCATGTTCGCTCTCTGTTTTTGTACTTTGTTTGACCTTCTCTGTGTGTTCTTCAGCTGTCGTCTTCTTCATATGTTTTCAGTCATTAAATTGGCTTTGCCGGTTTCCAATAAAACTCCTCCTTATATTTGCTAATCATCAAAACACCGATCGATTCTCTGGAACAGTAAGTTAGCGACACAAACATGAAACTTCCAATCTTGCATGGTTCAGTTTGGAGTCAGTTCTATTTCATATATCCCAGATAGTTTATCTACGCAGTCCCAAGAAGCCCACGCTGGCAAAACAGAGTATTGTCACAAAGCCTAATAATACGTTATTATTTAAGAAAACTGACAATCTTTACAACACTGTAAAGAGAGAGAGAGAGAGAGAGAGAGAGAGAGAGAGAGAGAGAGAGCCAAAATGGCTGAAGAAAAGCCTTTTAAACCGCTCAAAGTTACACCTAAAAGATTCTTTTACAATAGAAACAAAGCCCATATGAATCAAAGAAAGAAAAATCAAAGCATCCTCATAGTCATACCAACTCAAGACGCTAAACCTCCTCGTCTGAGTCAGTATCGTCTGACTCAGGCCAAACATAATCGACGTCGCGAGGACGCCTGCGCAGGAAATTCAAGAGCTGTTCAAGGTTCCTCATCGGACTAAGCCGAGGGTTTCTCACCGGCCCAAGGTGCCTTTGCTCTTCCTCTTCTTCCATCTCATCCAATTCTTGAGGACTTTGCTCTGCCTCTTCTTCCATCTCGTCCATTTCTTGTGGATCACTGTAACTCACTACCTTCAACCCAAACTTTCCTGACTCATCCGGATCCACCACCCGAAACGATTTCGCTAGTGCTCTTCCCATCACTTTGACATGCGACACGCTGCAACAACAACAACTACTTTCAAAAAAACCGCAAGTTGTAAAGCTTTTTAAGGGAATCTAGACAAATGGGGAGAAAAGATGTACCATATGTAGTATAGGCCATCCATTTCTTGTGTCTGAACTCGACCTAGCAGCTCGATTAGTAGATACCCACCAACGCAAAGAACGGGTTCTGGAAGCTTAAAGTTCTGCAACCGATTTTCCTATACTCATACAAAACCATCATTGGTTATCAACAAGTTCAGGAACAAGTGATCTATCATGCTAAAGATGACAATGATCTATACAATAGCACACCTGAGCCATCGGAAACTCCTGTGAAGTGTAGGTCCACACATAGTTGCTTTCGACCGGAGGAACCTTTCCTGACTCACTTTTCTTCTCCTGTGAATTGGCATTGTGGTGACCCAACCGGAAACGAACATAATGTGAAGAGTATATCGGCGTACCGGGCTGAAAATAAGCTAAGAGAAAATGGGGAACCGTTAAGCAACAAAGATCATTCAGAGAAAAAACTCAAAGAGAAAAAACTGACGATGGCATTAGTAGTACCTTGGAAAGGCTGAACGCTGAACTCAGTAATGACGCACAAATCAGCCTTGAGCTTGTAAAGAAGTGTTTCGGGGACCGAGGTCTTGTGTTGTCCTGTACTCGACCAATACGAAGGGGTGTTGTTATCAATTTTATCTCTTTCTTCGAGTGTGTTCAAGATGCTCTCTGCTGGGTAGTTATCAGTACTAGACGCTACAATGGCTTCGGCGATACAGCTTCTGATAGGGGACGACTTGCATCCTCTGGCCAACAAGGCATAAGCCCTGTGCTCTCTCTCTAGTACCCTTGTGTCCATGAGGCTGCTTGGCCCCGCCTCGGAGGACTCTTCTTCGTCTCTATCATTACTTGCTTCTGTTATACGATCCACACTGCTTAGCCGATGGAACAACTTCAAGCACAGGTTCTTGGAGAGACTGAACCTTCTCACTGCAAGAGCAAACCCATTCTCAAGATGTAAAAATTATAATCCATCATAATAACAATTCAGATGTGAAGAGGATTAAATCACATCGAAAACCTAACAAAAAAGAGGGTTTCTGTGGCTTACCAAACTCTCTCCAGGAGCGTGAGACAGCACTCGCACGGACAAGATCTGATGGGTCATCTAGACACGAAAGAATCGCTAGCGACATGTCGGTATCAATATTGTTTACGAAATCCATCCTGTTCGAACAAACTTAACTTTGCCCTACAAAAAGAGTGAAAATTTTCAAAACCAACAATGAGATTACATGTATTTGTTCGGTTTCACGTCACAAAATTAGCCTTACGATCATATGACCGCTTGCAATTACTACAGCATTGGCAGAAAACGATGAGCTGTGTAATCACGGGCAGATACGAATTAGACTGGGCAGGAAAAAAAAAACAAATTTATATATCAAATGGAAGAGTTCGGTGATGGGGAACTAGAAATTAAGAGAGACGAAGGATTCAATTTCACAGCGAAATACACGCAATCGGAGGAAATCGACGATGAATATGGCCGCAAGAAACAACGAAGATAATAGAGGGAATGTAGAATTCGATCAGGAAAAAACACGAAATGGAAGAAATCTTTACCTAATTTCTTATCGATAATCAGATAAGAGCGAGCGATGGTGACCCTAGAAATTGAATTTGGGGATAATAGAGAGAGGAGACATTCGAAGACGGTGATGATTAGGAAAGGCCGACCATCGTTAACCGCAAGGTTAGTTCTGTCTTTTCAACGTTAATATTGTATTTTATTTTAATAAAAATTTATATGAAATAAATAATTTAATTATATATATATATATGTGTGAAAAGTAGAATAAAACGATAGTCGTTGTGAAAGGAAAGAATATCAAATTTTAAAGTCTGAGAACTTAAATGAATGAATTGTGGATGAGAAAATGAAGAAAAAGTTGTGCAAACTGCAAAGTATTGAGATAAAGTGATGACAAAAAAAAAAAAAAAAGTGTGAAGTTATTGTAATACAAAATCGTAACGTTGACAGGGGTTAAAAATAAATAAATAAATAAAAAGCTCGGGAGAAGAATAGTAAGATTGAACAAAGTTAAGGGGATACTTTGGAATTTCTAAGAGTTATTATTAAACAAAGTAATTAATTACTGATTACGCCACTGTTGTGTAGACTGATCAGCGTCGGTTCGAATCAGTTGAACTGTTGAACTAATCTTGCTTTACAAAGCAAACATTAGAACGCCGCTTGCCTCCATAATTCCCGGCGAGTTTGCTGTTCTCTGAACTGACAGCCACCGAAATCTCCGGCGGAGATGGTGAGACCAGCGAGAGACGCCATTCAGTCTTACATGAGTATCACCGGCGCTTCCGAGTCACTCGCGATTCAGAGACTTGAGGTTCGTCTTCTTTTCTTTCTCCGTATAAACTTCTTCTTTGTCTCGGAGAGTATATGAACAGCACTCTTATGAGATGCTATTGCCAAGATTGATTTTGCTTTCGGCCAATTGACGTAAGTAATCTAGAGAAGATACGGGTAGTTCTTCGATCAAGTGGGTAAAAATGGTGCTGATGGATTTGAAATGTAAATGGAATTTGGAGAGTTAGGGTTTTAGGATTTGTACAGCATCGAAACAGCTCGCTATATAGGATTGTACAGTGATTTCTGTTTGTAGATCCACTCTAATCGTTGCGTTCTTGCATTAATAGAAGTGTTTTTTTCTGAAAAATTTGACCAGGAACATGGCGATAATCTCACTGAAGCGATCAATGCCCACTTCAGGGATGTGGAAATGAGCATGTATGTTTCTCAGATTTTCAAGAGTTTTTGAGTATCTCTCTTATAAATGATTAAGCCCTCTTTGTTTTGTTGCCATTCTTTTGTTTTTCTTCCAGACTTGGTCCAAGCTTAGACAGTCGTCCAGAGTACAATGCAGTGGAAGACAACAGTCAGGTTCGTGGTACCGAGTCTAGGCCAGCCCCAGGCGGGCTTCCCTCTTTCCTCTCGGCGGCTCGGTCTTTCAGACCGTCGTTGCTTCTAGATCCCAATTACAGGAGAAGTATCCTCAGGCAGATCAGTGGCTCTGCTTCCTCTGGAAACCTTTCTCCGTCATCTCACACAGGTGAGGTCACAGGGTTCCCTGCTCACTCTACCTGGGGTAATGATCAGATTCGTCCTCCTGGATATGGAGACGGTTACGCTAGGCATTCTTCAGGCCATGGTGGAACACATGGGGATGATGAGTCACCTGTCTATAGCAACGATGCAGAAGATGAAATGATCAGAGCTGCCATTGAGGCTTCGAAGAAGGATTTTCAAGAGGGTCGTCACAACACAAGATCTAGTCTGGACAATGTATAGTAGTATAGATTCACCTTGTCTAGCTAGTAGCTCCTATTGTTATGAGCCTCACATATTTTGCTAATCTGTCTTCTTTTTCTTTTTTGTTGGGTTATTGATGCAGCAGGATCCATCTAGCGTTTTATCTCAGAGAGAGGTTATTAACAGGGAAGACGAGGACATTGCCCGTGCGATCTCCATGTCCTTAGAGGTATTGGTAGATACTGCATCTGCTACGTACCTGCTGATGTAGGTTTTGTCTCACCTCAGCATAAATGGCTTTCAGATGGAAGAGCAAGAGAATGCGTTGCGGGAGCAACTAGCCGAACTTGTGCCTCACTCCGTGGAGCACCACGACCCATGTCAGTCCAACACGAATGAAAGTAGCAGATATAAGGTGTGAACCCGAATTTCTCTTCTCCTCTAATATTACTCAGTCTTCTGGTTCATAAAAGCCCATTGTTACAGTTTGGCTGACAGTCGTATTACATACTAAGTTAACCACACTTTTACAAAGTTAAAACCTCTGTAATTTGAAGCCCGGGAGCTCTTCGGTGCAAGACAAGCGTGAAGACATGAAACAAAAGCAGCCAATTGCTACCATCTCTCAGCACGGACATGAAGCTTCTTATCCTGAAGAGGTAATTATTCAAAACAAGTTTGGTTTTTCTTACCAGTGAAAATAGCAAATCAAGAACAAATTAGTATTTTTTAGTGACTAGCTTCTAGTTGATCATGTGTTCTTCTGACCCTGTTTTCGACTTCTACTAGTGGGGTGGCATTCCGTCAAAAGAGCTACAGGAGGCAATAATGCTGGAAAAGGCACTCTTTAGTGGAGTAGCTAAAGAGAGTGCTTCACATAATAATCAGCCTGGAACTCACATTGGAGAGGTAATCTGCTTATCCTGTGAGGCTTTCATTAGTTGGACGGTGAAAGTTGACATGAACAATTGAACATATTCCAGAGTGTGAACAACTCCTCTGCTATAAATCCATAGGTAGAAGTCAGCCTACAAAAATGAAGCTTGTGATCAGATTTAACCCGTAGATTTTCAGCCATCGATGCTTAGTCAAAATATGATCATAGTGGCAAAAGGGTTCTGAAATATGGTTTTAACATTGATTTCATGACTAAAAAATCCATCTTGTAGGCATCCTTTGTATTCAATCTGGGTTGTAATGACTGCCCAGTGAAAGCTGACATTCCTTTGGCTTTTCACAACTGTTTTGGGTAGCAGGAACCTGAGAGATCTTCCATTACAAAGAAGGCAGCGCTTCCCATCGAGCCATCAGTCGAAAATGAAGATGCCATCACTCTACTTGTTAAATTTCCAGATAGCAGCCGCCATGGTCGTCGCTTTCTCAAATCAGACAAGCTTCAGGTGAAGTTCGACGCGAGACTCAAGTGATTAGTGTGAATGACATCCCTTTTCTTATTTAAGCTTCCTTAACAGTTTTTTTGTGAAATTGCAGTACCTTTTTGACTTCATAGATGCTGCTGGATTAGTCAAACCAGGCACATATAGAGTGGTAAGCCTAGTAATGAGTGGTGTGAATGTTGCTGGTAAACAGGTTAGACCATATCCTCGTAAGCCTTATAAGTGGTGTGAATGTTGTTGGTAAACAGGTCAGACCATATCCTCGTCGTGCTTTCAGCCTTCAAGACGGTGCCTTAACTTTTGAGGAACTCAGTCTCACCAACAAACAAGAAGCGTTGTTTCTGGAACTAATGATATAGCAATGTAACCTGAGATGATTGCAGCAAAAACTAGTTGAGTTCAATGTACCGCAAGTCTGTAAGCGCTCTCGTAGCTAATAGTCCCATTGCATATCCAACATACTCTGTTGTAAACTCTCTCGTTTATTTGGCCACATTGAATCTCTGGTTTGAAACAGTCGATCGGGTGTTTTTCTCATTTCCCTCAAAGTCTATTTCAGTGTGTACAAAATATGCTAAAAGAGACCAAAAAAAAAATGGAGCTACGAGGTCTATGTTCTATCTCCAGGTTGCCTGGTCAGGCGCAGGCGCGGTCCAGTAGTCCTTGACAAGAAACAAAATCTTCTCCCTTTCAAGAGGTCCGTTCTCATGATCTCCTATTCTCCCTTGCCATTGCATTGCGTCTGTTATCTTCTTTACTTTGGTTAACACATCAATGTCGTCTCTGATGATCACGCCTCCCTTTGGTCTTAGAATCCTGTCCATTTCTAACAGGATATCTTCCATGTCACATCTGCCTTTGTACATACTGAACACCGAATCGGCATGGACCAAATCGTACGTCCTTGGGTAAGTTGACATCGCTTCACACCTGTTTAAGAGTTGGAGAAGTCAAAAGAGTCCATGAACAAAGCAATGAAATGCTGATTCTCGGTTATTAGGATCCCTTACCAGTTTTGATAAGTTCCGATCAACCCTCGCTCGTAGATGACTCCAAGGGTGTTGTAAGTAGCCTCCACGGGGACAACGTTCATGACCCAGACAGGATCATCGACTAAGGCTGCAGCAAAACCCCCAAGATAAGCGTTCATGTCAAGTATGTTTCTGTATCTTCCCGTCTCAGCTAGCTGCTGGTCGAACCTCTTGTAGTAAGACACTCTTCTCTTCCATGTCTCTGTGTTGCCGAAGAAATCATCCTCAGTGATCCCTTGCAAGCTCTCATTCTTGATCCTCGGAGGAACAGCGTTCAATCTCTCGGGCCATCTCGCCAACTTTCCACCCGCTACTTCTTTGATCTCGGATCCTGTAACTTCAGGTAATGGCGTCAAACACTCCTCGAGCTTAGTGTACCTAAAAAAACCCCAAAAACACCACAAATAATGAGATACAAGTCTTGGTTTCCAAGTAACAAAATGACGTGTCCACATTTACCAGGCTTGGTCGGGTTGTGCCCGGTGGCAGAAGGGAGGGCGTCTTAGAGCAATCCGATTGCGTTTACAGTGAATATGGTTGGTGGGTTTCTGCCATACGGCAAGGTCTTCTCTCTGCACCAATTTCTTCCAGCACAAGCTCCTAGCGACCTTCTCGATCTGATTCTGCTCCGAGTTGAGATCGTCTCTGGTTCTCTCCCAACCTTTCCAATGTCTCTGCCAGTTAATCGGCGGTCCGGACAGAATCCAATACCCGCCCGGTCTCAGTACCCTGTCCACCTCTATCAGATACGTCCCGTCTGCTCACAGTCACACACACACACATATATAATTAAGAAGCGAATACAGAACCAGAGAGTGTGACTACTAAGAGGTGTGAAATTACTGTATTGGCCCCAGGGGATGAGACATCGAGAGCAATGAGCAATGTCGAAGGCTCTCGCCGGGAATGGGAGCCTAATGGAAGCTAAGACTCCGATGATCGCAGGGACTCCTCTCTCAAGTGCGAACTGAACCTGAGCTTCGTGTGTGTCTCTTGGCGCGAATGACATCGTTACTATGTTCCTCGACATTAGATACGCCCCAAAACTCGCTACCTACCATCATCATACCATTTGACTTTAGACGGTCGATATAATTTACACAAGTTATGATCGTTTAAATCTACCCATTTGCTTCTAAACGTGGAAACAGAGTAAAAGTCCTGTGGCCACTTTACTTCCGTATGAAGATTGAAATTATTGATGATAAGAAAACCGCATTTACTACTATCTAATGACTAATTTGCACACAAACAAAAAAAATCTAATATCTAATGACGCTAGCCAGCATTTACCTGGCTGTACCACAATTTCATTTATTTGGGATAAAAAAGGTAACAAACTATTAAGAAAAAATATAAAAAAATATACAGCTAATGTAGAAAATTGTTACCATTGAAAAAGAGTAGTAAAATTTGGCAAAATGTTTCTAGTTTTGATCCCATTAAGTTGTCACTACTTTTGACTCCTATGCTATTAATTCCATATCAAGACAATCCTATCCATCCCTCTCACCCTTTTGTGTCAGAATATTCTTCCTGTCATAACTCACATTGGATTTTTATGACCAAAATTCTGAGATTTCTTTTTATAATAAGAATTAAAAGTAACAAATGTACTGTAAAACGAACTTACTAAATATAATCAAGTATCCTATGCAATTATGAAATAAATTTCTCTGATCTGGACCAACAACATCAACTAATAAGTGCACATCTATATGTATAGTACAGTACACGCCTTTACATTAATCTATGAACAAAGGGAACACCAATAGAGTATTTCAACGTAATTGCACAATCATCGATTAGTTTTGACAACTGTTTACACGCTACTATACAACTTTCTATGACTATTGAAACTAAATTTACTCCAAACCCAAAATATACTTATCATATAAGGCATGAGATCTTATTCAAAAAAAATATAAGGCATGAGATTTTCTTTTTCTTTTAAACATTGTGAACTACTACTTTTATAAAGATATTGACATCATTGTATTATGTGTAAATTGACATATAAGGCATGAGATTTTTCTCCAAGACAAAATTGAGAATTACTACTTTTATAAAGATATTGAAGAATTAAAAAACAGCTAGAAATTAAAAAAAAAAAACATAATTTTTGACATCACAGGCATGTGATGAATATGGAAACATGAAAGAGAGGCAAAGAAAACAGAGACGTCACATGAATAATACAAAACGAATAAAACTAATAAGAAGAAGAAAAATCAGAGCTTACCCCACATCCAGTATCAATGGCTGTCCGAATTGATCCATCTTTGAGATTTATCAACCGTCCGATATCGTCGATGTAAGCATCAGCTCCACGTGGAAACATCGTACCACCACCGGGAAATAAAAACCTATCCTTCTCGTACCTCACCCAGTTCTGATTCTTCTTCTCCACCGTTAGTTCCGTGTGGGGCACGTTAGCGAACCACGCCACGTCACGACTCTTCGGCCACCTGAAAGGTACCGAGTAACCGTACGGCGCTGGAATCCGGCACCGGAGTATCTCGTTTCTTTTCGGACAGTGTCGCTCTCTGTATATCAACCTCTCTCTTGGGAATTCTAAAGACCGATTCACGGACTCGCACGGTGTATACTCCGATAATTCGACGCCGCACGACGGGATGTTTACCACACGCACCGTCGTATTCGACGGAGGAGCTTCAGGTGATGTGTGACGGGAAGCGAAGGTGAGGGTCGGTGTGGTCTGTTGAGGAAAGGTGCAGGGCAAGGAAGTGAGGGAAGCGCGTGAGATTCCTCCGCCGGAATGTTGCCATACTCCGAAAGAGTAGGCGGCGACACAGAGTAGTGAGATTAGAATCACGCGGTAGAGATTCGTTTGTTTTGCTCGGACTGATAACTTCGATAGCTTCGACGGCCACCGATTGTTAGCCATGACTGGCCGGAGAAAGAAAGAAAAAAAAAGGAGAAAATATAAAAAAACCCCTTTTTTTTGTAGAATGTGTAAATCTTAGATGAATGCTTTTGTTTTTTTATAGTGGTGATATGAGTATGAGGTTACGATACGAGTGAGCTTTTCCATCTATCTCCCCACCTACGTTGATATAGTATTAAATTTTCATTTTATGGGAAAAATGCTAATTTTCCATACATCTAGTATTAATTTCATGGGATAACAGGGAAAACCAAATCTTTAAAAGAAAAAAAAATTCAAAACTGAAATTTTAAAAAAATAAATCAATTTTTGATACATCTGTTAATTTCTAGGATAACAGGGAATAAAAAATCTTTGACAGAAAAAAGAAATTCAAAACTGAAATATTAAAGCAATAAATCAACTTTTAAGGTTGATGATCTAAGGTTTGGAATTTAGCCTTTTAGAGTTCAATGGATTTACTATGTATCATTTAAATTTTAAAATAGATTTGCAGTATTTTCTATTTTAAAATTATATATGAGTTTGTATTTTTTATTAAAATAGACACTTTATATTTTTTTGTATTTTCCAATATTATTTACATAATTAAGGCTGTCCAAAGAGTTTAGGACTGGGTTTAGCTGTCCAAATAAAAATTAAGGATACTGTATTTAAATCCTTTGCATCAGAGTTCAGACAGTGAAAGTAAAGCATTTATCACTTATTGTATTAACATTCGTTTTACTGATTCAGCCAACTAAATGACGCGCTCTGGAGGCGCGTAGCACGTGAATGCATCCAATTTATTACGTCGTTGTACAGGTCAGGGATCACTGTGTGGCGACTTCATTGGTAATTTTAAATTTTAATATATTTTTTTGTTTTCAAATTATCTCATTCATATAGTTTCATTTAAAATTAATGGCGAGTTTTTATAAACAGACTAATATCAGCCCCGTACTATCTAATTTATCTGGATTAATTAATTAGATTGATTCAATTCTAAAATCTGGATTTTTTTAGTAAACAGATAGTTTTGAGTAAAGCAATTTTGCATCTTGGAGTTCAAATTAGTAATGGTTAAAGAATAATTTATTTCGTTAACAGATGGTTTTGAGTAAAACAATTTTATAACCTGGAAGTCAAATTCGTAATGGTCAAAGAATAATTTTCTTGTTTGTAAAACATAAATAAAATAAGGTGACATTGTTTTGGGCCGGCAAAGGACGAATGGACGATCCATTAATATATTCTTACTAAGTCTTTACCAATATATTTGAGGCCCAAGTCCAACAAGCCTATAAAAATTTATAATCGGCGCATTAAATATTCTTTAATCAATTTTAGTATTAGAGAGCCCAACAGTGCCGTATTCACCGTCCTTCACTAGAGCGCCAGTCGCTTACTAACTAACGCACTGAGCACAAAAATGGGATTCATCACACAACGAACTGCAAAAATATTAATATCTTAATCGCCGACAAATCTCCAGATCTCCAAATTTTAATTTCTTATTATAAACCCTGGATTTGCATCTGACCCTGGTGCCGAAGAAGAGGGATTCGAGTGTTGACCAAGCGAAGCTTAGCTATGGGGCACCTGAATCTACCTGCGTCGAAGCGTAATCCGCGTCAATGGCGTCTCCTCGACATCGTAACCGCCGCCTTCTTTGGTATCGTCCTTCTCTTCTTCGTCCTGCTATTCACTCCCCTCGGGGATTCCATGGCGGCGTCTGGTCGGCAAACGCTGCTGCTCTCGACGGCATCAGATCCGAGGCAACGGCAGCGATTGGTGACTTTGGTCGAAGCTGGCCAGCATCTGCAGCCGATAGAGTATTGTCCGGCGGAAGCTGTTGCTCACATGCCTTGCGAGGATCCGAGGAGGAATAGCCAGCTTAGCAGAGAGATGAATTTCTATAGGGAGAGACATTGTCCGTTACCGGAGGAGACTCCTCTCTGCTTGATCCCTCCGCCTGCTGGCTACAAAATCCCTGTTCCGTGGCCGGAGAGCCTGCACAAGGTAAGCTTGCAAACGATTATTTCTCTGCCATCCTCATAAGATACTGTACTGTTCTATCTCAAGTGTGTTTTTGGAATGCTATGAGCTAGTTCGATTGTTAAAAAGCTGGGCGTTGAAACTTGCAGATCTGGCATGCAAACATGCCATACAACAAAATTGCTGACCGCAAAGGTCACCAAGGATGGATGAAAAGGGAAGGTGAATACTTCACTTTCCCAGGCGGTGGCACGATGTTTCCTGGCGGAGCCGGTCAATACATTGAGAAGCTTTCACAGTATATTCCTCTTAACGGGGGAACTCTCAGAACTGCACTTGACATGGGATGCGGGGTAAGGATAAGATCCATCATCGTCTACGTCGTCTCTTTTATTCACGTTTTGCTCTGTGTTGTTGTTACAGTTCGATTGTAAACTTTTGTAGGTAGCAAGTTTCGGAGGCACTCTACTATCTCAAGGCATTCTAGCCCTCTCGTTTGCTCCAAGAGATTCGCATAAATCGCAGATTCAGTTCGCCTTGGAAAGAGGAGTGCCTGCATTTGTCGCCATGCTTGGCACTCGTAGACTCCCCTTTCCTGCATTCTCCTTTGACTTGATGCATTGTTCCCGATGCTTGATTCCTTTTACGGCTTACAGTGAGTCCCTTGGGTTACAGAACTCTTCATATTATTTGATGTCTCATCATTTGTAGCACTACTTATTCTTATCGTTTGCTTGGTGATTTGTCTGCAGATGCAACTTACTTCATCGAAGTAGATAGGTTATTGCGCCCTGGAGGATATCTTGTAATCTCTGGCCCACCTGTACAATGGCCTAAGCAAGACAAAGAATGGGCTGATCTTCAGGCGGTGGCTAGAGCTTTGTGCTATGAGCTAATTGCGGTTGATGGTAACACTGTCATCTGGAAGAAGCCTGTTGGTGATTCATGTCTACCAAGCCAGAATGAGTTTGGGATTGAGTTGTGTGATGAGTCTGTTCCGCCAAGTGATGCATGGTGAGTTGTCTCTGAGTATTACCTCCCTATGACCTTGTCGTACTACAATCCTGGCGGATGTGACTTTTGAACTTTTATGAAATATTGTAAAAGACAGAACTGAAGTATATGTTTTTTTCCTCCTTGTTTCAGGTATTATAAATTGAAGAAGTGTGTTACTAAGCCATCGTCCGTGAAAGGAGAATTTGCTTTGGGAACTATTTCAAAGTGGCCGGAGAGGCTTACTAAAGTTCCTTCTAGAGCTATTGTCATGAAAAACGGGTTGGATGTGTTTGAAGCAGATGCAAGGAGGTGGGCAAGACGAGTTGCTTATTACAGGGACTCTCTGGACTTGAAGCTGAAATCTCCAGCTGTCCGCAATGTCATGGACATGAACGCCTTCTTCGGGGGCTTTGCCGCAGCCCTTGCATCTGAACCTGTGTGGGTTATGAATGTTATTCCGGCTCGGAAGCCATTAACTCTTGACGTCATCTATGACAGAGGTCTCATCGGCGTTTACCATGATTGGTTAGTCACTTTCGGTGTTTACATATCTGATCAAAGCTCAGCCTTAGATATTTTATCTCTCTTGTTCAGTGTCTTAGCCATTGCCAGCATTTTAAGGATCAATCTATCTTCTATTCCACAACTCTTTGAGAGTTAAAAAAAAAATATTTTCTATTGGTTGCAGGTGTGAACCCTTTTCAACATATCCGCGTACGTATGATTTCATCCATGTATCAGGAATTGAATCACTGATAAAACGACAAGACTTGAGCAAATCGAGGTATAAATAACTTAAAACCATTCTCGGTTCATAAGACAGGTCCCTGTCTTGTCCACTTTGCATGAATTTGATTGTCCAATATGCATACAGGTGTAGCCTAGTAGATCTAATGGTAGAGATGGACAGAATATTGCGTCCAGAAGGAAGAGTTTTGATCCGGGACTCTCCTGAGGTACTAGACAAAGTCGCACGAATGGCTCAAGCTGTAAGGTGGTCTTCTTCCATACACGACAAAGAACCTGAATCCCATGGAAGAGAGAAGATCCTCGTTGCAACTAAATCTCTCTGGAAAGTGCCATCAAACTCGCACTGAACACAGCACAATGAAATATAAAAAGAACAGCCTTGTAGGTACAGTCACTTTCACTCCAGCCCCCATCTGTCTGTCCTTAAGACACCATCCTGATGATATACTTTTATTTTATTTTTGTGTTCGTGACATTGCTTCGAAATGTATCACAATCTTATAATGTCCTGATAATTCTTGGTCACACGTGGTTCTGTCAATGATTTTATGTGCGGGGTCTACCTTGTGACCTACATGAGTAAAGTATGCATGTGACTCTGCATATAGTTTTTGTACTGGAGACCATGTATTAGGTGCACATCCTGAATACTTATTTTGTGTATTTAAAACCCCAACTTACTGACAATTCCTATGATTCAATGTTAGTAAAAAAATGGTTCTAGTTTGTTTGATTTTGGGTGAGAAACAGACACATATAGACGGAAGACTCCTCTTTTTCAGTACTTGACTTCAGGTGGGGAGACATTTTGGTAAAAGACCTGAGAGAGAAAGAAGGTTCCAGTCATATTGGACATTAAGGCAACAAAGGTTTGGCTGGTATCGTCCTCTTTCGAACCATATTTGCTGTCTCCATAAATGATCTTACGCTATAACGTCCAATATGAATCTGATCGTTTTAATCTGTTTGAACGTAACATCGTTGGACACACTAGAGGATCCAATTTCAATTAGATGTGACTCTTGTGTATGTCATGGAATTGTCTTGTAGAAAAGTCTTTTGATATCCAAAAGGTGTATGCTATTATTTATAAAAGGGTCTTTGGCTTGTTTCTATGGTCAATCATGTGATATATTTACATTCCGATATGTTGTTACATCAGCAGTATATAAATGGTATAATAGTCGTACGTATTTAGAAGCTATATAGTTCACTTTCTCGTTGCCATTTTCAATTTTTATTAAGGTTGAAATATCCACATGGACATGGTCTGGAGTCTGATCTCTTTGATGTTAACACTCACATAATATACTTCAATGTTTTGAGTCTCTTTTGTTATGGCTGTGTTTTTTTAATGAAGTTTGTAAGCTCTATTTTACTTTGTAATATTGCTTTGTGACTCGAGTTACTAAATTTAACATGGCAATGAATATGACGTTGCTCTTTATATCATTCAAAAAGGTGAATATATTCCTCCTTGGTTTCAACCTTTATTAACCACCAAACCAATCTCTTATTGACTATATTGTCAGACCAGTAAGAGAAGCCAGATGACTTGTGATTTTGTAACAAGTCCTTGTGTGTAAAATAGTTTACTGTGTCTATCATATTCTACGAATGTGTTGGTATTGCGTGCTTGCTGGTCGGTTATACTTTGGGAACCGACATTCCCATGTGCTTGAAACCGAACCAAACCAGTATGATCCACCACTTCCTTTCCTCTTTAATTGTTTTCCATGATTTCATTTTATTTTGTTTTCAATTTCTTAGTGTGATGAATCCATTATTTCGGTTCATTTAATTCTGACTTTCCAAACGCTAAACTCTGAATATAATCAAACAATAATCTCACTTTTTTGTATGGGAGGGGAATAAGCAACAAGTAATCCTAAAATGACTATGGCGAAAAGAAAACACACATTAGCAATCATGACTAACAATTCCTTAAACGCTATACGTGCGTACTAACAAATAATCAGTGCTTAACTTTTATCCATCATCAATCTAATTAATTGTAACTAATTATTTTTTCCCAATTATCACACCATTTAGGGCATACAATTTTGCCCAATAATGGAGCTTATAAAGACTAATTATGGAATGTCTTTTTAGTTGACACAAGCTCGCTTCTTCATGTCGTTACTTAAAAAAATATAGATTCTTTCACAACTCAAAGATTCCAAAGCCTATTTGATTATGATCTACGAGTTTAATATATCAATGTTTAAAATAAAAAGTGCATGCCAATAATTGTAAAATGCATATATGGATTCATGAAATTATGTGGGTTGCTAGACAAAAGTCTTTAATATAGATATATTTTTTAATTTTTTTAAAGTCTTTTATATTTTCCAGGAATTAATAAAAAGAGAGCGAGTAGGGGGAAAAGGCGCGTGAGGTAGAAAAATGTTAAAAATTGGAAAAAGTCAACCGACTTCTTCTGGTAAAGAGTCTCGTGCATTCGTAAGGTTTCCAAGAGTCCACATATCTCATCCTAACGTTTTTCTCAATTTTCCTATTAATTCCGTTAATAACATTAGTTTCCTTACATATATAGTTTCAGTTAATTGGAATAATCTATAAGTAAACAGGGTTGATTTGAGTAAGAGCGTTCAATCTATGGGTTGGCTTGATTTTATTTTGAAAAATTTCTGTTTAAAAAGGGTAATTACCTACAAACGTGACTTTAATTATCTAATATATTATCTAAGAAAAGTGTAAATACTTTTTGATCAAAAAGAAGTAAAGTGTAAATGCATAAAATGGATTTCAGACCATATCTAATGTATTTAAATGAGATACATTATTAACATTGTTGGTTTTAATTTCACTTTTCTATCAAAATTGATAATTAATTTGAAAGATTTTAAAATAAAAAATGTCATTAATTGATTCAGATTTTGTTTTTATGTATATAAACAATTGTTTTTAATAAAAAGGTGAGGTCAGTTTTAACTTTTTAAAGAATAGTCTGGCTCTTTTGGATTTGAATTAGATTTAATAGATTCACTTTATTTAAAACTGAACACTTTTAACTATAATTGTCAAAATGCTTTTATAAAATAATAAAGAAAGGAAATAAAAAAAAAAGAAGAAAATCTAGAAACCCATGACCATCTTTCTCATTGTCTTCTGAATATAAAATATCAAAAAGAAAAAGGGAAAAGAGAGTCAATACTCAAATATATACATGCAAGTGTGAAAGAGAGAGAGAGCCTCCTCTTCTCACTCAGTTACCCCAATATTAGGGTTTCCCATCTTCATCTTCCCCATCACTCTCTGAAAGAGAATAAGAGAGAGAGAAAGAGAGAAAGAAAAAAAGAAAAATCATTAATTCTTAAGAGAGAGAGAGAGACTGAGAACGAAGAGCAAAGGAGAGAGAAGTTAAGACAATTTCCGCTTTCGTTCTCTTTCTCTCTCCTCCATTTCAGTAATAAACTCCCTTAATTTTCTGGGTTTCTTCTTCTCCCTCATCATCATTTTTAGTTATTTTGTTTCGAAAAAAGTTTCTTCCCTCTTTTGTTTTCCTGTGATTCAGTTCTCGATCCACTCAAACCTATTTCGTGAAATATCTCGATCTTTATTCGCTTAATTCTCTGGTGTTTTTGATGAACTTCGGTAGCCTCTTCGACAATACGACCGGTGGTGGTCCCACCGGAGCTAGAATCCTCTCCGGTTTAACTTATGGCAATCACACCACCGCAACCACCGTAATACCCGGCGGTGCTATGGCTCAAGCGGCAGCAGCAAGCCTCTTCTCTCCTCCTATAACTAAATCTGTTTACGCCTCATCAGGACTTTCTCTAGCTCTCGTACGACGTCGTACTCTCTAATATTATGGATATATCATATATGTATATATATAGAAGAAGAAAAAAACCTAATCTTTTTTTTTGGGTAATGTTCGGACAGGAGCAACCCGAGAGAGGGACAAACCGTGGAGAAGCATCGATGAGGAACAATAACGGAGGAGGCGATAATTTCGATGGCAGTGTGAACAGAAGAAGCCGAGAGGAGGAGCATGAGAGCAGATCTGGAAGTGATAACGTCGAAGGAATCTCCGGCGAAGATCAAGACGCCGACGATAAACCTCCAAGGAAAAAACGTTACCACCGACACACTCCTCAACAAATCCAAGAGCTCGAATCGTAATCACCCCTCTCTCTCTCTCTTCGAATCGATTATTATTGTTATTATCTCTTTCGTTCAATCTGATTAATTTCAATGAGTTTTCTTTTTTTAATTTGGGGATTTCAGCATGTTCAAAGAGTGTCCACATCCAGACGAGAAACAACGACTGGAACTAAGTAAGAGACTTTGCTTGGAGACAAGACAAGTCAAGTTCTGGTTCCAGAATCGTCGGACGCAGATGAAGGTGGTTTCTTTTTTGCCTTTTTATGTAATTCTCCCCCAAAATCACATCTTTTTAGCTTTTTAGTGTTCTAATCAAAATATTTGTTAATCATAATCGTGGCAGACTCAATTAGAGCGGCACGAGAACGCATTGTTGAGACAAGAGAACGACAAGCTAAGAGCTGAGAACATGTCTATTCGCGAAGCAATGAGGAATCCAATCTGCACCAATTGTGGTGGTCCCGCCATGCTCGGCGATGTCTCTCTTGAAGAACATCATCTCCGTATCGAAAACGCCCGTTTAAAAGACGAGCTCGATCGCGTCTGTAACCTCACCGGAAAATTCCTCGGCCACCACCACCAACACCACCCCTCCTCCCTCGAGCTCGCCGTCGGCAACAACAATGGCGGAAATTTCTCTTTCCCTCCTGATTTCGGCAGTGACGGTTGCTTACAGATGCCGCAGCAGCAACAACCGACGGGAATCAACGGGATTGATCAGAGATCAGTTTTGCTGGAGCTGGCTTTAACCGCCATGGATGAGCTTGTGAAGCTCGCTCACAGTGAAGAACCGTTATGGGTCAAAAGCTTAAACGGAGAGAGAGATGAGCTTAACCAAGAAGAGTACATGAGAACATTTTCGTCCACTAAACCAACCGGTTTAGTAACCGAAGCTTCTAGAACCTCCGGGATGGTCATCATCAATAGCTTAGCTCTCGTCGAGACTTTAATGGACTCCGTAAGTTTTATTTTCTTTTCTAATTTGCGCTTCTTCTTTTTTTTTTCTCCGCATATTTTTCTCATGATTTTATTATATTTTTCAATAGAATCGATGGGCGGAGATGTTTCCGTGTAACGTTGCAAGAGCCACAACAACCGATGTTATCTCCGGCGGAATGGCCGGAACAAGAAATGGTGCACTTCAACTGGTAAAACAAAATTATCATAATCACATTCCGGTTAAGTTACGGTTTAAGATATTTGGTTTTGCTAAAAGTACGATCGAATCTACTGCAGATGAATGCGGAGCTACAGGTTTTGTCACCGCTGGTTCCGGTTCGCAACGTCAATTTCCTCCGGTTCTGCAAACAGCACGCGGAGGGCGTGTGGGCAGTGGTTGACGTATCAATTGATACCGTCCGGGAAAACTCCGGTGGCTCTCCGGTCATAGTCCGGCGATTACCATCTGGCTGTGTAGTGCAAGATATGTCCAATGGATACTCGAAGGTAATAATCACAAACACATTTGGAATCTCTCTCATTGAAAATGTTTATTATTGGGTTTTTGAAAAATTCGATAAAAATGAAAAAAATTAGGATCTCTAGGTTTTTAATTGGGTGATCACTAGACGAAGAAGCTCAAGCATCAATGAGTCTTGTTTTTTAGCCATTACTCGCTGCACCCACTTCACTGTCACTCTCATTTCTTTTTTTATTCTTACCTTTCCAAATTTCTTTTTATACAATTTTTATCTTTCACGATTTCTTTTCCTAACTATTTTTTTTTTTTGGCGTCCTTTTTATGTTCCTGTTTCTATTCTAATTCTTTAATTGTTTTTTTCCTCTTTAAAGTTTCAAACGTTATTATTTGTATAGTTTAGTACTAGTGTGATTTTATGTCAGAATAGGAAAAGGATTAATTGAATAGCATTTTTTTACCCCTCGAATTTTGATCCCCGAACCTTCCGAGATTGCTGAAATTTTATGGATCCGGATGCTTCTCTCTCTGTCGGATTCTCTGGATTAGATTTCAAGTTTTCGACAACTGGGTCTGTCTCCAAAATCGATATCCTACTTATTTAATTATTTATTTGCTCTCTATTCTATGAAGCATCTGTCCAAAACTATTTTGTGCGCATTTTGGAAAAGAACACATTAATTTCATATGCATGTAGGGAAAAACTTCTAATCACATCGTTTAAATAAATCTAATTTCATAAGTATTTCTCTTCCAATCTTCTACGCTGCCTCGTACCTCCCGTCTCTATCATCTACTTATAAAATAGTATGTAGTTATTTCAGTTGTCCTATTTTCTTCAATTTTATCTTATTATCTTCCACTACGAATCAACACCTACGAGTATTTTTACACGGTATACGATTATGGTGTTTTACATCTATTCTAATATAATATAAGTAGACCGGTTTGGTTTGTGTGCTTGTTGATATGGCGCTGAACCAGGATTTGTTTGTTGGTTTGCGCAGATCACGTGGGTTGAGCATGCACAGTACGACGAGAACCAAATCCACCAGTTGTACCGGCCATTGATTGGGTCAGGACTTGGTTTTGGTTCGCAAAGATGGGTCGCCACACTTCAGCGACAGTGCGAGTGTCTCGCCATCCTCATGTCCTCCGTTACACCTCACGACAACACATGTCCGTTTTCTTATACACTTATCAAATCTCAAAGTATGCTTTAATTAATTACAAAATTCTAACGTTATAATTAAATTTCAAAATGCAAAAGCAGCTATAACGCCCGGTGGTCGGAAAAGCATGCTCAAGTTAGCTCAACGTATGACGTTCAACTTCTGTTCCGGCATCTCTGCGCCATCGGTCCACAGTTGGAGCAAGCTCACTGTCGGAAACGTCGACCCGGACGTTAGAGTTATGACCCGAAAGAGTGTGGACGAGCCGGGGATTATTCTGAGTGCTGCCACATCTGTGTGGCTTCCTGCTTCCCCACAGAGCCTGTTTGACTTTTTGCGGAACGAACGGATGAGATGCAAATGGGATGTTCTATCTAACGGTGGTCCCATGCAGGAGATGGCCCGCATCGCCAAAGGTCAAGATCAAGGCAACTCCGTTTTTCTGCTCCGCTCCAACGTAAGTATCTTCTCCAAATCACACACTCTCCCGGTTCAACATTACTATCTTTACCGGTTTGTGGAACTCAGTTTAGTAACACCGGTCCAATCTGATGGGTTGTATTAGAATAAGGTTTCCGGTTAACAAGTACGGTGTGTGTGCGCGTGCATGTGATTGGTTCGGTATGTGTGGAATTGATAGGTTTGGGGAGGATGGATTAGGTGATAGTGACGTTTTTGTCCCTGATAGTGGTGGTAGTATGACGGACAAAAGAGTGGATTGGGAAAGGACAATATAGGAATTTGGGTGGTATCAGAAGATGACACCATGGTTTTGATTTGTTTATTCAGGAGTAGAAAACAAAAGTGTCACAGCTTTTTTTGCAAGGTTTTAAAAAGTCAAAATTAATAGGACAGTTTCGACCTTTACTTGTTGCCTCGGTCTGTATTTTTTTGACTTTTCACTTCACAGTTTTTTGTTTATCTGAAAAAGTTATCTTGACTTGTTTCCCTTTTCACCCTGAAGCGTTACTGTTTTGGTCAGTGTGGCAACTCTCGTAAATAAAACACTCTTAACTCTATAATTTTTTTTGGCAGCCTATGAACGCGAACCAGAGCAGTATGCTAATTCTTCAGGAGACGTGCATAGACGCATCTGGGGCGCTTATAGTCTACGCGCCTGTTGATATCCCAGCCATGCAAGTTGTGATGAACGGTGGGGATTCATCCTACGTGGCTCTCCTTCCATCCGGTTTCGTTGTCCTCCCTGACGGTGGATTCAGCGACGGTGGGCAGCGACCGGTCGGTGGTGGGTCTCTCTTGACGGTGGCGTTTCAGATACTTGTGAACAATCTCCCAACGTCAAAACTCACGGTTGAGTCGGTGGAGACGGTCAATAACCTAATATCATGCACGGTTCAAAAGATCAGAGACGCTCTTCAGTGCGAAAGCTAGAGCCTCAAGGGAGAGCGCGTGTGTTTGTTGTCTTTATTGAATTGTGAATTTAAATAACTTGTGGTGGTTTTGTACTCTTTGTTTTTGTTTTATAATTATAGTTTGGGAGGGGGTGTCGAGTCAAGAACGAACCGCGCGGGTGGCGAAATCCAACTCCTTTTGTCACCGTCTTGGGACCTAATGGCTCCGGTCCGATCACGGTGGAGGAGTTGGTGGTTCGGGTATTGACTGGGGTTGGAAAACCCCCTTTTTATCCTTTTGTTTGTTTATTATTATTATTATTATTATGTTATGGAGTAAGCGAGAGTGAGCCACACACGCCGTCATGTGCGGGTGTGTTGTGGTCTGCTAACGCGGGCTGGGGTTTTATTAGTATGTGGTTGGACTTTGGATGGATCTGGTCCGTTTCAAGTTATATAAGTAAAAAAAAAGGTGTCTCGTGGTGCATTAAATGTGTTTGCAGGCAATATTCATTTAATGCAAAGTTTCTTCTGTCTGTGGCTCCTTCCTTTGCATGATGGGGATAACGTATTCCGCCATTTTCGTTGCGCCACGTCATTCCCATGACAGACTGGTGGGTGTGGTGTCTTCTAGCTGACGTTACGGCGTCGTTTTCTCCGTTATGTCTCTCTTTTTGTTTCCTCCTTTTTTTATAAATGTTGTTGTTGTGTTTAGCTACTATCTTCAAAAAGGTTCCATTGGAGGAATTGATGGTGTGAAACAAGCATGGACAACACAAAGTCTACGATTCGTTGGCCTTCATAAAAGCCCACTAGCAGTTTATGGGCTGGCCTGTTATGGCTGTTATTACCCCATATCTTATCATATGAAATAGGCCCATGATTGGTTAAATGGTGGGACCATTTTATTTTATATCCTGGGCCCATTACCTACTTCTATCCTGTCAATAATGCCCAAGTGTTTACGGTTTTCATAAATTTTAATATGACCAAGTAACGACGGTTCATTGAGATGCAAACAGCTAGGAACACTCCCTTAATGAACTAGATAAAGCAATCAACATTTTATCTCATTTCGATTCTCAATTGAATACTAATAAACTCTACTGTGATCTATTTAAAAACTCCTTTTAAACCACATGTTTGGTTGAGCCTCAGGATAATTAATGTAACAGAGTTGAGTTACTATATTCTAGTTTTTGAACATTATGTTATTAAATTATATTATCGTCTAAAAACAGTAACAAAAGTATTATGAAGAAATCTGGGAAAGAGGGAAGTAGTCAAAGTTTGGTCAAATCATCCACACCCGCATATTCCGCGTGCCCTAGATGCAATCATTCATCTCTTCTAGTTTTAATCCCAGGGATCCGTAAATAAGACGAGCATCCAGGGGTACTTTGGTAAACTCAAGTTGTAGAAATCAGGCTGATTTATCCTAACCCGTCGGATGAGCTGCTGCGATGAATCAACGGTGAGGAGTCAAGGTTTGACCAAAAGAGTAGAGAGATAGAGAACGAGGCTGGCATGATTGGCTTTCGCCACGAGAGAGAGAGAGAGAGAGAGAGAGAGAAGCAAAGATTCCACCTGGGGTTGGGTTGAACAAGGACGACAGATTTTTCGATTTTGAAGAATCGCTGTGTTCTTCTCCATAGTTGCTTGTCAGGGTGAAGAGGAGGAAAGGTCAGGAGGAGGTGAGAGGGAGAGAGAGAGATGCGAATTTGAATTTCTGAATCTGTTAAATTCGTTTTTATTTTTTTCTTCTTCCGCCCTCTTTCTCTCTCCACATGAAGCTGTGGTGAAGATTTTGTCTGGAGATTTAGGGTTTCCTGTGAGTTCGTGTTGGTGGCGAAGCGAAGATGAACGTGATGCGTCGTCTCAAGAGCATTGCTTCCGGTCGGACCTCGATTTCTTCGGATCCTGTAAGTAGAGACATTTTCCTTTTTTCCTTTCTCCCTTTTCAAGATGTGATCAATTTGTATTTCTGATTGCTGGAAAATGTATCTCTCTCGGTTTGATGTCGTTTATAGCATATGTTACAAGTCAAAATTGTGTTTCCTAGGTTTTGAGATCTTAATTTAGACTTCGTAATCCATCCTAGTGCTCGTGGAGAAGTAGATGCATATGTGCTCTTGATTTTGATGATAGGCATCATCACATTTTGTTGACCTGACCAAATTTCTGATCTTTTAGGGTGGGGACTATGGGCTGAAGAGAGCGAAGCTGGATCAAGACAACGAAAACTTGTGCTGTGACCCGATGCAGGTTGACCAAACCAGTACTTCTCTTGAGATGATGAAAAGCACAGACATGGTGTCACAAGAAAGTGTCGCCGGAACTTCAAATGTGGCCGCTGTAGCAGATAAACCCGTCGATGATCAGCTTCCAGAAGTAATGATCGAAATGAGAATTAGAGACGAGCGAAATGCCAACCGCGAGGAGAAGGTGAGTTGCTTACTCAAGTTTGATTATCTGGTTTCTGATTATAAATCATCCTCATCTCCATTGGCTGGCTTCTGATTATGAATCATCCTCATCTCCATTGGCTTGTACAGGATATGGAAACAACTGTTGTAAATGGCAGTGGGACTGAAACGGGGCAAGTTATTACAACCACAGTTGGGGGTAGAGATGGAAAGCCAAAGCAGGTGATTTTAACTAACTTTGCTTGTTGCCGTTTCAGAAAAACTATTACATCGTGTTAGTCTCTTCTTTTATGAAAAGGCGGTTTCTTTCTTCACATTGATTCTCTACTGTTGATTCTATTGGGCGGATCCTTACTTAACTTTTCATTATTTGGTTTCAGACGATCTCATACATGGCCCAGAGAGTGGTTGGAACAGGCTCATTCGGAGTTGTGTTCCAGGTAGGTGGAAATTCTTAGCAGGAACAATCTTGATCCTTATAACTCTTTTTGTTTGGTTTCCAGAATTTGACTTGCTGTTTGATTTCTGGATAGGCCAAGTGCCTGGAAACAGGTGAGCAAGTTGCAATTAAGAAGGTTCTGCAGGATAAGAGATACAAGAACAGAGAGCTTCAGATAATGCGCTTGCAGGACCATCCCAATGTTGTGCGACTGAGGCATTCTTTCTTTTCAACAACTGACAAGGATGAGCTGTATCTCAACCTTGTCCTTGAGTATGTTCCCGAAACTGTATACAGAGCATCAAAGCACTATACCAAAATGAATCAGCATATGCCAATTATATTTGTTCAGCTCTACACCTATCAGGTGAGATATTAAAGCTCTCCAATTAATCGCTTTTAGTTATCTGTTTGGCATATGGAAGTCTTTTTACTTACGCCTGTGTTGGTATTGTTCTTTCTGTTGCTTTGTGTCACATCAGATCTGCCGTGCGCTGAACTACTTACATCGTGTGGTTGGAGTGTGTCATCGAGACATCAAGCCACAAAATCTACTGGTATAGTGTGAATTCTTTTGACTAGGCATTTTATTTTATTTAAATAATGCTCAAAGGTGAAGCCATATTAACGGATGATAACCTGATTCTCTTGTGATGTGTGTTTTTTAGGTCAACCCCCAAACCCATCAATTAAAAATCTGCGATTTTGGAAGCGCAAAGATGTTGGTAAGTTCTTTCTTATTCGAATTGTTCTTGGAGTTGGGTTGGCATTTGAATAACGATGGCTAACATTCAGCATGCCTCTTCAGGTGCCAGGTGAACCTAACATATCCTATATATGCTCCCGGTACTACAGGGCCCCAGAACTTATATTCGGGGCAACAGAGTATACCAATGCCATTGACATGTGGTCCGGTGGTTGTGTAATGGCAGAGCTTTTACTCGGCCAAGTGAGTGTTCATCTATTGTCAAGTTTGGGTTATGATTTGTTGATTAGTTATTTCCAAATCACATTCAGTCTGATTTTAACTGTTGGTACTCTACCTGTAGCCACTGTTTCCCGGCGAAAGTGGCATTGATCAGCTGGTGGAGATTATCAAGGTACTTGTCGCGTGTTTTCATCTCTTTTTTTTTTCTTTTTCTAAATCATGTTTCCTATCTTATTCACCTGTACGTTTACCAGATTCTTGGGACGCCTACAAGAGAAGAAATACGGTGTATGAATCCCAATTACACAGAGTTCAAGTTTCCTCAAATCAAAGCTCACCCGTGGCACAAGGTTTGTGAACTATTAACAGGTGCCTCTCGGGTGCATGTACATGTTCAAATGAAATCTAATAGTAGCGCAAAATTCTTCAGATTTTCCACAAGCGAATGCCACCAGAAGCAGTAGACCTCGTCTCAAGACTCCTCCAGTATTCACCAAACCTTCGTTGCACTGCAGTAAGACTAGATCCTGTCACAAATCTAAATAACCTTCTTAGCTGATATTGGAAATTTTCTAACTCAAATACTACCAAACCCTTGATCCATTGTTTTAGTTGGAAGCTTGTGCGCACCCTTTCTTCGATGACTTACGGGACCCGAACGTTTCACTGCCAAATGGAAGAGCACTGCCTCCATTATTTAACTTCACTGCCCAAGGTCAGCGCATGAATTATCTTTACCTCTTTTTCTCTCTGTCATAGTACTTTGTCCATCGTATGTGAAGGGTAAAAGATAAATGTAGCAGAATCAGAGAGATGTGTGATGGATAGGTTACAAATTCAGATGTATTAGGTTCTGTCTCATTGATAAGTTGCCATTTATTCTTGACTGTTCAGAACTTGCGGGTGCATCAGCGGAGCTGCGACAGCGTCTAATTCCAGCGCATAGCCAGGGAACGGGAAGTAGCTCTTAGGATCATTCATAGCGTTTCCAAATTCAGCTTCCCCTCTCTCTCTCTGTCCATGTGTGTCTATTTACTGCAGTGTGTACATCAATTTTGAGAACCACTTTGTGCTTCCAAAGCTTTGTCCTCGGAGGAGAGTATGGAAATCTGAACGCCGGGACCCAGAGGAGAACTTTTGGGGCTTCATGGAGCTTCTTCTTCTGACTGGCTTTTCTCCCAATTTGTTGTTGTCACTCCTTTTTTCCACCTTCACTTTCATTTTTTTGTTCTTTTCTTTCCACATATATCTCTGACCCACTTAAAATGTTTGATGTATCATTTTTCTTTCTTTCTATGTTTGTAATCCATCAAGATTATGTCCCTTGCCCTTAATATCGCAAGCTTGTTTTCAAATAAGTTTCAGTTTAACGCTCCAACTTCAGTTGGTTATTTGGTTGAACAAAGCATTTTGACTAGATGAATGGATGGGATGGAATTCAGAATTATAGATAAAACAATCTAGTGATATCTTACTTTTCAATCTTAAAAAGGACACTTGATGAGCTTGAATCTTCATTGTTTAAATCTGCTAGCAATGTCTACACAAGTTGTGACCCAATCTACTCAACACAGCCTAAACATTTTGCCACTGGGGATGTGATCTATGAAACAAAAGAAACAATCTATTTTGGTTTCTGCAATAAAAAGAGGGTCTTAGTACATTGCTCCCCAATACATATAGTTCAGGAAATTGGATTTCAAAGCCAATAAAGGAAATGACTCCTTCAATGCCTATAAAAAGAGGCAAAAGGAAGAGCAAAACACCACACAACCATCCATTTGGGTCTAGTTTTGCATCGCTCTCGAGTGTTTCTCCCATCCTTGTGCTCAAAAGATTTAAACGCCTTATACTTTGGTATAAAGATGTTCTTTCATCTCTACCAAAAGAAAATAACCAACCTTCAACAGTATATATATATATATATATATCTTACTTCACTTGTGAAGCTGAATTCCTCTTAGCTTCAAGGTTCGAGCCCTCTTTAAGTGCGATTTGAGATTCGTTCTCCATTCCCAAAAAGGCAAGGGAAGCAGACTGGAGATAAGACGCCACGTGCCACACGGGAGAGATCACTTGGGCTTGAATTGCATCATCTAGAGCTTCTTTGGGCATGTCACTCATTAGGTAACACAGGCTTCTGCGTGCACATACTGTTGGAGAGACCATTCCTCCATCTATGAACTGTGTAAATTTGAAGAAAGCAACGACATCATCAGGTTAATGCTCCGTGTTCCTATTCCTACAAATGTGTGTGTGTGTTTAGGTGCAAAAAAAAAAAGAAATCCCGACCTGCGTGTAACACTCAATGGCCTCTCTAAAGTCTTTTTTCCTGAAAGCCACATCACCCTTCTTCTTCGAGTTCAAAGACTCTTGCATCTGGTCCGTCCACATTTGAAACGATAGCTGCATTGCCAAAAACATTGTAACACAACACCATTAAGAACCAAGTAAACTCGCAGACATTAGATCTTATACAAACCTTTCCGACATCATCAGGTAACAGAGCAAAAACCACTTATTTTTTCCAACTTAAATCTTGAAAAATACCTCATTAGTGACACCTTCGTCGTCTTTGTATCCAAGTTTATCCAAGACCTCAAGCATAGCTGTCAGATCCCTTCTTGAACAAGCCTCGCCAAGAGGGGACAGAGGAGACACCGAACTACTGTGAGGCAGGCCCATTAGCACATGGGATGGGACCTGCAGTGTTCAATACAGGGAAACGTTTATCTGAGTCAACATTGAGAAACTTGGCGCCTGTTATTATTATTATTTAATGGTTCAGAATATGAAAAAGGAACCTCTGTGTCTTTCTGAAGAGGCGTCAGGGCAGTGACCAACGATTTTGGGTTTGGCCTCTCACGAGCTTCGTACTGCAGACAGCGAGACGCAAGACGTACTAACTCCGTGCCATCGCTGTCAGAAAATTGCCCATCTAGGCAAGAATCAGTTAGCGTCTGGAGATTCCTGTCTCTAATCAGATCAAGGGCCTACATAAAACAGATTGAAAGAATCAATCCATGTGAAAGCTGCAATCTCATATGCAAACAAACAACTGACTTTGGCTAAAATGCTTACATGGCTAGGAGGTATATGTTTTCCACTGAGAAGGTCAAGCAGAAGAGTGCCGAAGCTGTATATCACACTCTCTGGCGTGATTCTCCCTGTAAACACACGCAGAAACAGAAGGTGAAACTTAATCTTAATTCTCAACCATATCAATAGACAATATTGGTAAGAAAATTGATGATGTACCAGTTCGTAGATATTCAGGAGGGGTGAAAGCAAGATTTGTGCTGTAACTTTTCCCATCCCGACTATTCTTCATCAGGCCAAAAGTAGAAAGTCTTGGATTGCATTCCTTAAAAGGCCCTCAAGGCATCAGAGAATGAAGGAATAACAAAGAAGAGACATGGAGAGCTTTCTCAGAAGAGCTAAAGTTGATTATACTGTATAGTCAATTAATACCTCATCAAATAAAACGCGGTATGCATTGAGGTCGTGATAGAGAATACGCCCTTTGTTGGTGCAGTACTCAAGAGCTTGTGCTAGATATAAAACAACTCGTAGCCTCATTGTCCATTTCATAGGTTGTGTTTCCCCTGGTTCCATAAAAATCACACTTGGTTTCTAAGGGGCATATACATCTAAACAAGATTACTACTATATACAGTATAGGCAAAGATGAGTCTTACAATGAAAAAGGTGTTTGGCAAGTGTTTCATTGGGCATAAATTCTGCCACAAGCAACCTCTCGTCACCTTCGCAGCAACATCCGAGTAAATTTGCCATTCTCTCACTCCGTAGCTGGCCAACCGACCTAGCTTCCTCCTGCAAGAGGAAGAGGAATAACACATTCTTAAGATTACAAGAGAGAGTAAAAAATGAAGAGTATAATTTCAACAGGTACAAGTGTTACCAGAAATTGCCGTGCATCAGGCCACGCCATTCTTGTGAAACGCTTGACTGCAATCTTCTTTTGATTCTCGAGTTTCCCTTTATAGACGACATTAGGAGCTTTTTCTCCATGCTCAGACACAATATACTCCACAGCAAAACCAGAAGTGGCAGACTTAAGCTGCTCTAGTGTGTACTCCCGGAAACCAGGCACATCGGTTATCTCACTATTCTCTCCGTTTTCTGCATCAACACCACACAAAATGTTATAAGAAAACACCATTCATACATGCCTAAGCTTCTTTCGATCCAAGTTGAATTTAACACGTCTTTAAGCTCAACTAACCAACATCAGGAGCTTCAAGAACAGCTGTCTTGTGTGACGAGTTCCGACAACAACGACCGAGGCTAGAGCATTGACCTCCCATCTAAACAACGCGATGAAAACGCTCAAACTATTCTAAGACTCTGCTCTTCTTCGACTCTTGTTTTTTTTTTGCAGCTCAAGTGTAAGAAGGCTTGTTTAATCAGAGGATGTCTCTTCGTAAACCCCAGGAGCTGCAATAAAATTATCAGGCAATGATGAATGAATGACCATCGTTTCAAAATCGAATCTTTCAAAGCGAAACCCCATTTAAATCGAAACTCACACCAAAAAAAGTTGAAAAGGACCCGATTTTGGAAAGAAAAAGGTCGTACCTTTGTCAACTCGCTGCGACTCTACTGAGTCAACTCGACTAGTTACACTAAGTCACCAGCAAAAACTCAACACCCAGTGGAAACTTTGTGGGAAAAAAACGAGCTGAAAGATGAAAGAAAAGGGAATTAAGAACCCTAGTTTCTGGGCACTTGCTCTACTTGGAGCCAATCAACTGAATAATAAAAAAAAAAACCAGAAACCTAAAATCTCCACTAGGTACTACGATTCAAAACCCAAAATGTATTTGGATCCACGAACTTGTATTTAGGGTCCTCGATTTCATCAAAGCGCTCGAGGAGAAAGGGAAGAAAAAAACAAAACCAGGACAAGCAAATCCACGTGGTCACATTAAATTAAAATAACAGAAAAGAAAAAACAGAAATCGAGACCGTATCTCAATCGAATCGACATGAACGTATGTGATTCATGTGAAGTAGCATAAACGAACCGAAATTGTCGAAACCCCCAGGATAATTATTTAGATAAAAGCAGATCAGATCACAAGTTTATATATATAGTACTACTGTACACAGTGAAGTGTATACGTGCATCTAATATTACACATCTGTAAATTCAGAAAGGAATTATTATTTTCTTTTCTTTTCTTTCTGGAACAACAAGACAGAGAAAGAAAGATAGAATAAGCCAAAATAATTTACCGACAAGTTGATGAAATATTTTAATGGTGAGAGAAGGCAACAAAGAATCTGGCCATTTACTGTACCAAAATCCCTTCTAAATTAATAAATTGTTGTCGTAGAGATTTGGAGATTTTGTTTCTTTCTTTCGGAATCATGAAGAAAAATATAGCACCGCCTGTAAAAATCTGTTCACAGAACGAGCTGCTTCACTTTTCCCGTTGCCTCCATGCCGTAATCACTACTCTTTCTAACGGAATTTTATAATTAAACAGATTAATTAAGGAGGGAACTAATAAAATGAAGCCCAAAACAAGGCTCATGGGCTTTTATGGGCCTCACTTTATGGATCTGTTCAGCTTAAATCAAACCGGGTTTAGGTTGGTTGTCGATCAACTAGGATTGGATCTAACCGACTCTGTTTCTTCTCTTCTCTAAGCTCGATCACATGGTTTTAGCCGAGAATTAGTATTCACGCATCGTGGATCTGCTGAACTCGTTATTTATTGCGTGACATTTATAGCTTTTACATTCTCTGTTTTAACACTGCGAGTGTGAAAGCAAGTAATGCGATCATCGATAGTGTTCAATCTTGTTTGTTGATTCGAGGAATGATGCAAGATTCTCACCATATATATACATATAAATACAAACTGAAAGAAGAGGATGAAGAGTTATATACATATATGTTTGTTGAATCCTCTATCTTGATCTGATCTGTAACAAGATTCAGAGCATAGAGTCTGTCATGGCCGGAAGTCGCCGGAAAAAGTTTAGGGGAGCGGAGGGAATTCGGTGTCGGAGCTTAGGGTGTCTCATGAAGTAGTAACCGGAGAGGAGAGCGAAGAGTTTAAACGGGGTAATGTAGAGAACCATAGCAACGATGAAACAGAATGTCACGAAAATTGCGGTGGCGCGTGGATCACGCCAGCTCAGCAGCGCCTGCACGCGCTCTCCCTGTGCAGCTATGTCTCCAACCACCGACTGTATCTTCCCGGCCACAATTCTCAGCCGGTCGTACCTGAGAAACAAGAACACAGAGGAAAACTATCAACCAAAGACCAATGATTGTTGTTTCTTTCTTTGTAACATATTTGATTATATCTTACCTCATTTTCACAATTTCCGGACCCTTTATTGTCGGGAAGATATCAAACTCTTCGTCAAGCTCATCAGCATTAACACTCTCTGCATAAGATAGTTTAGTGTCCATATGAGGAGGAAATCTCGGCTTAAACCTGTAATTCCACAGCCCAATCACAGCCATATACAGAAACACAGTCGGCAAAATCATCTCCGGGAACAACACAAGCATTGTGTACAGCACGTGCACCAGAGCCGTCGTCACCGGCGTCCTCCACGCGCACACTTGTCCCAGCCATTTCCAAACGGAGATCACACCAGAGAACACCGTCGTGAACCTAAAGAAGTTGGCTTTGCTTCGCCTCATGCTGAAGAGATTAGTCTTCCAATCTGTCATATACTCGACCACTTCACGTCTAAGCGGTGGCTCGGACCGGCCTAAACGAGCCACGATTATGTTGAAAGCCTGCACCCTAAGCCCTTCCTGTTGGTTTACGGATAACGGCTGGATGTAATGCATTTTAGGCAGGAGGGGTTTTGTGTATTTCATCAGCATGTTGGAGAGAGATGTGCAAGTGAATCTCACGGCTAAGTGAAGCTCGCCTCTTTTCTTAAGACCGGAAGGTTGTAGAACAAGTAAAGGGTAAGCGTGCGTGTAGACACGGCCTGTCTGAAGAGTCGAGAGTCTAATGCGGACTTTCCCAATTGTCTGATCTCTACCGTTGTTGCCGCCATTTCCAGCTGCGAAATGAGCGTTGTCAAGGACGCAAATGGTCAAAACCGTCGCGGGATCAAAGACCTCCCATGTGTATTGCTCGTTGTACTTTGGACTCAAGCTGTTGATCACCGTTCGTGATCGAACCCACTTGTGACCGTATTTGGCAACTACGTATGTGTCCGAAGTACCTTTCCCGTCCCGAGTTTTCATCGGGTGGAGCCCGTTTGCGTTAAGTATCCCGAGCTCCAGGACTCCGATTGCTGATTTCCAGAGCGGTCTCGCCGTTGCCCTGAGATCGCTGCTGTAGTAAGTGGACTCATCAAAAACATGGTAGCCTCCATCAAGAACCGCAGCGAATTGGAGCCTAGTAGCAAATTTGACTTTCTTGGCTTTGTCATCATCCATGGCGTCTGATATGGAGTCATCAAGATGAACCCAGCGGCCACGGAGAGGTCTATCATCTGTACGCCTCTCAACAGCAGACAATGGGATCACAGCTTTGCCTACAGGCTCATCTCTGCTAGGAGCAGAGTGATCTTCGACTGAGAGGATCATGTGTTCTTCGAAGGGCTCCGGGACTACAAACATGAACTCCTCGCCCCATTTTGGGTGAATGCTCTTCTGAGAAACTCTAGTCTTCAACATCTGATTACCTATCTGGATTCTCACAAAGGCCTCAGGAGTACGGGACTTGTCGGAGGCGATGATGACGTCCTGAGCCTCTATTATCCGCACTCTTAGGTACCATAGTCGAGGAGAATGGTACACTTTTGAGCGCAGGTTAGCGGATATAATGTTTGAGCTGTCTGAATACGGCAAGGAGTCTGAGAAGATGGCGTCGCCAAAAGCTTCGTCAGCCTGAGTTCCATACCAAACAGCAAGCATTATCTCAGATTTTTTCTTCTCCCCTTTCTTGTTCTCCAGTCTGTACCACTCGGGAGCTAGAGGACTGTCCGGAGGCACACGAGACTGAACCTCATGGAGATCGAACCGAACAATCCCGACAAAATCGTCGAGGATAATGTCTTTATCCTTCACCACAACTTCAAGAATGTTCCACTGAAGATTATCTTTAGCAAAGGCAAAGACTTGGTTCCACTCCGGATCCGAGTTCTTGTTGAAATGTGTGGTAACGCCTTTGAAGTTTCCGATCCTGACTTCAACAAACGGGTCTAGGCTTCCCGTAAGGTCTTTGGTGGGAAGGTCACGCGCCTTCACGACTCTCACGAAGAGGAATCTCATCTCTTCAACGAGATCGTATGTGCCGCTTGCTGGCCTCTCGGTACCACGAACCACTCGTCCTCCAACGATCCTCCCGCCTCCGAGAAAAGGGCTCGTCTCTTTCACAGAGAAATCAGGTGGCAGCTGGTGCGAGGATGGACCTGGACCGTTGACTTGAACAACTCTTGGAGGCATCGGCGCAGCTCTCATCTCGTGAATGCCATAATCAACCGCCGGCTGTTGGTTCGCTGAAGGGGTAACGTTATGAAACGTACGTGTTTTAGGCTTAACCTCTGTTCTCTCATCAGTAGCCAAGTAAGAATCATCAGCCGTGACGATGGAGTGTACAGGTTCTCTCCTCGGACTCGGGAGATAAGCTCGAGTAGATTCTGGAACCGGGGTTGGGTCCGAAGGTGTAATAGAAGGGTCGTCTGTGATGAAGACTCTCAGGGCAAGCTCTCCACGCGCTCGAGAGAAAACACTGCGCTTCTCCAAAGGGTAATTAAAAGGAGCTGCCTCAGAGCGAGGAACAAAAGATGTTCCATTGACTCGGACTTTGCCAAGAAAGGGCTTAGCATCGGATTCGTTCTGGTAGCTGTAGACATGGGCTTCGAGTGTACGGTTGGACAGCACGGAAGGATCCGAGACGACGAAGTAGAAACACTCGTGCCAGATGGGATCTGGGTCGTTGTGTTTGTTGGTTGTGCGGAATATCTGGCTATCGAACTTGAGCTCCACGAAAGGGCTACATGAGTTTTGCTTGTCTCTGTGAAACAGACCATGTGCGCTTATGACTTCAACGCCTAGCTTTATGTTGCTCATTTCAGCTTCTTGTTAAACTGAAACACCTTTTTCAGAAATCAAAGGCAACAACAACTTTTCAGCAAAACTTTTCAAAAAGAACACATGAAACCGAAGCCATGGATTTCTTCTGTAAGCAACAAAATATGATTCAAGCCGACCCACAAATTGGGATTTCAAGTGACATAACGAGAGGTGAAGAACATAGACACACATATTTCGGAGTAACAGCTTACAAAAACAAGATAAATAACCAAAAGAGATACGTACCTTTTTCAAGTTTTTTTTTTTCCTTCTCGTCTTCCAAAACAGAGGACAAGAAGCATAAGATATGACTCAGTCTTTAAAGATCAATCACCTGTCCTAATCAAACGAGTAATGAATAATAAACAACCTTAGTTTCTTAGAAAATACGGCAAAAACAAAACAAGAGTAGAAAATTCAAGTGTTAAATGAATTTTTTTCTCTTTTAAGAGTTCTGCTTTAATCAACGGTAGTTACTACGTTGGTCGTACCTCTGTTTCCATGGAAATTGCCGGGTTGTTTTGTGAACCGCCGTCCGATCTTGACACGTGTCCATCAAATACAGTATTGAATCGAACTTATTTGGGCCCAAAATGTAATGTACTACGAAACATCATCCCAGGACCAATCGTATGAAGCGTTGACCCCCAAAGTTAGACGTTTTTTGTTTGAGCCTAATCGTTTGTTACTCAATTATTAATGTCAGCTAACGTATCTCTTGGGTTTTTTTTTAACTAGAAGTTCTTATCAAATCTGAATATATCATCTGTTATAGTATATTTTTGTTTATTTAAATAACATATGTAACAGATGTATCATTTTTGAACAGCTAGGTATGGGGTTAGTGCCAAAAATTAGGTACCTTTGGAATTTATAAAACGAAATTGGAAAATAAAAGTCAAAATAAGTACGTTCAGAAAAGACAAAGCGTCTCTATTTAATAGACTTAATAGTCTGAAAAATCAAGAAAGACTATGAAGTTTCTTATTAACAATTAAATCTCGTTTTCTCTTTAGGAGACGTATCACTTTCATATTACGTCTCTAGTATATGCATACGTACAAACAATTATCTTTTGAATCCTTTTAAATGCATAACATCAAACGTAAAACACTCACTAATAATTCATAAAACACTCACTAATGTATGACCGAAATAAGAGATTTTAGCTACAAAAATATATCAATTTGAAAATCCAAAAAGTTACGAGATATCTGTATGGAGAATTATCATCATAAAAAAAATCAAAATCTGTATGTAATTTTTGTCATAATTAAAATGGAATTTATGTAATGTTGGGCCTCCCTAATTTAAAATCTAGTGAATTCATGAATTATATGTGGGCCGCACAAAATGATATATAGCATAGAGAGAGTCAACAAGAAAAAGAAGTAGAAACATGTTCATCATGAAAACCTCAACGCTCCAACGACCAAAGTTGAGCACAAATGCAAACACAAATAAATATAGATATCGATATATATATATATAAAGAGAAAGAACAATTGAGAAAATGGGCACAACGTGAGGGCATCAAAGTCGTCTAGTTTAAGACGTGATCATCAACCTCAAAGCCTTCCCCAATTCCTTTCTACAATCATCATCAAAAAACCCGGTTTTGGAATTCGACTTCTCCAAAGAAAACATGGTACGTTCTCCTAACATTCAATCTTGTAATGTAGATGATGATGCATGGCTTAAGTTTATGTTCTGATGTTACATCCACCAATCGGTTATGATGATTCCATATTAGAACATTGCGTTTTGAGTTAGGAAGAAGAGATCTCATGTATAGTAGATTGACTTTGTATGGATAGCCCTGTGAACATATATGCTGTATATATCAAAGTTTTATGGTGTTTATATGGTGTATGGTTAGGCGAATTCAGCATCTGGGATGAACGTAAGTGACGAATGCAAGCTCAAGTTTTTGGAGTTGAAAGGAAAGAGGACGTACAGGTTCATCGTGTTCAAGATCGACGAGAGCGCTCAGCAAGTTGAGATAGAAAAGCTCGGGAACCCGGAAGAAACTTACGACGATTTCACAAACTCTATCCCGGAGAATGAATGCAGATACGCCGTCTACGACTTTGACTTCACCACCGAGGATAACTGCCAGAAGAGCAAGATCTTTTTCATCGCGTGGTAACATTGACATTGCTCTCTCTCTCTCTCTCCTTTCTGCTTCATGCATCTCATACGAACCTATGTAACTTTGTGAGCAATGACTCAGGGCACCTGATACATCAAGAGTGAGGAGTAAGATGTTGTATGCGAGCTCGAAAGACAGGTTCAAGAGAGAGCTGGATGGAATTCAAGTGGAGTTGCAAGCAACTGATCCTAGCGAGATGAGCCTTGACGTCATCAAAGAACGAGCTCTCTGAGTACAAACTCATATCATCAACACTCGAATGAGCCCATTTCATCATCTCTCTCTCTCTATTGTTTCCCCTGGATATTTCTGCATTTGCTTCCCCCCTCAGCTCTTTACATTTCGTGTGGATTCAATGTCTTAAATTGGTTTCGAATTTTGTTCTCAACAAAAACAAAAATATAATAATAAGATAGCTAATTCTTCCGAGTGAAACCAATTGCTTCTTATGAAAATAAAATGTTGATGATACTCGTTAATCATGTAAGAGAAGCCAAGCAAATAGAAGAAGATACCTCATTAGACTAATCAAAATCCAGAAATTCATGGTTGCTTTCGTCTTCGACATCATTTCAAATATTCTGGTCGTGAAAGCGGATTCAAGCCACAAGATTACTTCACCTCTGGATAAGTATCAAAAATGTTTGTCAGCAGAAACAGTTTTGCGCACAAAATCCCACAATTTCTTAAAATAAACAACGAAGTCTCAGAGAGAATGAGGAAAGGGCATGGAGAGACCTAGAGAAGGAGATTCGATCAGATGGTGACTCCACCGTCTCGAGAATTCGACGGCGCGGCGACTTACAGAATTCCGGCGAAATTCGAAACTCTCTTTAGCAGATAGAGGGTTACTAAGCCACGAGGGGCAAATTAATCGTCGCTACATGGGCCAACCCCCACAAAGTCCACTTATCATCATTTTTTTTTTATCTATCAACTAAGCCCACTTGTCTTTTTGTTTTTACTGTGTTTTCTTTTTTATCGAGGTAACAAAAACTATAACAAAATTGCCCACTATATATTTAAATTTTAGACTCGGAACAAATTAGTACAACAACAATTCACTGGAATTTAAATTTATAATAATATATCAATCGTGTCAATTTGTAAAGATAGATCGTGAACAGTGAACTTCATAGTGGACTTAGTATGGAATGCTTTAGCATATATCGACACATGCCTTTCTCTTCTTAATATGGGATTCCGTTTCGCAATTTAAAACTAATATCATAATATTCTTTATTTAAGCTCGCAAAACAACAAAAAAGAAGGATAAGAAATCGATAGTCATAAAACCTTCCGAGTTCTTTAGTTTTCATTGTATAAGTAACAAAAGTTTCACTTTCTAATTGAAAATGAAAATTGAGTTATAAGTTTTTTGTCAACAACATAATTTATAACGGATTTATATTGCCTTTGAGCTTTAGTGTTGTAACTAAATATCTTATTACACCATTAATCTTTTCTTTTTAACTAATTTGCTTGAAAGACGAGTTTTATGTTTTAACGATTAGTGGTTCATACATGGTATGAAGATATTTATTTATTATTTTATCGAGGGAATTTTAAGTACCCCCAAAATGTCAAAATAAGAACAATTAGCACGTGATACTCGCCAGTTTATCAGGAATCGGCTATTTTGCAAGCTGTAATAAATATTCCTAGTGACTATCGAATAATAATAAAAAATAAACAAAGGAAAAGACAAACACAGAAGGAAACCATTAAACCCAATGATGATTATTAAATATTCCCCATAAGAAATGAAAAAAAAAAAACCGACACCAATAATTATTCACTGGAACCTACCATTCCAATTTTCACTTTTTGCATTCGAACATACCTCTACATTTTTTATAAATAGACCAAGATGTGCATTTGAACCTGAACTTAGAACTTAAAAGCTAAACTCATTTTTTTTTTTATCAAATGGAGTCGGGTATTCCGATCCAAAGAGGTAAAACATATCACGAAAGTTTCAGTACTGTTTCGTTCACGTTTGGCTCCAAAAACAATCTAATTTTTGCTTAATACAACGTAGGGAAAGCGCAGTTATCACTCATCGATGCATGGAAGGAACAAAAGATCACAAAAGTCATTAACAAGTAAGAAACAACACAAATCCTCTCTATGTTCTGCGTTCCAATAGTGGTTTCTATACACATCCGTGACCAATTGCAGGACGCAGAAGAAGCTCCTTGAGATTTCAGGATGGGAGAAAAAGGAAACAACAAAGATTGAATCTGAGCTTGCTAGTATCCAGGTGATTCCACAAAAGATCTCTAGACTCGTCTTCTACTTAATCCTTAAGACTGTTCTATTGCTTAAAGTATATTATCAAAAACATGAATCTATCAAATCATCAAATCAAATGGGAAAAGACTGCTACAACTAAACATGACATCAAAGAACAAACAAACAAATAAACAAATTGTTGTTTTCGGCAGCGGAAGATGGACAGCAAGAAAATGGAGAAAGCAGAGAACCTAAGGCGCAAGAAAGCAGCAGTTCATGCAAAAGCACACGAAAAGAAGGCAAAAGTTCAAACCAGACGCGCTCAAGAGATCCTCGATGCGGAAGAAGAAGCTGCTCAGTTGCAAGCCACGGGACAGATTCCCAAGAAGTCTTCTTTTAGCTGCTTCTGATAACAGCAGTAACCTGTGTTACAGATTATCACCTATCTTCTCTCTGCTTTGTTCATACTTGTTTCTTTTACATGTGTGTTTTTGCTTGTGTTGGTCATGGAACAAGAGTGCTAAAATCACTGTCTACTTTTCAAAACCCTGAACTAATCAACCTATTTGACAGCACGAAACATGCAAGACTCAAATCCTGCAGCCTGGGTGAACGTAAAGAAAGAAAATTACCATCTTAAGGTCCCAAAGACTTATTATTGAAGTTGGAAAGCTGAAAACAGGACACAGATTCTTGAAGACGCATCACAACAATGAAAGTATGAAACCACTGATCAGTCTACGACAAAGAAAGAAACATGGCATCAAACGACTTGTTAAAACTAAATAAAAGACTTCACTTCCACTACTACCCGGCATTTCAAAACATCTAGGCCTTGTCTATATGTAGTTGGATTTTAGAAATAAAGGAAACCCAAAGACGCACAAAAAGCATTTCGGAGGTAGAGGTCGAAGGTGAAGACTTTCAGGGTTGCGGTCTATCCAATCTTCAACCAACCTGAAAAATCACACAGATCCAGATAATCTTTTAAGGATCTTTCCTATATGAGGAGAAAATCTACATCAAATGAAATTTTCTAGTGTACGAGAACGAGCATCATGAATTGGCCTAAATGCATTAACCAAATGAGCTTTATATATGGCCCCGAATGATGCGATAGCTGAATAACAATGTGCATTGTCTATGGTAAAAGAAATTATCCTAGAGAATCTTGAGTCTACATTAGGTGAACGACTCAAAAAGTAGAAACATTTCAAGTCTGTCCGTTAGTTGAATATTACTTACCACTTATTACTGAAACACCTAGCAGCAAACCAAGGCGGCCGTCATCCCTTAGTTACTGGCAATAAATTGCCTGATCAATATGTGGAGGAATTTGCTTGATCTCCGTTCCAAGCTCTTGCTCAATCCGGTAACTACAAAATGTAAGACTTAAGATTAAACAATGCCGTAGCCAACAGGAGTAAAAGCCAGTTAAGAGATAGAAGAAAGACGTACAGGTTAAAGCGGTCCTCATAGGTGATAAGATTCACAGCTAAACCAAGATGGCCAAACCTTCCTGATCGGCCAACCTGAACAGCAACCACGTACCAAAATCAGATGACCATCAATCAATATGTAGGAATCTAGTACAATGTAGACACATCTGACTTCAGCTTACCCTGTGGAGATAAGTTTCTGCATTCTTTGGGAAATCAAAGTTTATCACCACATTGACTGCTTGAATGTCAATACCACGTGTGAACAGATCTGCAACAACCATCATCAAATCAGGAACTATTCAGGTGAAGGACTTAACTCATTTCACAAAATCAAAATAGTAAAAAACCAGTGTAACTTCATCCCCTAAGGCCTTGACTAAAGCCACTCAGTGAGTAAATAATTGAGAATTTTATTCATTGTGCTCCTGCAATAACAGCATAACAACACTTGGACATACCAGTGCACACAAGATTCCGGCATGCACCATTGCGAAAGTCATGGAACACTCTGTTTCGGTGGTCTTGAAGCATCTTTGCATGGATGTAAAAGCACGAATACCCAAGTTCTGTAATTTTCTTAGCTAAGAGCTCCACACGGTTCACAGAATTGCAGAATATGATCGATTGGTTAATTTGCAGCTGCAGAAGAAGAAGAGAGTAAATGCCAGCTACGGAAAGAAACAAAACAATCAATACTTAGTTCAGATCATACCTTGGAGAATAGTGTGTTCAGGCAATGAATTTTCTGTCGTTCTTCAACGAAAGCATAGAATTGGGTAATACCCTTGAGCGTAAGTTCATCCATGAGATTGATAATGTAAGGATTCGTCAGAAATCTATCCTTAAAATCCTTGACAGTGACAGGAAACGTGGCCGAGAACATCAAAATCTGACGGCTTTGCGGAAGAAAGCTGATCAAATGTTCCACCGAAGGTTGGAACTCTTGAGATAAAAGCTTATCAGCCTGATGAACAGATTCATATTTAAATTAGATTCGGGGAAACCATAACAGTATTGCTACAGCTTGAAGAAATAGATAGATAAAAAGAAACATAACAGCAAAGAATACAAAGTAAGCATCCAACGTTTACCTCATCCATAACGAGCACGGAACAATCTTTCAAAACACAAACACCTTTCTTGGCAAGATCCAGAATTCTCCCAGGAGTTCCCACCAGTAAATGGACAGGCTGGTACAAACGCATGATGTCATCTTTCAGACTGGTGCCTCCAGTGGTCACCATGACTTGAATTTCCAAATGCTTCCCCAGCTCTTTACACACTTGTGATGTCTGAAGGGCTAACTCTCGAGTTGGAACAATGATCACAGCTGCAAACATTTCAGGCGACATGAATAATCAATAGCTAGTAGATGGCAGAATTTAAAATTGATTTATCACACCAAATAAATCAACCGAGAACATGGTCTTCTAGGAGACAGTTACCTTGAATAACGTTGTTACCATGGTCAATTTTTTCCAAGACAGGAATACAAAAGGCGGCTGTCTTCCCAGTCCCGTTCTTTGCTCTGGCGAGGATATCTCTACCAGTTAAGGCAATGGGAATACTCTCTTCTTGAATAGGAGAAGGTCTTTCAAAACCCTTCTCATATATTCCCATGAGAAGCTCCCGCTTCAGAAAATAGTCTTCAAACTCGTTTCCCTTTGTGGCTGTCACATCCTGAAAATGATAACAAGTGAAAGAATTATGCAACTGTCATCCCATGCAACCAAGAAAATGAATCGGTTTCACAAATAGATTCTCACGCAATTTTGAATTAAAAACATAAAAACAAGAGCTTCTTTGCCATGGTTAAAAAGGAACATCAACAATGATGGGCTTATGGATTAAGCTATCAAATTAGCGAAAACAACTAACTTTATGCAGAACACAACAGCACTTGAGACCGCTGAAAGAAACAGTGTATCAAAATCAAATTTTATTCTTTTGCGCGAATGTTGAACCTTACCTCTGTTCTGTAGCGAGTATCGGCTGCAGGAAGTTTTAGCCTTGCTTTCCAATCTTCCGAACTGACGAGGAATAATAACACATTGTAGTGTAAGAAACCACTTGACAAGAGAATAGTGAAAAGTAGAATTGGCTTTGTATCAAAGAGAAACAGAACTCACTTTGTCTCGATCGCTTCGGATTGAACAGTTTTCTCAACTTCGACAACTGCATCGCCGTTGCTGTTGCCGCCAGAGATCTGGGGTCTTCGAAGCCATTGTTGCTGCTGTTGCTGTTGATGCTGATGTTGGTATTGATGTTGTTGATGCGGCTGCGACGTCGCTTGCTGGAACTGTTGGTGGTGGTTCTGCTGAGCGTAGCCACCGCGCTGAACGTACTGCGGAGGCGGCTGCTGTTGATAGCCCGGCCGCGATTGGAAGTTAGGGTTAGGGTTGATGGCTCCACGGCCAGCGCCAACCCCTGGAGGATACCTTCCTCGATTGTTGTTCATCGTAAGTTAACCTTTCTCTTATCGATCTCTAAAACGCTAATTAACCAAAACTCTGCCTACGGAGGGATCTGTACAGCAAAGAGACAACAACCTGTAGGGTTTCCTACGGTAACACAAAACCTAGAGTAATGTCGAGATACTGGAAAAAAAAATATTGCGGTTTAATTACAAATCTAGGGTTTGTAGAATCACAAAATCGGAGATAGATGGAAGCGGATCTGGAAATAAAAACGCCAAATCAAGCGATAGATAAAATTGTGAAGAAATTTCGAAAGGGGTCCACGCAAAGGAACGAGAGAGCAATCAAAGAGTAAATAATATAGAGACGAAGGTTCTCGCGTGAAACAGAGGAGCCAAGAGAGCAGAGAGAGGCAGAGAAATAAGTATTATTATTATAAATGTTTGTGATTTGGTCGGACTTCATTCGCATTACGGTAAACGCAGCCTTGCCTTTGGGCTTGGCCTCTTGGGGGTGTTAAAACGGAGTTTTTAGTGTTTTAAAAATACGTTTTTTATAAATTACACATTAGTTCGTTTTTTTACAGATTTAACATTTTCACCCCTAGTACAGACTACATAATCATGACATAAAGAGAAAAAACAACCCATGTAGAATAAACGGTACATTAGCTAAAAATTTTTTCTCTAAATCAAATATGTATGTATATCAGTACAAAATAAATAATTTGACAGATATTATTGTTATTATTTTAATTAATAATTTTTAAAAAATTAAAAATAAAAATAGAAAAAAATTATATATTATATATTAAATTATCTTATATAAATGAAAATTTATATAAATATATTATAGTTTTAATAATTTTAAAAATAATAACTAAAAAATTTTAAATCAAACTATTCATATAAATTCGCGCTTAGTGCAAATTATATATTTAATTATATACAAAAACCAAATCAAACAAAGTTTTTGTTTTTTGATTTAATATCAAATAAATAGCAAAAGTATCCAAAGAAAATGTAGAATTTGATAACAATCGACTTGTGTTATTATCATTGACAAACCAAAATATTTATACAAGAGAGTGTCGGTTTCTAATTGCCTCTATGTTAAGGATATACTTATCTCTAAGATTTTATATTTAGCATAATAATATGATGTATATTCCCAATAATGAACCAAAACAAACCAAAAAAAGATTTAAGTGTTGATGTAATAACTATCAACCAAAGTTTTTTGAAAACCAGAAAAACCGAACGAAAACCGCCGATATACAGATTGAAAAATAAACCGCCACGTCGGTTTAAACCCTAGCTATCTCCTGTGCTCAGTGAATTTCGGGAGATTTGCATTCATTCCGCTTAAGACGTTCCCCGAGCCACCACCGTAACCTTACCGCGAGATATATTTATAGCTTCTTCTTACGGAAATCGCAAACTACTTTCCATTACTTAAATTCTTCCTCTCAGCCCTAAAATCTCCAAGTCCGGAGCCACGACGAGCAGACAGCTGTTCTTTTTGGCCGGTACTAAAATGGCGTCGATGATGTTTACGGATTGCTCCTCCTCCACGACGTCGCTTCTCATCCATCTGAACCGCCGCAGCAGTACTACCCTCCTCCGTCAGTCCGTTGGCCAACTCCGCCTACGGACCACTGTGTCTGGCCGTGCCTGCTCTCTCTCCATTCGCTCCGGTACACACTCGCCCTCTTCACCTAATTGACTAGAAATTCGAAAAATTCACACTTTCTCTTGTGTTATGAGAATCATTATATTTATTCTTCTTCTCCGCAGCTGATGCAGCATCCGACAAGGTAATTGATGGAAAGGCTGTGGCGAAAACGATAAGAGACGAGATCACAGTCGAGGTTTCAAGAATGAAGGAATCGATCGGTGTGGTTCCTGGATTAGCTGTGATCCTTGTTGGGGACAGAAAAGATTCGGCGACTTATGTGAGGAACAAGAAGAAAGCTTGTGAATCCGTCGGGATACAATCATTCGAGGTTCGTCTAGCTGAAGATTCCTCAGAAGAGGAAGTGATGAAGTCTGTCTCGGGCTTCAACGATGATCCTTCTGTCCATGGAATCCTTGTTCAGCTGCCTCTACCATCGGTAAACAACGTCCATCATCTTCTTAACAAATACAATGACACATTGATAGATATATTACAGCATAGTGATGTTGAGCATAGTGATGTTTGTGATGTAAATGCAGCATATGGATGAGCAGAACATATTGAATGCGGTTAGCATAGAGAAAGACGTGGACGGATTTCACCCGCTGAATATTGGACGGCTTGCCATGCGGGGAAGAGAGCCCTTGTTCGTTCCCTGCACTCCAAAAGGATGCATCGAGCTGCTGCACAGATACAACGTTGACATCAAAGGAAAGAGAGCCGTTGTGATCGGAAGGAGCAACATCGTTGGTATGCCAGCTGCTCTGTTACTCCAGGTAATGATGATACCTTCCGTAAACATGATGCCATTTTTCTGATAGTCACAAGTTACAGTCTTTGGTCTTTATGGTTGTATTTTGTAAATGCAGAGGGAGGATGCAACTGTTACCATTATCCATTCAAGAACCAAGAACCCTGAAGAAATCACACGGGAAGCTGATATCATTATCTCAGCTGTTGGGCAGCCGAACATGGTCAGAGGAAGCTGGATTAAACCGGGCGCAGTCCTCATCGACGTTGGGATTAACCCTGTTGAGGTAAGCCACATTACGGTAATGCATTGATGATGGGATTAAATCAAATCCAGGATGTGACACTCGTATACTATCTCATGAACTGCAGGATCCAGATGCTCCACGTGGCTATCGATTGGTTGGAGACATTTGCTACGAAGAGGCTTCGAAAGTTGCATCAGCCATCACGCCTGTTCCTGGTGGTGTTGGACCAATGACCATAGCCATGCTTCTTTCCAACACGTTGACATCAGCTAAGAGAATCCACAACTTCCAGTGACCTTAAAAAGGATTGCTCTGGTTTTTGGATTAAACCAGTCTTAGATTGCTTGTTCTGGTCTTTCAAAGTGTTTTTTTCTTCTTCTATGAAACCAAACTTAATGTTCATGTTTTAAGATTTCTATACTTCTTCTTATATAAAATCGTTTTTTAACATTTATATAGTTCTTCTTATTCGTCTGTTCATGTTATTTGATCCAAAAAACGAATACAAAAGTTGTATGTGGATCACTAGTTTGCGTGATTTGATCTTTGGGCTCTTCGGAATGTTGTGTTGTTGTACTTTTTTTTTTTTTTTTCTTTCTCCAGATTTTATTGGTTGAACCGTGAAGGGAGGAGGCTCTGTGAAAGATTGTTTGTAATCTAGAGAGAATTAGAGTTTAGTCGGAAAAGTTCTGCTTATTAACCTTTATTGTCATTAAAGCAAAGAAAGCATCAAAGTTTAGTTGATCTGTACAAAAAAATTTATAAAACCAAGAGATTCACCAATTAGTTGATCTGTTCTGTTAAAACTCTATTAACACGTAAAGAGAGAGAAACAACGCTGTGCCAAAAAACTCCTCTCTACAATGATATCGAGGTAAAGCCAACAAAATAGTCAAGTTCCTGTAAGGAAGTCAGAGTTTTTTCCTTGTACGAACAACTGATGAGTTTTCTCATGACTCCAATACACCTTCATCTTCTGCTTTCAGTTTGTCGGCTCCACTGCTGGTTATCTCCTTGTAATCCTCATTTTCCCTAAAAAATACACTCTTAGAGCTATATACATCATGAACTGTAGAGAGAATCTTGTGATTTGTGAAAGATGGGAAGCTAACCTTGAGCGTGCTGAGATGAAGAAGGATGAATTGGCCAGTACATCGCTGGACATGCACAAAGTAAAGCATCAGATTCTTCAATAGTGAGATGTCCATAGGTTTTGTCTTGGGTTTGAGAACCAAAAAGATACCTCTCTGCTCTGTTCAATGCTTTCTCGGCATCAACTACGTCTTGACACGCCTCACGCTCCAACGCACTGCCTTGCTCGCCCCATATCATAGTTTCGTTGACTATATCCTCAACTACCAATGCCTGGATCAGTGCCGTCTCAGCTCCCTCTCTAAAGCTTTCCACCTCCTTCAACAGCTCGCCCTTTAGTATTTGAAAACGCATGAGTTCCTCGTTGCAGCTTGCCAATTTTTCTTCGCACTCTGTAACATCTTTCTTAGCACTGGCTGCTACTTCCAGTAGCTTTGAGTAGAGCTCAGCAACTCTCATGCAACCGGCATTTCTTTCTCTAACATTTTGCAACTCTTTCTGTGCCCTAACTAGGTCACACCTGAGTTCCTCCAAACTAAACATTATCTCCTTGAACTCCTCAGTTTCCCTAAAAGTACAAAGTCTTAGAACTATATATCATGAACTGTAGAGAGAATCTTGCGAAAGATGTAAGCTAACCTTGAGCCCAATATCCCAGCGGTATATGCTGAACTGGAGAATGAGTATTTGGCCAATAGATCGCTGGAAAAGCACAAAGTAAAACGTTAGATTCTATGATAGTGAGAAAGCAGTGGCCCTGTGTTGTTTCTGAACCAAAAAGATATACCTCTCTGCTCTCTCCAATGCTTTCTCGGCATCAGCCACGTCTTGACAAGCCTCACGCTCCAACGCAGGGCCTTGCTCGCCCCATATCATAGTTGAGACAACCATATCATCAACTTCTGCTACATAGATCTGTATCGTTTCATCCGCCTCTCTCAATTGTTCTACCTCCTTCTCCAGCTCGTCCTTTAGTATTTGCAAACGCGTGAGTTCATCGTTGCAACTCGCTAATTTTTCTTCACAGTCTTTAAGGTCTTTCTTAGCACGGACTGCCTCTTCATCCAGCGTTACCGACACTTCAACTAATTTCAAGATCCCGGCATTTCTGTCTCTAACATTTTCCAACTCGTTCTGTGCCCTAACCAGTTGATACCTGAGTTCCTCCACACCAGACGTATCATTGTCGTTTTGGTCATACGAGTCTGCTGGTATGCAATCCACTTTACATCGAAGAGTCTATCACAAAGAAAAGAGCAATTAAACAGATCCTCATTAGTGAAAGCAATGAAAAAGGAGGCCAAAAAAAGATATCAATTCACTTTGTCTGCCGCAAAATGTAATTATCATTCTACCTTTTAAAAGAAAGTTGAATATGAATTATTCCGAAACAACTTTGTAGTCTATCATAGATGTGCTTATGCCAGACTCAAATGCAAGTGCTTACGCTTGAATTTTTTTGTTTGCTACCAGAAAAATGTGAATGCCATACACTACTGTCACTAAAATCACTTTCACTTTTTTGAACACGACAATCTCAGACGGAACTACTGTAAAGAGACTGAAATTGGCAAAACATCCAGTTTCATCAATAAACAAAAGCATCTGAGGAGAACATGTTACCTCATCGGTTCTCCCAGCTTGAACGATTCTCTCCTTGTGCTCCTCATTTTCCCTAAAAATAGAAACTCTTAGAGCTATATATCATGACCTGTAGAGAGAATCTTGCGAAAGATGGAAGCTAACCTTGAGCCCAATATCCCAGTTGTATCTGCTGAACTGGAGAGTGAGAAATTGGCCAATACATCGCTGAAATGCACAAAGTAAAATGTTAGATTACATAATAAGCAATGGCCTTGGGTTGTTTCTTGGGTTTGCGAACCAAAAGGATACCTCTCTGATCTTTGCTGCAATGCTTTCTCGGCATCAATCACGTCTTGACACTCCTCACGCTTCAAAGCAATGCCTTGATCACCCCATATCATAGTTTCGTTAGCTTTTTCTGATGCCTGGATCAGTGCCGTCTCAGCTGCATCTCTCAAGCTCTCTACCTTCTTCTGCAGCTCGTCCTTCAGTTTCTGCAATCGCATGAGTTCATTGTTGCAGCTTGCTAACTTTTCTTCGCATTCTTCAAGGTCTTTCTTAGCACTGGCTGCTTCTTCCCCCAGCGTTATCGACGGTCGAACTGATTTCAAGATCATGGCTTTGCTGTGCCTAACATCTTCCAGGTCTTTCTTCGCCCTAACCAGTTGATACCCGAGTTCCTCCAAACTAGATGAATCATCATCGTGTTGGTCATCTCGTAAGGAATCATTACGATGAAAGAAAAACCTAGAGCCCCTTTGCTTTCTAGGAAGAAGATGACCGTCGAATTTTTCAGTGAACCCAGCATTCAAAGTAAATTTCAATCTTCTCGCCAGACGAACTTGAGAATCATTCCTCGGATCCACACTGACGAAACCTTTGGGACAAAGTTTCGAACTTGTCATTCGATTTGGGTAACTCGCAGAAGCAGCTGTAGCGCCATGAAACTCACTCTGTAAAATAAGCGAATCCATATCTCGGAATAGCGAAATCAGGCGAAGAAAGATGAACGAGGAAGATGACAAGAGACTCTTTTAGTAAAAAAAACAAAGAGCGAAGAAAGATGAACGAGGAAGATGAACGAGGAAGATGATGAGAGACTCTTTTTCGTCAAAAAAAAAAAAATGAGATTCTTGAAAGAAGGTTGAAATGTAACGAACTAAGCTTGAACAATGGATCTATATTTGGCCTTATAGAGTTAGAGTAGTACTGATGTTTATGTTCACCAACAATTTTTCGCAAATTGCATCCAAAAAATGGCATGGTGTTTACGTCTCGGATTCAGGAACGGTGGGTAGGTTCTTTCACGTCCTAGCCCGATTTTAAAAACCGGACCGGACGTCGAACCGGATGTGCCTTTGGGTCCCGGTTCAACCTGTTGAGGTTTTTAATAATGAACGATGGCTTGCGAAGGAGCAGATAAAAGTCGACGCTTTTTCGTGGCGGTTCACGTCGGTGCCGGATATCACGCGGCGGCTAACGGGAAAGCTTTTAGACCCGTCATGAGACGCTCTTGCCTAGCCGCTTCGACTATTATTGACCAGGTCCCATTTCGGTTGTCTTTACACGATCAATTTCTTTTCGAATCAATGACATACACGTACGATGGACCGAATGATACAGAAGACCATACCTTTATCTTTGCTTTATCTGTTGAATTTATGGTTCTGAAGGGTGCAACTGTGCATAGATGGTGTTTCAGCCGCCATTGAAGTCCTCGAGGTACTTGTTCGACCTTTGTCATTAGTTAAAGAAAAAATGACTCTCTAGTGTCTGCAATGGCTGCTTAACTTTTCTAGTGATTCCTATGTGAGTTTTGTTACAAAATAGGACGAATCGAGCACAAATGCTGGTATAATCTGACAGAAGATGGTCATGTGGAATGTGATGCTAGTCTTATAAATGGCGATTTTAGGAGTGTTAGGAGGCGTTGGAGCAGTTCCTGGTACTTTTTGTAACTTGCGTGTTAAATTACTGTATTTATGGAGTTTCTGAAGATTTTAGACGATAAACTGTAGATAAGGTGTCAGAAAATGCCATCAAGATTGCTCCTTTATTGGTGAAGGAGAAGATGGGTGGCTCAAGCCTACTAGGCCATATAGCTCCAATGTTACGAATCAACTAGATTGTTCTGATATCACAACCCAGCTGTGAATCGGTTTCTGCAAGCCTTGAACTTTCTGATCTGCCTCCCCAGGATGTTGTTTGGTGAAGGAGCTCGACGATGTGCCATGTCTAAAGACGTTCTGTTGCCGGAAACTGTCACAGAAGCTGATAAGGATAGAGATTTCCACATTTTATTTGCTTCACTGTCAATCATCTGGTTGTTTTCTAAATATTGTATGTTTAAACAGTGGCTGGTTAAAAAGAGTAAGAAATCAGTGGAGAAAGTTCAAGACTATGCTTTCGAGGTAGAGGCAAAGAATTGCCTTTCTTCTGAAGAATAGCCCAGGGAAGTCGAGCAGGATGAAACATGTGAGGAAAAATCATTACCGTGGGAAACAGTAGATGAAGATAAGATCTTGGCTATTTGTGCTGACAGTGATGGACACATTGCTTGTCATAATACTGATCAATGCCTAGTGGTTCTTTTCTGCTGAAAGGAAAACTGATCCGCTATTTCGGGACAATGCATTTCAGGTTAGCGGCCTTGTGGGTTTAGCAGCAACTTATGGTTGACGTTGTTGGGCATCCTCTAAAGGACCTTTTGGAGTTACATTTCTTGTTGGCTGTTGTGTGTCAAGAGCTGGAGAATATCTTATGAGAGGATTTGCAGGTAGAGAGAGTTGTACTTTACTGTGTGCCTGTATATTTCCCTTATCCTTCTTAATGGTTATGCATGTTTCGATGTAGGTTGTTCTTCTGTAACAGAGCCAAGAAAGGATTCCTTATGCCCATAGTTCACAGGCTGGTCCAGCATCTTCTTTGGCCAAAAAAGAATAAAAAACCAAGAAGTTACAAAAGAGCTATATTAAGGAAATCGGAAGCAGCTACCTAACAGAAAACCACTGGGTTAAGAGACCGCTACATCCATTGGGAAAACCGTTGCCATGAAGGTTTTACGTTCTGTAATGCAACAAAAGGAGGGTGGAATCGCTGGAGTTCTAGTGGTTCAAGCGGATGCTTCTATGGCTGTAAGTCCAATTATTCAAGAACCTCCTCAGTTCTTTGCTTTCTTTTGGTTTGGAGTCTTACTTACTCTAATTTTACTCTATAGGTTCCTGGAAATAGGCCGGAGCTGAATGCCCTTCCTCTTAGATACACAAAGAAAACGTGTGTGGAGCATCGTATTGGGCTCAGGCCTATTAAAGTGAGTCGGTCTAGAAAATTGTATTAGGGTACGTCTGTGGCAAGGAAGGAACATTATATATTCTTTCTCTGCCCCATCAAAAGATTATTTGCTTGTTCTTGAAGGAACATAAATATCTCTTGAGGTTTGAGGTTTGAGGCTTGAGCGTCGTTCCTTCGCATAGTTTCTTCTTCAGGTTCTTTCTGATCTTCATATCTTTTTCTGTTTTTTTGGTTTTATTATTTGTCTGGAAACAATTCTACTTTACTTTTGTTAAATACTTAAATCCTAAGTTGGAAGCCACGACCGAACAGACTAGCTTGCATAATAAAAACATGGCGTCGATGATGTTTACGGATTGCTCCTCTTCCACAACGTCGCTTCTCATCCATCTGAACCGCCGCAGCAGTAATACCTTCCTCCGTCAGTCCGTTGGCCAACTCCGCCTACGGACCACTGTGTCTGGCCGTGCCTGCTCTCTCTCCATTCGCTCCGGTACACACTCGCCCTCTTCACCTAATTGACTAGAAATTCGAAAAATTCACACTTTCTCTTGTGTTATGAGAATCATTATATTTATTCTTCTTCTCCGCAGCTGATGCAGCATCCGACAAGGTAATTGATGGAAAGGCTGTGGCGAAAACGATAAGAGACGAGATCACAGTCGAGGTTTCAAGAATGAAGGAATCGATCGGTGTGGTTCCTGGATTAGCTGTGATCCTTGTTGGGGACAGAAAAGATTCGGCGACTTATGTGAGGAACAAGAAGAAAGCTTGTGAATCCGTCGGGATACAATCATTCGAGGTTCGTCTAGCTGAAGATTCCTCAGAAGAGGAAGTGATGAAGTCTGTCTCGGGCTTCAACGATGATCCTTCTGTCCATGGAATCCTTGTTCAGCTGCCTCTACCATCGGTAAACAACGTCCATCATCTTCTTAACAAATACAATGACACATTGATAGATATATTACAGCATAGTGATGTTGAGCATAGTGATGTTTGTGATGTAAATGCAGCATATGGATGAGCAGAACATATTGAATGCGGTTAGCATAGAGAAAGACGTGGACGGATTTCACCCGCTGAATATTGGACGGCTTGCCATGCGGGGAAGAGAGCCCTTGTTCGTTCCCTGCACTCCAAAAGGATGCATCGAGCTGCTGCACAGATACAACGTTGACATCAAAGGAAAGAGAGCCGTTGTGATCGGAAGGAGCAACATCGTTGGTATGCCAGCTGCTCTGTTACTCCAGGTAATGATGATACCTTCCGTAAACATGATGCCATTTTTCTGATAGTCACAAGTTACAGTCTTTGGTCTTTATGGTTGTATTTTGTAAATGCAGAGGGAGGATGCAACTGTTACCATTATCCATTCAAGAACCAAGAACCCTGAAGAAATCACACGGGAAGCTGATATCATTATCTCAGCTGTTGGGCAGCCGAACATGGTCAGAGGAAGCTGGATTAAACCGGGCGCAGTCCTCATCGACGTTGGGATTAACCCTGTTGAGGTAAGCCACATTACGGTAATGCATTGATGATGGGATTAAATCAAATCCAGGATGTGACACTCGTATACTATCTCATGAACTGCAGGATCCAGATGCTCCACGTGGCTATCGATTGGTTGGAGACATTTGCTACGAAGAGGCTTCGAAAGTTGCATCAGCCATCACGCCTGTTCCTGGTGGTGTTGGACCAATGACCATAGCCATGCTTCTTTCCAACACGTTGACATCAGCTAAGAGAATCCACAACTTCCAGTGACCTTAAAAAGGATTGCTCTGGTTTTTGGATTAAACCAGTCTTAGATTGCTTGTTCTGGTCTTTCAAAGTGTTTTTTTTCTTCTTCTATGAAACCAAACTTAATGTTCATGTTTTAAGATTTCTATACTTCTTCTTATATAAAATCGTTTTTTTAACATTTATATAGTTCTTCTTATTCGTCTGTTCATGTTATTTGATCCAAAAAACGAATACAAAAGTTGTATGTGGATCACTAGTTTGCGTGATTTGATCTTTGGGCTCTTCGGAATGTTGTGTTGTTGTACTTTTTTTTTTCCTTTCTCCAGATTTTATTGGTTGAACCGTGAAGGGAGGAGGCTCTGTGAAAGATTGTTTGTAATCTAGAGAGAATTAGAGTTTAGTCGGAAAAGTTCTGCTTATTAACCTTTATTGTCATTAAAGCAAAGAAAGCATCAAAGTTTTAGTTGATCTGTACAAAAAAATTTATAAAACCAAGAGATTCACCAATTAGTTGATCTGTTCTGTTAAAACTCTATTAACACGTAAAGAGAGAGAAACAACGCTGTGCCAAAAAAAACTCCTCTCTACAATGATATCGAGGTAAAGCCAACAAAATAGTCAAGTTCCTGTAAGGAAGTCAGAGTTTTTTCCTTGTACGAACAACTGATGAGTTTTCTCATGACTCCAATACACCTTCATCTTCTGCTTTCAGTTTGTCGGCTCCACTGCTGGTTATCTCCTTGTAATCCTCATTTTCCCTAAAAAATACACTCTTAGAGCTATATACATCATGAACTGTAGAGAGAATCTTGTGATTTGTGAAAGATGGGAAGCTAACCTTGAGCGTGCTGAGATGAAGAAGGATGAATTGGCCAGTACATCGCTGGACATGCACAAAGTAAAGCATCAGATTCTTCAATAGTGAGATGTCCATAGGTTTTGTCTTGGGTTTGAGAACCAAAAAGATACCTCTCTGCTCTGTTCAATGCTTTCTCGGCATCAACTACGTCTTGACACGCCTCACGCTCCAACGCACTGCCTTGCTCGCCCCATATCATAGTTTCGTTGACTATATCCTCAACTACCAATGCCTGGATCAGTGCCGTCTCAGCTCCCTCTCTAAAGCTTTCCACCTCCTTCAACAGCTCGCCCTTTAGTATTTGAAAACGCATGAGTTCCTCGTTGCAGCTTGCCAATTTTTCTTCGCACTCTGTAACATCTTTCTTAGCACTGGCTGCTACTTCCAGTAGCTTTGAGTAGAGCTCAGCAACTCTCATGCAACCGGCATTTCTTTCTCTAACATTTTGCAACTCTTTCTGTGCCCTAACTAGGTCACACCTGAGTTCCTCCAAACTAAACATTATCTCCTTGAACTCCTCAGTTTCCCTAAAAGTACAAAGTCTTAGAACTATATATCATGAACTGTAGAGAGAATCTTGCGAAAGATGTAAGCTAACCTTGAGCCCAATATCCCAGCGGTATATGCTGAACTGGAGAATGAGTATTTGGCCAATAGATCGCTGGAAAAGCACAAAGTAAAACGTTAGATTCTATGATAGTGAGAAAGCAGTGGCCCTGTGTTGTTTTTCTGAACCAAAAAGATATACCTCTCTGCTCTCTCCAATGCTTTCTCGGCATCAGCCACGTCTTGACAAGCCTCACGCTCCAACGCAGGGCCTTGCTCGCCCCATATCATAGTTGAGACAACCATATCATCAACTTCTGCTACATAGATCTGTATCGTTTCATCCGCCTCTCTCAATTGTTCTACCTCCTTCTCCAGCTCGTCCTTTAGTATTTGCAAACGCGTGAGTTCATCGTTGCAACTCGCTAATTTTTCTTCACAGTCTTTAAGGTCTTTCTTAGCACGGACTGCCTCTTCATCCAGCGTTACCGACACTTCAACTAATTTCAAGATCCCGGCATTTCTGTCTCTAACATTTTCCAACTCGTTCTGTGCCCTAACCAGTTGATACCTGAGTTCCTCCACACCAGACGTATCATTGTCGTTTTGGTCATACGAGTCTGCTGGTATGCAATCCACTTTACATCGAAGAGTCTATCACAAAGAAAAGAGCAATTAAACAGATCCTCATTAGTGAAAGCAATGAAAAAGGAGGCCAAAAAAAGATATCAATTCACTTTGTCTGCCGCAAAATGTAATTATCATTCTACCTTTTAAAAGAAAGTTGAATATGAATTATTCCGAAACAACTTTGTAGTCTATCATAGATGTGCTTATGCCAGACTCAAATGCAAGTGCTTACGCTTGAATTTTTTTGTTTGCTACCAGAAAAATGTGAATGCCATACACTACTGTCACTAAAATCACTTTCACTTTTTTGAACACGACAATCTCAGACGGAACTACTGTAAAGAGACTGAAATTGGCAAAACATCCAGTTTCATC